GAGTGCATCACCAGTGCCACCAGTGCCACCAGTGCCAGCCGCCCGGCAACACAGCATCTGATGGGCTTGGACCCTGCAGCCAGCGCATCGTCGGCGCTCGCGCGGCATGCTGTTCTCCAGCTGCTGGATCCGGGGCGATGGCATGACCGTGGCACCGTGTTTCCTTGTTCGGCCCGGCGTTGAGATCAAAGGCTATTACTGCCCTGGAACAACAAGCTGTGAAGAAGCATGGACCCGCGTCCGCGTCCACGTCCGCGTCCGCGTCCAGCAGCCACCGTGTAACCGCGTGGCGAGGGTTCCCTCCTTCGTTGGACAAAGACTTTTGCACGCGCGCCCCAACCAAGCTTTTCGGCTGCACACCGGGGCAGCAAGTTTCGCACCCAGCCCGCGCTGACTGGCTGCGGCTGCTGCTGCTGCTTCGGGATCGCATTAGCCGTGATCCGAACACGAATGCGCTGCCCGCCGCCGGGTCGTGAATCATTCTGGAAGGCGCCCCTGGAGGGCAGCAGGCACGAGGCAGTGAATTTGAGCATTGGCAGTCGCAGTGGCAGTCGCAGTGGCAGTCGCAGTGGCAGGCGCAGTGGCAGCACACGCGTAGTTACGAGCACGGCTGCCCTCGCCAGGGCAGGTGGCAGGAGGGCAGCACCGCAGCACCGCAGCACCCAGGACCCTGTTGGAGCGCTGGCCCAGGCGAGTGGACGAGAGATCCGCAGCAGTCCACTTTGTTTGCAACAGCGCTGCCTCTTCCCCGCACTCACTTCACCCTTCGCCCGGCATGGGAACCGCCGCTCTCTCGGATCCCGATCGCCCGTCTTCCAGCGCCGAAACACCGTCTAGTTCCGTGGCAACTCGCGCGCTCGGATCTGGCAACCGCTTCCGAGCCAAAACGTGTGCAGCGGCGCCCCTGTCGCGTGCCCGACGCGGCTATCGGCTGCTCCAATGCCGCGACGCTTCCTCAGCCTTGCCGTCGGACAGCCTGCAATTGCTGCTGCCTGCTGAGACCACCACCCTCTTCACGCCATCGTCGCCCGCCGTGCTGCCGTTACCACTGCTGCGCCTCCTTCGTAACTCCATACTGATGCCGGCTCCTGCAATGTCTGGCACACGCGAATCAAGTGCATGGGGCCGTGTCCTGGAATGTCATCGAAATCGTGTGCGCTCACTGCGCTGCATCTGAACGATCACAAGATCCACAGAAAAAAAAAACGACGGACTTTAGCTGGCTATCTGCGCCTCGCTCACCTGCATCGACCCCCACTCGATATCCACAGCCCTGGCCGGAATGCAGTCGAAGGCGGAAGATGAGGCGAAGCACTCGAAAGAGGCGGTGATGGCTGCTGCGCGCAGCTAAACATTATTGTCCCTCCAACGCATCGCAAGTTGCAACGCAACTGCGTGTCCCAATTACACGGTCACTGCTGCGCCTCCCACTACTTCGGTATAGGGCCTTCGCACCACCCTCCACTTCAGGAAATGCGGGAGCCTGTCCAACAGGTGAAGGAACATGTGTGCTCGGCCCTTTTCCTCCGCAAAGGAATGAACGCGAGCCAAAGGGCACTGAGAAAGAGTCCGCGCGTCAGTGCTGCGCTTCGTCTATCTGTCCTCCGCTCTCCCCTTTTCACATGCACATGAGTCGACGGATGGACTGATCGGTGGCTTCACCGGCCCGTATGCCCAGACTCGGGACTTTCGTCCCAGCCCGCCGAGGCTCCGATTCCGACTCTCGTGATCGATCGTCTTGCAAGGCCCCCTTCGATACTGATCATAGGTAGATTTAAACCCAGGACAAACCCTGACAACACCCTAGCGCCATTCTGTTGTTCTACTTGGCGGGCCTGTCCATGGCCGGGGCGAGAATCTAGACCGTCTAGAAACCAGGCGAAGCTTTCCAATTCCTTTGTGTTCCATCCAAAGACCACTCGCACGTCCTAAGCCATCATCTTCGATCAAGACCCTTGTCTGTCCGCTATAAAACTTGCTTTTCTCTCGTACCGCTGCGTCGACCTCACACCAAACAACTAAAGCTTCCAGCCGACATGACCTGGACGACCCACTAACAGCCATGGCCACACGTCCAAGTGTTCAGGGAGACCGGGGGGATCGAGAACGCCTCTACTGTGCTTCCAAGAGCCCAACAGCACGGCCCGCGTCAAAACTTGGCGTGCTGGGGGAGAGAGTCAAAAAACCGCATCTACTACGCTCAGATCCTAAAATGTGCCTGTTCTTGCCTGCGATTGCCGGACCTTGCCGTCGGTGATTTCTCACGTCCGACGGCACACTGCGGAGCATAGGAACGACGGATTGAACAAGTCCCTCATGGTAAATGGCATTTCCCGTGTGCATATCGTGATCACGAGCATCATTTCACCACGATCTAATCACCGGCAGTCAGAAGAAGATCGGCAGCTGATTCCGAGACCCTGCTCACATGCATGGCCTGCTGCCCGACATACCCGATATACTGAGCCCCCCAGCAAGGAACCGGCGATCAGCCTTGGTTCATGAAGCCAGCATCTTCCCCTCCGGGCACCCTTGTCGCCAGGCTAAGGGGACTTGACCACACATCTGAGTCAAAGTCTCACCTTGCCCAGTATAAATCTGATGACAAAGGTCTGGCTCGTTCGCTCACTCGGACCGTGCGAAATAGTCATGATTTCCCCCCCGCACTATCGAATGGAGAAAGGAGGAGGTTGGGCTAGGAAGACAAGGGTCGCTATGTTGCATCTGCAATTTTCCTTGGACAGCACGCGGCCGAGCTCTGTTCTGCTACATTTTGAAATGAAGTATCATGACCTTAGCGCTCATGAAAATTAGCTCACTTGCTTTTGCGTTTAGAAGCATTTGAACGATGCCGAGGCTCCCTCCCAATAGGATAATATCGTCTCGGGGCCAGTCAGACCCATACTAATCAGACACTGCAAAGTGAATGTTTGGAAATCTAGCACAGTCGTCTAGCTCAATGAGCTACTGAGCGTCACTCGAGGCGGCTCTTCCAAAACCTACTCTTTCTCTCCCCACGTCTTGGGTTAGCAGAGTACGAAGGCTCGGCTTCTCGCACGATGCGAGCGGCCGAGGAGTATTAATCAGGCATCAGTTCGTACGAAGCGAGTGAGGTACGTACCACTGCTACATGATGCGATCAAGCCTTGACAACGCAAATTTTGAAGCCTGCGCACTTCTCGCAGCGGCAGGCACCCAAGCTTCCAGCTATTCCTTTTGTGCCGGCGGGAGGATGGGTAACGAAAAGAACCTATCTGTTTCTCCTGCATGCTGATCAACCCTCTTCCTGTGCCCCGTCTTGCGATCAGCCACGATTGCGCAATAAGGCGATGGCGGGACGGTGACGGTGACTGTGGGAGAGAGGAGCAGAAGTGACCTGCTTATCAATCACCTTTTCCGCATCGAGCAGACTATCCGCCTCGCCTCCACCTCCGCCTGCACCTCCATCGCGGAGACATGGCGCACGTAATACACACATGCAGCACATATCCTCGTGACTAGTTGTTAGTCCTCTCCCCACCTCCGCACCAAAACGCGCGGATGAGGAGGGAGATGCTCAGTAATAGTAACCACGCATCACCCCAGCTGCCGAATCGCACGTCTCTAAACTTTCAGTTGGGAGAGGTTCTGATGAGACGACCGTTTCCAGGAATTCGACAAAATGAGGTAAAGGAAGCATTTGTCTCTCTCGGCCTATTCCGACATCGATAAGAATGACAGCCAGAGATCGAATAAAGTAGTGCTTATTGTCCCCGTTGTTCTCCGATCCACATTCACTTTGTTTCTGTGGCGTGTAATTTTTCCCGTGTTGAACCTCCAATGAGCCTCTCCACCAGCAGCATCTACACTCTCTTCGCCTCATGCGCAGAAGTGCTGCTTGCTTCCCAAGGGAGAGGGGGGAAAGAGAAACGAGTGAGCTGTGTACACTTCCCAAATAGAGTAAAAACTGGTGTCAACTAGCGCCCGCAAACGTGGAAACGCAAAAACCTTATTATATGTGCTGAGTGGCTAAGCTGAACCAAGCTTCAATGCCAACAGGGTGCTTATTTTGTTGGTTCATTTTCGAATCGAGCCGTCCCACGCCTGCGAGTCGTGCGGGATATTTCCTCGTCTTGACTTATGCACGGGCTGCTGCGCTATACTGTCGAAGCGGCGAAGACTTGAGCAGGGAGGGAGGAGAGACGGGTCGGGTCAGAAAAGAAATCAGTGGGCGGGAGAAGACGGAGCTTGTGGGAGTTTCTGAGTCAAAGTGGTTCAGAGCGGTATTTAGGAAAAGGCGGTCTTATGAAACGTGTGGGGAATGATGGACGAGATTCAGAAAGAAAAGCATATGAAAGCAGAAAGAGTCAACTGTCTCCAGAGTTGAAGCACTCGTACTAAGCAATCCCAACTGTCTATGGTCAAGCTCGCCCCGATGGCTTTGCCTCCTTTGGGGTGAATTCCATGTTGTTTTGAACACTAATTCGTCGCACATACTCGAAACACTGGTGCTTCTCTGAGCGGAGATGCATGATAGTTATGGCCAATCAGGCAACATGTATATATTCCGAACCTTACCACACCGGAACCAACTTCTCTCATCAAAATGCAGTTTGTGGTATATGGCCAACGCGCTCGATTCCATGGACGATGAAGACGGCGGAAGAAAGAAAGAAAAAAAGCCGAGGGAAGAAGTGTAGATGAAGATGAATGCACAAACCCAAAACGAAAAGACAATGATGCCCCGTTCCCCGTTCCCCGTTTCCCTTTTCCCCCCACCCCAAGATATCCACATGCAAATTTATACAACACCTCCAGTTCTAGGCTGACCAAAACCGAAGAAAGCGAAATTTCAAGAGTTCTTCGAACAAGGACGCATTCTGACAATGGGAAAATAAAGGAAGAAGGATAAGAGTGATGATCGCTTTGCGAAACAAGAAGGTGCAAAAAGGAATATGTGTGAGACATAGGTGTCGTGCTTCTACTTCCACCGACGGGCAGGACATCGAGAGCAGAGGAGTTCAACCGGCAGCGTTCTGCCTCAACTCCGCCTCGAGTTCGAAAACAAGGCGAGCGAGCCTGGCATCGCGCTCCTCGAGGTCCGACGACGTAAAACGCGCGACCTTGGTGTCGCGCTCATCAACCTCGGCCGTGTCCCCGCCTCGTTTGGTGTCGACAGCGGCGGCGGCACCCGCCGCCTCCTCGCTAGATCCTCTCCCGCTATCTGTTACGGCACGTCTGATAGGCGGCAGGCCCTGGCGTTCTCGCCATCGGTCAACCCATTTCTCGCGGAGCGTCTTGTAGATGAGGGCGAACTGCGAGTCCTGCTGCACCATCATCATGCGCTGGGCGCGAAGCGCTTCGACCGTCTCCTCGACGGGATCTTTACCATCGGGCACGTCGTCGAGAGCTCCCGCATTCAACTCGGTCAAGAGGTGGTCCAGGGCTATGAAGGTCCCGCTGCGGCCAACGCCGGCGCTACAGTGAACAATCCGGGGGCTGCTCTCGTCCGTGTTCTTTTCCTCGGACAGCGGGATCAGATTCGCCAGCAGGTGCTTATATGGGCCTTCTGGCACGCCGAAATCCGGCCATACGGGCCACAGGAAATGCCAAACCTTTTTCGTCTCTCCAGAGGCGCGGTCTTTGATTTCCAGCTCGCGGACGGTCGAACGCGACCTATCGTCTTCATGCACGGAGAGCAAGGTGATCTCGAAGACGACCTCGTCGCCGAACTCGTCGTGCTCGTTCACGATTATCGGCGGCGATTCCATACTGTCAGGGTAGTACTGGTAGCACTTCTCTCGGCCGCCCTCGTACGGCTGCGTCAACATAACAATGACGGCCGGAGAGGCGCACTCGTGCCAGATCATACGCCACATGTGGTGGTGGGTGTTATCCTTGGGGCCCTGCCAACGCATTAAAACTTATTCAGTCCCGAGAATCCAAACGTGCCAGCGCACCTGTGTCGCTATGTATTTCTTGACCGCGCCGGTTTTCGCTGACCGTACGATGATGGGGGACGCATTGATATAATCGTCATGCCCTTCGGGCACCTTCAATTGCACGCGATTGGCGGCGAAAGGGTCCACGTTCATGTATCGGTTGCGCTGGGCCACGAGGCCGCCCGTCACGCGGGACCATCGCGAGGGAGAGTTGGTCTGCAGAGCGCCTTCGGCGATGCGCTTGCGCTCCTGCCACCCGAGGGTTTCGAATTTCTCAGTGATTTCTGCGAAGCCCGCGCGCTTGAAAGTTAGCCTCCCGGCCTGCGCCACGGCGGTGCGCTTGGGGCAAAGGAAAAAATGCCCCAAGCACACACAACCACAATCAGAGTGTAGACGACAACCTGCCTGTTTTCGACTGCCTCAGGAACCACGGCAACGGCGCCTCGATGCCGTCGTCGGCCGAAATGCGGCCTCGCGCCGAGCCCGCGGGCGAGCTGCCGATGGACAAGGACGACACGGCGGCCGAGGAGCGTATGCTGTCGTGCGAGAGCGAGCGCTTGGACGAGTTCGGCGATCCGCCGGGGACCTGGAGCGGCGAGGAGCTCAACATTGCAGACTTCTTGGAAGTTGCGGAGCGGGAGCGTTTGCTTGCGGCTTTGCGCCGAAGCTCGCGGAGGTGATGCACGGTGGCGACGCGTGCTGGGGAGGCGCGCAGTCGCTCCAGTTCAAGCCAATTGTGCAGTGCAGGAGGCGGCGTCGGGGATTGGGCGCAGAGCCTTGCGGCTGGCCGGACTCGGCGCGTCGCGGAGGAAAGGGCGCGTATGCAGATTGCGGTCAGAGGCAGGGTCGGAATGATGAGCGAGCGGCGGAGAGGGCGACGCGGCGATGGTCGCGACAGCTGCGCGCAGGCGGCGACAGGTCAACGGAGGAGCAGGAGGGCGGGCGCAAGCAGTGCTGAGGGCCACGACGGGCGCGCGACGGCGGGGGAGCGGGAGATTTGTGGCTTCGTCGGGCGCGGCGCTCAGAGGAGCGGGTGGGGCGGCGGTGCTGGGCGGTTGGGATGTATGCGTGGTTTGTAATGCGCGGCGGGGCTCGAGGGCGATGTATAGGGTGGTTCGAGAGGGCTAAATATGCGGCTCGTGGGTGGTGGTAAAGGCAAGGCTGACCCGAGGCTTCGGCGCCTCATCTCCAAACAAGCATCCGCCCGCTTATCGCCAGCCCGGAGCGCCGTCGCCGCATGCTAGCTGCCTGTTCCCCGCCACGCCCTCCCGTCGTGTCTGCTTCGCGCACGTAGCACGCACTCCGAGTCCACCATGATGTGGCTGCGCCTGCTCGAGGTCTGTTGTTCCCCGCTCAACACCGCTGTCCGCACCTGACTGACGGTCGCCTTGTCCAGGTCTGGGCCACCACGCGCGTGAGTCTCCGCCACTGTCGCCGCTGCATGCCCGCAGCACCTATTTCTGACTGCTGATCGCAGCTCTTGTCGAGCCCGGCCTTCCATCGCGCCGTCCAGAACGTGTACAAAAGGTTTCACCGCCTGCGCCACGGCACGCCAATGGAGGACATGGGCGGCACCAATATCGACCGCAACCGTGCGTACATCGTGGCCTGCCCCTCCCTCCAGTGCGCTTGCTGACACGTCAACCACCCAGAGGGCCCGTCCGTGTTCAAGCACTTCCTTGACGAGATCAAGGACCAGCTCCGGAACAACCCCCGCCGGTAGTGGCATGCCCGCTTCGCCCGCCGGAGGCAAAAGTACATGAATCTTTCTTGGGACGGCGTTGTGGTACCGGGAACATCAGGAGTCACGGCCGATCTATCGGCACGAGAGACGCGTCGAGGTTAGGGGCACGGGGGATTGTCCTTGGCTTTCAGAAGGCGAGATGATGGTGGTCGGCCGCCGCATTGCGGATCGCCACCTCCGCCAAGGTGTGCACGCCTGTGGGGACATCACCACTTCGGATCACGGATGCTTTTTTCATTCAAACCATCTCCACTTGTGGGTACCAACAACGCTGCCCAGCTGACGACTAACCCTCGTCACTGGATACTATTTTCAGACTCTTTCCACCCAGGAAGCATCTGACATCATGCTATGCTGACCTCAAAGCGGCGAGAAACACTCCCACTTTAAGACCGGGCGCTATATGTGGCTGAAATGCTTATCCGGGGTTCGAGTTGCCTTTTGCGCTCGCCACCTGCGCCACCATATCTCATTCTTGGCGAATCCTTTCCGGATGTCGACTGGGGAGGCACACTGTAGAAATAGCGAGGAAATAGGCCGGAACTGAGTCTCAAGTGCCGTGAAATTGGGGAGAATGAGCTATGCCGGGTCTGCACTGGCCTTGGAAATAGGGGGCTGCATGGATTTATTTCAAGTTGCTGTAGATCGCCAATCTGCATGTCGCCAAGGACCGCATACTGAGCTACGGCAATCCTGCGCCCAAGCAACCGTGGAGATCATCTCTACCTGTCAAGCTTGTACTTCAATGTGAATACAAAAAACTCTATCCAAAACATTCCACTGCTGATAGAGGCAGAGGCATAAGTCTGGAAACAAAACTAAGCATCTCCCATCGCGCTGAGCCTGTTCTCGCTATCGGCGGCATTGGCCTCTTGTAGGTTCTGATACTTATACACCGAGCTCGATTGCGAACAAGATTATAAACAAAACACACGCGTCGACAGCTCAGCTGGAACAAACTTCTCAAGCGCAGCCTCGGACAACTGTAAAGGACGTGTGATGGAGCTGCACAACCGTGTCCATTTCCTGAAATACATTTTTGCTCGCCAACAACCGCTTTCAAGAGAGCCACCCAGGCCAACTAAACAACACTAAATACCCCTCTCTCTACACCTCTCCTACTTGATCTTCTACTACACATGAATGACGAAGCACACACGCAAAACGCTATGCGGATGAAAAAAAAAAAAGAAAGACAGGATAACAACGGGAATGCAATTGCCCCTTTTTTTCACTCTCGCTCGCTCGCTCTCTCGCTCTCTCGCTCTCTCTCTTTTCAGCATCGTACAGGGATTTCCACCCACAAAACTAAAGGGCAACGAAAAAGTACGAAGAACTCCTTCCAAAGCGCCAGTAACACACCCCTACCGGTCCCCCTACAGCAAGGAGAATAAACCAAGCTCCAAGCAGTTTTCAAGCAGCCTCGAGGGCATAATACAACACAAGAACGAAGAAAAGAAGAATGAGTAAGGATAAGGTAAGGTATGTCCACACCTATCACCCAACCATCCAAAAAAAAAAAAAAGACAGCCACGCTTTCCAACTACTCATTCAAACCTCGCAAAGGCGAACAAAAAAAAAGAGAAAAGGACCGGAATCGGAAAAAGAAGAAGAAGAAGGAGGAGAATAAGAAGAAGAGCGTATAGATCATGGGACCCCAAGAAATGAGAAGGGAAAAAAAAAAGAAAACCGAAAGCCAAGAAGAAAACGTAGCCAAAAAGCCCAATTGAAAGACACGACGCTCACGACACCCGCCCCGCCCCCTCACCTCGTCCCGATGGTCGGAAACGCCGCATGGCTGGGACTGCTCCTCCCGCTGCCCCCGCCATTACTCTCCGCGCGGTCCTTCTCCCGCTCCAACATGCCCCTCAACTCCTCGTTCTCCGCTTTTCCCTCCTGGAGCCGCTGCCTCGCGCCCTTCCGGTCCAGCAGCCGCGCCTCGCGCTCCGCTTTCAACCGGCGCTCGAGCTCCTTGAGGCGGCCGATCCAGCGCTGCTCGGTGGGCTGGACGGCGGGCGTGCTGGGCGGGGAGCGGTGCGAGGAAGGGTTGGACGTGGGCTCCTGCTGGTGCGACGACGAGGCGTGCTGCAGCAGGTCGGCCGCGCTCGAGTTGTGGCGCAGCAGCGTCGACGCGATCGAGTGGCGGTTGACGTTGCTGATGCCCTGCGGGCCCGAGACGCTGCGGTGCTGCGGCAGGCGCGACGACGACGACGGCGGCGGCGGCGGGTGGCGCTGTTGGTGATGATGGTCGGCCGAGTCGCCCGACGAGCGCGTGTTCTGGCGCGAGAGGTTGAGGTCCGCCTTCAGGTGCTTGTTCTCGCTCTTCAGCCGCGAGATCTCGTTGTTCAGCGTCTCGTTGCGGATCATGCCCATGCTGCCCGACCGGATCGTCTTCTCCAGCCCGTCGAGGTGCTTGACCCGCACGTCGAGCTTGTGCTCCAGCGTCTGGTATTCCTTCCATAGGTCCTTCTCGATGCCGCGGATGCGCACCTTGAACCCGCCGATGATGCCCTCGACCATCTTGATTGCGGCAAGGACGTTCTTGCTGAAGCCCGGGAGGCCGCGGCCGATGACCTCGAGCGTTGGCAGCTCTCCGTTCACCAGGCTGTTGCGCTGAGCCCAATCAGTGCCGCAAAGGGTAGAAAGGCGGTTCCAGAGCGCGAGCAGAAGGTTGTTGCGTTCGAGCAGCTGGTCCTTATACTGAGCCTCGAGCTGATTGATCCGCCGGCGGTCTTGGCTGCGGGATGTTTCCAGCTCGAGTATACGCGTCTCGTATGACTGGATGGTGCGCGTGTTGCTTTGGTCTTTCCTCTGCGACTGCTCGAATTGTCGCTTCTCCTGCATGCGAAGCTGTCGCTCCTTGTCGAGCATGTCAGCCAACTTGCGGCTTTCTAAGCTGGTGCTTTCGAGAAGCGTGTCCCGGTTACGCAAGGTACGCTCCTTGTCCGCCAGCTCGGACCGTGCGTGGTCGAGATCCATCATGGTCTCGTCGAGGTCTCTCTGAAGCTTGGTCACGTCCTATTCCAGTGTCAGTCCGGAGCAAATAATCGGAAATTGGGCGTATTTTACCTTCAGTAAGCTGGACTTGGTGCCGTCCAAGCTGCCAAGAGCGTCACGAAGACTGTTCTCAAGGTCATCGAGCCTCTGTTTCCAGTTCGTTGCCTCGGCTTCCTTGGCAGCGAGTTCCTTGCGAAGACGACGGATTTCCTCACGAGCCTTGGTGTTCTGCGCGTTTTGGTCGTCGAAAGCCTTCTGCCACTGCTCCTTCTCTTGGCTGCCGAGCGCTTCGCGCTGTTTGATTTCCTCTGAACCACGGTCTTCCAGGTCTTTGTAGCGTTCCCTCTCCTCTTGGATATTCATCTGTGCTGCGTTAAGAGCAGCCTCGAGGTCACCGATCCTGATCTTGTCGCCCTCCTGCTCCTCGCGCAAGAAAGTGATTTCACTCTGGTTCGACTCCTGTTGGACCTCAAAGCGTTCGATCTTCTGCTGAGCTTCATGCAGCTTCTGGTCGAGCGACTCCAGCTCTTGGTTTGCGTCTTCGAGTTCCTGCTCCAGCTGCTGGATCCTGCGCTGGCTGGCGTTTCTGTCATCCTCAAGCATCACTAGACTCTCGCTGACGTTCCTCATCTCCTGTTGCAGGGCCTCGAAGTCCTCATTGCGGTTTTCGAGGTCGTTGATCAAGCGCTCCAAGTCCTGCTCCTTCTGATGAAGTTCTTGCTCGTACCCATCGATCTCGTCCTCAGCCTCTTCTCGCAACGAATCGAACTCTGCTTCCTTCTGCTCCAATGACCGGAGGATATCATCCCGCTCATTTTGGATGTTCCTCACATCCTCAAGCAGGTTGTTGTTCTCGCGATCCAGTTGGCGCATGTTCTCTTCTGTACGTTCTAGCTCGTCTAGGGTGTTGTTCAGCTGCTTCTCTAACTCCTGGTTCGTCATCTTCAGTTCGGCGATTTGGTCCCGGAGCTCTGCTTGCTTTTGCTCATACTCATCCCGCTCAGCATCATCCAAGTCGTTGGTCCTTGTCACCGCACTGTTCCGGGATGATGGCCTATGATGATTTGCACGAGATATCGACCGCTCGAAGATGCTGTCGCCAACCACTGAGCCGCCAGCACCGCGGCGGACCGACAGCTTGAGATCCTCGATCTCTTGTTGCAGACGTTCCCTCTCGCGGTTCCGAGAGACGAGCATGGAGGTTTGAGCGCCAAGATCTCTGCGCAGCTCGGCGTTCTCGTGCTTGAGCTGGTCGACAAGGGTGACGCTACTGGCACTCGTGCCTGCACGATTTTCCGTGGTACCATCGGAGCCTGACTGTGATCGGGCAAACGACATCCGGCTCCCCCGGCTCATGTTGTGGCCATGACGGACATTGGGTGCTTGCTGCGAAGGCTGTTCGCGCTCAGCCTTCAGGCGACGGATTTCGTCACGCAGGCGTTCCGCATCGTCGTCGGCTTGCTCGCGGCGCGCAGTCTCGGCTTCCAGCAAGTCCTTCCACATCTCCATGGCTTCCTCGACGCCGGCAGAGGGCTCGGAATTCTTGCGGTCTCCCATGGACTTGACGTACTCGGCCATGCGCCTCTTCTCCACTTCCTTGGCCAAACCCTCCTCCTTGAGCCGCTCGATTTCAGTCTCAGATTGCTGCAGACATTCACGCAAGTACGTGATCTCTTCCTCCATCTCACCCTGGTCTTGAGAGCCCTCGCCTCTCTCATCGTCGGAGCCGGTCGTTTTCTCCTTGGCTGCTGCCATGCCTTCCTCTTGCGCCTTGAGTTTCCTCTCCAACTCACGCACCTTCCTCCTCAGACTTTGATTCTCTTTCTTCTCGGTGGCTAGGTCGGTCTGCAGCTGGACGTTTTTCGAGATCATATCTTTAACACCCTCATCGGACCTGTTTTGTAACGCCTGGTCAAGAAAGTGAATCTTCAACTTGAGGTCGAAGTTCTCCTTGCTCAGCTTGTCAATCTTGCTGTTTTGTTCCTTGAGCGTAAGGTTATGCTTCGTTCGACTACTGAAAGCGAATTGACTAGCCGTAGACGGTCTTTCTGGAGACTTGGTCGCGTGTTTTTCCCGGTACTCCCTCGCGACCGTGTCGGGGACACGAATGTTTTGCACGTGCTTGGTGATGACTGTGTCCGTCATGTTATTCGTCCCGGAGCTGAATGGCCGTGCGGTCGGTGTAGCGGGCGGCGAGGCGGACGTCGGCCGGGGCTCTTCGTCCAGACGTTCCAGGTTGTTGTCTGCCTGAGAGAGCGTGCTCCTTGCGCGGTCTAGAGATGGCCTGCTGTCGCTGTTTACAGAAATTGAAGATGCGATGCTCCCTAAACTTGGTAGTCGAGACAGGTCGCGTTCAGAACTTCGCATGCCTGTGCCAGGCAAGGCACCGCCGGTTTGGAGGGCAAAATCAGAGCTGTCTCTACTGTCGCCAAACGAGCTCTCTGATCTGCCGGCGAAAGACGACGCTGTAGAGCGCTGGCTGGCTCCTCTGCTGCGGTCCCGCAAGAAGCTGGGCCTCTTGCGAACGTTGGAGGCATTCGAAGGATTGCGTGCCGTGACTGTGGAGGAAAACGTGTCACGAAATCTCGAACGGCGTTCGTCGTCGGTGTTCCAGTCGTTTTCGGCTCTCTCAGCTTTTACTGTAGAAGCACTCGAGGTCGGCCGGAACGACTTTTGTGAGCGGGCATCCTCCTCATGTTGCTGCCCCTGGTTTTCGGCATGGGTAACTTCGATAATCGGCTCGGTCTGTTTGCTGGTCTGTTCTTCTGTTCTTGTCTGGGAGCGTTCCGCTGCGGCAGCGGTTGGAGACGAGGGCGCGTGCTCTTCAAACGAGCTGCTGCCTTCCTCAAAGCGATCTCCCTCGTCGAAGTGCCCTTGGCCTGGCGCCGGGGCTCCATGAGCATCGTCGGGGTGCGCGGGCGATTCAGGCAGCGCAACATCCTCCGCATGCACCGACCTTCGGCCGCTGGAGTCCCTGGAACGCCCGCTGCCTCTCGCACCGTTCCGCGGCGGCGGCCGCAGCGACGAAGCTCCGTACATGTAGGTATCGTCGGCTCCTGTCGAGGCGTGGGCAGACTCGGAATTATCAGCATCCCGGTCCGGCAGGAAGCTCGATTCAATGTCCAGCAGCTTGCGCTGCATGTCGCGCTCCATTATGCTCCCGCCATCGCTCCCCAGGTAGCTGTTGTCGGCGCTGTCGCTGGGCGGGCGCAGGAAGCTGTCGTCGTCGTCCGAGGGCAGCGGCGGCAGCTCGGGGTCTGAGTGGTCGAAGGAGCGCACATCCTCGTCGTCGGTGGATTTCCGAGCCATCTGGGGCCCATGTAGCGTAGGGTAGCGGCGGGCAGCAGGCGGCGGGCGGGGAGGGTTTGCGGCGGTGTTGCTGCTTGGGCACAGGTGGAATCGGACGATGAGGCGCCGGTCGGGGCGCGCTATAATCTCCCGCTGCCCCGTTCAGATTTGTTTCGGCTCTGGGGCCTGAGCGCAGCGCGATCAGCGGTGACCGAGTGCGGCAGAATCGTGGAGCGCAAAGGGGGCGCGGAGGGTGTGCAAGGCCAGGCGCGGTGGCGGCGGTGGGCGGGGCGGTCTGGTGATTTGTGGTGCCTTCTGGGGCGACGCTGGTGTGTTATGGGCGCGGGCTAGAGCTGAGCGCACGAGGACGAAAGCGGCGGGCGTGGTGTTTTCCATGTCATGGAGCGCGTTGCTCGGCCGGCAGCTTGTCTCTGCGCCAGCACCAAAACAACAGGGGTGGCGCCGGACTGGTAGCCACTGCCCGCCCTCCCCAGACGCCAAGACTGATCATCATCACGTCGTCCCGTCACCGTCCAACGGCCGCCCTAAGATAAGGCGCTAGTCCTGGGTAGCTCGCTTGCTAGAGCTGTGCCTGTTGACTTTGCATAGGTACAATGACGTCGCGACACGGCGTTGCGTCTATGGAAACATTGGTTCTGTACAAATGACACTCCCTGACAGACGCCTGGACCCTGAGAATCCCTTTTTGGAAGACTGCTCCATAACCATGCTTTTTGCCGCCCTTGTCCGCTGCCAACCCTCCACGCCTGCGCCGGGTATTACTCGTTGCTTTTCCTGTCCTTCTTGTCCTTCTTGCCCTCCTTGTGCTTCTTCTCCTTCTTTTTCTTTTTCTTCTCCGCTTCGCCAGCATCCGCTGCCGCCTCGACACCTTCCATCGGCTCTCCCGCCTCATCGTCCGGCACGCGGGACCTCTCTTTCGGCTTCTTCTCCTTCTTAGACTTCTTTGAGCTTGCAGGCGCGGCTGCTTCGCCGTGCTTCCGCTTTTGTGCGAGCGCACTGCTTTCGTTGTCGGAAATGTTACCTGACACATCTCCGCTGTGACCATAGGGCTTGAAACGCATGCGCAATCCCTCCGGCTGCCGTCTTGCAGGCTGTTCTGGGCGCTCAACGAACTTCTGGACAGGGGCAGTACTCCGTGCGGAGCCCGTCACCTTCTCGGACAGCTTGGGAAGATTCACAACCTGCTGCAGACGCAGCGTCTCCGTGATTTCAGCCGGGACTACATGAGGTGCGGGTCAGCAAGGACAATCTCCAACAAATAGGAGCATTGCATCATACCGGCTGCAAAGCCCTTCTCCGTCGGCACAAGGAGCTTCTTCCCTGTTTGTGTGCCCTTCTCTTCCGGGAGGAACGCATAGCCGACGCCCTTGTGCTCAATCGCAGGCTCCTTGAGCGCTGCTTTGCCCCGTACAAACTGCTTGATTTGCTTGATATCGATGTCGGCTGGCGCAGTGATGTGCCATATTTGCTTTTTCGAGAGATCGGTAGATTTCAGGAGTTTGGCGAGGTTGGAAGAGGGATTGAGACCGGATTGCACGGCCTTGAATCCTGATGGGGGCTCAAACGGCTGGGCAGCGCGGAAGTGGGCGGTTTGTGTCCTTGAAGAGCTCGACCTGGTAATCAGTTAGCCTCAGTGCCGTTAGCCCTCGTAGTGAAACCCTTACGTCTGGGCGGGAGCAGCTTCTTCCTCGCTCTCCTCTTCACTTTCGCTCTCCGACTCCTCGCTGCCGCTGCCGCTGCCGCTTGCGTTGCCACCCGAGACTGTGGCCTTGTTTGCCTCTGCCTTCTTAGGTTGCTCGGCTTTCGCGTTCCCGTCACCACTCTCACTGCTCTCCTCGTCGTCCTCGTCGTCCTCGTCGTCGTCCTCTTCCTCTTCCTCCTCTTCACTTCCCTCGCTGCTGTCGCTTGCTTCAGACGAGCTTTTGGACCCTGCTGCCTGGGCCTTCTTCACAGGCTCCTTCTTCGACCCATTGGTCTGAGCTGCGACGCTTTCGCTGCTGGAGCTCTCGTCGCTGCTGGAGCTCTCGTCGTCGGAGCTGTCGTCCTTGGGGGCAGGCTTGGGGGCAGGCTTCTGGGCAGGCTTGGGAGCTTTCGAGGGGGTGTCGGCGGCGGCAACGGCCCGGCCGGGCAGAGGGATTGGCGTTCTCTTGACAGCGGGCATGGTGGAGCTTGTGGCAGCCGCACGCACGATGCGCCGGGAAACTTTTTCGACGGGGCAACGGCGTTTTTGCGCTCGGGTCGCCGAAGGCGGTGAGTGAGCTGGAGCGCCGCCCGCCGGTCGATCGATCTGTCCTCGTTATCTTATCGCGCTCCGCACACCAATTCTTCCCGCTCATAAACATGGTCAAGAGGCGGAAAATCCATCACCGGTCGGGCTCTGACGCCTCGCCAGCCCGTATGTCTTCATGCATGGTCCGATTCGTATGATCTGATGCGCCTGACAGATCTGCTGGATAGCTCCGCAAAGTGCGGCGGCAGCGCTGAGGGCAAGACGCCAGCAATCCAAATCCTCAAGTGAAGCTTCTGCTGAAAACACGCCTGTTCCCGCCAGCAGCCTAGAGGTTCCTGCCAGGCCGAAGAGGAGGAACAGAGCCAAACTGCCTACGGTGCCAGACAAGGATGCCGCCACTCCGTCCTCGACCGAGCCGGCCTCTGCGGTCGACGCACGACCGAAGGCTATTGAACAGCGGGATATCGCCACCCCTGCTGCGGATGCGAAGCCAGTGTCTGCTGTCGAAGCGCGGAGGCGGGCTCTGGAAGCAACAGCTCAACCCATCTCTGACCCAACTACCGAGGTCAGCGACGATAGCTTAGAGGACCTTGAGCCAGACTATCTCCCGAGGCCGGATGATGCAGATGATTCCAATTCCTCGACTGGCACCGATGTGGTTCAGAACAGCTTATATCCGCCTCCCATAGTGGAGCTATCATCCTGGACTCCCCGGCGTGGTACGGTGATCAGAAACAACGCAAGCGGCATGGTTGCTCGACTGGAACCTGAAGAAACGCTAGCGAGCATCGGTATCTACGATATCTTTGTAAAAAGAGGTGTTGTGACCATCTACGGAGCGATTTTGAGAGCTGGGCCCAACGCACGGTCCTACAGAGTCTTTGCTCCAGCTAGTCACGCCCTCCCTGTCATTCACTGCTTGTCGCCGGACGGGGCAGAAGTAGAGCTCAAGTCCGTGGAGTGTGGATTGCACCTGTTAGAAAAGCTGTCGCCACTGTACGCTCGGCTGTGGAAAAGTGAAAGTTCCCTAGACTCATCATTCCTGAACCACAAGAAACGGTGGTCTTTTGAAAATGTACAGCCAATACCTGCTTGACGAAGAGTTTGCCATTTCTGACACTCCACCAGATCCATAGACTGTCCGACGATGCCCTGTGCAGGCCCCTCTACCATCTGGAGATCCCCCAGAAATGGCATCAAGCGATCGACAAGATCTGCTCAGCAGCATCAAAGAGCGGGCCGGGTGTCTATGAGAGAATCCTCGTCTGTGGCCCAAAGAACACCGGCAAATCCACCTTCGCCAGGCTGCTCTTGAATAGAATGTTCACCATCGACCGGGAAGCCATGAAGACGGACGAGCATTCGATATTCCTATTGGACATCGACCCCGGCCAGCCCGAATACTCGCCTCCAGGCCAGATATCCCTCATAGAGCTCCGTCAACCCATCTTCGGTCCACCCTACACCCATCCGAGCGCCAGCACCGGCTCCCACCAACGAACCATCCGCTCGCATTTCATCGGTGCCAAAAGCCCCAAGGACAATCCGGAGCACTTCATCGAAGGCGTCGTCGACCTGATGACCCACTACCAAAAACATCTGTCCTTCGGCAACACCCGCGGCCCCGTCGTCATCAACTCCCCAGGCTGGATCATTGGAACCGGCCTGCAGATCCTCACCACCCTCTTGACCCGCCTCTCGCTCACCGACGTAACCTACACCACCGACGAACTGAGCCGCAGCCACGACGCCCTCCGTGCCGCAGCCACCTCCGCATCCATCCCGCGCTTCCAAGCCATCCCGCCGCAACCCTCCGGCACGACGCCCTCCCGCACAGCTGCCGAGTTCCGCGACATGCAAACGCTATCATACTTCCACCTCGCCGCACCGCTGCAGGGCTCGCCGACGCAATCCTGGGACGCCAGCCCGCTCACCACGTACAAACCCTACGTTCTCTCGTACGCAGCGACGGCGGCCGAAGAAGCGAATGAAGACGAACCCGTGCCATCATCACCCTCCGGCCGCTTTCCCCGCGACTTCCTCGCCATAATGCCCCTCGGCGAAGCCCTCCCACCCAGCACTCTCTCCACCGTCCTCAACGGCTCCATCATCGGCATCGTCGCCCTTTCCCCTTCAACAACCGCCTCTTCCCCCCTTCACAGTACCAACATCGTCCGCACCACACCCGAGGACCTCCCATTCCTCTCCCCAACAGCCACTGGACACTGCGGCCACATAGAGCCTCTTCCCCCGCAGTCCTCGCACCTCGTCTGCCTCGCCCTCGTACGCGGCATCGACGCCGCGCGCCAGGCGCTGCACGTGATCGTCCCGGCTGCATGCGAGCATCTGGTTGGCGAGTTGGACGCGCCAGAGCGGATCCTGTTGGTGCTCGGGACGGGGATGGACACGCCGGGGTGGGCGTATTTGGAGGATGTGCATGCGGCGGAAGCGAGGAGGAGGAGGGAGGCGAAGAGGTCTGCTGTCGTTGCTGCTGCGGTTGCGGGACAGGGGGCCGGGGACGAGGATAGGGATGAGGAGGGAGGAGGGGTGGCGGATGTAGACGGTGATGCCGATGCTGATGTGGCGGAGAGGCCGTGGGTGCAGAAGATGGAAGGCGGTGGCGGCGGGGAGGGCGAAGTGACGGGCGCGATGGGGAAGAAGCGGCGGTTGAGGCGGTTTGTAAATTAGTTGATCGAACTCAATTAGAGGTTTTTTGTCATGTAGAAGGTGAACAAGGGAGTAAACTCAACTGTGCAGGTTGTGTTTTTCTCGAACTGGAGCTATGCTGATGGGAAGAGATGAAGTCACAACCGTCTTCCGTCGTCAGAAGCAACCAGGCAACAGTGACAACTTTCGATTTCCCCGCCCTCTTGCCACAATTTTCATTGGAAGCTTCAAATTGCCCAAGTTTCCGGTCCCGAAAAGAATGCTGAGTGAGGCATCCGATACGCTGATACATACGCCTCCGCGTGATCACTATTTAGAAACACTAGAGCTCCCACACCCTTAAACTATGCTAAAGTAAACTATCTAAGCGGGATCTAGCAAGGCAGCACCTCAAGGTGCGCCACGACCAAGGCTTCCACGCAGCACTAGGGGACACGGAAGCTTTGTCTATAGTGAACACTCTCCTCGGCAACGGATTTCTTGCTAATACTTGATTCATGGAGCTCGCACCCATGCATTAGAATTGCCTGCTTGGTGTCTATATTATTTATAGTTTGTCGAAGATTACACCGCTAAAGACCGCCGGTGTTGGCGACCGCGAATCGATATCAGCTTGAAGTAGTGGGCTTGGTACTTTCGTCTCGCACTTGCACAGCCGGCGCTGCCGCTTTATGGGATTCTCCCACATACCTACACCATATCTCCCTGGCTTTGCTATTCTTGCGTACTGCTCGGCTATTGCAGATTTGGCGCAAAGTTAGTCCGATTTGAGCCAAATTCCCTGTATGATTTGTAGGACTGGATAAAAGCGACCTATTTGCTTATATCTGGTTTGACGCGTTTATGTGCTTGTGTTGCTTATATGTTCAGGCAAAAAGTCTATTCTAGTAAGGATTGATGCTACAATCCAAATCCCATCCTGGGGTCAAGGCCAGCGCAGTTCCGAGCCTGATAGATACAGTGTCAGCGTAGATGGCTGTTTTCAAAATATAAATTCTCGAATTGGAAACGTTGCTCTTGACAGCTTCCAAAGTGCCTTCACGAACGACCCCGACGCAATATAGTGATAGGTTATCTCCCGATCAGCCACCATCTTATTTGATTCTGCTTGTAGAAATCATCATCTTACATGACGTAAACTCTTAACTTATGTGTAATCCAGCATTGACTTCCGCGCAACCCATTGAGCGTCCCGAACAGTTTGAGGGGATGTAGCTACTGGTGTACTGAATGACAGCCGGAGTTTTTTTCCCTTGTTTTGTATGGTTGGTCTCTTCACCAGCGATACCTGAGGGCAACGCAAGGGGTAGGCGTCTCTGGATACTTTGAGAGAAACAATGCCGTGATTCTAGGTGCTCTAGATGAGACGCTTTAGAATAAAGTGTTTCTGATGAAGACGGTATCCCTCATGATGTTGGTAAATGTTTCCAAAAGGGAAGACAGGTGCAATGCCCTATATGAGTCATGTTTAAGTAGAGTTCAAGGAAGCTACACCAGTGAACGTTAACATCCCATATTGGTCTCCAGAACCCCAAGTTGCATTCGAGACATGTGGTGATTGTCCCGCCCGGCGCATCTCCTGCGAGCCGAGAGAGATACGCGAGACTCCACTACCGCGCAGATCTTCAGCCTTGGGCCGTGCTACATTGGAAGTCCTTGGAACTGAAGCGCCATATCTGTACATTGATGATATATTTGCGGGAAGGGCCAGGCCTGGACCGCCGTCCGTCAAGTTGGCGTTCCGCTTTCTGAGAATACCTCTCACCGCATTGGCCGCCACATGTTGCATGCGTGCATCTGTGTGGAACCTAAAAGTTCCTCTAATATTACGTCCACTTTCCACTTGAACGATAGGTGTCATCTCCCTATCTTGCTCCCTCTACAGTAATCCTTATCATCAATTATGCCCCTTCTCCCTATCCCCTCTTTCGCTCCCCAAAAATCCCAAGAGGACTTTGCCCCTAACCCCTTTCCTCCCTCCCCTCCTCCCTCCAATCCAACCCCCTCCCCTACCTAACGCAAGGGCAATCAATCCCCGTCTCCACCTGTGCCTTCGTCAGTCCCAAATCCCGCAGTCCGTGCCTTTCTCGACATACTGAACGATCAATAGAGAATATGTGTGTGCTCATCCGGCATTTAGCAACAACGACGCGAAGTACCAACTAGCGGCAACGATCCAAAGAAAAGCAGTAGCAGGCGAAACCGGTATATAAAATGATAAAGACAAAGTAATAGCCGGAGAACTGGCCACCGTTGGCAACGGAGAGGTATAGAATGCAGAGAAGAAAAAGAAAAGAAAAGAGAATCCAGCAAAAAGGGGGAGGCACATCTGTCCTCGCTCGCTCAGCGAAGAAAGACAAGAAAGAAGCAGGAGAAAGGACAAAGAAAAAAACTTGGACCGAAGTTTGTCGATATTGCTAGACAAGTGAACATAGAAGAATGACAAAGCACGCTTCCTTGCCTTTGACGCCGTGCTGCTTGCTTCTGGGTATTTTTGATTGGAAAAAAGGAAAACAAGCTTGCTTCGCAACAAAATCCAACAAGAAATGAAAAAGATTGAAGCATGATGCCGCAAACAAAAGTTGGGCTGAACGCAACAGTAAAACAGCTCTCTCGTCTCTCTTTCTAAAACCTGTATAATATGACCATCCACAAAACCGAGAAAGAGTATCCTGTTTTTTCTTTCCCAAAATAGTGAACATCCTTACCCCCTTATCCCACTCCCAACATCCACAGCATCCTATCCCTCCAAATCCAATAGAAGGTCAAAATATTACTAAAAAGAAAAAGATATACCCCGTAAGGACTAGCTCGGCAGCGAAGAAGAATGGTAGAGAAATGTCAATAAGATCGACACGGAGCCAGACGGGCGGCAAAAGTAGCCTTAACGGTGGTCAAAAGCTCCTCTGATCTTCCCGTACAGTTCCGTATCCAAGAAGTTGTAGTTGTGGTCGAAGAAGCAGAAAGGCGCGCGTAGCAATGTGTCGGCCGTGGGTCGGTCGGACGGGTCGATTGTGAAGCAGTCATACATGAAGGAGACGGCCGCGGGACTGATGTTCTGCGAGACGTCGTCGGGAATCGGCGGCGCCTGGTTGAGCGAGCCGAGCTTGTAGATGGCACCGATGGCCTCCTCCTTGGACCATGGACGGCGACCGGCGAACATCTCGAGCACCACGCAGCCCAGGGACCAGATGTCGACCTTGGCACTGTAGCCCTGGCCCTGGCTGCGGATGACCTCGGGAGCCATCCAGAAAACGGAGCCTTGCATGCTGTTGGTGATGTCGTTGCCGTAGATGTTGTCTGACTTCTTGGAGATACCAAAATCGGAAATCTTGCAGGTGCCATCGAGGTCAAGCAGAATGTTATCAGCCTTGAGATCGCGGTGGAGAATGCCCTCGCGGTGAAGGTAAGCAAGACCGCTGAGCGTTTGGCGCGTGAGCGAGGAGACAACCGCCTCTTCAAACTTGCCGTGCTTACGCAGGCAGCTGCCGACGCTGCCACCGGGAATATATTCCAGGAAGATAGAAATAGAGGAATCTTGGCGCTCGCAACCCAGGTACTGCACAATGTTCGGATGATCCAGATGCTGCATCGTGTCGATCTCGACATCGAGAGCCTTGACCAGCTCCTTCATTCTCTCCTTGTCCTCATTTGGCTTCACCTCGACTTGTTTGACAGCAATCAGCTCTCCAGTCGTCATGTTCATACCGAGGTACACCTTGCCAAACGTTCCTTTGCCAATCAGTTGACCCTTCATCCATTTGAAGGTTGGCTGGCGCTGTGGATTCATGGGGAGGGTGTCCTGAATGGTATCCAGTGTGATCATGCGGCTTCCGCGAGGCGGCCTGACTTGCTCAATTCTGGCACCAAACATCTTGGTACTCTTTCTGCGGACGATGTCGCCTGACTTCAGCGTATTGACCCGCGAGGGTGCCGCTCTCTGTTCCATGGACTGGTATTGCGATTTGACCGTTTCACGGATCGACTTGGTGCGGCTGAGACCGCCAGCCTTCCTCATGTTCCTGTGCGCCATTGACATGACAGTGTCACCGCGCTGCAAGCTTGAGACGTTCTCAGGACGCAAGGTGCCTTCGTCTTCAGGAGCCGACATCGGGGTGGGTTGGCGGCTCGGCTCTTGGGACGCCACAAGCCCTCTCTTCTCTTCAGACGAAGGCGACGCTGGCGAACCAGGCACGTCTTCATCCATAATCGGTTGATCCAGGTTGACGTTCGGAAACAGGTCGTCGAGGTGCTCCACGAGGGCCTCGGGCGGAGGACGGTTGGCCCAGATGTCGCTGGCAAAGGATTCCCGCCTGTTGAAAGCCCTGCCCTCCTCGGGCGAATCGAGAGACCAAGGTGCTGAGCCCCCGGCGTGGGGAATGAACCTTTCGATGCTCCGGCTTCTGTCCTTCATCTCCTCATGATCGCTGTGCGTTCTTTCCGGCGACTGAATGCGGACTTTGGACGGCGTTCTGATTGCCATAGGGGGGCGCTCGGTTGGTTCGTCGTTGAGGGTAGGTGAGCTACTGCTTGTTGTCGCGGGTGGCGGGGTCTTGTGTGTAAGCGGTATCGCGAAAAGGCCATCATCCGAGTCGTCATCTGAATCGTCAGCGGCAGCAGCAGGTGATTGAGAAAACTCGACAGGGTCCTCTTTAAAATCCAAATTCGGACCGTACGAGCGCGTCGACATCATTCGGTGGAGGTCGCTTTCGTTCGGATGGGCGGTGCTCGGGCTAACGTCTGGCGAGTTGTTCGACGCGTCTTCGAGCTGTTTAAGCTTCGATACGGCGGCGTTTTGGGGCATTTCTAACGATAACGAGGGCTTTTCTGGCGACGTGCGGTCTTGGGCGGCTTGTACATAGTCAGGAATCACGAACGGAACTTTGCCTTTGCTCATTGTTATGTCGCCTGGACTGCGAGGGGACCCACCTGGACTTCCACTACGAGGCGCAGTATGACTGAAATCGACCATTGCCATAGATCTCGGAGGTTTACCATCTTTGTCCGTGGGCGTGAAGAAAGAAGGAGACGCGCCAAGGGTAGGGCTAGGCTTGACGGGGTGTCGGCGCGAAGGTGCGCCAACCATACCGCCAATCTTCCCGACTCCCAGAAGCGCAGCACCAATGCCCATCGAAACAAGTGGCGTCTCCGGGATAGCTAAGCGGCGAGAGGGTTTTTCGGTGTCAGAACCGGGATGCTCGCCAGAGCCCCTCTTGCCTGATGATTCGTCCTCTGGCCACGAGTCTCGTCCCTTGCCCTCTCGCTTGCTGAGCGAGTTTGCCTTGATTAACGTCTCCGTCTCAACCTTCGGTGCAGGCGGGGGGTCTCTGAGCGGCATAAGTTGCTGCTTGGGTCTGCCGCGCTCGAAACCATCCGGCCTCCTGCCATCTTCGTATGGGGAATCGCGGCGCTCGTCGAAGTCGATCACTTCTTTCCGGATGTAACCCAACGCACTCGGCGGGTCGATAGGCGACGCTTCCTTCGCAATCGCCCTTCTTCTCCTGTCCAGATACTCTTTCTGCTTCTTGGCCGTCTCGCGCCGATGCGCCTCGGCGGCGGCTTCGAGAATGTCCTTTCGCTCTTGTTCCGAGAACTGATTGTTTCCAGAATCCCATTGCGGATCCGATTTCGGCACCACTGCTGGAGGCTCCTCGGTCTTCGGGATATGGGGATAGTGCTTGTTGTCCCGCCACTGGGCAGGAACCAATGTTGAATCTCCAGACCTCGGAGAGTCCACATGGTGGTTTCCTGCCATACTGAGCCGTGCCAGAGTATCCGGATGAAGGGCATTCCCAGTTAATGACATGCGGCCGTAAGGTGAGGTACCACTCACTCCAAGCCCAATGGCGGATGGGCCAGCTGGTGGGAGAGGCACGTTGACGTAGACCTTAAGCGTTCCCGAACCGTCGGCGATCCGACGGGCTTGCATGAGAAGGGCATCTGAAAGCGCTTCATCGTGTTCGGTCTGGCCAGGCGATGTCAGGTGAAGAGTAGCGTCCTTGCTATTCTGTATCGAGAGGTTCCAGCAGATGTGCTCCCGCAATTTGGCGGCGGAATCGATGCCAGTGACATCGACAAGCCTGTAGTTCCAGCCATCAGGAGTTACGAAAAAGAACCTCCTGGGCTCCACAAGTCTGGGCTCCGATTCTCTTGTTGGAGCTCGAGGGCGCATGCCGTGGGTCGTGTCGGAATCATTCTGTGCGGACCTTCTGGATGGCGGACGCTCGTTCAACGACGTGTCGCTGGAGTTTAAGCTCGTTCCCTTGTAGGGCGCATTCGGCGGTAGGTGACGCATGCCTGTGTTGGGGCTGGTAGGCGACTCAATGCTGGACTCGTCCGGTGATGGATGGTTCTCGTCCCTCCTCTTCTTCCCGGGTAACCGCAAGGTGGAAAGGAAGCTTTTATGCTCCTTAGCACTCCTTTCAGGATCCTGGCTGTAATGACGACCTGTGGCATCCACGGGACGGGCGCCTTCAATGCCGTTACGCCTCCCTTCCAGTTTTGCCGAAAGTGGACCAGACACTGGATATGGACCATATGCGACAAGGTTCGAAGCGGTTGACTCGGAAGAGTTGGCTCGGTCATGGCCGCCGTAATATCTACTTTTCTGTTGCGCGAGCTGACCCACAGCGAGATTTGCGGCGCCCAGCCCTGGACTGTGCTGTGGGCTGGCGGACCTTGGGCCGCCGTAATCACCAGACGCGTTCGGGCTGTGTCTTTTAGATGACGTGCCATCCCCCAGCTGTCTCAAGATCTTCTCCGTGTACACGCTCCTATTCGACGTTTCTGACACGTGATCGGGCTGACTCAGTGACGGGACCGTGAAATTGCGCTGGTTCGAGAAGCGTCTCGGATTGCTTGTCGCAGGAGAATGAAACCCACCTAACTGCCCGTGCTTTCCGGGACTCTCCACGTCGACGCCGGCTGTTGGGGGGTTAGAGCGGTCGAACTCAGCCGACTGGTTGAGGTTCGGGGAGCTCTCCATGGTGCCTTCTGTGCCAGCGGACATGGTGGTGGTTGGCCCAAACGTCCTAGAGGCACGCCTGTTTGGAAGCCTTGCGCTTCCCGAGTGGCCTCCATTGTCCACGATGGTCTTGACAAGCCGGCGTAGCCGCTTGCCTTCATCACGGTCCCGAGACAACTCCCAATTGGTTCCACTCGCCTTGCTAATTTCAGCCAGCTTCGGAAAGATTGTTTGATGCATCATAGCCACGTTGCCCTTGGGACCGTGCCCTCTGCCCAAGTCAAGAAACGCAGATCCGTGCAGATCCAGCTGCTTGAACGTCTCTTGCCAGTCGTTGGAGAAACCGTTTGTGGCAAGCCATATGAGCACGCGATCCAAAGGCCATTGCCAAGCAGGGTCCGACGGGGAAAGCGGTACGTCGACTGGGTTCCCTTCACCGTGCAGCGACTGGCGGTGAACGGGCGCTTGATGGTAAGTGCCGTTTTGATAATTTGTAGTGCTGAGCTCTTCGGGCGGCGTGTGCAGGGCGGTGCTTAGGGTTCCTCTCGAGCTATTGTCTGTCGATTGGCCCAGGTCTTGTTGGTATGGATAGTAGTAATTGTTGGAGTAGTCGGACTGCGTGTGGAGCGGCGGGATTCCAACACCTGGGCCAAAGGATTCACCAAAGGGAATGTACGTTGCCGACGTCAACGGCTGACCCTCTGGGGGAAGCTGATTGCTTAAGTAACTTGCTTGCTGCTGCTGCTGCTGCTGTTGCTGTTGTTGCTGTTGCTGTTGGTACGTATTGTAGGCATTCGGGTTGTATGTAGGATGTGGTGCCGCGTTGTTTGGTGGCGGCGGATAATTCGATCTGTTCCAGTATGTTGTTGGCGGGCCTCCCGGCGGCGGGCCTGGCAGAGAATATCCCCCGTGGGCACCGCTTGTCGCAGGGCGAGGCGGCGGCGGCGGCAATGTCATGCCATGAGAGGTGGAAGGCTGGCCAGGCGGTGGGGGAGGCGGTATGTATTGCTGCCGTGAGCTATGCATGGTTGGAGAAATGGAGTGGAGGGGGCGCTTAAGCCTTCCAAAGCACTGGCGGCGAGGTCAGAGTCCAAGCAGCTGCGCGCGGGCTGCAAGTGACGGGCGCCGCCAACGTCTTCCAAGCCGGACGCTGCTCTTTGTGCGCGCGAGACCGGACGTCTGTGGCGGGATCGGGGCGCGCGCAAACTCGGCAGGACGGCGTCTGCGCGGGGGCGCTTGCAATTGAAATGGTCTTTTTATGTATCTGTTGCGTCTAGCTCATGAACCGGTCATGAGAAAAATCGTCGCTCGTAAAGGCTCCTATAGGGGGGAGGAGCACTTTTTCCGGACGAAGGCCACAGCATCGAGGTGCGTCGATCAAAGCGCCGTATTCCCGAGTCGCGGGCGACGGGGCAGGGCGCGTTGGCTGGGCGCTGGGCGAGGCAGGTGTTGACCTGGCGGCACTGCCAGTAGACGGCTCAGCCGGCGCGCATGTGACGGCTCAGCCAGGCGGCGCAATTGTGCGGTGCGGTCGAGAGAGGCGCGGGGAGCTGCGGTCGTGGGCCCTGGGGGTCTCGGGCGCGGTCGTGGGCGGGCGGGCTGGTGTCTGGGAGCTGTGGGCGCAGTCGGGGGTTTCGCTGGCGGGCGGCGCCTGATACGAGGCCTCAGGCGGCAGGCGTGAGGGGCGGAGATGAGGGTCGCTTTCGCACTACAGCCGGCGAACGAGGGGTCGGTCGCCAGCGGGAGGCGCGCGAGGGAGAGCTCGACGGGGACGGCGGCGAAGGCGACGACGACGTGCGCGAATTGTCGGGCTTGGGGTGGTCAGACGTGGCAGCGCGCAGCTCGAGTGCACAATGGCTGCCCCCAGCTGAGGCAGAGACCAGTCGCGCGCTGCGGAAGGTTGCCTTAGCGCATCAACTTCCCGACGGGCCAGCCCAGCACCCCGGCCTTACTCGCGCCCCAGCGTCGCTCACTGCCGCCGACTCCCACACCTCGACCTCCACCGCGCGCACCGCAACGAGCCCGCCCCGGCGCCCGCGCCCATGCCCGACTGACTGCCCGTGTGCCGCTCGACGTCGCCGCGCCCGTCCATGGCTGAGCCGCCGCCCGCGGAGCCGCAGCCCGCCCCTGCAGCGCCCGCAGAGCCCGCAGAGCCCGACAGCCCGCGCCCAAGCTCGAGCCACGGCGGAGACGGCGAGCCCGAAGCCACCACGGCGGCCAGAGACTTCGATCCCCATGCTCCCGACGACCCTGGCCGCCCGGCTGCAGAGGGAGACGCGCCGCCGGGCCCGTCGCGCGAGGGCACGCCGCCGCCGCTGCCACCACGCCCGCGCAATCTGACCGCGAAGGCGTCGACAGATTCGTTCCGCTTCAGCGCCAGCGCCAACGGCTCACCCCGCCCCACGCTGCAGTCCAAGGCCACCACCGCCCTGTCCATCCATGACGTGCAGTCCTACAGCGACATGTTGCGTGATGTCATCTCGTCGCCCGCCTCGCGCCGCTTCTCCTTCAACAGCCCCCGAATCGGCCCAAGCGCCAACGCCAGCGAATTCGGCGATGCCACGAGCGTGAAGAGCTATGTCCCGACGCTGGAGGCCGGCGCTGATGTAGAGAGCATACTCGAAGAGGTCATGCCCGGGCAGGAGAGCTCGGTGTGGAAATCGCTGGGGGCTGCTTTCCCAAATGTAGACAATGAGGCGGCGCTGTTTCCCGAAGATCCTTCATTCAGGGTGGCTTTCGAACGCGAGTTCGACGAGCTGGAGGAGTTCAGGGCAGATGGTTCAAACGAAGGTCAGGCGGTCCTCCCGCACCAGAAGAAGCTCGCTGATGGTCCTACTGCATGCAGAGGTTTTGACGTATCAATGGAGATCCAAATTGAAGCACTACCTGATTCTGTCCTCCGCCGGAAAGCCCATATACAGTCGACACGGTGACGACCAGCTCATCGCAAACACAATCGGCGTTGTACAGACCATCATCTCCTTCTACCAAGATGCCGATAACGTGCTCAAGGGATTCACCGCGGGGGGTGTGCGTTTTGTCGTCCTGTCCAAGGGCCCGCTGAATCTAGTAGCCATCAGCAAGCTTGATGAAAGTGATGGCCAGCTGCGGACGCAGCTGGAGTCATTGTACATGCAGATCCTCTCCACCCTCACCCTGCCCAGCATGGAACGCATGTTCCGTAACAGGGCATCCACAGACCTGCGAAGGCCGTTGCAAGGCACCGAGACGCTCCTGTCGGCTCTGGCCGACGGCTTCACGCGCGGCTCGCCATCCACCCTTCTCTCTGCGCTTGAGTGCTTGCGATTGAGAAAATCGCACCGCAAAGTGATTGACAACACCCTCCTCCAAACGCGCTCCCCCAACCTCCTCTATGGGCTGCTGGTCGCAGCCGGCCGCCTCGTTAGCGTGGTGCGACCGAAAAAGCATTCCCTTCATCCCGGTGATCTCCAGCTCATCTTCAACATGCTCTTCGAAGCAGGTAGCGTGAAGGCGGCGGGGGGCGAGAACTGGATTCCCCTTTGTCTTCCAGGCTTTAACAACACCGGATACCTTTACATGTACGTCAGCTTCATAAACGTCAACGAAAAGAACCTGGACCCCACCGCGGAGCGGCCGTCGACCTCATCGGCGCAAGAGGATGAGGTCGCAATACTCCTAATCAGTGCGAACAAAGAAAGTTTCTTCGAGATGAGAGAGATGAGGGACCAATTGGTCAACGTACGTTCACTAGCTTCAACATAAACGTACAATCCAACTAATGTTGTATGCAGCAACTCGAGAAGAATGGCAGCCTCCAGGCCATCCGAACAGCCGTCAACCGAGGTCGACTCTCATGCACAGATATCGTCCCGGGCACCGTTCTTCGACATTTTATCTACAAGTCCCGTGGCAATGTACAGTTCACCATGCCGTCGTACGACCCATACTTCAAGACAGAGCTGGACCGCCGCCTGTAAGTGATTGCGCTTTTGCTCGATGGCATAATCTAACGAGGATTGCTTCAGTCTCATAAGCCTCTACGCACAACTTCATTCACACTTGCACACCCGGCCCACTCACCTCAAGATTCACCACGGCACAAGTACACACCACATCAGTCTCGCGTGGACGACGCCCCTCTTCGAACTATATGCCATCGCACCTGGAACAACATCTCGCGCAGCACTAGCACAGGCGGCCAATAAGGTCATCCACTGGGTGCGACGAGAAGAAGAACGTGTCTTCATCATTGGAGGCGCGGTGTTTTAGGCCCAATTTAGGAGTGTGTCATGTACTAAGCAACAATGGATGAGTTCGTCACAACCTCGGTGAATTTATGCAGGTAACTAAATGACTTCTATTTTTCATGCTTTTGATTTCGGTTTCTTCGAAACGCAATTCACGACAATTTTCCATCTGACCCTACAGCATCCTCACCTCGTTGAGTGGTCCGTAATCCACCCATCTGTCGTCGACAAGCTCAGTCTCGATATCCTTGACATAGTCGTTGTCCTGGGGAATCGGGGTGCCGGAAGACGTTGGTGGAGTCAAGGGCGAGGTACCTGGCGCCGAGTACACCGACGACCCCTGAGACGGAATGATGCGATCATGCAGCTTCCTGTTCCCGGGCTCCACGAGCGTCGCCCGGCCTCTGACGGCAAGCTCGTGGGCAGCGGCAATCTGTGCGGGATTCGGCCGTGGGGTCAGGCTCCTCGCCGAAGAAGAGCGGAGCTCCGCACCAAGCAGCCTGCAGTCTCCACCACTACTGCCGCTGACCACGCCCCCATCCACACGGGCGCCGGGCTCCACGTCCTCGGCCATGCCCTCCCTCTTCACCTCTTCGACCCAAATCTCCGTCCTCTTCGCCTGGTCCCCATCCGCCAGGGACGCGGACGCCGACCACGAAGGCGGCGGCGGCTGCGGCCGTCGCCGCCGCCGCTGCTCCTCCTCCCTATCCGCACGATCACTCGCCACCACGACCTCGCCCCCCATCTTCCGCCGACCACTCTCCACCGTCCCCTTCCTCGCCACCGCCGCCTGCCCGTCGTCGTCGCCGCCGCCGTGCCCCTTACCCAACACCCTCCCCGTCCCCTTGTCCACCCACTCGGCCTCCCCGCCGGCGCCCTCGACGCGCTCGAGCTCCGGCATGGAGAAGTCGCCCAGCAGGTCGTCCCCGCTCCGCGGCAACTCAGGCAGCATGGGCGGCGAGGGGTCGACCTGGGCGTTGCGATGGCCGTTGTTGCTGCCGCTGCCGTTGCTACTACTGCTATTGCTCTTCCTCTTGCCGCCGCCGCCGCTGCGCAGCGACATCATCTGCCTCATGGCACCGCCGCCACCGCCGCTGCGCTGCTCGCGGGCGTTCCCGACAACAACAGCAGCAGCAGCAGCAGCAGCGACAGCGGCGGCTGGAGAAGACACGGGCGTCGGGGCCGCCGCCTCGGCCTGCCGCTGGTGGCGCTCGTCGCTGTCGTCGTCGGTGTCCACGGTGGTGATGGCGGTAGCGGCACTGATGTCGGGCAGCAGCAGGTTCGGGCTGGACAGGCTCGTCAGGCCGGCGGGGTGGGCGATGCAGCCGGACGGCTGGAAGCCGTGGTGGCGGGCGGCCGAGGCGGGCAGGCTGCGGCCGGACTCGGACGACGGCGTGCGCGAGGGCCCGCGGAGCGCCGTGGTCGACGCGTTGGGGTGGGTGAGGAGCCGGTTGGCCGTGGTTCTGCTGCTGCTGTTGGCGCCGGCGGTCAGGAACGGCCGGTAGCGCATCAGCTTGGCGGAGGTGGCGAGGAGGCCGCTGGCGCTGTCGGACTTGCTGCGGCCGCGGGCGATGCGGGTGTTGGTGTTGGCGTTGGCTTTGGCCTTGGTGTTGCTGCCGCTGCCGCCGCCGAGGTGCATCGTGGGGTCGAGGGAGGAGCTGCGCTTGGCTGTACGATGGATTTTCATGCGTCGGGCCAGCGAGTCGGCGGCGTTGGAGACGCTTCTGTTCTTCTTGCTGCTGTTGCTGCTGTTGCCGGCTGCTGCTGCTGCAGTAGTACCAGTCGCCTCGGCGCTGTCATTCTTCTTCGACGCAGCGGCGGCGGTCAGGTTGTCGGCGGTGAGGCTGTTGGCGAACACGCCGTCGAGCGTGTTGGGTTTCTCTTTCTCGGCCTCCTCGTTCTCTGCTGCTGCTGGTGCTGCTGGTGTCGTAGCTGCAGCAGCTGTCGACGGCGTCATGGCCAGCCCCGAACCGCCCAGCCCGAGTCCCAGTCCCTTCCCGGCCGTGAGCCCCTGCAGCGTGGCCGACGTCTTGCGCCGCCGGAACCCCTTGTGCGGCGACACCGCAGCATCGGCGTTCGCGACGGCTTCATCCGTCACGTCGGCACAGTTGGAGAACGAGATGTGGCCACCACCATTATCACCGGCACCGTTCCTGCTCGCCCCAGCATCCGCAGACGGGGAAGAGGAAGAGTGAGAAGAGGGAGAAGCAGAAGCCGAAGCCGAAGCAGCAATGCTCCCCCAACTGCCCCTCCCCTTTCCATGATGGCCGCAGCCGCGACCGTGTCCATTGACCACCGCATTACTCCTGCTCAACAACCCCCCGCTCGCCGCGCTGGCCGGCCTGCTGCTCTGCAGCGGCCTCTCATCATCATCATCATCATCGTCTGCCCCCTCCTCTTCCTGCTGCTGCCGCTGCTGCTGCCGCTGCCCACCAGCAGTGGCATCGTTTTCCGCACCCGCGCCGGCATCCGCTCCACCGGCACCAACACCACCACTCCCCGCGCTAAACCTCTTCCTCGCCTTCTGCCACGCCGCTCCCATCGACGACGACGACGACGACGACACCGCCGCCGCCTGACCCGCAGTAGCGTCCGCAGCCCCGCCGCCGGCACCGCCACCCGTCCTCCCCTTCCCTTTCGTAGCCGTAGCCGTAGCCGTAGCCGCCCCCGTCGTGGTCGTCGTCGACGACGTGACCCCGCGCAATCGATCCCCAAGCATCTTCCCCAAGCTCCCCGCCGACGCCGTCCGCTTGATGGTGCGCACGAAACCGCCACCGCCGCGGGTTCCACCGCCGCCGCCGTTACCGCCGCCGCCGCCGCCGCTTTCCGCCCCAGCCGTCGCGGCGGCGGCGGGCGAAGAAACGTCCTCGGTCATCAACGGCAGGTGCGTCGTCGACGCGCTGGCCGAGCGCGAGGCTGCTGCCAGTGCGGAAGCGGTGGTAGGAGTACTGCTGATGCCGACGCCGATGCTGCTGTCTTTTCGCCACGGGAGCTTGCTCATGCCGCCGCCGCCGCCGGCGCCGCCGGCTTGTTTCGTCGTCTTCTTCGGCTTCTTTTTTAGTAGCGTCGGCTTGTCGTCGCTGCTGCTGCTGCTGTTGCTGCTGCCGCCGGGGCCGGTCATGCCGAAGGATGGGTTGGCGGGGCTCGTGGGGTTGGGCATCTTCGTGCTGCTCTTGCGGCGGGAGTTGCCGTCGGTGGTGGATGTTGCGTTGGGAGAGGAGGCGAAGGGGTTGGTGAGGCGGAAGCGGGAGAAGAGGTTTTGGTGCTGGTTTTGGTGCTGCTGGGGGTGTGGTGGTGATGATGATGGCGGCGGCGCAGAGTGCGGGTCGGGGGATCTGGTGGTGGGGCTGATGTCTTCGACCATCTTGATTCTTTTTTTTTTGAAGTCTGCTGTATTCCACGATGTTCGGACGGAGAAAGAGTGCTTCGTTCGTTCCTTCGTTTGATTTTTTTTTTTTTTTGGTTTACTATGGGAGCTCAACCCGCGCGGCGGCGCCTTTTGTCGATGCTGCGAAGACGAAGAGAGAGCAGGAGAGATCCGATAGGCAGAAAGCCGAGCGTGTGGAGCGTGGGATCAGGCTGGAGATGTTGAAAACAAGACGGCGCTTTCACCCCTCCTTCTTCCTTGCGCGCGGATGCACAATGCGATGCAGGCCCTTGTATGTACTTGACCCTCACGTCCGGGCGGGGTACCGATGATTATACGCGTCTGCGGTGTGGGCGTCTTTTCCGAATGCAGGGCAATCCAGTAGCGATTCTTCCTCTTTTGTGTGGCCTAGTACGTAGGCAGTACTCCGCCACGTCCTGGCAACTCCACTCGTGTTGCGTGACCCCTGTCACTCCTTCCTCACGTCAGATGGTCAGACTTGCGAACGACAAGCGGCGGCCGCACCACCGCATCGTCACCGTCGCAATCGCAAGGGGAGCAGAGAAACGGTGCGCAATCACTCACCTCGCAGCCCCGGCAATCTCGATCTCGCCTTCCAAAGCCGAAACCAAGACGCTCCACGCACAACCAACCACGTGGTTGATCTCGGCCCCTCCTCTTGATCCCTGCCTGTTGCTCGCCTCCCTCTGTCTTCCTCGTCCACGTTGACCTCCGCGTCCAGATATAAGGCTTGCGTTTCGACTCGACACCGCAACAGCCAATTACCGCCAGCCACTGACAGCAGGCCACACTCGATTTTCCCCGCCAAAGACCCGGTGTGCGATCGAAGGAAGAAACTGTCGAGAGAGAAGTCGGTCGATGTCGCAAGCGAAGGGAAAGAGGTCGTTGCTCGATGTGGTATTTCTCTTTTTTCGTTTTTCGTCCTGCCTGACTTCGTCCCGGTCGTCCAACGAGCGACGGTGAGAGTGAACAAACAGCCACCCCCGCCAAACAACAAAATCTCGCGGGGCTTAATCCAATGTATAATATTTAGGAAAGCAAGAAAGAAAGAAAAAAAAAACGAGGAAAAGATGAGGAATGAGTTCGAAATTCTGTTTCTGAGACAGGCCGGATCCGTAACGTCTTGTTGTATTTTGTACTCCCGACTATTTTCTTTTTTTTCACTCTCTCTTTTCGTAACCGAATCCGGCAGATGCTCAGCTAAACTGAGACTACTGGATAGATCCACAAATTCCTAGTGCCTAAATCTAGAATGACATGTGGGGGTGAGGGGATGGTAGAAATCTGATGGTTGGACAAATAAGTTAAGGAAATCAGGGCGGTAGAAAGACGTGCCCAGCACGTAGTGAGTACATAGGTGTTGCACATACAAACTGTCACAAGAAACCGTCAAGGTAAAAACAACAACAACAACAGAGAATGCAAACTCTTTTTAAGGGCAGCATCAACGTGACCGTCCCAATCACATGTTCGCATCTATCAAAAGATATAGAACAAGGAAAACAGCAGAGTAGTTTTTAGAGAGAGCGACTGGAGCCTTCCGTTGGACGCGAAAACTATCGTCATCGTGGCTGATGATGCCCTCGTTCATCGCCCTGTCGCCGAAAACGGCTAAGACCCGAGAGCATGGGCATAGGGAAGGCAAAACGCACGCGTTTCCATATCAAAGTCAGTGGAACGCAGGAAAATCAAGGCGAGCGCCATCGCCAGAAGTTTAATCCGTCCTCATGTCGCCACCGTCAACAACCATTCCCCATGACATATAAACAATCCTTTCTTTTTTATAATCTGCTGCTGCCATCATGCTAACATACACCTATAAGGCCTGCTAATCTCAAACCATACTATATACCGCATAAGCGACGAATGGAGACTTTCCCCTGATTGTCCCGTCCCGCGCGCACTAGACCTTCTTCCGTCATCCTTCCCGCCGTTCGCAACCAGACATTCCAGCTGCATTGCCCCGCACATCCATGGGAAAAAGGAGAGAGAAGGAAAAAAAAAAAGCCTTTGCCAAGTCTAGAGCACGCCCCACATGCCAATCACTCCCTGTCACTCCCGCTGATTACCTGCCCGGAACAGTAGACCGAGAAAAGAGGGTATGGTCGAATAAAAGTATAAGCCTTAGCAACAGCCAGCGTGGCCCAATGAAAAAGGACCCCCTCCGTCGAACAGGCCGGAAATAGAAGAGGCCTCGGCTCAGCGAGTTCGGGAACCAAGGGCATGCAGCCAAAAGGGGGTTCTGGGAGACACCGTTTTTTCATCTTTGTCATGTGAATATCCCTCGACTCTCCTTCCGGAATTGCTTAGACGGAATTAGTAGTCTGCAGCAGAATGGGCGACTGCAGAGAAAAGGATGTAGTTGATAGTGAAGCTGCGAAAACCTCGCTGTACGAGGATAGAGAGGTCCGTTGAGCGAGCTCGCTCACCCAACAGCCTGCTCAACAGGTCGGCCAAACTTTGCGGGAATCACGCTCGGTACAAGCCATTGGTCAATGGGTGTTTCCGTCGCAAGGAGTTCAGGAGTCTGGCGTGGTGGTATTGACTTCCGAGTCCTGCAGCCATTCTCGGGTTTCCTGCCTCTCCAGCTTCTTTTTCGCGCCCAGGCTCTTGATGAATTCGCCACTGCGGAACCACATACTCTTGATCCTTTCGAACAATCGCTTGGTCCGGAACTCCGACTTAGGCATACCAGTCGCGCCGTCATATGTCTGCAGGCTTCCACCCGTACCCGCCGGAGAGTCCGTCGTGTTCTCCGTGGAACTTGCACCCTCGGATGAGGCACCCGCAGCGCGCTCAATGGCGCGAGGTTCCACAGCCGACTGTGCCCGAGACAAAGTCGCTGGAGGCCCGATCTTCGACCTCAACCGAGTGAGACGCTTGCGGAAGGTGCCTCCGTGCCGAGTTTGTGAGCTATCATCCGAAAAGAAGCTCCGAACGTCGTCAAGGTTGAATCGCGACGGTGGTGTGAGTCCACTGGTCGGATAGCGATCTCCTGGGTCATGAGCAAACTCGTCCAAAGACACGCTTGAGCGGATCGCCCCATCAAGCCCCATGGTGAGCCCGAGTTTCCGTGTGACGGAACCCATGACGCTTCTACAGGGGCGATGGCTGCCTTTACGGCTGTGTTTGAACGTATCATGGGTCTCGGTACTGTCCGGCGTCATGTTCTGCCTCTCGCCAGATCCCTTTCTGCGGTTTCCATCAGTAGCGGTGGAGTATTCAGAAGAAGCCGGGGAGTGCAATCTCAACCTGGAAGGGCGAGATGCAGCTGAGCGACTCCGCACATGAGCCTTCACTGGGAAGGTGATATCAATCCCAGTGGTGCTCTCGTTCCAAGGGAACTTCATGTTCATGTCCCATGGCTTCACTTCTTCAGACACTGCCGGGGGATTTGGCTCATTAGTGGCGACATGGCTTGGCTTTCCACGGACATGAACGGGCATCGGAGCCTCAAGCTCCGCCAAGGAAGGTTGGCTGACCTCGACATCAGGAGTTGTTGAATTCGAATCCTTTCTTTCCCTCGCGCTCTTGAACGATTTGTTGCTGCTGTCCGTGTCCTTGATTTCTTCCAGCCGTGGGCTCTGGATGTCCTTGTCTTTATGATTGCCCTTGCATTGGCTCGTGAGTTCGTCGTAGACGTCATCATCGACGATCACCAACGTTGTCCTACCGGGCATTGCTCTCAGACGGCAAGACGATCTCATGGTGTTCAAAAGACCAGGCCGATCTCCCAGATGGCGAAGTTCGTGAACGTCCGACTTGAGCTCCGGATCTTCGATTATCTTTTCGAGATCTTGTGTTTCTTTCGTGGCTTCGTCCACAGTCTCACAACTACTGTATCGCTTGAGGGACGGAAGCAGTTCGGACAGACGCTGAGTCAAACCAGCTACCGATGGAATTGTCAGCCTTTCCACCTCGGTCATGAGCTCCTCGGGTGAGTAAGGCCTGGTCTTTGACAAAGTGGATGGCATCGAGGTAATTGACATTGCATCGGACCTGGCTGGCTCCACAATGATAGGCGGAGTGGCCTCGCTCTTCCCGTTTCCTCCTTCATCTTCCACTTCGACGGGCGGCACTTCAACAGTCTCCGGCGTTTTCGGACGGAAGTCGGGTCGATGGCTGGTCTCGTCAAGACTGGCGAAGAAACTGCGGTACTTCTCCCTAATGGGACCGAGAGACACGTCCGCGTCAGGATATTCAGTTCTTAACTCGACATGTGCTCCATCCAAGGATAACGTGGACCGATCACCAAACGCGTCGTGCAGGTTTTCAACCAAGTCCATCTGGCTGAAATGCATGGAAGGAATCAATCGAGTATCCGCAAGCGTCCCACGTTTTGGCGACTTGAACACAGAGGCGTTCGAGGCTCTCAGAGACGACGCCCGCGCCAAGAAGAACGAGTCAAGGGAGTTGCCTTGCGCAGACGCAGCAGAGCCTCGTGCCAATGGGATCTTGAAGTTGGCCGATGTCCTCCTGTCAAAGCCCGATGAGCTCAGGTCTTCATCTGGAACACGCGAGAGGGGAACTTTGAAGTTCGTCGAAAATCTGTTCGAAGACACCCGCGTAGAAGGCCGTTTGCTCAGGTCCGAGCAGCTTTCCTCGCAGGATTCCTCCTTCACATCGGACAGCTGGCTTGGGTACCTTGGGGTACTGGATAGCCTCAAGTCCTGCGCGATTGTGTTGTTGACTGAAACACTCGAACTCGGAGGCGGATACTCGTTTGGCTCGAATGATTGCGACGAGGGCTTTTTCACGGGCCAGACCAAATGTGTCGTGGTATTCACGCTCTCGCGTGAGCTGTAAGATCGAGCTGGAACAGAGTGTGTGCTTGTCGACTGCACAGTTGCGCTTCCTGGGGTGGACTCGTCCGTCGTGAATGTGATGGGAGTAGCTGCCGGCGTCTCAAATACCAGTTGCAGCTCCTCCTGTGGAGCTTTAGTTTGTACCGGGGTTTTCACTTCAACCGGCTCTTCTGGAATTGAGAGGTGTGCACTGGCAGCCAACGGAAGAGGAGACGAATCAAAAGCTCCTTTGAGAAATCCGAAAACATCTGACCCAGGTGAGCTTGCAGTGAGTATGGGGGCGGAGATTCTCTCCTTGATATCCACGGATGATTGCTTTGGAGTCAGAAACATGGACTTGGCCCTCGTCGACACAGAAGCAGGACTGAGGCTCTTCAACAGTGAACCGGCCCCCCCTACAGACTGCTCTGTCGATCGCGGTGTCCCCTGTGTAGGGTCGCTTGGAATCTCCAGCTTCACTTGCGGTTCAGTATCTACAGCGTCCTCGATCGAGAGAGTATCCGAGGATTCAACCGAGTCCTGGGCCATTGAGACTGAGAATCGATCCTTTGACTCCCGATCTGGCTTCTCGTCGCCCGCCTTCAAGTCAATACTTTGGTGCGTATAGACTTGCGTATCACCCTCCGACACGACTGTCCCCATCTCCTCTTCGGCGGAGGACACGGAGTCAGAAGATGAAGATGATTTGCTCGGTGTCAGGCATGGTGTAGGGCTTGGAGGATGGCCCGTCTTTCTTTCAACCTTGGCATCCATCTCCATGGGAACCTTGACATCCAAAGTCATGGTGGTGGATTCGTTGGCTGTAGATGAGGGCTCGATAACCGAAAGAATCATCTCCCTGGTGATTCTCCTGGGAATTGGAGAAGGCATTACAGATGCCGGAAGCTCCACAGGTTCTGGCTCATAGACAGCGACAGGTGAGCCTTCGAGTTCGGCTACATCTGGAAGAATATCGGGGCTAGGGGTGTGTGGACCGTAAGGCATTTGTGGAGGCTGGCCAGCGTCCCCATTCTCTCCAAGAATGGATCTCACGTGGCTCGCAAAACCACCAGGAGTAACGTTGGCAGTCTCAGCAGCCGGTAGCTCTTTCTGAATGCTTTCGAAATGCTCACTATAATCGTAGTACTCCAAGGCCTGCTCGGTCTCGACCTCGCCGGTACTGTTAAGGACATCCGCCTCAGTAAGAGGTGAAGCAGCCTGGTGAACCATGACTTCGGCAGAGTGGCTGACTCTCGGAGTCTGGGGCCCCAAGGAAGGCGGACCCGACGATTGAGCATCGGAGTCAGTGCCGTTTGTCAGCGATGTCATGGACCGTCTGGGGGCGGGCCTCAGCATCGGTGTAGAGCCATTCGGGCCCATCGGGCGGCGCGATGCCATTTCAGATCCCATGCAAGGGCTCTGAGGGAAAATTGGCGCCGATCTGTTGAGCTGATTATAATATAGAATCTGCTCCATCTCATGCAGAGGCAAGGGCGAGCCGGTGGTGTATCCTGAACTCTGGGCAGATCTGTGGTAACCCGGCGGAAAAGGCGCGGAGGCCATCTCGTGTGGCAGCATGGGCGACACAGGCGATGTTCTCATCCTCGTCAGAGATGATTGGCCATGATATCTCCTCGGCGGGCCGCTGGCAACATCACTCATTGCGGGAGAAGGAGAACGATAGCCCGGACGCCTGAGGCGAGTGGGGTACCGATATGGGGAACGCGGCCTCTGAACGGGTTCCTGGTGCCTGAGGCTGGTGAACGATCGCGGCGCGGACAGCTTCTGTGGTGGAACAAAATGATTTGTCAAGGAGTATGAACGCACTTCCTTGGAGAGGCGGGTCGAGGGAACAAGAGGGGAAGCGCCGGGCAGGTTCATCAACGTAGGCGATACCGTATCCGGCACGAACTGGGGAACATTAAGGCTGCTGGTAATGGACCGGCGTGGGACCGAAGAGGTCGAAGGGCGAGATCGATGCTTGCTGGAAATGCCGTGCATGGTCTGCGTCTGGTTGGAGCCGACAGAGACGCGCGAGCTGTGGTGATAGTTGCTACGTCGGCGATGGGCCGGTCGAGACACCTGCGAAGCCCTGGCGGACTTGTTGAAGGACGAGCCGCTCGACACTCCGCCGGACACGCCGCCGATGTCTCCGAGCTCAGTCGAGGTTCGAAGCATGTTCATGACGCCGGAAGAGAGCATGTCAGACTGCGGCTGAGTCGACCTCCGCGTACCTCTCGAGCCTGCCGACATGTTGGAAGCACGGCTCAGCCGGCCACTGACGTTGGGGTCCAGCTCCGTGAGCGGCATTGTGAGAGACCGGAGGTATCCAAACCGATGCCAAAGAAGCCTCGACGACACGAGGCTGGAACGTGATGGAAACGAGTGAAGGATGAGGGGTGGAGTGACAGGAAGACGAAAGGCAGCAAGCAGGATGCAAGAGGGCGGCCGAAGCAGGCGGTGGATGTAAAAGGCAGGCGCAATGCGTGGCGCTCTTCGCCTTGTTCGTCGCCAGGGACGAGCGACAGGAAACAGCATCAAGAGAGAAAGGGCGTGCAGCGCTTACGCTTAACAGGCAGAGTCAACACGGAGCAAACCAAGTGGGAAGGAACGGCAACAACAGCAACAACAACAACAACAACAACAACAACTCCTCTTGCGCGCGAGCAGCACCATCACTTCCGTGATAGCCAAAGTGCTTGAGATTTACAACCCCCATTTTTGATGCATTCGAACCTACGATGCGTTCCAGCCCACGTGTGGACCCAAGCCGATGCAATGCTTTCCAAATGTTATGCATGCTTCTGAACCAAGAGAAATGAAAACCCGAGATGGAGGCAACCGGAAGCACTCAGACACCTTTTCTAAGAAACTTACTATGCAACCAAAACAATTAAATAAAAAAAAGGCTTCAAAGAGCACCGTCCGCAAAAATATGTTCATAGACATTCGTTACCGGTGTGGCTTCGAAACGCTGACAACGAGAACAGTGGACACCGGTGTGGAAGCCCAGTATGAGAAGGGGTATCGAAATAAAAACAGCGAAGGTATGAAAATAAACGCCTCCAAAGCATGAATGTCGGGTGCACCACCCTTATGTCCGCATTATTCTGCTTCAGACTCTAGGGTCGGCCCCAGTTTGTTTGTCGAATGCTTTCGACGGAAAATGTTGCGAAGACCTCTCAGGCTCGACCTTCGCTTCATGCCAGACCCAGTGCTGTAATTAGAGGCAGACGTACTGGGGCGCGTGACAGCAGTACTCGGCCGTGAGTCATTGGTGTTGAGGGTATTGGTTTTGGAAAGAGTGCTTCCAGTAACGCCGGATCTAATGGACATCGCAGGCGTGGTGGGCGAAGGGGGCGGGAAGAGTCCAAACTTGTGTCCGGACGGATTGCGGCCCTGGCTTGTTCCAGGCCTAGATGACGGGTTCTTGTTAGGCGTAGGGGCGAGCGTGGCGGCTTTCCTCTCGTTGTCAGACGACCTTGAGGATGGAGAGCCAGAAGAGTACGCCGAATCGACCATAGGTGAACTTGGCTTCTCTCGGCTACTACGAAGCGACAGTCGCTTGCGAAGATTGCTGGGAGTCTTCACATGTGACGAGTTGGGAGGTCGAGAAGGAACAGGCGCGGGCGATGCGGGCGTAGGGTTTTGATAATGAGATCCAGGCTGCGCTGATGAGCGCACGGGTGAGCGAGCAGGTGACCGGGTGGGTGACCGCGCAGGCGAGCGCGCAGGCGAGCGCGCAGGCGATCTCGAATTGGGCGTGGTCGCCCGGGAGCCGTCCGGCGTAGTGCCACGGCTTGCCCATTCTGGTGGAATTGGGGTCTCCAGGCGTGGCTCCGGAGTCCTTTGTCTTCTCCTCTCCCTTTGCTGGATGGTTGGGCTCAACATAGAGTTGCTCGATTCTGCCGGGCTTCGCGGAGGCGGCCTGGGGTGCTCAAATCTCTGCTCTATGGGAACAGTGTGATGTTTCTGCGGCGGCCGGGACTGTGACCTGTGGAGAGCGCCGGTCACTGCAGGACTCAGTGAATCGGGCGCGCGAGGAAGAGGCTTGTCGCCCGGCAAGGGCGTGCCCCGAGGCGACGCCCAAGCAGAATCCGGCGGGCTAACAAGCCGCGGCCTCGAGCTCTGTCTGGAGACAGTCCGCGGGGTCGACCTTGAGGTCGATCGCGAGCCAGGTCGTGAATCCGCATCTGGCGTCCGATGAGCAATCTGAAGATCCCAATTAGTCAACTGGTGTACGAACGCTCCTTCCTCACCGCGACTTACAACGCTTCTCCTGCTTGCAACACCCGCCCTCTTCGTCATCTCGTTGAGAATGCTGCCCAGCTGCACTAGTGCGACGCCCAACTCACTTCCCTTTGTCTGCAGATTCCTCAGGCACTCGAGCCAGCCCTCCGAATTTCCGCACATGGCCATGTATATGTCCATCAGTTCGTCGTCGCCCTCGGCCCAGTTGGCTCCAATACGAACCAAGTAGCGCGAGAGCTCTTCTGTCGCCTCTCCTCCGGTCTGGACGTCGACCAGAGAATCGTTCATGGCCCGAGCGGTGCGCTCCACAATCTTCTCGATCTTTTCGTTGCCCTCGATGATGGAAGTGCGGAACTGCCTGTCGTCCAGCATCATGTCGAAGATGTTGACGTGCTCCAGCGGCAGCTTGAGGTGGTTGATGCGCTCCTGGATGTCGGCGAGGGCCAGGTCGAAGTCCTCGGTCGTCTTCTCCAGAAACTGGTCAACCTCCTGCACGTGCGTCTTGAGGATGCGCGACACCTCCTCGTCGCTCTTGGCCAGCTGCTGGTTGAGCAGGTGCACGCCAAAGGAGATCTGGGCGACCAGCTTCCACAGCGGGTGGTACTTGGCGCTCGGTTTCTTCCTCCACTGCGCGTTGTACGACTCGTTGTAGTCGTCCTCCTCCAGCATGCGCTGGCGGCGGGCCTGCGCGCCACCGGCCCGCTTGGGCTTCACCTTCTCCTGCTCAGCCACCTCGGCCTCTATGATCGACTCCTCGAAGGCGCCCTGCATGCAGGCAATGGGGTGGACCGGGGCGCGGTCGAAGGCGGGCGCATCGTCGAACTCGTCGTCGCCCTCGTGGCCCAGGGTGGAGGCGTCTTCGTCTTCCCACGGCCGGCGCGGCGCTGGCGCTGGGGAGGGAGCCATGGCGAAACAGGCCTCGGTTCAGCTGTGCTCGGTGTGGGATGGGGGAGAGCGGGACTCAATGCTGCGGGCGCGCGAGGTGCACTCGAAGCACGGCTTATGTCACGGTGGAGCTGCAGGCGTGCGGATTGGTGAAACAGCGTAGCGTAATGGGCCAGCGATCCAGGGTGTGCTACCACGCGGTTGCAACCTCGCCGACTCGGAGACTCGGGCGCGGATCAGGCACAGAAGGGGAGCGCGCGGAGGACGGCGCCCGTGGGCATGCTGACGGCTGGACGTGCGATCGCGGGGAGGGCAGGCGGGCTGGTGGCAGCGGGCTGGGATTCTTCTGACTGCAGCTCTCGTGAGTCGCGCGCAAGTGGTCGAGTCGACGACGGAGGGAGCAGCACGGTGGCTTAGCGTCGGAGGCGAGCGCTGCGCAGTGACCAGGGGCTTCTATCTTCCGCGCCCACCGCCAACACGCTCGTCTCACCTTCGTCGCCGGCCGCGAAGCCCATCACGTCAGGTCGCGGGCGCTATGTAGATCCAGGCCCCCAGCCGCCAACCATATGCCAGCCGCCTTCTCCGCAAATGCAGTAGTTTGCGGCTTTGGCCGCCGTCTACTGCCGGCCCGCCTCCCTGCCCATCCGCTGGTCAGCCGCCGCGAGACACGTAGCGAGTGTAAGCCCACGCCGTGTGAAACGCGAAACAAATCTATCTGCCGTCCGCCCATCCACACCGTGCAAATAGAGTTAAGAGCTGCCCCGCACGTGCATGGCAAAGCCTTTGCTTCATTTCTTCAGTCTCAGAGTCGCGCAAACCATGTAGCAGAAATCCCCCCCCCTCCCTCCCCCGCCGTCAGAGCCTGTCCGCCAGCCAGCCAGCTCCCCCCAAGCCCCAACCCCCAAGCCCCAAGCCGTGTGTAAATGTAAAAAGCCCCGCTGAAAGATATCGTTGCCTTTTCCCAGCCGCCCAAACAAACGCTGCAAGCAACGCCCCGCCAAGCAAAACCAACCCACCCCGCCCTGTTAGCAAAAGTATGTATAACGAAGTATGATGCAGCGTCGTTGCATGTCCCTTCTAAAACATGGGTATCGAGGAGACCGCGCAAAGGCCTCATTAGACACAAGATCGTAAACCAGACAGGCCAAAATGAGAGACGGCGCAATTATGTCGCAGAAGGGCACATCGAGTCCGGCGCGATGGTCGTAAATCATAGCTAAGAAACAAAGGAAATAAACATCCCAGAGGGAGGAAGTGGGAGACGGTGCCTGCAATGTGCCCAGGGAGCCTGTTCGCATCTGGTCGCGAAGGACTCAGTCGGGCTCGTCGGTGGCCTCGTCGATTTTTGGGGGGATTTTGGCTCCCGCACCCGAAGGACCAAGGCCCTGCGAAGCCGCGGACTCCGTCTTAGCCACCTTGGAAGGGTTTCCGTTCATGCCTGAAGTGTGCTCGGTCATGCCACTTGCACCATCGTTGTTGACCGTCTGCGAATGGGCAAGCGGTGATGCGCTGGTCTTGCTGGCCTTGTCACTGCCCGCTGAATGCACCGAGTGCTGCGAGGTTGTTCGTGGCGACACACGGCCGTTCTGTTCTGCATTAGTTGACATGCAGCATAGGATGGACGTCTCGACTCACCTGCTTAGCCCACCGAAGCCCGCAGCTGTTGCATAGATCCCTATTACCGCTAGGTCCTCTTCGCCATTCTGGCGTCACTCTTGTGTGGCAATTGGCACAATCCTTCTGCATTTGGCCCGCTCCCTTCCTCCTCTTTCTCTTCTTTTTGGCAGCTAGGAGACTTTGGACTTCCTCCGCCAACAGTCGATTCCGCTTTTCCATTTGCCGTAGCTCGTATTGCCAACTTGTGCTCCTCGTTGTCTTGAGCTCTTCGAATACGTTGTCTTCAGATGCCAAGCTTGCATCTTGATGACCAAGTTTCAGTCCGTGCTGGCCAGCTGTGGTTATGGCAGCGCCGTCCGTGCTGATGAACTGGCTGGGAGGCAAACCGTGGGCCAAACTGCTGGGAGTCTGCACGGATCCGGTACCATGTGTGTTTTGCGTGGGAGTGGACGCAATCGAGCTCCCAGAATCATGCTTTGGATATATGCTCGGTCGGCTGTTTGTGTTGGCTGAACCACGAGCAAACTTTAGCAATCTGGTCTGCGCTATTACGAAAGTTGGCTTTTGGCCTTCGACAGCGTCTCCCGGGTAAATGGTGGTGAACGCTTGGAGAACCTGTCCTCGTTTGTTCATCATCTCGTGCTTGACTGAGGCTTTCTTGCCGGTCCGGGCCATCTCCAGAATCCGGTGGAAGTCTTGCCTAGACTCCTGCCGCATGAGTGATTGGATGCTCGTGCCGACCATGTCATCGGGCTGACGATCCAGGAGCGACCTGACGTGGGACGAGACGAACAGAAACATTCCAGATGTCGACATTTTGGTCCAAAGCTCGTTGTCTCCGATTCCACCGTTCGATTCGATGTCGTGTTTACTCAGAGCATACACTGGTCTTTCACGGCCAACAAGTATGATGCATTTGCGTCCCTTGCCCTGTTCGGTATGGAGGGATCCGTGGCCTTCAAACCACATGTAACCATTATGCTTGCGTCTGATGCGGAAGACGACATTTACTGTAGACCCAGATGATGTATCCTTGAGTTCTCTGGTGACCGGCACGATATCCGATGGATGGCACACGGAGGACAGTGCTGTACCAACGAGTTCAGACGCTTCGTATTCCAGGACTCGGGCAGCAGATGGGGAGAGGTAAAGGAAAAGGCCCTTGAGGGAAAGGACATGAATGACGTCGTCGGTATTTTCCAGTAGTGCCTTGTCCCACAGACGCTTCGAATGCTCGTTCTCTCCATTGACAAGAGTGTCTAGAAGAGCGGAAACGTCATCGCGCGGAATTGTTTGACCCAAATCCGTCGATGAGCCCGTTTCGGGGGTGTTGAAGACATACCTCGGCATGCCGACCGAACGCTGGTAATTGATGCTGTAGGTGCCATCTGGAACATGTTAGTGGGATGCTTTTGGAAACATTGCACGTAAATGACGAAATCATACCAGGGTTTTTGTTCGTTACTGAATTAGGCTGCTCGACTAAGTCGACCTGAAACCCGACGAAGAATTTCACATCCCCACTGTCGTCCCACGTGATTGGAATCATGGTGAGCAGGTTCATGAATGGCTGGCCTCCGCGTCGATAATTGATCAAGCTGATTTGGGCTTCTCTGCGAGTGTTGATCATGTTCTTGAGGTAGAGCACGGAATCGTCGTCCACATATTTTCTTCTCGCTCCAGCTTCAACCTGCCCGTCCGGGGACTGCAAGAACCGACAGTTTCTTCCGAGGATCATGTGCCGTGTATATCCAGTCAAGCGTTCGAAATTTTCAGAGCAGTAGACAATCGGGTTGTCATCCTTGTCCGCATCGCAAACGACGAAAGCGCAGGAAAGGTCGACCGATCCAATGTTGATCTCTGGCTTCGGTCTGGTTGCGACTCGCATGAGAACGCCTAGCATGTCGAATCCACTTGAAGAATAGGCGTTGTGGAATTGGGTTTGAATATGAGGCCTGTTTGCCATGGTAGATGGAAACCCCCCTGTTGGAACGGTCAGTCACGGTTAGCACCTTGCGGGTTGACTTTTTGTTACCTGCCGGAGTTGACCAGGGTAATGGTCGTCCTACAGACCCTCCGGATTGGGCCATAGGCTGTTGCCGCTCATGGCCATAGGGCGTGGAGACGTTGGGGCCCGGGCTTGGAGCGGGAACAGACTGTGGCTGCGGCATGTTGCCATTCGGAGGCCGACTTGAGTGAGCGCTCGGAGTAGCGCTGTTGTCTTGGCTGTTGCGACGAAGGCTTGGCGTGTGGTTTTCCGAGGTGACATTCAAGTCCATATCGCCAGGTTCTCCGTTTCCTCCGGGGTCCGGCATAGGTTGCATCGAGTCGCCGAAATCTTGACCAATGGGTGACCCCATCATTGGCGATGCGAATTGTGCCTGGGAGAACATGTTGATTGGCGTGCCGTCTCCTGCGCCCATCATGCCGAGTGACGGGTCTGTCATGTTCATGCTCATAGACAGTCCAGAGGACACATATGGGCTGTTCATGCCCATGTCGAGGCCAGTTGTCGGGACAAGAGGCGATGCGTAGGAACCAGGCTGTACAATGTTACCGTAACCAGATTGGGAGCCGTGAAGTCGCGTGTCCATACTGATGTCGCCGGAAGATGGGCGCCGGCGCTGGTAGCCATGGTCGCGGCGCGCGAAGGCATCTCCGACCATGCTGTCCATGTTCGGTGCGGCGGTGGCGGGATCGAATTGATATTGGTCCAACTGGCCTGGGGTAGCACCGCTGAACTCCATCATGGATACGCGCCGCATGTCGCCTTCCAGACCCGAGGGCTGACCGGAGTTGTAGTGCATGGGGACGCTCTGACGACGCATGGTCTTGGAGTTCTGGTTGACTATGTCATCCAGTGACTGGCCACCGACCATGTCGGAGCCCATGCCATCCTGCGTCATCACGCCCATCATGTTGTCCCCGGGGCCGGACTGGTCCATCGGATAGTAGCCATTCATCGTGGCGGAGGATGCCCAGATTGAAGAGCTGGGGTGCGAACGACCGAGGATTGATGGAGATCACCCGCTACTCGTGTGGTTGGCGCGAGCTGCCCGGCCGCATGAAGGGTCGGTGCGGCCCAGAAGGGCGCTGGAGGTGGCTGTTGTGGTAGGTAGCGGGGGGGCCGAGGCGCCTGCGTCGTTGCGAGGGAGGGTTCCGGCGGCGGCGGGGCGGAGGGTTGCAGAGTTATCTCATCAGCATGCAGCGCGTAGGTCGGGCGCAGCACGGAGACAGGATCGGTTGGGTTTGGCACGTGCGTCCATCACGTGGGACAAGGCAGGCGGTATTTCAAGCCTCACAGCCCACCCCCGGCCAGATGCACAGCGTCAACCGTCGTCTCGCGGATAGGCTCTCGCTGTGCCGAACAGACTCGGCCTTGGCAGCGTCGCCGCGCACACAAACATGTGTGCTGTCAACACGCGACAACCGCTCTTCCGGCGTGAGCTTGGCCGGCATGAGCTATGACGACATCGCCGACCGCCTACCACAGTACCCGTGGTACCCGCCATGCCGTCACTCCAAGACGTCCACAGCCAGCCAAGCATTTTTGCTTCTCAGAACATGAGGTTTTTATGAGATCTCAAGATAAACGCGGTATCGATATCTCCCACGTGTCGTGCAAAAGTGGATTCTCGGCTAGGCCGTTCAATGCCCATTCGTCGCCAGCCCTACACATCCGGGATGGCGTGGTTGGACACGACGAATGGCATCGATGATCGATCCCCTGAAGGCTTGTGGTCTTCGTCGCTGGCTAGGCGTTTCGCGAATGTCGAATACTGTCGGCCCCGGCTCCGGTTCCGTCTGAGTAAATGCACTTGAGCATTATTATTGCTTTGGTGCCGGACTTTATTCCACGGCCCGCTGACCGATTTGCACAAACAGATCTATCTGCCCTTATACTTGATCATCGTGGGAGACTCCTCTCTGCCATGATATGACGGCCAGCTGTCCGCTGCATGACTGAGGGAACGAGGGAGACTTGCGCTGAACACGGCCATTCACGTGCAATTGGAAGGTTTGGCGGCATGAGGTCGCTAGTCAGCCTCCACGCGTCATCTGGTGAAGAAGATTCCGATTCCGATCCCTCGGAACTGGTCCTGCGCCTCCAAGGAGTAACGAGATTGGACCCTCGATTCCAGAATCGGCTACTGTACGGTTTCAAGGGGCAGCAGCCTTCCAGAGGGACCCTACTACGTGCAACAGCGGCATCCCTGGAATTTTCGTGTCCAAATACACACGAACGAGAGCGAAAATCGCAAGTCTCACGATCCGATGCTCCTGATGCTAAACGCACAGCTGCTTGCAAAATTTCCCTTTTTTTTTCTCTCGTTAGTGACAAATTGAAGCAAAAGTTTTTCTGCTCTGATCTAAGCAAGCATCCATCAAGCATGGCCATCTCGCGTTGCATCGTCCAGGTTCTTCGAGAATTCGCTCTCGTGATATTTTTGGTGATGCTGGTGTGGTACTAAACTTGAGGATGAGCGAGTCTCGAATTGGCTGTGAGAAGGCAAAGTCAGACGTAGCATCAGACTGTGAAGAAAACCGCGTCAATGCGAGATCCTAAATCAGCAGCTGTGAGATCGCGCAGGTATAACATATCAGTAATGATGGTCCCGTGGGAGAGCGGGCAAACTACTTTTGACATTCCTGCTCCGTAGTCTGACAGCATGTAAGCAATCATATATCGACAAGCCCTACTACTGCATCTGCCGTACGCTCTTCAGGTCTTCTCTCCTTTTCTCTTTTTTTTCTTTCGCACAGTGGTTTCGTCGAAAGTCCCTCTTCTCTTCGCCAGTTTAACCTGCGATGGCCATTCTGAGTAAAGCGTGCACGGACCATTACGTTGCGAAGAGCAGTGAATCCGCCTGTGCGAAACACCGCAGAACCCACCACCACCGCAATGATTGTCCGGCGGCTAGCTGCGCGCACAGGTAAGCCACCGTCTGCATCCATTGTCAGCCACCCTGCACAACTGCCGCATACTAACCGCTCGCGCAACCTCAGGCCGCAATGCGTTTGCTCACGGCAACGTAGCAGCGGCGCCTGCACGGCAATGGCGCCGCTCGTTCGCATCCGACGTCGACCTCCTCGAGCATAGCGCCGAGAACTCGCTGAAGGAGACGCGCTCGATTGAGACGGCGCTCAACAGCTCCATGGAGCAGCCTGTGCCTACGTTCAACCCGAATGCCGCACGCGACGCCGCTCTCACGGATCCCACCGTCGCTGAGAATTGGTACAACAGAAAGCACCTGGGTATGTCGAGCCTGCCCCCGGCCTCTGAGAAGGCACAATTGACAGTGGGGCTATGCAGAACATGTCCTTAAACCCGTCGGCACCGCGCCCGAACCACACTACCAGCCGCACCGACTGCTCACGAACCCGCCCCGACCGCAGGATGTCACGCTCGAGCTGCTTCTCGCCTCGCAGGCACATCTCGGCCACGCCACGTCGGTCTGGAAGCCGGCGAATGCGCGCTACATCTTTGGCATCAGAGACGGCATCCACATCATCTCGCTGGATCAGACGGCAGCGTACTTGAGGCGGGCGGCGAAGGTGGTGACGGAAGTATGCAAAAGAGGCGGGCTTGTGCTATTTGTTGGAACGAGGAACGGACAGGACAGGAGCGTTGTCAAGGCGGCTCAGTTGGCCAAGGGCTGCCATCTCTTCGATCGGTGGATTCCGGGCAGCGTCACGAACGGGCAGCAGATTCTGGGCAGGTGCCAGCTGAAGGTGGTGGATGAGCTCGACCGCGAGATGACGGAGTTTGCGGACCAGCTGGTGGATCGGGCGGTGCTGAAGCCCGACCTGGTCGTGTGCCTGAACCCGCTCGAGAACTACGTGCTCCTGCACGAGTGCGGACTCAACCACATCCCCACCATCGGCATCATTGACACGGACGCTGATTCCACCTGGGTCACGTACCCAATTCCCGCGAACGATGACAGGTAAGCTCTGGTGGTGACTAGACGGGTCGACGCAATGCTGACTTGGACTCTTAGTCTGCGGTGCACCGACGTTATTGCCGGAGTGCTGGGGAGAGCGGGCGAGGAGGGCCAGAAAATCCGGCTAGAAGCGGCCCGCCAAGGCGTCGTAACATACAGATCGCCGGACCGGTTTGAGGCGCCTGAACAGTTTACTTCCAAGAACCAAGAGGCAGCAGGCCAGGCCGAGAAGCCGGTAGTAAGGCCGGGAGACGGGTCGTCTCTGGCGGGTCTCTCAGGGCGGGAGGCTATCTAAAATAAAGTTCGTGTAACTATTTGTACGATAATAAGCTTGGCACATGCTGGCGAGAAGGCGGATCCCAGACATGCAAGACGGCAGCTAAAGGCAGCCAACGCCGTGTGATGGTCAACGTGCACGTGAGGAGGCATTCGCGGGAGCAGAGCAGAGCAGAGCAGCACACGCGGTGGAGCACGCGGTGGAGCACGCGGGGCAAGCAACTCCAGGCCGGCAGCATCATCATCAGTCATCATATCGGAAAGTGCGGCGGTATTGGCGGGCTCCGGCAGCTGGTTAGCGCGGGGCCAAGCGAGAGAAGCACGCCATCCCAAAACATCAAGCCGCCGATCGCGGAAGTTAAGTTCAGGAACCCACTCAAACCCTGATCCTACCACCACCCGCATAAATCAGCAGCCCTCCACTGGACCATCGAGCGCGGTCCCTGCGTGCCGCATTTTTCGTTGCTTCCGCGTCCAGCTTTTGGGTACCATCGTTGCTGCTGCTGCATCGTTTCTGACCCTCGCGCGCGCAAAAATGGGCGTCGAAGCCGAGCTTGAGGAGTCTGGTGGTCTTGCCAGGACCCTGAAGGACCTTTTCTCTGGTGCCGCCGGCGGCATTGCTCAGGTTCTACTTGGTGAGTATATTCCGGAGCACTTCTGTCTCTTCCATCTTCTCATTTACCTCCAATCGTGTTATGTGTTGCAACCAACTCTTTTTTTTTTTCGCTCGTGTAGTCAGTTCATGTTTAACTTACCCTTCTCCTTGCTTTCCTCAAGATGCTTAGCGTTATATTGCATGCATGCAGGCGATGAATCGATGCTAACCCTACTTCCCTACAGGTCAACCATTCGGTATGTGGATAAGAAGAGTTTTCACGTATCCGCCCGGGAGTCAAACTAACATAGGGCGCAAGATATTATCAAGGTCCGTCTGCAGACATCCGAGGCATATACCGGTGCTCTGGACGCCGGTGCCAAGATCTGGAAGAATGAGGGTCCTCTCGCCTTCTACAAGGGCACCCTGACGCCTCTCATTGGAATCGGCGCATGCGTAAGTCAACTTTATTCTTAACCGCTTCTTCTCGTATCACACAATTTCTTGGAAGTACTCTGCATTTATCCTCTCTCTCCCTCCCTGTTTCTTTCTCTCTCACGCACACAAAAAAAAACCTCCCCGCTCACATCCCCCGCAGGTCTCCGTCCAATTCGGCGCCTTCCACTACGCCCGCCGCGCCTTCGAGGCCCGCAACCTCGCGGCCGGCGGTCCGGCCGGCTCGCACGACCTCTCCTACGCGCAGTACTACGCGGCGGGCGCCTTCGCCGGCATCGCCAACGCCGGCATCTCGGGCCCCATCGAGCACGTCCGCATCCGGCTGCAGACGCAGCCGCACGGCTCCGCCCGCCTGTACTCGGGGCCGCTCGACTGCGTGCGCAAGCTGTCCGCGCACGAGGGCGTGCTGCGCGGCCTGTACCGCGGCGAGGCCGTCACCGTCCTCCGCGAGGCGCAGGCGTACGGCATGTGGTTCTTGACCTTCGAGTACCTGATGAACGCGGACGCGAAGCGGAACGCGATCGAGCGGAGGGACATCTCGACGCCCAAGGTGGCGCTGTATGGAGGCTTGGCCGGCGAGGCGCTGTGGCTCGGGAGCTACCCGTTTGATGTGGTCAAGAGCAAGATGCAGAGCGACGGGTTCGGGAAGGAGCAGAGGTATAGGAGCATGACGGATTGTTTCAAGAAGACGTGGGCCCATGAGGGCATGGGCGGCTTTTGGAAGGGCATTGGCCCGACGCTGTTCAGGGCCATGCCCGTCAGTGCGGGGACGTTTGCTGTGTGAGTTCCTTCCTCTCTGATCTCTCTTTGCGACTTGTGTTTACTTTTTTATTTTGACGGGAGAATCGCTGCTAACGAATATTTGTAGGGTCGAGTTGACTATGCGTATGATCACCTAGATGGCATGGCGTGTATTTCGACTGTCTTTTCGAAAAACGTCTGCTGTGATAGAATATGATAGAATAATACCCAGGTTCTGTACATCGGGTCCAGCTGCCTTTTCTTTTCTCACTCTCACGCGATGAACAGCCCTATGAGATATTGCTTTCAATAGTCCCACCAGGTAATGGGCCCAAAAGCTTCTGCAACGGACCGTTGTACCTAAAAAAAAAAAAGCGGAACAAGGTAGAGTCCGCCGAGGTATTGATTTCTGTTAAACAGACAAAAAGGACAAACATTCGCCTCAATGTCTGGTTTTGTGGAGTGGGCCTATATACCCGCCCCCACCCTGGAACCTGGGTAGGTAATACTGGTGCGATTTGCAACAATTTCGTACTGTGTTTGGAACAAGGGTACGGGCTGTCCACGAACCACGGTGATGGCCGATGGTAAGGCCAGGTGGAAGAAAAACGCTCCGTATCGCCACAGCGCACCCTTACTCAACACCTCTCAGTCCCTAATCCAAAAGTCTTGCAGTGATGCCTGATGTTACCGGACAGCTCCATCGGAACGGTGGAGGCAGAACCATGCATGACTCGGCGCCTAGCGGCTATGGGAGCGGAGACATGGACGCTTGGGAAAGGGCGGCCAGGGGAAGAGAACTCGAAGTGGCACATGATTGAATTTTGTCAAAGTTTCTGTCTGGGCATACGGTCATCGATAGGAGCGCTTGCGCGAGTGTGGCAATTGTATTGCTGTGAAGGATAGGGGTCACGGGCAGCAGAAATCGGCCTTCTATCTACAAGCTATGATCGCCATGGTGTGGTTATCCGATCCCTCCTCCCAGCCCAGGTGCCCATCTCCTTGGGTAGTGGAAGTAGATTTCTGGACATAGATGTAGGTTTTAGAACTATACACGTGGATCCAGATGAAAGATTCACTACCTAAGTAAGTAGGTCAGACGAAAGCGACATGATATAAGTGAGAAAAGGGCCTCAGTCAGCCGAGAGATAGAAGCCGTAAACCCAGCGCGAATCCATTTCATGAGGAGGGGATAAGAGGCAAACTCCTGAGTGATGAGTTGCCGTGGTCTGTACAGCCACCATCCCCACTAGCACTGCTACCATGAGAGTATCCAAAAATTGACAAATCATCACATGGAGGCCGTGTTTGTTCACACTGCCACAACACTAAGCGGGTGGACCTTGAAAGCATGTGGAATTCACTGTCTCCTCTTCGCAACACATGCACTGCAGCAGCGGCGAAAGGGAGGACAGTGTGGAAGACAAAACGTAATGTCCAATAATAGACCCTGAGAGGGGGGGAAGAAAAAAGAGACGCAAGATCTCGGAGACTGTGTAGCGCAACAACATTCCCTCCAGAGATCGAGCTCCGGTTCGTTACACTTCTGTAACACGTTCCGCCGAACAGCAGCTTCAACTCGCACAACCTCACGCGTAAAATTGGCAAGGATATCGGAAACAGCTCCGCATATGCAAAACCAACACGGCGATTGGTGATTTGCCACGACAGCAGTAACCTCCACGTCTTTTAAGCGGACAGAGGACAAATTAAACTTACGGAGCTGTCGTCGGAAAAGACTCCGTGATATGTATACACATGGTCCGTGTAGCTCGTGCCGTAATGTCAGCCTCCCCAGCCCAGCCCAGCCCAGCCCAGACCCCACCAGGCAGTTGACCCTGCAGCAAACTTTTCCCTAAAGAAGTAAGTGAGGTGGTGATGGGGTGGGCTATCCCGCCTCATCCCGCTCAACGGTTGTCCCCGCAAAAAAAAAAAAGTTGGGAGATAAAAAAACTCACGCGGCACGGTCATGCATCCTAAGGCAAGGGCAAGGGCAAGGGGCGGAAGACGGACGGGCGTGGAACAAGATAGAAAAAGAAAAAAAAGTTAAAACCAAGATATGGGCCCGCGTGGAAAGCGGGGAAACGTGGCGAACCCTTGCGGAGCAACTTCCGACCAATGAGCAATATTGCATTCAGGACACCGGTTATACTGTGGTGACGCAACGGCCTGATGGTTGGATGATGATCCCACAAAGAGTTGACGCTCTGCCCTCAATCAATCATGATGATTCTGGCTGACGTATCGAGATGCATGTGGTATATATCTCCTATTTGCTAGCCCTACTCCATCGCGTGGGGATCATACTCGTAGCTCCATCGCCCCTATTTTTAAACACACTCAACGTTTACCATTGCTTTGCCGTGATTGGCAGAGTGTCCGCTATCTCCACTGTATCCAGATTTCGGTAGCGGCGGCCCCAAGAACTGCGAGTGGTATCACAAAACACCCGCATGCAGCAGCCAGTTGACCCTGTTCACCCGGGCCGTAGCAACCTAAGCGGCTTGGACTAGACAGGGAGGGGGCGGTGAGCACATGGGAGGGGGAGGATTATGGGACGGGAAGAGATAAGAGTAAACCAGTAAGTAAAAGGGGCACACACGGGAGAGCGGCGGCTTACGTTTGCCGCGCGATTTGCTTATCTTAAAAAAAAATCTTAGAGGGAAAAGAAGGTTGTTCCCGTGAAGATGAGATGAGGAGAGGTTCATGGATGAGCGTGATGCTTGTGCGAAGCCAATCATTGTACTTGTAATGTCAGCGTGCTCTGTTGTGGAGAGAAGTACCACGCAATAGGCAAATAGTGCTGCAAGTTGCCAACGCCCTCAACGTTGGCCTGAGCTAGTGTGGTAGTAGTGGACTTGGCATCAACACCCTTTTGCCACCTCCACCCATCCACCCAGTACACCCAGGTCTGTAGCAGCGAGTGAAGAGTTGAATATCCTCGGAGTAGAAGATGGGGAAGCGAAGGCATTTTGAGATTCGGCTCATCGGAGCAGCCACAGAGTCACATCTTGGTGCGGGGCAGGGCCATCCCGCATTTCCCGCCTCACGCTGAAAATTTTTTACATGCAGAGAGCGGTTTGATGAGTGATGAGTGGGCGACTGAAAAGGTGCTAGGTCCAGGACTTCGTGGAATGCGTCCGTAAACCTGTCGCACCCATTCGTCCGGGAGAGACGGCATCCTAGTGGGGATACGCAAACGGCCATCCGTGAGGGTGGGCGTCCCGTAGAACAAAGTTCGGGATGTGCGGACAAATTAGGATGAAGGGCCTTGCGGGAACACGAGATTCGCGAATCTTGGTTTCGGGCTCAAGGCGATGCTTACACCTGCAGGGTCTCGGGGATGTCGCGGCTTCACCCTTTCGAAGGCTCCCACAGTAGTGCGGCATCGACGATGTGCTCCGTCTAGGCGCAGTCCGTGGGCCCTTCTAAGTGCTAGCGCCCAGCGCATGGAGTTTCTGACAAGCGCATGTGAGGCGTGATTGGAATGTAAATGAGATTGACGGACCCAAGGGGCTGGTCGCAAAGAAACCTCGGGGCATCTCTCGCATGATCGCGCATGCACGATGCGCGGCAGTTGACTGACAGCGGCGGGCCGTCCGGGTTGGGATGAGATCCCGTCTCGAGCAGGGCAACATGTGCAACCTTTGGCGAAACATGACTGTTCTCGCAGTGCTTACCTGTTCCGGAGAATGGAGGGGATCAGGCAAAGAGGAGCAACTTTCCAGGGAGGAGAAGGCCCAGAGAACCAGCCATCCCTGAGTGCCGCGCGTGTGCGTGTGCGCGCTCCCTTCTTGCTGTGGAGCCTGTGATGAGCGCGCGACGACGAGATGGCCAAAGGCTGGGTCTGGAGGATCAGCACCAGCCGCCGTTCTTCACCTCGGAGCGCGGCGCATTTGGTATTAGGCGACCTGTGCAGGGACAAAGCAGGTCAGCTCGCCAGGGTGGCGAAGGAGTCGGCACCAGGACACGGGCGCATGCGTCTGCGAGCTTGACAGGAGGAGCTGTTCCCAGCCGGGATTCTGGCAGAAATGTGTGTCTGCTGGTGCTGCGTCAGGCCAATAATGGAGCCAAGCCGAGGGCGGAGCAGCGGTGGCGCCGCGCAGAGACGAGCGGGCAACAAGCATGAGATGATGAGCCTGGCGCCTGGGCTGATGATGAATCGCACGCAGCCGCTAGCAACGGCGTTGCCCGCCGCGCTGGTTCGCAGCGCGGTCGAGTGACGGAAGAGGTCGTGACAGCAGCTGGCCGACGGCGGGAACGCGTCTTGTCGCTGGATGTGGACGCGATAATCTGGGGGCTGTCCCAGCTGGCGGGTCCGGCACGCGCGGGTGCACCGGCGAGGGCGCACGGGGAGCGTCGGGCGTATTTGGGGATGCGAATTGTGTGTGCCATCGATCGGGGAGCTGGCAGAGATCTGAGAGGGCGCGGCCATGGCTGCGCAGCCGCAGGCCACCAGACGGCGCGCTCGTCGCTCCTGCCCGCCTGGCTCTAGCGGCCGCGGGTGGCCTCGGCTGTGGTAGCAGCGGGATTAGTGACGGCCGGCGCACGGCGGCTGGACGAGGGCGCTGCTGCGAGCGCGGTACGTCACCGCAACGCAAAAGCCACGTGAGCAGGCGCACTGGCAGAGCATAGCTAAATCAAATACTGTGCACTCGTCGCGCCACGGGGCCACTGCTGCTCCGTCCCGCGCTGGACGAGGCCCAGAGGCAGCCGGCGCGCAGCACCCAATGGCCCCGGCGCGCGGCATGCGGGGGATTGGCCCAGGGCGAGTGACGTATCTCCGCGCTGGACAGGCTGGCACAAATTTAGGCTTCTCACATGCCGGTGCGAGCTTAATCAGACCTGTAGTCGCGCTGTCGTGCTGACACAGGTCGCTTCCCCGCTCACAGCCCCGCGCGCGGGCGGTCCAGGCCCAGGCTGGTGGTTGCAGAGCCTCACCAACAAGGCCAGGAGTCGGGAGGTGTCGGGCGTCGCCCAGGTGGCAGCCGGCCGGCAGGGCTAGTGGAAGGGGCCCTCAGGGCTGACGAAATAGGCGCGTACCAAGACCCATGCGGCCGAGTCGGCGAAGCGCAGGGCAAATCGGCGGGCGGCCATGGCAGCGTGTGGATGTGCTTGCGCATAGCGACCCAGATCGCGATCGCGACGCAGATAGAGTTCTCGCGTATCTATGTCCGTCCTCGTGCGGCAGCGCGCTCGCCGATCGGGGCGTGGGGCTGCCAATTTGCGCGCTACAAGCCAATGGCCTCGCACTGGTGGGCTGTCCGTGTCTCGCCGTCCGTTACCCTGTGCGCGATGCCAGCCAGCCGGGCAACCAGTACCTGGCGCCGGCACCCGCGCTGCTGGGACGCGAGGGCGTTGCGAGCGCTGCCACCGCGCCTGGCTCCGACCGACAAGGGGCACAAGGGCTGCGCTCATCAAGGGACCGACAGGGTCTGCCTCTGCGCGGGAATGGCTCCTGGGCTGGGAGTTGGGGACCCGCGCGCCGAGCGGCGCCCGCAACCCGGGCGGTGGTATGGTACCTATGTATGGCATGGCATGGCATGGCATGGCATGGCGAGGCAAGGCATGGAGCTACACGCCCTCGCGTACGGCAGGCTGTTGCTGGCTGCTGCTGGTGTGGTGCCGGTGTGGTGCCGGTGTGCTGCTGCCGGGCGGGATGTGGGCCGCCAGCTGGCTTGACGCGCTCGCAGATCTGGCGGTCGGCGGGCACGCAGCATGACGCAGCGGGAGGTGAGGCAGCTTGGAGCTGTGGAGCGGGCGGGCAGGCTTGAGGCTTGGGGCGGGCAGGCTTGGGGCGGGCAGGCGGGCAGGCTCGCTCTCGCGAATCGGGAATCCCAGCGCCGCACGGGGCACAAGATCTTAGCGCGGGAGGGCGGCCTCGATCGCGCGGCTGGCGCAAGGGCAGCCGAGGGGTCGCGCCGGCGGCCAGCCCAGCACAGCCCACACAGCCCACAGCCCACAGCCCGCCAGCGCGGCCACCCTCCACGCGCGACGCCGCCGCCTGCTTCCCGTCCGACGTTGGCTGCTAGCGGGCTCGCTTTCGACGCGCGCCGACACGCGCCGACACGCCTGCCACTGGCCCGCTGCTGTCGCCGGCCTGGTCGCCAGCCCCGCATCGCCATGCCCCGGAGCCCTGGTCGCCAGCTTTGTTGCCCAGCGCAGCAGCTCTGTACCCAAGCTCCTCCCGCCGGACAGCGCCACCCACTTAACTCCGCCCGCCCCGATGGCCAGCGCCTCCGCGCCCATCGTACAAGAGAGTGTGCTGCGCTCGATCGCTGCCCCCCAGGCCTCGACTATTGCCTGCTCCCATCGAACTTCCAGAAGCCCAGCGCTTGGTCCCCGTCCAAGTATTAAGAGGCGTGCGTCGACCATCCCCTAGGCCCCGATACGCTCTCCGGCCGCCCAGTCCGCTTTTTGCTTTTTATGCTGTTTGATTTGGCTCGGCCCAACTGCTGCAGCCCGCCCTCAACTTCCAAAACTTAACTGGGGTGTCGCCGTGTCGCCCCCGCTTCTGCCTTGCCACACCACCTTTTCTCCGCGTGGGAGTACCTGGGTTCGATATCAGTCGTTCCTTGACGCTCAATTTCTCAATTCCTCACGCTCCATCCCCCGATTGTCCCCTGCACCACCACCCGCCTCCACCCGGCCCCTGTCCCTTCACCACAGCCGTCCGCTCTCGGCCTCCGTCGGAACACACAAGCTCCCACACCCTTCACCATGCCGCCCGTCCGCACCGTGTCCACCGCGAAGCCCGTGAAGACGGAGCGCACGCACGAGGAGAACCAAGAGAGGTCAGTTGCGCTCGTCTGCGTTTTTGCCTTGCCCATTGCTGACGCCCCGCAGAGCATATATTGCTGCTTCGAGGCGAAGCGACCGCAGTCTGGAGGCTCGCATCGAGTCTGCCAGGAGGGCTTCGGAGATTCACAAGAAGCGGACAGGCCGCGCACTGCGTGTCACCGAGCAAGACGTGGTCAATGAAGAGATGTACGAGGAGGAGGACGATGACCTGCCGGCGCAGTATCGCAGACTCACTGCACACCTGCAGACCAACTCGGCCGATTTCAACCGCAAATTGCATGCATACCTCGCAACGCACCAGGCAGGGCGCCAGGCCCTGTTCGATCAAGCCATCATGGGCGGCTTCGGCCACACGTACCCGAACGCCCCCCATTTCGCACCGCAAATGATGATGCACCAGCCGCCCTACCAGCAGCAAATGCTGCCTCCGCAGATGATCCACCGGTCACCTCAGTCATTCCGCCAGGCTCCGTACCCGTCTCCGCAGCAACAGAACAAGCCTCTTCCGCACCAAAGGTCGCAGTCGTTCGCCGTACCGCAGGATTTCCACTATCCGCAGTCTACCGGCCCTGCCGCTTCGAGCCGAGCCGACTCGCTCACGCCCGAGCAGCAGCAGCAGCAGCGACGGATGTCTATGCCCGTACAGCCTGTCCGGGATCCTTCATTGTCGCCGACAGCTACCAGACCACCGAACCCTCACGGGATGGTGGCATCCAGGGACGGATCGAAAGATTCATCCAGGTCGCCACCGTCCACTTATGAGACGGTTCAGTCGCCATACACTGCGGCATCGACTCCTCAGTCTGCACACGCGCCGTTCATCTTCAACCCGGGCTTTACATTCAACAACTTCGAGGCCAGTACAGCCAACATGAACTACAGCCCCTTCTCCATGGCTCTCCCAACAGAGACGCAGCAGATGCTCGGACCTTCGTTGGACCCGAACGACCCCCAAACGGCCATGTTTATGGCCAATAGCGAGACGGTCCCGCAGCCCTTCTACAGCTACAACCCCAACTTGCCCACAAAGGGTCGTATGCAGCACCACAACCAAGGCATGAACCAGACACTTGCTCCTTCGAGTGGCCCATTAATGGACATCAACCCCCAAAACCTAAGCTACAACAATGCGCTTTCCTATCCGACAGCGTCCGAGGAGATGGCAGCGGCGTTCAACCCGTCGTTTGGATTTGACGCAACCTACGCGGAGCCGGTCAAGCCAAGCAGCATGTCTCGGCAAGTCAGCCAGCAGGGCAGCTCCGGGCTCATCACTCCTGGCGCCGAGTGGTCCAACTTCATTGATGGCACGCTTTTCGAAGAGATGCCAGCATCTCAATAACGGAAGGCGTCCTGGTCTCCGACGCCATTATTTAATACATTATTTCGCGATCTATTCAGTTTGTTCGATTCATCGAGGCATCGATTCGGCATCTATCCGCCGCGTTGTCCACATAGGAGTTCTGGCGAAGGGAGCGACCTTGTACTGACCAACGAGACTTACGGACGACCTGCTTTGGCTTCTGGGGCCATACGTTCTGCCTCGGTTCATTTTCCCTCGGGCTCCAGGGCTTGGGCCATTACTCAAAACGCTGCTGGCGCTGTGGAGTCATTTTATCACCGAAGCGACGTCTTTGTTATTTTCATTTTTATTTTCACGGCCGTCGCCGCGGCGGAAGCTTATTCGAAGGAGTCTGAAAAGATCTCACCTCTTGATACACCTTGTTTGATTATGCCATGCATGATAGGGTATTGGTACCATGGCGGAGGGGAAGGCCGGCGTAAGCTTGCGGGAAGGGTTGGGTTCGGAGAGCGCACGCGAATACCCGGACTTTTCCTTGGGCAGTGAATAACAGAAACCATAGCAAAGCTGTTGTCAACGATGGCTCCCTATCGCATGTGATGATCTCGGCGGTGGAACCTGCAGACAGGCGGGCCATCTGCTGGGGCTGGGGTTGCAAAGCGCGCCGGTTCCACCCAGCACATTGGCGGCACACGAGAGGTTTCGGGCATGCAACGGCGCGGTGCTCAGGGGCGGGCAGGTCTGGCAACACACGGTCTCGAGCAGATGTCTCTCGGACGCAAGCGACGTGCCTGGGGGCTGCGGGCTGCGGGCTGCGAGAGCGGGCAACAGCGGGCGGCGGCAGGGCGAATCACAGGCAGGCCGGCATGTCGGGGCCCAGCATCCGCCAGCAGGTGCGTGGGTGCAGCGCTGCAGCGCCGCAGCGCCATCTGATGACAATCATCACCCGCAGCCGCGACACCGCTCAACGCTACCCCCTGGCGCTAGCAACCGCCAGTCCCAATCGCCTGAAGTCTATGTACACATCGGGCGGCGAGCAGAGGCTACACAGCGCCGCGCGAGAGCAAGAAAGGCCGCTCACTACTACCACGTACTGACCCTACCTAGGCAGGTAAGCTGGGACACCGGGACACGGTCGTCGTCGGCCGTCCGCCATCCTTCCCGCGCCCCGGCCTCCAGTAGGTACCATTATTAGCAGCCTTGGCCTGCCACCTGCGTCGGCAGGATGGCTGCGGACGGGCGCGTGCGCGCGCGCGCGCGTTTCGCATTTTGTTTTTTGCGCCCCTCCGCCGCTGCCGTCGTCTCCGCGGCGTCGTCGGCCGGCGTGTTTTTTTCTTTTTGGTCTTTGTGATGGGTGGCACGCAGGCCAGCGGGCCGCCCGTGTCACCTACCCGCTCCGGCCCTGCCCAACGCTTCTCGCCGTGGCCCGGCTCTTGTCCAACCCACGCCGTGTCACGGCTTCGTGTCGCCCGCGAGGCAGTCAGCTGCTCGCCAGCCCCGCGGACGAGGCGCCGCCGCCGACGGCTGTGCCTGGGGGGGAGGAGGAGGAGGAGGAGAATGCGGTGGCGATCGTCAGGCCGGGGCCATCATGTTGCAACGGCCTCGCACGTTGCAGCCGCCGCGCTGCATGTCTTGGCCAGTCGGCGTGACACTCTGCTCGCCCGCTAACGACAGCATCACAATCTTCATGCCAACACCGCTCCGGCACCTTCGAGTACCTGTATTCCGACGTTGAAGTGCGCTCAGTCCGACACGCCCCGACACGCCTGCCACGCCTGCCACGCCTGCCACGCTCTAACGCGTGGCCTCCACCTTCTGTCGTTCCACGTCGGGCCCTGCGGCCCTGCGGCCTGCCACTGCTGGCGCTGGACTGCCATCCGACCCACCACGACGCGGCCACAGCATCACGAGTCAGCCAAGTGGATATGACGCACGATCGGCCGGCGTGTGCCGATGCCAGTCCCCAGATATTGTCTCTTGAGTTTCTGCAGTCATCGTACGAGCAAAACCCAGCCGTGTGGACCAGTGCCGGCCGAACACTGGGTCTTGCTGCGGGGAAATCGGAAATCTGCATGCCGGGAACACGCATAGCATATGCATTTCATGTACATACATGAGGCGGGTCCCTCGCCTTGCGGCTTTCCACGGTCGGCTCCCTCCCGCTGCGCCTCCGGCCCCTCCGCCTCGCCGCCGTGGGAGACGTGGCCGGGCTGCACACGCCCTTCCCGCCCGTGGCTTGTCCATGATACTGCGAGCCTGTCTGTCAATCTGTCAGGCGTCGGTGCTAATGGCTGTTCCTGCATAACTTGCCCCATTCGTGCGTTCCACCACAGACGGGTACCTGGGCCTGTGTCTTTCCAGCTTCCACCAAGCTTCTTTGCCTCAACCACGCCATTGTCCGCCTTGAAAACCATCCTCTGGGAATTAGCAGCTGGCAGCTCAACTGAGCAACACTAAGCACCTCTGCCATGGAATCTTCGTCTTCGTGCCCGTCTCCGCTTCCCTTCCGTGACAAAAAAAGACCCTTTCGGTGCAATGACGGAACGGCTACGTGTAACTCTTGATGATCCCACCGTCAAACCTCTTGCGCCTTCGTAGACCGGTTTTACGATATACCGAAGCGTTGTTAAGCAAGCGTTGAAACCACGTTAGCTCTAGTCCCTCAGCCTCGTACAGACCATATTTTGAACAATGAAACATTCTGAAGCGAAACATAGACGTTATACGTTACCCCTCCACTATCAAACCGAGTGAACATTGGAACTGGCTGGTGCCGTGCATTCTCTGCAGCATCCGAGGGATACACGAGGCAAACGGGAGCCGGCAGAATTGTGCTGGGGGGGGGGGCAACGGATTCTGGGTACGGTGACGGCACCGCCTTCTCCCGTCGGACGTGGCGACGGCTGCACCACATGGCTTCCCATCCAAAATGGAATTTCCTTTGTTCTGAGTGAAGCATACCCGTCCGCGACGGGAGAGAATAAAAGGGCATTGGCCTGCTGCTTCCCTTTTTACATCGGCTACTTGTGCTCGTGCCCCTTCCTAATCCACACTCTGGGTTGTTGCTGCTTTGCCCACCCTTGAGACTTTGGCAGTTGTTCATCGTGTGAAGTGACTGGTTGATTGATCGGGTGCCGGCAACATGTGGTTTCTCGGGCTGCTGCTGGCTTTGGCTGTGGGGTTTGGATCTGGGGCGGCGGAGTCTGATCCCTTCGATTGTGAGTTGATATCGCGACTGTTGGTCCTCAAGTCTTAGGTCCTTCCTTTGGTTCGAGCTCGAGGCTCTGTTGGACTTCTTCATCTCTCAGCTTCCATACAGCCGCAGCCTCTGGGATGATTCCTCACGAGAGAAACATCCACTAACTTTGCTCAGTCAACGTCCCCAGAGGTCCTAGCCAGAAACACCCACGCGGAGCCGCAGAAACCACCTTCCCGGGCATCTACCCCCCTTTCAACCCATCCACTTGTGTAGCCACATCCACCTCGATCACTTACTCGACCGTTTTGGTCACACAAACCGTCACTCCCTTCCCCAAAACCGAGACTTCGTCCTATCCTCTCATCAGCGCTACGCTCGTCACTCCACCAACCATCTACACGACGTCGCCGACAGACTGGAGCGTCTATCCCATCAGCACTAACACGCGTTGTTTCTCTCTCGTCGATGGAGCTTCGTCTTGCTTCACGTGGACAGATGTTTCCTCGATCTACACCGGAACTTCGACCACCCTCCTTTCTGCGAGCACTACCGGAGAATCGACCATCACTCGCTCAGTCCAGTCAGCTCCTTCGACCACGTCGGGTATTGTCGGCACGACAAGTATCTACACCATTCCGGAGGGCTCGTCTTCGGTTCCGTATTCCTCTTACACTTACACTCCCTCGCAACCTCCTCAAAGCAGCAGCGAGTCCAACTACGGACCTCCTCCGTCTTCTCCAACGTACGTCTGCTTCTGGTCCTTATTCCATCGCTTAGGGGCATGGTCGAGTATGACTTTCACTTGACGTGGGCTAACATTTTCGTCAGGTCACCCACAACATACACCATCTTACCGCCCTCGCCAACTTCTCCGTACACGATACTGACGACATTAACTCCGTCCACACCCGCGCTATCTTCCGTTTTCCCGACCACGTCGGAGCTTTCCTACATCTCAGTCACTACGGTTTACTACACCATCTCTGGCGTTGCCCACTCCGCCACCGTTTCGAACACAGAGTACACTACACTCACCTACCCATACCCTTCTGAATCCTGGCCAACAACCGTCACCATCACACCACTTCCAAGCCTCACCTATGCACCTTCGTCATGGGAGTCGACGTACAACCCTGAGTCTACATCGGTGTACACGATTTCGAACTCGGAAGTGACGTACACGGGGACGGTGACATATCCCAATTCCGAGTCTTCTTATTACCCCTCAGAGACTACTGAAACTTGGTACACTCCCACCCCCTCGACGTATACGTACACCCCCTCCTACTCTTACACTCCATCGACATACACGTACACTCCCTCCTACTCTTACACTCCATCGACGTACACGTATACTCCAAGCTTTACCTACATCCCGACCTACACATACACCCCGTCAACCTACACGTACACCCCAACCTACACATACACCCCGTCAACTTACACCCCGTCAACCTACACGTACACCCCAACCTACACGTACACCCCGTCGACCTACACGTACACCCCAACCTACACATACACCCCGTCGACCTACACGGAAACTCCAACCTACACATACACCCAGTCAACCTACACGGAAACTCCAATCTACACGTACACCCCGACCTACACATATACTCCGTCGACCTACACCTACACTCCAACCTACACATACACCCCGTCAACATACACGTACACCCCAAGCGAATCCCTTGGCCCCACTTACACTTACACACCGACCTACACTGAATCGACATACACCTACACCCCTACCTACACCTACCCTGAGACAACATATGTTCCGACATACGCGACCTACCTCTCGTCAATCTACCTTACGTATACTCCTTCAACATACATCGGAACGACCTCGTACATTCCCACCTACACGGCGACTGAAATCTCCGGCACGTCAACGTACGAGACGACCTACCCCGGCATTCCGACTGCGTCTACATACACCTCCGTCATCTCCATTGTAACGTTAGAGACAAGCACTCTCCAGACTCCAACCCCAATAACTCTCAGCACGGCCACAATATCCTGGACGGACACGACCTTCACAAGCATCGTTTCAGTGCCGGCTGAAACCACAACGTCGCCGGCAGAATCGGTATCGCCTATTTTGACAGGATATACCCCGTCAACAGTGTACAGTGAATCAACAACCTACACCACAGGCCAACCCGTCGTAACGTACTACACGACCTACACGATATACCCAACCACCTTCACCGAAACCTACCACACCGTCTCCGCGGCCACCATTTCCCTTCACCATACCACGTACACGACATATTACACCGTCCCAGCCACAGACACTTACACAATATCGACGCCTTCCATCCCGTCATACGGCCCGACGGAAACTCCACTGCCCACATCCACCACCGTCCACCCAACAACGACTCTGACTCCATACACGACTATTACTCTCACACCGCCCCACTCAGTTCCTTCAACGACCCTCGGGGGCGTCGTCCCATCGGGATACACTTGGAGCTACTCCACCTTCACCAACACCATTTCATCCTCCATTTCCACCACCTACACTGAATCCTTCCTCGTCCCCTCTGTCGTAACTACCACGGTGTACTACACGCCACCCGGGTACACAGGTCCAGCTTCCGAATCCACATCTACCTACACGCCATCCTACACGCCATCCTACACGCCATCCACCACATACACCAACTGGTTCTCCACGTACACGCCTTCCTACTCCACATACACGCCGTCCTCCACGTACACCCCGTCGTATTCTACATATACGCCTTCCTACTCCACGTACACGCCTTCCTACTCCACATACACCCCATCCCACTCCACATACACGCCAACAATCCCCTTCCCCTCATGGACCCCCTCATGGACCTCCCCATGGACCTCCCCCTACCCCATCGCGACGACAACCCTCTACGCCACCACCGAAACCGCCACCGCGACGACGACCCCGTCCACCCTCCTCACCCTCGTCACCACCACCACCCTCGTCACCACCACCGAGTGCTCCACCTGGACCGACGCCACCGGTGGCGTCGTCGTCGTCTCCGGCACGCCCGTGTATACGATCGAGACGGCGGTGGCGGTGCCGGTGGCGGAGGTTACTGGGGTTGGTGGTGGGTATGGGGCGAGACAGAGGAGGGGGGTCAGGGGGGGAATGGGGATGGGGATGGGGAGGGGGAGGGGGGGAGAGGAAGGCGGTGAGGAGGAGGTTGGGGAGCGTCATGGGAATGGGAAGAGGGGGGTGGCGTGTAAGGTGTGAGGTTTGAGGTTTGATCTCCTTGTTCTTTTGTTTTCTTTTCTTCGCACCCTCCTGGGTTAGAAGGAAGGGCGGGGAGGATGGTGCGGTGGGAGGTGGGGATGGAGATGTGATGCGGTGTGGATGTGGTGAGTGGGGATGGACATCGAACCGGGCTTTTTCACTTTCGCACATTCCTTTTTTTTTTTTGGTCCTCTTCTTCTTCTTCTACTTGTACCCACCACCACTGCCACTCTCTGCTTTGGCTTGTCTGCTCTCCGGATGGAGGGACGGCTGGATTGTGGATTGTGGACGGTATTGATGGCTACGATTTTGTGGATGTTTTTTTTTTCTTTCTTTTCTCTTTTTGGCCCCGTGTCCATTACGTTCTTCATCAGAGAGAGACGTCGGAGAGATGGTGCTATACTTTTCTTCTTCTTTTAATCTTCTCGACGTTCTTTGATGATGTGAGGTGGGTAGGGGAGAGGGGCCGTCTATCCATGACCATCCCCATTTGTAGTAACTTCCCAGTGGAATTCTCTCTTCACTTGGTGCAGGCAGGGGCTCTCTGCCGTCACTGTATTGAATGTTTCTGACAAATTGTTACTTGTGTCGGTTTGTGAACTTGGTGACGGTGACTTTTTTTTTTCCGTGGATGAAGCGGCCCCTGCCGGTCTTTTGAACGGGATGATCGGGTTCGACATTAGGGGTTAACGGATGGGACGGATGCGAGACTGGCGCTGGGTTGTGGCTCGTTTCTTCACCGCCGCCGTCGTCGGCGGCGAAACAAAGCACGTCGTGGCTGGCCGATTCGCCGGGCTTAGCAAGTGTGCGTCGAAGTCGTGGCATTAAAAGGAGAAAGTTGGGCATACACCGAACGGCCGGGAGCGAGCCGAGACTTTCCATTTTCGCCGAGACATCCACGGTGGCTCCCACACCGTAGGCGCTAGATGGGGGAAGTGGGCCCCAGCTTGAATCGTTCATGTCTGTGGATGCTCTTTCAGATGCTTTGGGGGCACTTCATTGAGTAATGGCATGTATATGCTAAACAACGTGATGCTTTTTTCCGTGGCCACCGAGTCGACTATCTAGACAAGGAGAAATAATCTACCTAGTAGTCATGGCGCATTGGCTGGAACGATCGATGGAGGCTGTTATGGCAAAAGGAGGGGGTTTTGGACAGCTGGCGCTTTTTCCCAAGGTCATCATGCGAGGGTTTCTGCCGCCGGGCGTCCTGCGAGGATTGCTGTCTTGATTATCTCGGAAGCCATCACGGCGTATCAAAGAACTTTCTGCAGCAACTTGCAGTTGGAGGTGCTCTGGCCTGTCTCATTGAGGCAAAGGGAAAATAAAGGTCCTCAACAGTCCCGTAAATGGCGCCAAGTGGTTCGGTCCGTTCGGCACCGCCTTGACGGGTACCATGGCGTGTGCCATTTCTCCTGACTGATGATTTCGATAGAGTTCCGCTGCTCCTTTCGGTGGTGGGGTGTAGTACTCGGGTCCGCTGTCCAATGTTGCTTCTTCGGCGCCGGGAAGCCCCCAAACATGTGTTGTATTCTCGAATGCTCGCGCGTTTGTCATTCAATAACAGGCGAGCGAGCGGGGCACCGAGCGGACAGCTCTGTTGGCATGACGTCGACTATGGTTTTAGTTGACGTTGCGTGAACATGGCCGATGATGGCGATGAACTTCCCGCATCCCCACTGCGGAGCTCGAATAAAAAGTGGTCCAACCAAGGCACCTTCTTCTGATTCAACTGCGACTTTTCGACGACGGATCGGAGAAAAGGAGGAAGACTTACCGTGTCGTCTTACGTGGTTCATCAACGGTTACGTACCTCAATCCGCGGTTCAAAGCCGGCGTGGGACCAACAGGCACTATGAAGGAGTGTATGTGCTGTGCGACAAGGAAGCAGGGCTGGAAGAAATAGATTAAGAAAGACCCGAGGAGCCATCACCCGGACACCTCTCCGTCGGAACCGCAACCGACCGGTCATCATGGCCTGCATTACCTACTCCCCGCGTCTTGAAACGGGCTATACCCTTTTGATCGACACTCGAACGGCTGGGCAAGCTCCAGAAGTGCGTGCGTAAGAGACACGGACCAAGCACATCGCGTGGAGGGATGGACGCTTTGACGACACCACCATGGGGGCGGATGTCGTGGCTGGATGGGCTGCAACGCCGGCGGCGCGGGGCGCAGGGCTGAAGGGCTGAAGGGCTGAAGAAAGCTCGTCAACTACTCTTCTTACATGTTCGCTTTCAAAGCCATCAACGAAAACTCTCCCTCTCGTCAACGGATGCACATGCCATCAATCCGACGATGGGCGGGCATTGTTCGGCAATACATGAGTCGTGGAAGGGGACAACGCGAGCATCTCCTTGTCTCTCTTGTTCCCAAAAGGGGAGAGAGCACGCGAGAGAGACAGAGATGCAGGTTACCTCGTGTTTTTTTCTTCCATCGGCAAGGGGATGGTGCGCGCCTGACGATGGACATGCACCACACCACCACGTTGCGACGTTCGGCTCCTCCGCTCATCTCCCGCGGAAAAGGCGGCCAGCCCAGTAGATTCAAACTTTGCTTGGCGATAAACGAGCCGAGGCCGTGAGTCGTGGCGGCGTCCCATCTGGCCCTTCTTTCGTGATGTTGCCCATTAGGGTTTGTTGAACTCTTCGATGCTCACTCGGCGCCTCTTTGGCTCAACGCTGCTCCCAGACCAGAGTGCCGCGACACACATCCACTCAGAAATTAGAGCTTGGTCTGCAGGAACCGGCGATTCGTTTCAGATCCACTCTGCGGATTCTCCGGCCAGCGAGGAGTGTTTTCCCGAAAGCCTCGTCTCGAAATAGCCTCCTCGCCCCACTGTATCTCTACCCTCGCCTGGCCCAGCTAGACCTTCCTATAGGGCGTCTGAGGCAACGGTCCCGCCGAGACGGGTGTCCCTGGAACACCACCCGGCTGGGCAGGGGTCGGCGGTGGAGCTGGGCTACGAATGCAGCAGGGTTCGGCCGCGAACAAGCATGCGGGAGGAGATTGTAAGTTTATGCGGCTCCTTCGAGTGTCTTACTCTTCAAACCCTTCTGTTCCCTGGTGACCTGTGGCTGAGCAAACACTCTAGCTTTCGAAGCGGATGCGGCGGATGCTACAAGTCGATAAGCTCAGTTGCTTTGCTTGGGGGAAAAGTCTCTCCTTCAGGGACGTGAGGAGACCCACCGCAGCCCGTTGCTCTCGACTGTGAACCCAAGAACGGTAGTGCTTGGCGAGTGGAGGAATGCTTCAAGAGGGTGGAGAACGGATACCTGGTGCCGCGCCGCGCCGCGACTCGTGCCTCTGCATACCCCTGCGACTGCTCCCTCCCATCACCCGTCGCCCTTACCCACATGAACCACAGCCACAAAGTGACACTCCATAGGGCTGCAATCGCGGCGCAGCAGCATCCCTGCCAGCCGCCATGCTTCCCGGCGCCAGCACCTTCCAGCCCACCCTCGGACTTCCCGGCCGGTCTGGCGTAGCGGTAGCTGTCTTGACTCGCTTTCTCAGTTACCCGCAGTAGTGAGTAAAGAGCCAAGCCTGCAGAGGCGAGCGGCCCTCACAACTCGGTTGTGCGGCCACTGAGTCGTGAGCCGTTTGTCAAACATCCATCCAAACCCCTCCTCTCATATAAAAGCCCAACCACGCCGTTTCCCTTCCCACTAACCAGCCGGTCTCTCCTCGATCAAACACAACACTCGCTTTCGTTCAACACCAACCCTCTTTCGCCACCACCACTCTTTTTACCAACCAACCAACCAACCGACAAAATGGCCTCCGCCGTCGCTATCACCATCCTCACCGGAGCCGCCTCCGCCGTCATCACCGCCGCCATCAACCAGGTCGCCCCCACCATCTCCGGTCTGGGCAGCTGGGACGAGGCCCGCGAGGCCTTCACCCAGCAGACGGTCAAGACCATGTGGGACAACCGCTCGTCCGACTACGGCGCTGCCATCTGCTACAACATGGCCTACGAGGTCTCCAACACCGCCCTCATGTACGAGAAGACGAGCGTCCAGCTCGAGCAGGACCTCCTGCACACCGATTACGATTGCTTCTACATGAACGGTCCTGGTACGTTGCGATACGCCCTCCTCTTTTTTGTTTTTCCCTGCTCTTTTTTTTTGGTCGAATTCGTTCGTCCGATCCGTTTAATGAAGTTGGGCATTTTGGCTGATGAGACGGGTGAATGCGCACAGACAACCACTTCTGGACCCAGGGCGATGGCGGCTACATCAACCTCGCCATCTACCACGACGAGAGCAAGTGCTGGTACGACGACAACACCGCCGACCTGTACTGCCCTTAAATGTGTGCGACAAGGATTCCCCCGAGCTTCTGGATCTTTGGGAAGAAGTCGATTCCTTTTGGTCGGCTTCCGAAGAAAAATGCAGGCGCGAGGGCGTTGGGGATTCTTTCTCCGTTCATTGTTTTTGGTTGTAAATATTGCAGGCAATTTGTTCTTCCTTTGCCCTCTCAGGCGCTGTTCCAGCGATTGTCAATATGCATTACGCAAAAAATAGAGGGTTCACAAATAGAATGTTTCTCCGAGTGGAAAACTGGACACGTGTGTGGCTTTGGATACCTCCTGGGAAAATGCGGTGATCGATATGAAATGGAGTGACAAGCTGAGCTGTATTCGTTCTTCTGCTGTGCAACGAACTTGTGCGTCATAGCACAGAGGCTGGCACTCCTGCTCCGCATTCTTTCTCCCTAGGAAGTTGCTGAATCAAAGTGGTGTGAAGAGTGGTTGCAACTGGTGAACCGTGGCTTGATTGAAGCTGATAGGTACGGACGCGTACCACATGACAGATCACGAGGCTTGTCTGCCAGGCACTGTGGGCTCCCTCGGCGACGATGCGATTGATTTGGAGCGTGAAGTGCGGTACTCGCGAGTCAAGGTGTAATAATGTTCAAGTGCTGGGTGGGAATGTAGCGCGCAGATCTCCCGAATGGCGTGTGGATGCACATGGGTGTTCCCTAGCTCCCGGAGGATCCTACGGTTCGAGGCGAATTTCGAAGGCGCTCGTAAGCGGTCTTAGTAGTTCCTGGTGTGTGGCTTCAGGCAGACAGCTGTCTAGAGATGCCATGAGTTGTGGGGTGCCTGATCCGGACGCCTCATTCCACTCGGGCGGTAGGTCGAATGTGCACGACACGACTCGACATATTCTGAGACATTCTACTAATTTAGCTGCAGTCTGCAAGTGATTTGTGTTTTAGAGTGTGTTGCGGTTTGTTCGATATGTCCGGGAGCTATATGTCATGGTAATACCTACTCAGATCTTGCAGAGCTTTGAATCGCCCTGTTCCGAGAACCATAACGCTCTTCTGCCGCAAATTTGAGAGGGCAAAAACCTCTTCAGAGGAAGATTGAATGTCTGGTCTTTGTATGGTAGCAGCGTGAGGGATGATTTTCCGACAAACCTGCTCGCCGTGAAGAATCTGCGGCACTAAATCGAGTGTATTGATGATGATGATGCGGGGTAACACTGCTCCTCTTAGGAAGAGATGTAAATCGGTTGCAGGGTAGAGCATGACGAGTGATGATGCTCGAGTCATGGCGGTGGTTCGTGATATGGACGTCATTGGATGGAATCGGATATATCGGGTTTGCAAAGGCATGTGCAAACCCGTAATTCCGCACTCGAAGCACGAAGATGTCAGCACAAAAGCCAGCGGACTAACTGGTTTCGGGCATGCGCTGAGCTGCAGCAGTGACATAGGGCTGGAATCCTCGTCGGAGCCATAGCCGACGGAGTTGAGTGCATCACCGCCGCGCCCAAGACTCCCGAAAGATCAACCGTTAGCACAAACTTGAGTCGTTTACAGGTCCGACTGGGGTCCGCTGTTGCCTCCCATCCAATCACCGGCGTACGCATCACACCATATGCTACGTAGCCTAGCCATCACGGCCAGGAGCGCGGGCCGCCTGGAGAACCTCTGCTCGGAGCCTTCTCCTTACGACGTTCGAAGTTGTAGAGCTGGAGGCTGCACTAGGTCAGCTGACGGCACGTTTGGTGCGATGGATGTGGAGGTGGGCCGACGACCTTGTTTCGTTGTGCGAGATGGAGTGAGGCACGACGACTAGCCGACCCTACTTCGGAGCGACGGCCGGCTGCCGTTGGTGACAGCGGCAATCAATTTCGACGACTCGACTCGGCTAGCGGCATCCGCTCTAGCGCGACCCTGGCTTGAACCTGAACTCCTTTGCAACCAAGAGCTGACATGCTCCAGCGCTGCAGCTGAGTGGCATGTTGAATGCAGAACTGAAGCCAAGCTTCACGGCCAGGATCTACTGTGATGGGTTGCACATCAGCTGAATCATGACCGCCAATCCATGCCAGGTCGAGCGTTGTGAGAGTTCGACCTTCGGCCCATGAAGGCGATGTGGTAGCGCGCGGCCAACAAGAACGGCTGTGTGGACCGTAATAAGCCAAGCCATGACATAGGAGTTTCAGGAATACTGGAGCCGTTACAGTCCTAGAGCTTGAAAAAAGAAAAAAGGCCTGGTCAGCTTCGTCGGAATGAGAATCGGGCAGCGGCCTTTGGCCGAGAATCGTGCAGCCAAAGTTCCCAGAGTTGATGTGGCGCGATGCGATAAGCACTGGCTCGTGCCTGCGGAACGCTGGGGAAAGCACGTGAACACGCAGCGCGGAGACCAGGCTTGTGGTGTTGAGCTCATGGAGCTCCGCCGATCTCCCACGGGGCGGCTGCGGCTCCGCGAGAGCGTGGGGCGGACGGCGGCGCCAGTGGCGGCGGGCTTGAAGAGCCTTGAAGAGACGCACAAAGCGCAGTCACGTGAAGAGAGCGATTGCGCACGACGACGGGCGGCTGGACGTGAGATGGCCATGATGCGCGGCAGCTTCTTCACGCGTCAGCCGGAGCCGGCGAGGGCGGGTGGCGGAGGAGGGCGGTCGGCTGGGGTAGGCCGGCAGCCCGTGGCCCGGGGCCTGCGGCTGGAAATCTTGGCGCGGCTTCACATTTCTGTTTTGACCGACCACGCTGCACATCCGCCCCCAGACATCAGCCTCCGTGTCCGCCGTCACCTCGACGACTCGTCCTCAAGCCCACCGAGCAGTGCCCGCGCGGATTTGACTATCTCGCGCTCCTCTCAGCGACCGTCTGCGCGCCACAACCACCCAGTGCCGCCTCCACTGCGAAGCCCTGCCCAGCGCGCCTCCCGCCGATTCCTGGACAAAGGAATCTCCTCCACGCTCGCCGCCTTGCGACCGCACTGCTCCGACAACTTGCCCTCGCCCCATCCTGCTCCGCGACCTGTGACTTTCGCTAGTCATGGCTGAACTGACGCAGTTGGCCTGTGAGCCTGTCTTCCCCTGCCGCTACTGCGACCACAGCGCTGACGTACTTCTCCCTCGCAGACCGCACTTTGAAGGGCATTGGTGTCCTGAACGCTGCCCCGGTCTACGACGACCTTCCGGGTCTCGACAAGTGAGTGCATTCGACCACCGCTCCCGATCAATCGTTCGTGCTGACCCTTGTCGACAGGCCCGAAGGCAACCTTCGTTGCTGCTGTTACTCTCCCGACGGCAAGTACTTTGCCTGGGCGTCACCCGAACAGTAAGGCTCATGCTCCACGGAAGCATCGATGTTGTGCTGACACTGTGGCAGGGTCTCCGTCATTGATGCCTCGACCGGCCAAGTCGTCACCACGCTACCCGCCGAGAACGTCTTCGAGCTTGGATTTTCACCTTTGGGCACCTACATCATCACCTGGCAGCGCGCCACAAAGGACGAGACCGGCAATGCCGTCAAGAACTTGAAGGTCTGGAGGACCATCGACGACGGTGCCGGAGCTGAGGGACAGAGGAGTGTTGTTGGCCAGTTTGTGCAGAAGAACCAGACCGGCTGGAACCTGCAATACACTAGCGATGAGCAGTTCTGCGCGCGTTGCGTCACCAATGAGGTGCAATTCTACCAGAGCGGCGACCTGGGAACTGTCTGGAATAAGCTCAGGATCGAGGGCGTCACCGACTTCGCCCTCTCCCCCGGCAAGAACCACTCGCTTGCTGTCTTTGTCCCCGAGCGCAAGGTATGTCCAATTGCCCCTTCCCGCTCTTGTTTCTGCCTAACCTGAACTAGGGTCAACCCGCCAGTGTCAAGGTCTTCCTTGTGCCGCAGTTCCAGTCGCCCGTCTCGCAGAAGACTTTCTTCAAGGGCGACAAGGTGCAGATGAAGTGGAACAACCTTGGCACCAGTGTCATCGTGCTTGCTCAGACCGACGTTGACAAGTCCAACAAGAGCTACTACGGCGAGACGAACATGTACATTCTAAGCGCCAACGGTGGATTTGATGCGCGTATCACGCTTGGTAAGTCAATCGCCGACAAACCGTCTTTAGGAAAGGCTAACTTAAATGTAGACAAGGAGGGCCCCATCCACGACGTGACTTGGTCGCCCAACTCGAAAGAGTTTGGTGTTGTGTATGGATACATGCCGGCGAAGACCACCATCTTCAACCAGCGCGCCGTTGCCACGCACAACTTCCCTCTTGGACCGCGTAACACCATCCTCTTTTCTCCTCATGGCCGCTTTGTTCTTGTTGCCGGCTTTGGAAACTTGGCCGGTCAGATGGACATCTATGACCTGGAGAAGGATTACAACAAGGTGTGCACCATCGAAGCCGCCAACTCTTCGATCTGCGAGTGGAGTCCGGATGGAAAGCATATCATGACCGCCACCACCAGCCCGCGCCTCCGTGTGGACAACGGTATCAGGGTCTACCACGTTACCGGTGGCCTTCAGTACTTCACCGAGTTCAACGAGCTGTACCACGTCACCTGGCGTCCCCAGTCAACCGCCCAGTACCCGTTGGACAACCCGCTTGGCTCTGCTCCCACCCCTCACGAGTCTGCCGCAAAGTTCCTCGCTACCGTCAAGGCCCCCACCAAGCCTGCTGGTGCGTACAGGCCTCCAGGTGCTCGTGGCACCAGCACGCCTCTTCACTTCAAGCGTGAGGATGAGGGCGGTGCTGCGTACATCAACACAGGCATCTCTTCTACTAGTGGCAACATGAATGGACCTACCTTTGGCCGTTCCCGCCGTGCCGTTCCGGGCGCCGAGGAGCATGTCCCGCCCGGTGCTGCTCCTGGTGGAGGCGTCAGCCTTGCGGGCACCGGTGAAGGTGCTGATGAAGGCCTTTCTAAGGCTGCTTTGAAGAACAAGAAGAAGCGTGAGGCTAAGAAGGCCAAAGAGGCTGCTGAGAGGGCAGCTGGCCTGAACGCTGGACAGCAGCAGGCTAATGGAACCAGCCCTGATCGTAAGGGCCGCAGCCACTCACGCAACCGTTCCCGCAACGGCCCTGATGGCCGTGCTACTTCCCAAAACCGCCGCGGTAACAACCAGCAGAACCGCAACGGTCAGGCTCCTGGACAGAATGGTCAGCGCAACCCTGGTCAGATCCAGACCCAGCAGCCCGTGCAGCCGGCTCCTCCGGTTGATGCTCCGGAGCTCACCGTCACCTCTCCCGTCGGCACCTCTCCTCAGGACAAGAAGATCCGCTCGCTGATGAAAAAGCTCCGCGCCATCGACGACCTGAAGATGCGCCAGGCGAACGGTGAGAAGTTGGAGGATACGCAGATCAAGAAGATCAACACTGAAGGCTCGATCAAGAAGGAGTTGGACGGACTCGGATTCCAAGAGTAAGACAGCACCGTCGTTGAGACAGCTTGAGCAGTCTTGTGATTTCTTCATCTTGTGTTTCGGGTTTCAGCCTGCTTTACGTTTTCAAGACGGGCTAATGCTTGGAGACTTCGGTGTGGAGTTCTTTCCGGAAGCTTTCTATGATCCAGCGGTCTCTTCTTTTTGCTAGTGCGTTCAGGCGCCTTGCTTTTCATTATTCTTTCTTCTTTCCCTTCTACCTCACCCTACTCTGAGTCCTTTCTTGGATTCGGAGGGTTCCATGGTCCACTTCGCTGTGGACAGGCTTGACTGGGTAAGAGGTACGCCATCTTCCGATACTGCTGTATGGGTATACGGTTCGAAATGAGTGGCTATGGAAAAGTACGAAAGAGGGCGACAGATGACCAAAAGACTGTACGGATGAAAAAGGGAACGATATCTCTCTCTTGCTTTCATGAATGAATGGATAGGACAACGGATTGGATTCATTCGAGCACCATGGATGGTGATGATGGACATGGGGGATGACGGGGGGATTGCAAAAGATGGTTCAGACAGAAGAGTATAAACAAAGAAAACCACAAAAGAATGAAACCGAAATCTTCACAAATATACGCCTTCTCTCTCTCCTGATGATGAAGAACGAGTGCAAAAAAAATTCATTCCTTCATGCTAGCTGCTATCAATGAGCGACCCGGCTTTCGTACACTCGCTCACACACCAACCACATCACCATCTTCACATCACATCATTCACTGCCACTTTGAGCACGCCGAACAAGCAAACAACAGAATCTCGAATCAAAGAACGTATATATGTAGCAGCTGCCAACCCAAAACCAGCGCACCGAATCCACCAAGCGAACCGGTTATCTCCGTCCAGGAAAAAAAAATTCAAGGACGAAGAACACCGACCCCGGATTCCATGTCGCCCAGCGCGCCCCCTTCCTTACCCTCTGCCCCCACGCAAGTGAGGAAAGAGAGAAGAAGAAGAAAACCACTGTTCCGATCGGATCTTTCCCTCTAGCGCTCTCATCAATTTTGGTAGATGGAGGCGGAGGTTGATCCGCGGGTTGTATGCTGCACCTTTTGATGTATCGCGAAGAATACTGAGCGGACGAGGACGTTTCTAGGCCTGGTGCTCCACCTGGCATCGCGAAAGTTTGAAAAAGGAGGAGGGGGAAAGAGAAGGGAAGGGAAGAGTTTGGGGGGGAACGGGAGGAAGGAAACGGTACGGGCGGGTTGGTCGGCTATTTGTTGTGGGTGGGTAGAAGAGCCTCGAGATTGGACTCTAGGTAAGCTATGTAAAGTTCTTCATGGGAGACAAGGACGCGACACGATTGTGGGAAGAGGCGATGAGGATTGAATAAAGGAAATCGATCCGACGGTGGACGTGTGTGATCAGGGGGTATATTAGTCTCTCCTTTGGTTTGGGGGGTTTGCCCCTGCAGCGGGATTCCTAAGTAAATAAAATCTTTCGACACCAATCCTGGGTGGTGGTGGCCGTGACAGTCCCTCATGCTCCGTACTCCGTAGCCAGCCAGCTGAGCGATCAGATATGCTTTCGACTTACCGTGTCCTACAGTTGGAACATCCTCTTATCAATCGTCTCTCACCTCGACGACCCAAGGCTGCTCAGACCTGCGAATCCGACTCTCCTCACATTCTGCGCAGTGGGACCATTACCGAGGCGTAGCGCTCCCTGAGGACCACCAACGTTTGGTACACCAGCGCCACCGGATGCCAAGCTGTCGAGCATGCGGTCCATGCCGCCGATGTCGAGCTCTCCGCGCCTGAGCAAGTCCTGGTCGACGCGGTCGGTGCGATCCGTGGCCTCGAGCTCCCTCGCGAACAGGTTGCCTCCGGCCTTGACCTCGGGGCTGACGGTGGCGAGGACGACGATGCGGCGCTCGCCGACGACGAGCAGGTCGCGCGGCACGCCCATGCGGGCGGCAGCGCCCTTGGGCTTGCCGAACTGCTCGACGTCCGTCACGGGCTCGCCGTAGAGCGAGGCGCCGTCGACGCGGGTCAAGCCCGGCCCGTGGAGGGAGCCGCTGCCGGTGCTGTGCGTGCTGCGCGACCAGAACTGCTGTAGGTTGGGGATGCGGTAGAGATCGTCGCCATAGAAGAGGACGATGGAGTCCTCGGCCTGGCCCCCGTGTGCTACGGAAAATGAGCTGGAGATGGAAATGCCACCGTGGGCTGAGTCGCTCGTGCCGGAAGTGACGGGACCGTGGAATAACGTTTCTTCGCGCGTACGGCGAGTGTTCGGGGTCATCGGTGCGAGGGTCAGGGATTTGTTGCCGGGCTTGGTCTGGGCGAGACCCGTAGATGTGGAAGCCTTGTGCTCAGCACCACTCACGTAACCGCGAAGGGCGAAGGTCGATACGGGCTTAGTGGATGCGTTGCGAGCGATGCTGGCGCCATCCATAGCCCAGACGCCCCATTCTCCGTCAGACAACAGTGCAACGATGCTCTTGCCGTCAGACGCCCACTTGGCGTCGAGAATGGTCTTTCTCCGAGCTAGGTAGGGATTCGAGACTTTGATGTGCTTTGGAATCTCGAAGCTGGTGGAGAATGACGCAATCCATGCTCCCGGCTTGGGCTCAACGACGACGTCTCTACCAGCAGACCGCGGTCGTGCTCGCGGAGGCGCTAGTGGGTCAAAGACTTTGACTGTACCCTTGGAGTCGGCAACAAGCAGTTGCAAATGGCGAGGGCTAGGGAATTGAGAAGAACTGAAGTAGACGCGAGTAGCAGGAGAAGAAAGGTATTGCGTCTGGTACGGGAAAATGGGCTCGGTCGTGAAAGAGAATTGGTTATCCTTCAAAACAAGCGGGATGCGGAAGATATGGAGCAGTCCAGTGACCTCGACGGAGTGAGAGGCCACAATCAAATCCCACTCCAACGGCTCGTCACTCTGGATCAATCTCCGTGAGCGAAAGCTATCGGCGTCGTCGTCGTCGGACGCATCCGCGTCCAGGTCCATGTCGTCGGGGAAGGTGTCTGAGGTGCGTGAGCTCCACGTCATGGTGATTCCACGAGGTATTGACTGATGGCCATGCTGGCCTTCGATACGGAGGACTTGCTCGCCGTAGGCTGCTTCGCTCTTGCTGCGATCAGCTGCCTTACGGGCATGAGACGGAGGTGTGAGCGGGAGAGTAACGATGCGCACGCTGGAGTCTGCGCAGGCGACAGAGAGCACTATTCGCTCATTGAATATGGGGGGAATGAGGGCGGCTGGCCTATATGGCGATATGGAAGGGACCTGGGGAAAGGACATGTACAAGACCTCGGTACCCAGCGGGAGGTCGAGATGCTGGACGACGGGCGGGTATGGTTCCGACTCATCTTCCTCCTCTTCTTCCGACTCAAACTCGACGTCATCGTCAACAACGGCTGGTGGGGCTTGCGAGGGCTCGTCGTGGGTTAGGTCGATCATGACAGCGTCGTTTGAGGTGCCATTGACCTTGGGCTGGCTGTCGCCCTTGGAGGCAGCATTGCGCTTCAGCGAGCGACCGCCCCTCCATATCACACGCAGCCCGTTGCTGTGGCCATAGACGACGACGGTGGAGCCGTTGGGAGCGGGCTTGGGATAGATTTTCGCGACGTTGACGTGCTGCGGGAGGTCATAGCTGCGATGGGCATCAGCGGCACGGCAGATGCGTTGGGGAAAGAGAAAGGGTACCAGAGCTGCAGCTGCTTGCCCTTGCGTGACACGCGCGGCTTCATGTCGGTAGCCATGGTGGGGAGGGAAGGACGGAGTTGGGCGGAGGTGGTTGCGTGGAGGCGGCAGCTTCGTCCTGAAGCTTTGAACTTTCCCGCGTCGCGTCTCCCCGCCGCGCGCTCCAGCCAAGTCCGACAACAAAACACACCCGCCACGCCAGACCATGCTCCGCCACCCACGAAGCCCTCCATGAGCCTGACAGCCTTCCTATGGCCTCCATTCGCTCGCTGGGTGTCCGCACCCCCGCCGCCCTTCCGTATTTAATCCAAGAGGGAATCCTGCCCGAAGACGCCCCGCCCAGTGCCTACACCTGGTCCGCATATAGCGATGATGATGGGGAAGAGGAGGTTACCGCGACTGAGCACTGCGTGGTCTGGTCGCGAGGAGGCATAATTCGCAAGGCCTTCAATTTCGAGGTCGAGGGAGAGAAGGTGCTGCAGGCCGTCCTCACCTGGTTTCCCTCTGGCGAGGCCAACGCCCTGCGCAACACCACCCAAGATTTGAGGCAGGATCATGGTCCGGGGACGCTGTTCGCCAAAGACAGGGTTCGCGAACCAGGCTATCCCGCGCATGAGCAAGCAGGATCTAGCAGGCGCTCTCGAACAGATGCGCCGCCGGAGAAGCTTTCCCGCGCTCTGGTCGTCTTCCTCAAGACCCAAGCCCATATCTTCTTCCTTGCAGGGTCCAGCCATGTAGTCAATCTGCCATTCGAGGTTGAACGTGTCTTTCCGGCACCTCGAGGTCTGCTGATCCAAAGAAAGCTGTCAATGCCGGATTTTGTCCCAGCCAGCCCAGCAGTGCCAAGGGTTCCGCCCAATTCCTTTTTCTCTCAGCTTCCAACCCAGTCTTCTTCTCAGAATTCAAACCTGTTCACGCCAATGGTCAACACTTCTTTCACGAATCCCCGGCGTGCTAGGTCAGGGCAAGGCGCCGCCTATCCTGCGTCCCTTGCCGACCTCCTCAAAGCCGGGACGAGTCCATCTGCAGACGGCCTACCCCGTCTCTTCTCTTTTACCGATCCCTTCTCTGAGATGGGCCTGGTGGTTGCGGCCCAACCGCAGGCTGCTAAGAGCTCATGGTCTGTGAAACAATCTGGGTCAAAGCCCCTTGACCCCATAGACAGAGCTGAGGAGGTGCTGTATGTCACCAAACAGAATGAAATGTTGGATTCCGCCAGCGCTGCAGACAAGCCATTGATCTTGGTCGTAACTGTCAATTATGAGAAACGGTACTACTCTGTCTGGTACGCGTCTTACGTCGATCCCAAGCCAGCTTCGGCAAAGAAAAGCCGTCGCAGCTCCACCACCCTGTCTGTTGGTCGTTCTCGCCGGCGAAGTTCTCTGCATCCGGGGACCGGGGCCACCACTCCTGCACTCAGGACAAGGGAAGGCACAAGAGACAGCTTCGGTGGGCCTAGTCGGGGCTACGCAAATACTTCATTCACTGCGAGCCAGACACGCGAGACCAGCAGCGAACATCAGACAGCAGAAGAAGTGTTCGCGTCCCAGCTTGATCCGGAGACGGACCTTGCTAGGCAGCCTTCCAAAGAGTCCAGACGCGTGAGCTCTTTGCTTTCTCGAGCGGATCTGTCGAGGAGTTTCGATAAATCAGCCTTCGAACAAGCTACGCATCGGAGCAGCTTAGGAAGCAGCTTTGGCCACGGTCGAAGAGGCCCATCCCTTAGCGGCCATGGACTGCGTACAAGTCTTGGTCCCAGCTCCCGGCCGGCCTCCCGAAAGATGAGAGCGTCTACTCCAGGTGATGTTTCACAAATCAGCCTGAGCGCTGTTTCTCTGGAGGACACCTTGGATGATGATCTAGATCTCGACAACACCATTGATGATTCAGAAATTCCTGACGAGCTGCTCGGCGACGGTGACGAAGTGTCCGGTCTGCAAGAGCCAATTGAGGGGCTGCGCCGGGAACTGTTGCTGGTCAAGTTTTCCGAATTTCCATTCGGTACATCTGAAAGCATATTCCATTCTTCTGTGCACGGGAACCCAATGGTACGTTAGATCGGATTACTATTACAGATGCATCTACTGATATCTTGCTAGAAACCACCCAAGATATTCACCCTCAAAGCTCCCAGGTCATTCACAGACTCCTCTCTCAATGACGGGCATTTCTTTCTCTACATGATGCAAAAATCGAAAGGAGAACTTGTCGAGCATGAATTCACTGTTCAACGCAGGCGGCTAACACCGACCCCTGCGGCTAGTATGGGTGGCTCAAAGTCGAAAGAACCTCACAACATCCTGATCCCGACTGCGGTCAACACTCGGCGCCAACGAGACTTTATTGATGCAATTAAAATTTGCGACAACGGCATACAACGAGTACTATGCCTAGCCCGAGATGACGCGGGAGATTCGCTATCAGCGGGATGGTGCCCACAGGCACGGTACACTCTCGTACTCCCCCGAAGGTTCAGGCTTCTGAACCCCTACTCGATCGGGTTCAGCGCGCCCACACAAGAAGCGATCGAGGACCCAAATCAGTCAATCGGCACTCCAGAAGATCTGACTGCCTTGGCGCACGCGACAGGGAATGGTGGCATTGACGTAAAGGAAGGCACTGGACGATACCACCGCTTGCAGGTTAAACTCTGGCCACAGAATGCCGCAGTGTCCAGAGTTCTTTCGGCCTGCCGCTTGATCCTACCTCCTCCTCAGGGCGACCATTTGCTGGCGATTTGGTGGAACATTTCCCGCAATCTGCGCAACGAAATGCGTTTTGATGTGGAATGGGCGGCTTTGGTTGCTTCTATTTTTGCTTTTGGGGTTGGTGGGATAGATCCCAAGTCAGTCCGACTCACCGATTTCACGCGTTCTGTTGAGAGCACGCCGAGTAGGCGGTCACTTCGACGAGGGGCTGCTGACGATCCTTTCGAGCTGCTGTGGCGCTATCAGAGCCAGGATCCTGCCGCCAAGAGTTGGGATGGAGCTGCATGGTCTTGGGTGGAACAGACTCTGGCAGAAAAAGCGAAGCCTCGCACATCCACCAGACACTCTCTTCTTTCTCCCTCGACCAATTACGGCATCAAGAGGAAAAGCGATTTCATTCCGTTCTGTACCAAGGCTGCTCGCGATTTCCTCCAGGAGCCTTTGGCTAAGAAGCTTCTTCCAGAGACAGCCGGAAGGTCGACTCGTGCTAAGCACCAAGACTCGCATACCACTTACCTTCCATCAATCCTCGTGGCCTTGCATCTTCTACGCGAGGAGGAAAAGCTGAACATCCTCAACAGAGACACTCGATCCTCTGAGACCGGGAACCTTGCCCCTGTTTTGGCACAGCTTGGGCGCTGGCTTAATTGGGAATTCTGGGATTGGAAGAACACCAGCCCCTATGGCCTGGATGGTGCAAGTCTAGATCAGTGGGTCTTTGAAGACGGTAAGCTCAGCCCATCGTGATGCGGCTCATATGTGCTGTTTGAGTGAAACTTGGCAACCAGAGCTGACCGTCTTTAGCTTCGATTACTACTGTCATGGTCGCCACTCCTCCATGGGAGAAGCCCCCTTCGATTTTCGACTGGCTGGAACGGATGCTTGATCCCCGCAGATACCAGGGGTTTCCGACTCTGGACATGCTCGTTGGACAGCCAGAGAAACCCCAAACTTCACATGACTCACAAGCTCTTGCTGATGTAGTCACTGCTTTGACCCCACGTACAGTGGCACTGTGCAAGTGTCTTGCAAGGATACGGAGGGGAGAGCTAACGGCTAGTCTGCAAGTTGAGACCATGCTTGACAGTGGAATCGACACTCAAATGCTGGAGACGTTCCCCTCATCTGTCGTTGCTGGAATCCGTGAAGCAATCGTTGAGTGTCAAGCAAGCCCACCGACTACGTGGGATGAAAGACTGCTTGAGATTGTCGGTAGAGAGGACCTCACTACGTTGCTTAGACCAGACGCCGAATGGTCTCCAAGCCCAATTTCCTTGGTTGTAAGTGATGCTTCCCAAAGCCCCGGCTACTTTTCTGACAGTGACAGTCTGCCGCTGGCATTGCAAGCCGCGATGTGCATACGATTTGTCAATCTGCAGAGGCCACCGACTCGTCTCAGAGTTCGTCTGAAGCCGACAGGTACATAATTACACGGCTCATTTTCAGCGAAGACCGGCGCTATATTGAGGCTCTGCGTCTACTCGAGCCCCTTCGCCCTGCCGTTGCCGAATGTATCCCTGATCCGTCGTGGACGGAAGCCGAACATCTCGATGCGCAGAAAAGCGTCATGCAGTGGGTCATGCTAAGAACCTTTGCGTTGCCGGCAGGCCACTCGATGCTTCAATTTGACAGCAAAAGACCTCTCGTCACGGAGAAGTTCCCGTTGCATGGGTTCACGACACTATGCACTATGAAACCTCTCAACAACACGGTCAGCGCCGACCGAAGCACGTACACCGAAGAGAAGTTCGCATGGGCCTTCTTTCATGCGGGTGTCTCGGCCGGTCTCAGCATCTCACGCCGCGCCAAGGGCATTGACACGTCTTGGATTGCCTACAACAAACCCCCAGAGCTGAGCAACAAGCACGCAGGCTTGCTGTTTGGGCTCGGCTTGAACGGCCACCTCAAAAATATTGCCAAATGGCTGTCTTTCAAGTATCTTACACCCAAGCATAGCATGACCTCGATCGGCCTTCTTCTTGGCCTGTCTGTCTCATATATGGGGACCATGGATACCTTGGTCACCCGTCTACTCTCAGTGCACGTTACGCGCATGCTCCCACCCGGCGCGGCCGACCTTAACCTGCCCCCTCTGGCGCAGACGACCGGACTGATGGGGATCGGACTACTTTACCTAAACAGCCAACATCGGAGAATGAGCGAGATCATGCTTTCGGAAATTGAGCATGTTGAGCTTGGGGACCCTTCCGCGCCGTCAGACAACATCCGGGATGAAGGCTACAGACTTGCAGCTGGATTTGCTCTCGGTTTGATCAATCTAGGCAACGGGAATGACCTCCGCGGTCTCCATGACATGCGGTTGGTTGAGCGGCTTCTTGCAGTTGCTGTTGGGCCCAAGCCCGTCGACATCGTTCATGTTCTGGATCAGGCAACTGCTGGTGCCGTCATCGCTATTGCTCTGGTGTTCATGAAAACTCAGAACGCATCAGTGGCACGCAAAATCAACATCCCAGACACGCTCCCACAGTTCGATTACGTCCGTCCGGACATCTTCCTGCTGCGGACTCTTGCTAAGCATCTGATCATGTGGGACGATATCCAGGCAGACTACGCGTGGATTCTCACCAATCTTCCAACAGAGTATGGGCTCAATCATAGGCTCACGGAGATCAAGACTCTTCGCAGCGAGCACATGCCCTTTTACAACATCATGGCCGGTCTGCTTTGGAGCATCGGCCTCAAGCACGCGGGCACCGGCAACACCAAAGCTCGGGACTTCCTAGTCACCTACCTCGATCAATTCATCCGACTATGCCACCTCCCAGCCATTCGCTACGACGCCCGCCTCACCCGCAACACCGTTCGGAACTGCCAGGACCTGGTGGCCCTCTCCGCCGCGACCGTCATGGCCGGCACCGGCGACATCGTCGTCTTCCGCCGCCTGCGCCTGCTCCACGGCCGCGTCAGCCCGGACGTGCCGTACGGCTCGCACTTCGCAGCGCACATGGCTTTGGGCGCCCTCTTTGTCGCGGGCGGCAGCTACACCTTCAGCACGTCGAACCTCGCCATCGCCGCGCTCGTCTGCGCCTTCTACCCGCTCTTCCCGACGGACGTCCTCGACAACAAAGCCCACCTGCAGGCCTTCCGCCACTTCTGGGTCCTCGCCGCCGAACCCCGCTGCGCCGTCATCCGAGACGTCGAGACGCATCGCGCCATCGCCATGCCGCTCGCCGTCACCTTCAGAGACGGCACCCGCAGGACTTACTCTGCACCCTGCCTGCTTCCCGAACTCGACTCCATCGCCACCATCGTGACGGCATCCCCCGAGCACTGGCAAGTCACCCTCGACTTCGTCGCCAACCCCGCACACCTCCAAGCCTTCAAGCGCACCCAAACCATCCACGCTCGCCGCCGCAACCCCGCCGCCGCGCACGCGACAGTGGGCAATATCAGCAGCAACAGCAACAGCAGCTTGATCCAGCAGCAACACCAACAACAACCCCGCCTCGACTTCTTCCCCGCCCCCGCAACAACAACAACAACAACAACCCAAACCTTCAACGCCACCCTCACCGCCCTCAACGACGCCCACCTCGCCAGCACCGCCGCCGCCGCCGCCGCCTCGCGCCGCGGCGGCGGCACCATCATGTGGGGCTGGATCTTCTCGCTGCCCGCGCTGCGCGGAGGCGAGCCCAAAAAAGCACAGCTACTACTATTGGAGCAACACCACCCGTCGGCCTTGTCGTCGTCGGCGCCGTCGACCAACTCGTCGTCGTTCACGGCCACGTCGTCGTCGTTCCCGCTGCCCGTCGTCACCATGGCGGATGTGGGCGCGTTGATCATTCCCGTGGATGCGGGGCCCGGATCCGGGGGTTTGGGGTCGGGGTCGTTGGGGTTTTCTGGTGGTGGCGGCGGTGGTGGTGGTGGTGCGGCTGCGGTCTCCTCGTCGTCGAACGCCGTCACTGGATATGCTGGTGGCGGCGGTGGCGGTGGCGGTGGCGGTGGCATCGAGTTGCTGACGGATGGCAAGACGAGCCCGGTCGATGAGCGGTTGGTCCTGCGGACGGCGGCGCTGAGGGGGTGGGATGCGGACGGGTTGAGGAATCTGAGGTTGTTGTTCAGGTGGGCGGAGAGGGCGCAGGACGAGGAGGTTGAGAATGGGGGGAGCGGCGGCAACGGGGCGGCTGCGTGCAGGTGGTTGGGGAGGGAGGTGGTGGAGGGGTTGAGGGCGGTGGTGGGGGAGAGGGGGAGAGCGGTTGGTGGAGGGGTTGTTTGATGATTGTTATGGGTGGATGGATGGATGGATGGATGGATGGATGGATGGATGGAGGGGGGATAGGGCGCTGGGAGAGGCGGAGGCTGGGGTTTGAGTGAATGAGAAGGCGGAGGGACTTGTTGGTGGTGGGTGGGTGGGTGGGAGAATGGTGTTTCTTGTCTTGTTTCTGCATAGCGTGGTGATCATTTTCTTAGTTTCAGCAGGAGCAGAAAAAGTATCATGTTTCCATGCGGTGCATGAGGGAAGGAGACCGATGTCGAATTAACTTTTTATCAAGATATCGCTCTATAGGTATCTCGTAGGAATTACCGGTCTCGACTCAGACAGGTCGTTCGTAGGATCTAGCAGTACATTCTGCTGTTGTTTGAAACCCGAGACGACGATGCAGCTAGGTGACTATACAACGCCTTTTGCTGCTGTGAAACATCTACAGATGTTGACTAATGTTCCACCTGTCACCTGTCACTTCACCTCAACTTACCCCTCATCGTCCACCGTGAGTGCCAGCCCCGGCCCCACGGGGAAGGGAGAGGGGGAAGGGGGGAGGAAGAACCTGACGACATATCGGCTGTGACTGACCGACCGCTCGCGCCTCCGTGTGCAGTTGCAGGCACGAACAGGCTCTCCCCACGCATACGTAAATACCCCATACGGTGGCCCCACTGTCTCCAGACCCAAACGCACTCACTACCTACCTACCTACCGTGCTAGGTACTCGATGCTGTACTCCACTCCTCAACCCAATCCTCCACCCACCCACTTACCTACCTACCTACCTACCTGCCTGCTCTCCACCCCTTCGGCCGACGAAAGCCGCGGCCGGCAAAACGGCTCTCCATCCCTCCATCCTCCCCCCCTTACCTCATCAATCACTCACCATCGTAGCACGGCCATGGCCATGGCCTATGCATTGTGGCAGTGCGCGGTAGCAGACGTTGTGGCCGGACGCAGCAAGTACCTAGCAGTGTCTGTCCAATAATGCCCAATAGCCGAGATGAAGAAGGCGCGGGTGGTGGGTGCCTGTGCGGGTGGTGCCTGTGCGGGATGCCTGTGCTTTTTTTTTCTCGCGCGGACGCGGAATGCCTAGTCCTCCTCTCCCCCCCGTCCTCCCGAGAATTCCGCATGAAATGCTGGGCGACGTTCCTTCTTGGCGTGGCTGATGGCTCAAGCGCGAAGAGGAGGTCGTGTGATCGATGACATCGATGAGTTGGTGCTTTGCTTGGAAATTGTTGAGCAAAAGAGAGGGGGGATAGAGGGTGAGATGGGCTGGGTAGATCGCGAAAGAATGAGTCGCGCCTTTTCCCAAGGGAAGGGAGGGGGAGACATGAGACTATTGCAAAACGCCATGCATAGAAGGCGGTTGGCAAAGAGACAAGAGGGGAGCAGGAGCTGCAGAGTGTGGGAAAAAGCACCACAAAGAGAACGGTGGTTGGCGAAAAAGACAACGGAGATAAGAAACCCACGTGGCGGATACCAACGGTTGTGTTCTGGATGTTGGAAAGAAGTCGCCGCATTGCCGAATTGGGGTTTTTCTGTTGATCGTGTGACCATTTGTCTTCCCCGGTCGGCTTTGGACTCGGCGGATCTTTGCCATACGTGGTCCAGTGAACGCTCAGCGAGACGAATCCGTTGGACAATTCATTCAACGGAACGAAATGGGTAGGGCGAACAAGAGAAGGTGCTTACACGCCAGCGATGTGTCACAAAAAGCGCGACAAGGCTGTGCAGAGAGTGGGTGGCAGGCTGATTGCGGCTTTGGGCCTCGGGTATGTTCGTGGAAGTTTCCAGCGCTGCATCAGTCAGCTATCGCAACGGAACCGTGTAGAAGTGTAGAAGGTGGTTCGCGCATTGCGATAGTGATGTGGTGTTGAGTCGGCGGTCGACCCGGCAGACTGGGACCACACTGCGACGCGTCAGAGGTGGTTTCGGCTTGAACGGAGCGAGCTGGTGTTGGGGAAGTAGCCTGATGGCGGGCTCGTGGCCCGGTCTGGACCTCGCTGGCACTGGCGACCATTGGCAGCGGCATGGCGAAGGACGGGGCCGACGGAGAAAGGCGCGGAAATGAGTGGAACAGCGCGCACCGAGGTCCCATGCGCGAAAGCGAGCTAAGTGCACGCAAAAAGCGAGCAGGAAAGCGGCGGTGAACGGATGGTTCAAGGTTGGGCGTTTCTTGCGGGCAAAATTGGCACAAACGGGAGGTTGGTGGTGAGAATTGGAGCTTCGGCGATGCGGTTTCCCCATGCAAGCTTCGGAATCTGGGGAAGATTAGGCGGCGGGCGGCAAGGCTGCCGGGTGGAGCTATGATCTCCTGCGACGCGTTCTAGCCCGCCGGGCCGTCCCAAAACGGAAGCTCACGATAGCCGACTCCGGGGTGAGCCAAATTTTGTGGAGATAACACTGGCGCGGCGCGGGACATGCAAGCTCCCGCGAGCTGTGACCAGCGGCGCCTTGTGGGCAGAGCTCTGTCCAGCCCCGACTGTCTGGCATGTTCGACGCCTGGACGAGCCCGACACAACTCTCTGCTCACCGTCGCATGATGAACACGTTGCCTGGGGTCAGATGACGGCGCCGACGAGACAGAAGCAGCAGGAGTGAGGCGCGCGGCGGAGGTACGGAGTAGCGGAGAAGCTGGGGAGGTGGCAAGACCGAAGACCGGCTGCCTTGGTTTCGTATCGCGCGACGTGCGACGACTGCACCCGCCGTCAACCGTCAACGGCAGGTCGCTCCGGCAAGGCCGCCTTCTCAGACTCGCGTCGCCTGCCTCGCCCGCGAGGTGCGGTGAAAGCAGCTCGCGCATGTTGCCGGCTGCTGCACAGTGGGATTCCTGGCGTGTTTGACGGCGACGTCGATCACGTCAACAGTGCCTGGATACGGCTACGATCAGGGTCTGTGATGAGCGGCAGCTGCAGGCAGGCACAGTGGAGCGACAACGGCGGTCAGAACGGGGGCAGGCAGTGGAGAGGAAGTGCGCAGGCGAACGCCACGCGGTGCCGCGCTGGAGGGCGCTGATTCGACCAGCCGCTCGCACGAGACAAGCCCGATCCCCGGCCGGCCATATTTATTTCTGGGCCCCGCCAGGCGGAAGGAATTCCTTCTGGAATCTTGGCGTGCAGATCGCTCCTGCGCGGCGAGATCCATGCTCGCGGGCTCTGCATGCAACAAGCAGCGCTATTGCGATGTGCCGGTGTCGGTCGCTGCCTGGCCGCTGCTGCTGACGAATGCCGCCGGCTGCGCTGCAGAGCCGTGCTGCCGCGATCACGGTGCCCCCGAGCTTCGGACGGCGCCGCCGAGCGACCGGGCAGGCGGCTGCGCGAGCTGCGCGCGCCGGCGCTGCATGGCGAGCGAGCGAGCGACGTTGGAGGCTGCTCGGGATGTGCGCGGCGATGGATCTCCGGCGGGCCAAAAGCGGAGAGAGTGGAGCCCGACTCCACCGCGCTGCATCTGCCTTGGAAGCTTTGCTCGCGCGCGCCAGGATGCGACTCAGACGGCGCAACGCAGGAGCAGCGCTGGACGCGGCGCGGGTAGCAGCACACGAGGCGTGGGATGGCGCTGGCCGGGCGGCGGATCATGTCGCGACGGGGGTTGGCGTGGGCGCGGCGCGGGCGAGGCGACCGGAAGCTGCAGCAGAAGCATGCACGCAGGGCGCCGCGGCGCAGCGTCAGCAGGCCCCTGCGGACGATCGCGCGCCACGCTCCAAATTTCGCATGGCCGGACAGCGACGGCGCAGCCGCTGATGACCGGGAGCTTGGACCCTGTACAGGGGCTCCGCCAGCTCTGCGAGGTCACTCTCCACAGAAAATCTCTGTCCGGCGAATTCTGGGCCAGCCGAGCTTCTGCCACTCACCACAGCCTGCCTCCGAGCGAGCTCTTTTCTCCGGTGCGTGCCTAATTAGCTGCAAGCACTGGCCGCTCTGGTCGCCGCCAGCTCCGTATATATTGAGAGTCCGGAGAGCCCTCGTCCTCTCTCGCCATCATCTCAAGACATCCACTCTCACCAAACACTCAATCTCTTCCACACCACTCCTCAATCACAATGTCCAAGACTTTCGACACCGCTGCCTTCGAGGCCGAGAAGGCCGCCATCACCTCCTACGAGGAGAACTGGGACTCCTGGGACGGACCCGTCTGGGACTGGCGCTCCACCAACAAGCCCGAGGTTGTTGCCAACAAGAAGCTCGACACCCTCAAGCGCCCGACCCTCGTCCGCAACTCCACCTCTTGCTCCTCCATCAAGACCATCTCGTCTGAGACCTCGGACGCCGACTGGCACGCCTCTGCCACCCCCGGCTGCTCCAAGTGCGGCCACGGCAACGCCACCGTCCACATCTAAACAACTGGTTACGACACCACAACATCAATGATACCCTGAGGAACTCGGGCATCACCGCTACCGGTTCCCTGGAAAACGGAATGGATCAGGGCGTCTGGTTTTGAAATACACCTGGACAAGGACCTGATCTTCGGATCGGCAACAAGCACTTGAGTTCCATCTTATGCTTTGTACAGTTACGCATCCTAGACTATGATTGCGAGTTTTGGATCATCACACACGGCTACGGCCTAATGGGTTTTTGGGGGGTTTACTATTTGGGACGTTTTATCAAGCGAGAATCTACTCTGGACAATATCAAGTCATCATCTTCGGTCATTCGTCGAAGTCAACCACATCATCGTTGCCATCTGAACTTGTGAACTTCGCTACTGATTGACTGTACATCTTCAAATAGCAGTGTAGCTAACGTGTCCTACTGCAGTGACATCCATCACGACCTGCCAGGTAGTAATTCAACCTCTCAGCTGGCAACGGGCAATTTTCCGACTCCAGTCCAGTGTAGAACAACGCCACCATGGCTAAGATGTTCCTTTGAATTGTGGTGGCTTGCTGTGAACAGACGAGCGACATGTGGCGTACCGGTCAAGGCTAGGTTCAGACTTCTAGTTTGCCACAGTTGAGATCCTACCGAAACTAATCGGGTCCGTCGTTTTTGGGGCTGGGCGGAGTAATGACACATCCAATAGAAAAATGTCAAACGCTCTCTTTGTCATCTCGAAATAACTCCATTGACCAATCAATCGCCACTGCTACCCCCATCTTATCTACTTCATCCGAGAAGTGGCAAAATGCTTCGCTGATAAACCACGATAGCCGAAGAATCACCAATCGATGTCCTACAACTCCGAGCATGTCGGTGTCGAGACGTTCAGCGCCTAGTCAAGATGAAGCCGTTGAAAAGGTTTACTTCCAAAGCAGGCCAACCCCAGGTTTGGACCTCGTCGGTGCCATCCTTGCCATGTCCTCATGCCGGGATCTGTAAGCCTTTCTAGCGTGAGTCTCGCGCTCCAATCGATCCTTCACAGTGCTTTGATTGGACTGGACTTTTGAAAATCGATTTCCTTTTCCGTGAGATCTTGTATCTACCATATATAACCCAAGGGTCGATCTTTCCCCAAGTGTTGTTCTACCATGGCGACTGGACCCGTCAATGACAGTTCATTAAGAAACCCAAGAGTGTTCCTGCTCTCATATCCCACTCGATCCTTAAGACCAAGGGCATTGCCCACTCCCAAACGCCTCCGAAACTCCAAACAGCCACCGTGGCCGAGAAAGTCATGATCCCGAAATAACAAACTCCCGAAGGGGGTAAAATGGAAAACTCCCATGCTATGCCTCTCTCTTTCTTCTCTCTCTCACTCGCCCACTCTCGCGCACAACAAACCATTCAAAGATGGCTGGTGGCGCCGCCGTGCCCGCAGCGGTTGCAGGTGTGGGCGGCCGAGTTCGTCCAGAGGCTGGCGGTGCTCGTGGAACTCGTGATGGAGTTTGTGCTCGAGCTGCGGCTCAGTTCCGGCCTCTGGGGAGCAGCCAGGTTTGAATTGTGGGTGTTGTTCGACTTGTTCTGTTGAGACATGGGCTTGTTGGTTTCCCGCCAGGGCCAGATGGGGCCATCCCACCGGTCCTGTGCCCATGATCAGTTAGTAACTGCTTTGCGTGCGTGAAGCGGCTGGTGTAGCTTACCCATCCATCTTCGTACGAGACGATGGCGGCCTTTTCGGCTTCCCAGGCGGCGCGGGCGTTCAAGGCGTCCATTTCGAAGCGCTGGGCGCGGCAGTGGCCTTCGGCGGTGCAGCAGTGGGTGGTCATTGTTGCGGCAGTGGATGTGTTGGTTGGTGGTTGCCGAGGTTTGGGCAGCTCGCAGGCTGTGTTGATTGATTGATTGATTGATCGATTGACTGATTGATTGATGTGTGCTTGGTGCTGATGGAGGGGAAGGAGCTGGCGGTGCTCGACGGCTGCGACCTTATATACGGGATGCACTTCGCCATGGCCTCAGCGTCCAGCGCAGCAAAAAAACGCGTGCGATCATCTGCGCGTGGTTGAGCAGTCTGGCGTTGGGCCCGACTACACCCGGGGCCAGTGAGCTGAGCATCATGGGTTGTCTGAGGATCACCCAACCCGTTCGCGAATGCGCCACCATCCCGGCGCCCGGGAGCCCACGATCGTCGCGACCGTGGCGAGCAACACGAGCACACGCTTCTCAACACCACGCCCGCAGCCATCCAGCCATCCAATCCGCCCGAATCCGCGACCGTCATGCGCGCGCCGTCCGCCGCTACACGCTCCAAGCGGTTGCAGCGCAAAACACCCGCCTTTGCCTCCGATTGCCTGCATCCCGCCCGCCGCCCTTCACCGGCCAGCGCTCGTAAGCATCAGGGCACTGTCGCGCGCTGCCAGCGTCTCCATGCAAGCCCACTCGCTATCAGCAGCCCGGCCCGCCCAACCTGCCTGCTCCCCTGCAATCTCACACGCCTTCGAGGGCAGACCTTCCTTATCGCCGCCCACGCCTGCACCCCCCATGATTCCATCTGCAAGCGCTGCGCACACCCGCATCCCCGCCGCCGCCGGCGGTCGCAGCTACATAGAACAACTTTGTTATCAACAACGAATTGACCGGGGGGCTTGTCGGGGACTCGGGTCCGTCATGCGTCTGGTCTGGAATGTTTCTATTCCCGGCCGCGTGCGCGTACCTATCTGCCGGGGGGAGACCGAAGAGCCGCGACAGTCCCTGGCAGGCGCAGACGAAAAGCGGCGAGGCCGTGTGGCACAGTGGCTCCCATCCCCACCGGCGCAGGGGGGGAAGGGCCATCGGCTGCCGAGCCGCACCGTAAATGCGCCTTCACCTTGACTTCGATGCAGGGATCGGTCCGCCTTCGTTCGCCCTCGGCTTCGTCCGCTTCCGCGAGCGTGGCACTACTCTTGGCTTCAGATATCGCTGCTGAGCGCTGGGCGAGCGCAGAGTTGAGCAGGATTGCTGTCTTGTTGAGCCGGCGGCCTGACATTGATGTAATCGCAAGCATTGCTGTCTCACCCCGAAGCAGGACGTGGACATGCTTCGACGCGTCGAGAGCTCGTACCGCCAGCTCGCCATAGCCCTCAGATCGCGCTCCTTGGTTCCTCCCGCTCCTGTAGCGAGTCAGAGACATCTCCAGTTATTCCGTCTCCCTTCCGTTCTGTATAGCGGGCCGTCGGGTGCTACCGGAAAGATGCAGCTCGACGGCCAGACCCCATCAACCTGGGCCCTTTGGCTGGCGTCTTTCAGTCGACGCATCAGAAGCTGTTGTAGTAGCGACGGCGCCCGACCATTGGCCCGCCCGCTGTCCGTGACGGTGGCGTGTTCGCGGCGCGCAAGAAGCAGCGAAGGGAAGAGCCAGTAAACACGCAGTACAGTACCAGTAGGGCAGGGTCGAAGAGCTGACCGCCTGCGCGCCCGGACGTATGGATGTTGGTGTTGCGGGTGAAGCTTTTTTGCGAGACGAAAAAACAAGTTCTACACCACGACTGACATCGCAACCGCCATCCATCACCTGCTCCCCGAGTCACGCAATGCGGCGTCCAGTGGCTGTCGCACCGCGTCCTACCGCTGCACAAGCGTTTCGACTCGCTACCTACCCGTCCCCCGCCCACCGTTCGATCCGCTTACCCCGTCCGCCCAGCCCTTTCCCTCTCTCCACACGCGAAGCTGCGTAGCGGGCAGGAAGCGCCGTAGACGCCTGATAGCCAGTCGCTCAAGCCAGCGGCAGCTCACACTGCCTCTGCCCGTCCATACACTACGAGAGGACCCGTACCGGCTCGAACGAGACTCAGACCACCCCAACTCCACGGCTCCGAAACACGCATACTGGAAACAACGCAGCGAGAAAAAAAAAATCGGTAGGCCCGCAAAACGCCACCACTTGCTCACAGGGAGCCCCATACGTCTGTCTGAAACCTGATTGATCTACGAAAATTTCCTGGCTTGGCCCCATCTTCCATCCACACTCACGCTTTCTCTCTCTTCCAATCAATCCTCGCTTTGGCACGTCAATTCGAGGCCGCGGTGACGGCAACGCCGACACCGGAACCGCCAGCCCTGCTACCGCTTCCCAACTCCGCCTCATCGCTTTCTGCTGCAGCAGTTGGAGGAGAAGGTTGCGCATTGCGGTAATGCTGCTTGAAATCGTACTGGATCGCATGGAGGCCCTGGTGTCACACAGAGGGGGACCCGCTCTTCCGTCAGCCATTTCATATTCTTTGCTTCCGGTTTCTCCCGTCAAGAAGTGAGAGAAAAAAAAAGAGTGGGAAGGTGTGGCAGCAAGACAGGGGAGCCATCAAAGGATATCATCATGATCGAAGTAGGAAAGGGCCGAGGGCCGAGAGAGAGCGAGAGAAAAAGAGAGAGCAAGAGAGGGCAAGCACATCAGGTGGGTACCGGGTAGCAGAGCCGCACCCGCCTCTGTCTTTTCTTCTCCTCTGTCTCCTTCTCACCTATGCGTCATCGTCCACGTCGCGCCTTCTTCACCGCCGCGCAAACAAGACTCAACCGCAATGAAAAGGCCAAAAAGCGAATGAGCAGAACAAAGCGGAAAAAAGTCATGAAATAATCGTACTCACCGCCCTCAGCTCGTCCCTCACTTTCTCGTCCTTCTCGGCGACATTGATCAGTTTGATGAAGTCGTCCTTCTCGGCCGCGAGGTCCGGGTCCTGGCCGAACAGGCGGCGGATGTTGTCGCTCGACACGGGGTCGACGACGTCGGTCCACATGCGCCGGCGCACATCGCTGTAGACGTCCAGGATCGCCTCGTCCGCCAGCCCGTCGTGGATGCCGGCAAGGCAGTCGTACAGCCCGCCGACGTCGACGATGCCGCCCGTCAGGCCGAGACCGCCGCTGTGTGATGACTGTGGTCAGCCCCGCCCCGTCGGTCTCCTTTTCACGCAATACAATGGGGCCAAAACCAGGTAAGGGAAATCAAAATTGGGTTGGTCGATGGCTGGATACGTACAACGGGTTGCACAGGTGCGCGGCGTCGGCCGCCAGCACGATCCTGCCGACGCGCATGCTGGGCGCCAGCCGCTGGTGCACGCGGTAGGGGCTGAAGCCGGCGAGCTCGTAGTCGCCGGGCTGCGGGTGTCCCGGGAGCATGGCGGCGAACTTGGCCGGTTGCCGCTCGAGCAGCTGCTCGTGGGTCAGTCCGGACCGCTCGCCGTACGACACGCGCCAGTACTCGTTTGGCGGGCCGGCCAGACGCGCGACCATGTGCCAGTGCTCCGGGTGGATGAAGAACTGGACGTCGGTGTAGCCCCAGCGCGTGAAGTCGTAGTAGACCTGGTTGTTGTGAGGAGGAGTCAGCACTCGTTTGCGTCGGTTGGGGTGGGTGGTGGCCATCGGAGGACATTGTCCTTCTTCTCCTGTCGTCTCTATTGTTCATCGGCGAACGCAGGACTGCGGAGAAACAACAACAACAATGAACTCACATTCGCCGCAACAATCTGCTCCTCCCACGTCCGCCCCGGGAACCCCTTCTCCTTCTCCCCAAACAAACTCCTCCGCACCGCGCTGCTCGCCCCATCGCACCCAACCACATAATCCGCGTACCTCCTCTCCACCCTCTTCTTCTTCTTCTCCTCCTCCTCCTTCTTCCCGTCTTCCCCTTCTTCTGCTCCCTCCTCCTCAAACTCCACATCCACCCACGCCTTCCCTTCTTCTTCTCCGCCCTGCCCCACCCCCACAACCCTCGCCCCCCAAACCAACCTCACCGCCCCAGGCCGCTTCTCCTCCGCCTCCGCCCCCACCCGCTCCAAATGCTCCACCAGCAGCGCCCCCAGCTCGTCCAGCGCCAGACACGCCGTGCGGTCCGCCGGCCCGCTGTCGAGGTCGATCCGACCCAAGAGCTCCGCACCACCAACACCACCGTTGTTGTCGTTGTTGTCGTTTTTGTTGTTGGACGACGAGGAAGAAGAAGAAGAAGAAGATGGGTGTTTCGTCCACAGCTTCTTCCACGTCATCCACCGCGGCGAGTAGCCGCGCGAACGCACGTCGGGCAGGATGCCGGCGCGCGCGAGGACGGGGACGGCTGCGGGGCCGTAGTATGCTGCGCGTCTGGCGGGGGGTTTGTGTTAGTTTGGCTTTTCTCTCTCTCTCTCTATCTCTCTCTCTCTCTCTCTCTATCTCTCTCTCTCTCTCTCTCTCTCTCTCTCTCTCTCTCTCTCTCTCTCTCTCTCGCGTTTTTCTTTTTTCTTGGAGGCGGGGAGTAGGGACTATACATACGGACGCGGGTCGAGGCCGTGAGCGGCATCGAACAAGGTGATGGTGATGGGATCGGGAGAGGGGTGGCGGGCGAGCAGGAGGGCGAGGAGGAGGCCGGAGGGGCCGGCGCCGGCGATGATGATGCTTGTGGGTGGCATTATTGCTTGGGAGTCGGACTTGTTTTTTTTTTCTCTCCCTCCCACTGACTGCAATATGATTTGTGCCCCGTCTATTCTATTCGCCTTCGGGATGGGCACAAGGTTTTTTTTTGATGGAAGAAGAAAAGCGGGCTCAACCTGCTTGTTTTTATACTTCGCTGGCAAGCGTACCAAAGTCGCTCGTGCAAAGTAGAAAAGCGAGGAGCTGCGATGTCGGGAGGAGAGAGAAGCACAAGCCTGGATGAAGGCAAAGAGATGAAACGTTTCGGTTATACCTTGGCGGTAACGGAGGGGCGATCTACTAAAGCAATGAGGGTTTCAACGGTAAAGTCGTGAGAATGTGGGGAAATAAGCTTCTTCTTCACTGGCGCGAGAGTAGTCGTTATCCCACCGTCTTTCGGATCGGATATATAGCCAGCATTGCAGCAATTGCCGGTTCAACCACAACGAACGCCCACCCGGCTGTTGATTTGGGACCCGGGCAACGAATCAACTGCCGTGCTTTCCTCCTCGGTAAACACTCTGACAGTGATGACATTTTTGGGTAGCCCAGGTCGAGACGGGGCGGGGTAGGTATGGTGCGGGGCTCGGGTACACCGTAGAGGCAAGTGGTGCGGAGACGCTTCATGGTTTTGAAACACTTCCGAGATCGGGTTTGGTCATGACGGGTGGACTTGCGGCCATTTATTTGTGGGGCATTGCGGACAATGTTGTTTGATGAGCCATCCTGTTGCTTGTCTAGGGAGCTCTCTGTGGGCTGCCTCTCTCTACCTGATTCAGTTGGTAGGCCCGACTGGGAACGTGAAGGCGGAAATGCATTGAGTAGACAAGAACCTCATCTCGTCAGGACCGACGGTAAATGCTCAAGATCGCTTGTCTCTACCCCGTCTCCAGACACTCGGCGTCCTCAATCAACGTCATCAAAGTCCTTCTTCCAATCCTCCCGTCCACCCAAGTAGCGATACACAACCCTAGAATCCAAATCCCTACACCTCGCATCATCCACCGTCGCGGTATACGTCTCCAACCCCTTCTCCCCCAACACCAGCCTCACCCCCAACCTCCTCGCCGCATCCACCGCCAACCCGAAATCCTTCCGCATCAGCTGCACCTTGAAACCGCCCCTGTACCCGTCGCTCGACGGCACGCCGGGCACGACGCCCGGGACGGGACACCAGCGGTCCAAGACGCAGCTCTGCGCGGTGCTGGCGTGGAAGACGTCGCGCAGCACGCGCGGGTCCATGCCGGCGGCCATGCCGATGCACATGGCCTCGGACGTGGCGATGGCGACGAGCCCGCTGCAGTAGTTGTTGCACAGCTTCGCCGTCAGCCCCAGCGCCGGCCCGCCGCACGCGAAGACGGCCGCGCCCATCCGCCCCAGCAGTGCCCGCAGCGCCGGCAGGTTGCCGTCTGTCCGCGCGCAGCCGAGCATGAAGGTCAGCGTGGCGCGCTGCGCGCCCAGCTGCCCGCCTGAGACGGGGGCGTCGTAGAAGGAGGCGGAGGAGGAGGAGGAGGAGGCGGTTGCGGCGGCGCGGACTTGGAGCGAGGTGGCGGTGTCGATGGTGGAGCAGTCGATGAGGAGCTTGTGGCTGGTGTTGCCGGCGAGGACGCCCGTGTCGGGGGTCAGGTAGACGGCGCGGACGTGGGAGCCTTCGGGGACCATGGAGAGGATTACGTTCTGGGGATGGCGAGGTCAGTTCGTGGCGAGGAGGTGGAGAGTTTGGGGGGGAGGTGAGGTACTGATTTGTCTGCGACTTCGCGGGAATTGGCACATGCGTGGACTTTTTCCGGATACTGCGCGCACAATGAGTCCATGACGGATGCGGAGATGTCGTACACGTAGAAGTTCGTTTCGTCTGATAGTTTTTGGATGAGGTTTTCGAGCATGGGCAGGCCCATGGTGCCCAGGCCGATGAAGCCAATGGAGTCGAACAAGGATTCCATGCTGGGCTACGAGACCGAAGAGAGTCAGCTGGGATGAGACGAAGCTGGCGAGCAGCACGAAAAGTGCCGGCAGACAGCCATTTTGTCGGCGACGAGGATGGCGTAGCGTGAGGGGTTGATGCATGAAAGATGAGTTGGAGAAGACGCCGGCCACGACTTTGGATGCGGGGCAGGTGAAGCTGGGCCACATTGCGTCACGCTTCACCTCTCGCGACTCTACAGATGCGCGGGAAACATTCTGGCTTTGTTCCGCTCGTACCAGCCGTCATCATGTGCCGCGACCAGCTCCACGCTCTCATCTTCAGCCAGCTTCCTCAGCCGCTCGATGGACTGGCTCGCTGCATCCTTGTCGAGATGGATGCATAACGTCTCGCCAGATTCGCCAGCCCAGTAACCAATCTCCTTGTCCCCGGTAAGCAGGCGCGGGTCATGGTACGCGTCGCCCGCCAGACACACCCAAGACTGTGGGCCGGTGCGGCACAGCAGGTTCACGTGCCCTGGCAAATGACCCGGCGTATCGATCGCATACATGCTTCCGTCGCCAAGCAGGTCCAACGCCGCTGGAAACGGTCCAGCTTCTGCCCATGTCCAGCTTGGACGGTCATTTGGGGCCTCTTCTCCTATTGCAGGCAGCTCCTCCGTCCTATCGTGCGGCAACAGGTTCGGATCGAAGTGCTGGTGAGATCCTTTGCCGGAAAGCCCGTGTTCGAGGATGTTCAATGCCCCATGGCCTACCAGAAAGACGGCGTTGGGGAAGTCTTCCGGGTCGCCGTGATGGTCATAGTGCACATGGCTCAGCATGACCGCGTCGACATCTTCCGGCGCAACACCACCGGCTCTCAGCAGATCGGCCGCACCCTGTAGTCGATATGGTTCGCGCGTGTGGAGGTGGTTTTGTTGGACGTGCATGTACCGCTCTGCTTTTGAGCGCAGTCCGAGGTCGAACATCAACCTGAGGGGCTGACGCGACGTCGCATTAGTGCTGCTGAAGACGTCGGAGCCTGGATGGGTAATGAGGAAAGCCAAGGAGGGGACTGTCCGCTTGGCCTCGGCATCGGCTGGATGGACAAAGAACTTTTCGGGGAGAGTGATGAAGCCTGCAGGAATCGGAGACACGGTAACAAAGGTTTGGCCAGGTTGATCCGGAGGCAACGTCATGGTGTGAGTAACACGCTAGTTTTCTGCTTGCCGGCCTGGCTTGGCGATAAATATTGCCGTATCGGGTAACTAACGGCTCTGGCTGCCGATCCCACTCAGGGAGCCCAGTGGTGCGAACTGGGACAATTTTACTCGGAGAGAGCCCAGGTAATGAGTTCGGGAGATGCGACACACTTCGCAGAGCAGCGACAATCCGATGGTGGAATGCTCCTCATACCCCGCATCCTGCTGTTCCCCGCCACGAGCCTCAACTTCCGACCCGCAACTGCCGGTCCATAACAGCGGGCTGGTATACTGGAGAATAAAATGCGAGACTCTCCACTCGCTGCTACAAGCCGCAATCCCCTCCTCTCGCATCCAACCAATCGTCCAAATCATGCCGACCCAACTCAGCGACCCGAAAGAGTACCAGAACATCTTCCACTGGGCCGAGACCCAGAAGAATGGGGAGATACCATCTTTCGGCTCCAGGAAAAATGATCCCTACACGTACCAGCCCGGGTTTGGCAACCACTTCGAATCTGAGGCGGTGCCTGGCACCATTCCTCAGGGCCAGAACAGCCCCCGCCATGTGCGCTTCGGCCTATATGCAGAGCAGATGACCGGCACCGCCTTTGTAGCCCCCAGGCACACGAACAAGCGCTCCTGGCTCTACCGAGCGCGCCCGGCCGTCGCGCATCAAGGCTTCGTAAGTACTATCACCCGCGCTGCCGTCGGAACCGCGGGCTGATGACGAATGGCCAGACCGATCTGCCAGACCTGAAAGACACAGAGGCGAACTTCCTGACCATCAATCCGCGGGTGCACATTTCGCCCACGCAGCTGGCCTGGCTGCCGTTCGACGTCCCCCCCGAGGGCGAGCCCACGGACTTCGTGACCGGCCTCAAGACGGTGGCGGGCAGCGGTGACCCCACGCTGCGCGAAGGACTAGCCACGCACGTCTACCTCGCCAACAAGAGCATGGAGAAGAAAGCCTTCGTCAACAGCGATGGCGAGATGCTCATCGTGCCGCAGCAAGGCGCGCTAGATATCCAAACCGAATTCGGCCACCTATACGTCCAACCCGGCGAAATCTGCGTCATCCAGCGCGGTCAGCGCTTCAAGGTGAAAATCGACCAGCCCTCGCGCGGCTACATCCTCGAGATCTGGGGCTCGTCCTGGGAGCTGCCCGCCCTCGGACCCCTCGGCGCCAACGGCCTCGCCAACCCCCGCGACTTCCAGCACCCCGTCGCGAGCTACGAAGTCACGCGCGACGACCCCTGGGAAATCGTATACAAACTGGGCGGCAAGTTCTTCCGCAGCACCCAGAACCACGGGCCCTTCGACGTCGTGGCGTGGCACGGCAACTACGTCCCGTTCAAGTACGACCTCACCAAGTTCGTCAACGTCGGCAGCATCTCCGTCGACCACATCGACCCGAGCATATTCTGCGTCTTGACCGCGCCGTCGCGCGACCCCGCCGCGCCCCTGGCCGACTTCCTCATCTTCAGCCCGCGCTGGGACGTCGCGAGCCACACCTATCGGCCCCCGTACTACCACCGCAACGTGGCGTCGGAGCTCATGGGCCTGATTTACGGCGACTACGGCGGCCGGTCGGACGCGTTCCAGCCGGGGAGCATCTCGTTCGAGTGCGGCATGGTGCCGCACGGCGTCGCGTACGAGCAGTTCAAGGCCGCGTCGGAGAACGAGCAGCCGCAGGTGCAGATATCGCTGGCCAGCATCGCCTTCATGTTCGAGAGCAGCCGCCCCTTTACCATCACCGACTACGCGTGGACCAGCGGGAAGAAGCACGAGCATGAGCCCAAGATGTGGGATGATCTGGTGGATAATTTTTCGAGCTACAAGGATGAGGTGGAGGGGATCTTGGCGAGGAAGGCGGAGGGGTTGAAGATTCGTTGAGGGGATGATAGGGAGAGCTAGGCACTGGTTCGGCGTGAAGCAAGCATCGATTGACTCCCTGCGTAGGATATCCACCAAGTTTTCGTTTTTCTCAAATATTCTCCAATCAAGGCATCATCATCATCATCAAGCAGTCTAAGACGAGCACTTGAACCGAAACTTCGTCTTCTGGAAGCTCAGACCATGAGGGGTAGCTCTGGGCCCCAGTGCGGGGTTCATGCTTCCCCCCCCTCATCCTTGGACGAGCCCCACTCCCCCTCCCGCGCCACCCGCGTGGGGCAAGATTGGGATCCTTGTCCCCCTTCCTTCTTTGGCGCATGGCTTGCGTCTTTCTCCACCTGCGTCGGATTTATTCTGCCGAACGACCAGTCGTCGCTATCCGAGCTAAAGCAGTGCAGCGTAGTACGTCGTTACTTCATGGAATGGGTTTGTGGAGCTCGAGAAGAAGATGTATGAAGCATGACCGACATGGCTGGGTGAGTGATTGAGCAGAGGGTGTGGATGAGGAACAAAGGCGGGTGATGCCGCTGGCGTTTTCTTTGTGATCATTATGTACGGCCTGCACAATGGCTGGAAGAGCTTCCCCACCTGCGAATCGAGGCTTGGCGACCACCAGAGTCCACGTATGCAGATTGTGGCTGGAGATATTTGGTCAGCAGGCTTGGTAGGTGCAGCCAGCAACTGTTCACCTGTAGCCAATAGGCGTCGCTTGAAGCTGACGTGCACTGCGAATCGACTAAGGTATGATACGGAGAGGGGGGGGACTATGTTGGCCAAGCAGGCCCTAGTCGATTCCAGATGGACAAACTGCTGACTGATTGTACAAATTATGGAGTTTGGGCGTTTGCAATTACGTATTCTTTGTATGAGCTGACTATAAGTCGGCTACCTCTCTACGTAGATTTCATAGCTTGACGAATTCAATCACACTCTATGGAGGACCTTTTCAATTAGGGGCCAGTCCATCGGTCGTACGGAGCCAATGGAAAACGTCTCATGGAGATACATGCCGTGTGTCCTTCATCCTCTCCAACCAGCCGACCCAGTGACCTTACAGTCTGTACTACCATGCAGACGCTGGATTCTCTTCAGCGGTCACAGAATATCATCGACTCATGCTTTCCAAGTCAAAGAATCGTTCTGCACCTCTCGAAGTGAATGAGTACCATTAGGTTGCTTTCTACTATTGAGACATGTGGTAGAACAGAATGAACGGCTCTGAGTCTTTGGCCCTTGGCCGACATCCGCCTTCTCATCAAACATATATCGGCGAGTTTGAGATTACTCTTGATGTTCATACTCATTGTGGACCAAGGTGGCTGTAAACGTGAAGTGCATTGCTCGCCGATTTTGGTCGTTGACCTATACAATGGCTGCACATACCGGTGTTAGCCAACATACGACTGCATTGTTCGTATACAGTGTGGTGGAATCGGTACAGAGGATTTTCGAAAGCTGTTCATACTACATTGTCAAGCGTTAACAATGTAATAGTCACTATCCGAGAAGCGTTATATATACCCTCTTATTCTGCATTTTACAAGTCCACACAGCGCCTTACTCCTCGCAAGACATGGATCCACAAGCAACCATGCGGGCGTTCAACGACGCCGATTTGGAGAGCATGCCGGCGGAAGTCATGGATGTCATCTGCGACACTGGTGGTCTCTCATTCAGGGACAACATGAACTTGCGGCTGACATCGAGAGCGATCCGGAGAAGTACGTGGGAGTGGTTCCGGCGCCACACAGTCAAGATGCCGCATGGCTCGGACGGTACCCCCAACACTCTACACGTCTCGATGACGCCCGCCGGCCTCGATGGCTTTCGTTGGTGGACAATCCACCAGAAGAACACCCAAGAGATCAAGACCATCCACATCAATGTGGCACAATTCAACGCTGGCTGCCTTGAGAAGCTTCGTCAAGACCTCGACAATATTCTAAAGTACGATGGGCTCGCTACTCCTTCAGTCACATTTAGCCCGCGTCTTACGGGAAAGGTCCGCCAGAGGGTGTCACACTTCTACATGAAGACAGCACTCATTGCCCACAGGAGCAAAGGCCTGGACAGCTCAGATCCCATGCGCCATAGCCACATATTTGGTAGCATCAAGGACTTGATCCATCTGCGGTATTTGAAATACCACATGGAGCATGCCGAGCAGGTGCGTATGAAGTCGGCGGGCGAGGAGTCTATGCTCTTCAATGAGGCCTTCAACAGCCTCACTGAGCTGGAGGCGATGGCCATCGGAAGCTGGAATATTCCAAACCTGTACGATGATATGCAGATGACGGAGCGGGTGATGGCCGACCATCCGAAGGCCTTCAAGTTCAAAGACGATGTTCCTGCCCACAAGAGGCTGCTGACTTCGGACAGGCCTCAACTGCCCCATATTCCGGGCTACGGCACCATGCTGCGGACAGACACCCTTAAAAGGGTCTTCAACTTGATGGCAGGCAATCCCAAGCAACTGAAGAGCCTGATTGTCCAGAACAACTCGGTAAGCCTGGACCCGATGTGCGCCTTCAAGCAGCCTACCGATGAAGAGGCTGGGATCTGGGCCTTCTGCTTGCCGCAGTCAACGCTTGAGAGCTTGAAGCCAACGTTGGCTAACCTGCGCAAGATCCATCTCACGCTTTCCAACGGTGAGTACAACGCTGGGCCAGTCGGCTACACGGCAAAGCAAGACACAGACGCCTTTGTTCGATTCCTGTCGGCACTGCCGAACCTCCAAACATTCCAGCTTGCCGCCGCGTCCGAGACGCTATTCACTGACGACTTCATCTTTCCAGTGCTCAACGCCCTGCCCCCGACCGTGACGACGATCCACCTCTACGACTTCATCGCCTCGGTCCCGACGCTGTGCGGCTTCCTGACCAAGCACAGCGAGACCCTGCTGGATGTCCGCTTCACGCGCGCCTACCTGGTCAAGGCGTCCTGGACTCCGGTGTTCGAGACGATGGCGGAGAACCTCACGGCTCTCACTCACTTCTGCTTCGAGCGGCTGTGGGAGCTGCATCCCGAATACGCCGACAAGGTCTTCTTCGACGAGGAGCGGGACACGCACGAGGATGTGTTTGGCGAGCGTACCTACTACGTTCTTGACCACGCCGACTTGGAGGCCGGCAGGTTTGACCAGAGGGGCAACTGGGTGTTTGAGGACAGGTACGATGCCCTTACTGGGGACGGTTCCGACATGCCTATCGAGGACAAACTTGGAATCGCGATTGACAGCGAGAGGGAGACCTGGCCGTACAAGTTCCTCGACAGGAAGTTGATCAACCACGTTTGCAAGGTCTTTGGCAAGCGGGAGGGCGACTTCAAGGTTCCGAAACCGTTTGATCCATGAACAAGCTGCTGCGCGGCTGACTGGCTTCCGGTGATGGTTTCTTGAGAACATACTTGGTCAGATTTGTGTTAGATTTGTGTCTTGGATTTGTGCCTTGAAATATGAATGTCTGCAAAACGAACCCCACAGAAGAGTGACAGTGATTACATAAATATAACGCCCCTCGCGTGCATGTCCTGATGTGCAGCGCGATCATGATATCATGGTGTTGAGCACCGTTTTCAGCTAATGATGATGACGTCCATCGAACCACGCAGCAAACATCTTGCGTAGATTCGGTCTCCGTCGAAGCAGGCCAGCCATCTCCACCCTTTTTATATGGCGCAATGTGCGTACATACACATATACATACCTTCCCCGCAGGGAGACGGCATCCGAAAACGAACAGTCCGCCGTTTCCCGTGGTGAAGAAGGCTAAAGATCGCACACAGTGTGAGTGGCCCGCAAGGCGCTGCAAAAAAGGAAAGAAAAAAAGGAATGTGTTTTGCGGGGTCGTGGGATAGTGGGGGCGACAAAAGAATTCCCAACCCACCAAAATCTCTCCTCCCCCACTCGTGGGGCGATCTGTTCATAGTGATTTCACCAAGGTACCAGGGAGGGGGGCAGAAGACGACCCCGCATAAAAAGGTGGTGGCACGCTCTGGCGGTTTTCCCAGCCCCACTCACTCCCTCTTTCCTCGATCCTCAACTCTGCTCGAACATCGCCCGACTTCGGGATATTCTTGCGTCCTTCTTTGGTTAATCGGCCTTTATTGAAGCGAAACGTGTCTCAACTTCCCACAATCAAACGAAGCCCGCATCTCCACCGAAAGAACGACTGTATTAAGAATAAAAATAAAAATAAAAGGAAGGCCGTGAGATAGCCCAGCTTGACCTCTCTATCAGGACCGATATCAAAATACACACACGAACCATACGCCAGCAACGATGTATCCTCCCCCGAAAACGCCCATTTATTTTCATCTTATTCTTTTTCTGCATGTCCCACGAGCTGAATGCCTGAAACCGTCTTCTGTCTCATCTATCTCGAACCATTCGACGCGCAAATAAAATAAAAAAGGCACATCGAATCTCAGCTCTTCATGGCCACCACCGCATCCTGAAAGTCGCGCTCATACGCATCAGCCAACTTCATCAGCACAGACCCCATCCGCGGCGTCACTGTAGAAGCAAAAAAAGTTAGTTCATCATCGGCCGATCAAACTCCACGAACGAGAGAGAGAGAGAGAGAGAGAGAGAGAGAGAGAGAGAGAGAGAGAGAGAGAGAGCGAAAAGAGAAAAGACTCACCACCCCAAACCCACGTATCCGACAAAAACCCCGCACAAGTCCTCGCCACCGCCGCCGCGAGGCTCCCACCACTCCTCCCATCCGCCCCGGCAGCAGCAGCAGCAGCAGCAGCACCATCAAACTCGACCTCCATCTCCCCCAAGAAATGCTCCACATCCTTCAGAATCGCCTTCACCGCCTCACCCTCGACCCCTTCTTCCTCTTCACCACCATTGTCCACCAACGCCGTCGCACCACCACCACCACCCCTCCTCAGCCCCCGCCTCTGCTGCTGCTGCTGCTGCTGCTGCTGTTGCTGTTGCCGCCCCTCAACGCCCTTTCCTCCCCCCTGCCGCAGCCCCTGCCGCAGCCGCACCCGCCCAACCTCGACCCCGTGCACCCACTTCGTCAAAAACAAGCCGGCGTCCCACCACGCCACCGCGTGCTCGACGCTCCAGCCAAACGCCGCCGTCTTGCGCACCAGCAGCGGGGGGCAGCCCACCTTCGCAGGGAGGGTGAAGCCGTCGCACGCGTGTCTGGCGCCTTTGATGGCAAAGGATGACGATGATGACGATGCTGCTGCTGCTGCTGCTGCTGCTCCTACTTCCAGCGGCGCGCGCAGGTACGCTTCCACGGCGGCGGAGACGACGGCGTCGCTGTCCGAGGCGAGGACCGCGCGGTCGAAGGCGGGCGCGCCGGCGCCGGCGGCCGAGAGGCGCGTGCCGGCGATGCGGAGGAGGGCGTTGGTGTTGGAGAGGAGCGACGAGGAAGAGGGGGACCGGGTTCGTTGAGGGGCGGCGTGGTGCGGGTGTTGGTAGTCCTCGGTGCAGTCGTCGTCGTCGTCGTCGCCGTTGTCGCCGTCGCCGTTGTTCTTGTTGTTTTTGTTGTTGTTGGTGTTGTTGCGGCTGTGGTTGACGGCCGCGCGCTGGCACTTTTCGATGGAAGATGCCGCGTCCGCGAGAAGGAGGGAGTGAGGGCTGCTTCTGGGGACGGCGGATTTGCTGCTGCTGCTGCTGCTGCTGCCGCCGAGACTTTGGGAGATCTGCGAGATGTGCCAGACGTGGATGTTTGCGGCATGCGCGACGACGAGGCCTGCGAAACCTGTCGAATATGCTGGCTGCTCTTCCTCTGGCGAATCCTGCGATTGGGTCTGCGACAGGGCATCCGACATTGCTTCCTGCACTGTCTTGAGTGGCTCTTCTTGCATTTCCTTCCTCCTCTCCGCCCACTGCCCGGCTGTTTTCGTATCCCAGAGATCGTCCCTCGCTGGAAGCTCCACTTGAAGGTCCTCGCCGACTGAGAACCAAGGGCTTGTACCATAAGCCACGGAGATGAGATTGCTCAGGATAAGAATCCCGCAGAGGACTCGCTTGCTGGATTCCTCGCTGACCCAGTCCTCCCACATGGCGCTCTCTCTGTCGGGATCCGCCGTTGAATGCGTCCGTCGGAGGCGGTATTCCGCAACGAAGAAGCCACTCCTTTCTATGCTGGAGAGGACGAGAGCGGCCCTCCCACTGAACACGGAATACACGGCAAGGAGCAAGCTCCCTTGCACTGCCCACAAAGGTGCTGGTGAAGAAGAGTTCACTTTGCGGCATGTGGATATGGCAGAATGCAGTAGCGGACTGGCAATCTCATGCAGTATGGCTGCGCGTCGTCTGTCTAGGCGGTACAGTGCCCCAATACAGCAAATTGCTAGGAGAAGTGGGCTTGGTGTCGACTCCAGCTTCATAGAGGGGAAGTGGACGACTGGAAAATGACGGTGGAAGCAGTTGATGTAGCCCTCGATGAACTTCTGCAACTCTTTAGCGTTGGGAAGCTTGCTCCCATCCCAGTCCTCTTTTCTTGTCCGGGCCTGAAGGTCCGTGTAGATGCTCGAGTAAACGCCGGCATCCACCACCAGCTTTGGTGACTCACAGGCGTTCTCGTTGGATCTCCCAACAGATGTTTTCCGATTAACGGCGCCGAGGTTCGGCAACGGATCTTTGAAGGAAAAACTAGAGTCGAACAAAGACGTGCTCGGATGAGCAGAGGAGTCGTGAGCGCTCATCAGAAAGGGATCAATCGGAATTGAGAATTCCAGGCTGTCCGGAGAGATCAAGGAGTCCATGTTATTCTGCGCCATGTCCGATGGCGGCTCTGGAGGCGACCAGAAGTCCCGAAAAATGTCAATCGACGTTGAATCGAGCTCATGGTGCCAGTCGTGCTGCGAAGCACCACGGTTGTCGATGTTGGCATTTCCGTGGACCGTCACTCTTCGGCGTTTGGGTGGCGGACTCAGGGCATCTTTGGCGGCATCCATTGAGTCGTTTCTGGACTCAATGCTTGGCACCGCCGCCTGGGAGCTCCGGCTATGCTTTGGACTCATCATATCGAGATCCAGCGGCTGTTGCGGGTCACAGAGTTGCGGGTCGATTGGCATGAAAGGGGGTTGCATTTGTACTTCCTGGAGAGCCATGATTGGCTCGCCCCATGGCTGCAGGCTGCCTGATGCCTGCTCTGGACAGCTCTGCGGGCTCGGATAGAGAGCCTCGACCGCGTTACCAAAGGCAAACGATGGCGACATGACGTCGGCAGGAACAAAGATCTGGGAACTCCGACGGGCGTCCGTAACGGCTAGTTGATGCGGAGAGAGCTCTGCTGAGGTGGCCACAGGCGCGAACCTGTCGGGTCGAGCGGGCTGCTGGCGGGCTTCGCTCTCAGGCTCGAAATGCTGGGTGAGATCGGGCTGGGAGGAGTCATTGCTCGGAATGGACACATTGATGGTCTCTGTCGACTCTGACGAGGTCCGCGAAGCAGGGGAATCCGGGATGGCGGTGGCAACGGACTGCCTCCTCTTTTCGGAGTGCAATGTCTTTTCGTGGCGGGTGACCAGGTCCTTGCGGGCATACTTTTTGTGGCAGTACTGGCAGGCAAAGGGGCGCTCACGGGTATGGATGCGCTCGTGGCGCGAGCAGTGCTCGCTCCTCTTGAACACCCTGGCGCATGTGCTGCACTTGTAGACTCTCCGCTGCTTGCCGGACATGTTGGGCTGTGGGGTGGCGTCTCCGTCGGGCGAGCGCCGGGAGCAGCACAATGAATCCTGCATTGGGGTGTCAGCACGCCCGGGCAAGCAAGGTGGTGACAATGCAGGGCAGCGGATGGACAGGCAGTCGACGGCGGCGTCGCGCGGTCGTTCGGAGCGGACCTTATCAACTCCGGCGCCGCTGGGCTGGATGGACATGGGACGGCATACCGTGTCTCGGCGAGCGCTAGCTCGGGATCGTATTCGAGTCAGAGAGCGTGGGCGCCTCGAATGGTCGCTTGGTTTGCGGTGAGGTTGGAGAGTAGAGGCGGGACGCGCAGGGCAAGGCTACGACGTAGTCCTGAGCCGCGCCATTAGTCCCAACCGGCGGCAAGCCAGCTGCCAAGTTGGTTGCGCGGGACCCCGGAAGCATCGCCAAAAAGGCGGGGAAAGCTTCAGGCTTCTCCGCGAAAGAGAACGGGGATCGGCCGCGCACTGATGAGGCGGCACGCATGCAGCGCCTCTGCAGGGCCCGCCCAAGTCCAAGCTCGGCAGTGGAGCTGTGCCGAACTGCCGCGGGTGTGCACGTCTGGCCCAGCAGCGCACATAGCAGCGCACATGACTGCCGTCACCCGTGAAATCCGATGAAATGCTCCCGCCCTCACTGGCCGCCAGGCCCATCAAGGCCCATTGCCCATGACTCGCGCCGCCGCCGCCCGTCCGCCCGCCCAGCCTCTTTAGCCGCGACACGAGCCCTGAGCCCTTTACTCAGCCGTTAGGAATTAACCCGCACTCGCACTCCATCGGCGAAATAAAATCGGGTCGGCAATCATGTCACGGGAAAGCGCTGCGTGCAGGGTCATGAAATCAATTGTCTGCCTCGTGGCCATGCTCATTATCTCGTTACACGGACAACCCGTCCCGGTGCACGCTTGCCCCGAAGAGTGCTCGTCTGCATCCCCTGCTGATGTCTAGCCGCCATAACAAAACTTTTCCAGCGGGCCCTGTGCCGCTTTACGGCTTCGGGACCCTCAGCGTCTTGCTGACCATGAGACATCCGTGCAGCAAGAACATGCCGATGACGGGGTGGAACTCCAACGACGTGCCAGCCAGCGCCGTGCCGAGCGGCACATCGTCCAGGATCCAGCCCTTGTACACCCAGTATGCCATGATACTATCGAGCCCGAGCGACATGGGGATGGGCGTGCCCTCAAAGTACTGTGCCTTGCCCGACGCATCCTTGGGAACGAGCTGAGTCGTGACGTTGAAGCGCGCGAGACGCGTAAGACCGCAAAGGACGTAGAAAGTCAGGAGCAAGTGGTCCACGGGCGTGCGAAGGCCGATAGCCATGGCGCAACAGACGGGCGCGACGCCAAACGAGATCTAAGCTGGCCGTCAGCACCGGCTGGGAACAGCGGGTCCTTCACACGTACCAGGTCTGCCAAGGAGTCGAGCTCCTGGCCCATCATCGACGCCTTCTTCCTCCACCTAGCAACCTTGCCGTCCATGAAATCGAAGAACAGGCCGAAGGGCATGAAGGCCAGAGCTGCCCACAGGTTGCCCAGGTCGCTCGGCTCGCCGAGGCAGTAGCGCATCGAGGAGAACACGGACATGACACCGCAGAATCCTGCCACAACTCGTCAGCACGGTGCGCGCTTCGTCGGTAGGTTCTGAGCTTACCGTTCAGCTCTGTGATCACGTCCGCGAGGTGCAGGGCCCTGTACCGGTTAGCTCATGGCCGCCCTTGCCATTGCGCAGCCGACACGTACTTGATCATCGAGAAATGGCCCGCGTCGGCAGAGAGGAGCCGCTTCTGCTTTTCCATGCCTGTAGGACGGTGAGTGACTATCTTCCGGAGCCAGCGACGCGTGGAAACGCACTTGGGTTCTCAGCAACCGGCGCGGAGCTGCCGTCCTTGTCGGCGCTGTTTCCGGTACCGCTCCTTCGCGACATGATGGCGCCTAGTGATGCGGGAAAGGGGATATGAGGATGCGGGAGGGTGAGTTCTGAGTAGGGTGGTGGATGCAAGAGGCTGTGCAGCGACACTTTGTTTTCCAGGACAAGATCTCGGGCCAGGCCAGACCGAAACGTCATCGCTTGTCGCTCCGGCGGCTGCCAGCCCACGCTAACCTTGTCAACGTGGATCAGGTTCCCAAAACAAGTCACGCAGGTTTCTCAGCCACAGACACAGGGCTGAACGTAGAATTCAGGCTGGTCATTTGCCCGTCACTCAGATGAACTTTTTGCATTTTGTTGCTGGAGCTTTACGCTCCATTAGACCCAAAACCCCTCAGACTGTCACCGTCTGGTAAATTCGTACAGAGAAAAGAGCCACTCCCAATCCGCGAACGCCGTCCCATGAGCCGTAAAGCACAAGCAAAGGCTGTCATCGACTAGTAGCGGCCCCTGCCCCTGCCACCTCCTCTAGGAGCGCCACGGCCACCACTGAAGCCTCCACTGCTGAAGCCTCCCCTCGAGCCTCCGCGACCTCCGAAGCTGCCGCCGCGACCACGCGGTGCACCGCCACGGCCACCACGGCCGCCAAAGCCGCCGCCAAAGCTGCCGCGACCACCGCGGGGTGCACCGCCACGACCGGATCCACCAGCGCGCTTGGGCTTGGGCATTCCTGGAAATCCGTTAGAAATTTGTCGGTACGATAGCAAATCTGATTCTTACCACCCGGGGGCTTGGGCTTCGGAAGGAACCTGCACACAAAATTCATCAGCAATCTTTGTCCCATCGCGCTTCTTCAGGACTGATCCCACCTGTCCAAGGGCAGGAGCTTGTCGCCGCCAATGTAGAACTTGTCACCCTGCTTGAAGGAGGTGGCCTGGATGCCCTCCTGGGGCTTGATGGTGAAGTAGACCTGGTTCAGAGGACCGAGGATCTCGTCGACCTTGCCGATCGGGCTCTGTGTCCCCGTCAATATTTCCGAACTGCCACATGATGTCTTGCATGCGTGCTTGCCTTGTTCTCGAGGTAGATGGGAGCGTTGAAGTAGGGGATCTTGGTGTTGATCGACTCGCACACAATCTCGCCTTCGCAAGCGTGCATGAAGGAACCCATCTCTGCTTTTTGTCAGCGTGTGCCCGGCCATTGGAGTCGCAGCACTCACCGAAGACCTGGTCAGGCGGGCCCATGGGCTGCGAGAAACCACCACGGCCTGCGACACCCCGACGTTAGCATCACTGCGACTTTCCCCCGGCGTGCAAGGCCCACAAACCTCCACCACGGCCGCCGCGAAATCCGCCGCCGCCGCCACGGGCGCCAAAGCTTCCACCGCCGCGACCACCGCCGCGGGAGCCTCCTCGGAACGACATGTTGTGCAGTTGGTATGGGATCGGGAGCGGAAGAGGGTTGTCGCAGGTGAAGGAGCTCCAGCGCGGGCGCCGTGTTCGCGTCCACGGAATTTTTGCAGCGGCGGCCGGCAGATCTCCGGGTCGGCGGCGTGAGTCACGCTAGTGACTCAAGAGGACAAGTTCAGCTTTTATTTGACAGACGTGCATTCTGCCCCTCCCCCAATTGAACCATAACCCACCCCATACTCCACCATGGACGCTGTCAAGGACGCCGTAGAGGGCGTCAAGAACCTGGCCGTCGGCGAGAAGCAGCAGCCCAAGAAGGAGAAGCAGCCCAAGAAGGACAAGAAGAAGGGCGGTGAAGAGGCCGACGCCCGCCCGCTGGAAATCGCCCCCCCGCCTGAGTATCTGGACCACAGGATTAAGATCTTCGAGGAACTCAAGGCCAAGTACGATGCCGATGTTGCCGCCAAGCCCCGCGAGCCCATCAACATCACCCTGCCCGACGGCAAGGTCCATGTCGGCGAGTCCTGGGTCACCTCGCCTGCCGACATTGCACGTGGCATCAGCAAGTCCCTGTTTGAGCGCACTGTGATCACCCGCGTCGATGGTGAGCTGTGGGATCTCGAGCGCCCGCTGGAGAAGAGCTGTAGCCTTGAGCTCCTTGACTTTGAGCACCCCGAGGGCAAGAAGGTCTTCTGGCACTCCAGTGCTCACATCCTCGGAGAGGCCGCCGAGAGGAGATTTGGCTGCGACCTGTGCATCGGCCCGCCCGTTGAGGATGGTTTTTACTACGAAATGGCCCTTCCCGGCGGCGAGCCCGTCCAGCAGACTGACTACAAGCCCCTGGAGAAGATTGCCGACAAGGCCATCAAGGAAAAGCAGAAGTTTGAGCGTCTGACCCTGACCAAGGAGGACCTGCTTGAGATGTTCAAAACCAACAAGTACAAGCAGCACATCATTAAGGACAAGATCCCCGATGGCACCAGCACCACCGTCTACCGCTGCGGTCCTCTCATCGACCTCTGCCGTGGACCCCACGTCCCCCACACCGGCAGGGTCAAGTTCTTCAAGATTATGAAGGTATGACATGCTGCAGCTAACACTAAAACAAACATACTGAAGAAAAAACACTAGAACTCTGCCTCCTACTTCCTTGGAGACGCCAAGAACGACTCTCTCCAGCGTATCTACGGTGTCTCCTTCCCTGAGAAGAAGATGATGGACGAGCACTTGAAGTACCTTGAGGAGGCCGCCAAGCGTGACCACCGCAAGATTGGCAAGGAGCAGGAGCTGTTCTTCTTCCACGAGTGGTCTCCGGGCTCTGCCTTCTTCCTGCCCCATGGTATGATCATCTACAACACTCTGCAGTCCTTCCTGCGTGATGAGTACTGGAGACGTGGCTACCAGGAAGTCCAGTCTCCCAACATGTACAATGCCGATCTCTGGAAGCGCTCTGGTCACTGGCAGCACTACAGGGACGACATGTTCACCTTCGAGGTCGAGAAGGATGCGTGGGCGTTGAAGCCCATGAACTGCCCGGGCCACTGCCTGCTCTTCGGCCACAGGGAGCGCAGCTACAGGGAGCTGCCCATGAGGATTGCCGATTTCGGCGTGCTTCACCGTAATGAGGCCTCGGGTGCGCTCACTGGCTTGACCCGTGTGCGTCGTTTCCAGCAGGATGATACCCACATTTTCTGTACCGAGGACCAGATTGAGCAGGAGATTACGGGTCTTTTCGATTTCCTCCAGACGGTCTACGGCAAGTTTGGTTTCACCTTCAAGATGAAGCTCTCCACCCGCCCTGAGGGCCACCTTGGTGATGTCGAGACCTGGGACATTGCCGAGGCCAAGTTGACGGCTGCTTTGGATAAGTTCACGGCGCAGGGTGGTGAGAAGTGGGAGCTCAACCCCGGTGATGGTGCTTTCTACGGCCCCAAGATCGATATCACCATTTCGGACGCGCTCAAGCGTGACCATCAATGCGCCACGATCCAACTTGACTTCCAGCTTCCCCAGCAGTTCAACCTGGAGTACATGAGCGCTGAGAAGGTCGAGAAGCCCAAGGACGCTCCCAAGGCCGAGGCCCCCAAGGCCGAGGCCCCCAAGGCTGAGGCGCCTAAGGAGGGCGAAGCGAAGAAGGATGTCATGGAGGCCGCCAGAAAGCCGCTTACCCCCGGATGCGCTCGCCCGGTCATGATCCACCGTGCCATCTACGGCAGCTTTGAGCGCTTCATCGCCATCCTCACCGAACATTTCGCCGGCAAGTGGCCCTTCTGGCTCAGCCCTCGCCAGATCCTGGTCGTCCCGGTCATGCCCGCCGTCAACGACTACGTGCACGAGTTGCAGGGCATCTTCCGCGCCAAGGGCATGCACGTCGACGTCGACGTCAGCGGCAACACGATGCAGAAGAAGATCCGCACCGGCCAGCTGCAGCAGTACAACTTCATCTTCGTCGTGGGTGCCGAGGAGAAGGAACAGCGCAAGGTCAATATCCGCAACCGTGATGACCAGGCTACCCAGCAGAGAGGTGAGCTCGTCGATCTGGATGCGGCTATCGAGAAGCTGGTGGCTCTCAAGGAGAACAGGGCTCTCGCTACTGCCCTCTAGGTGTTTAGTGTGCAGACAAAACAACTTTCTTCCGGAAAAGGAGTTACGCGGTGCTTAGATGACGAAGAGAAGATGTTAGCACAGTTGAATGCCAATTGCATGAAGTAAATGAATTTTCTGGGACGAACGACGCTTAATCTCTCTCGGCTATCCAGTTAAGGCTATCTACTTGTGATACTGAGAGCCTTTCGATAACAGCTCATGGCGAGCAGTCACTTTGAGCAACGCCAAAGTAGAAGTGGTCCTCCTCGATCTCGATCGAATCAACGTGCCAAGTCTTTCCGTCATCAGATGTCTTCAGGCCACTGGAAGTAGCATTCGCGAGGACCAAGCTATCCCCGAAGGTCTTATCAGCCGCGCTGAGGACGATGGTAAGGTTGCTCCAGTCTATGGGATGTTTTGTCAGATTGAAAGATTCGGAATCGCTTGGGAGCGTTCGCTTGACTTACTGTAGCTGGCCAGCGTTCCGCACGTGCCTTTGTAGCATTCGTTGCCGGAATAGAGACACTTGGGCGCAATACCGTCGGCTGCAATGGGTTAGACGATTTGCGATTTATCGAAATGGTGAGGGGAGGCATACAGTCGGATTGCTGGGAAACGAGCTTGCCGTTGGTCCACACTTTTTGGGATACCTTTGCGGAGCTGTCGACGTCGACTGCAGACCGAGTTAGCTTCGTTGTTGGTAAGCCGTTCTCGGGAATGGGAACATGCCTTCGAAATCAAGCTGCGCTTTGGACGGCACAATCTGATAATCTTGCTGAACCTGACCATCTGGACCATCTTTAGCACCCAATTACTCCTCCGCAAACCTCCGGAAGAAACCACTCACTAGGCGTATACGTGCTAGCAGCAACGCACCACTCCTCCACCGACGCCGAACAGTACCTGTACTCGTAGTCAGTCTCAATAAGACCACAACATCACCAGAATGCACCACTCACTGCGCCTCCTGATCCGGCGACCAGTTCAACAGCGGCTGGAACAGGTCCGTCCCGTCGTCCGTGAGCGACTGCGCCACTCCGATCCAGATGGACATCCACGGGTCGTCGTTGGAGTCCTGGGTCACGGTGCCGCAGGGGGTGGCGGGCGGCGTCAAAGACCATGTCGCTTTCGCGATGTAGACGTCGCCAGAGACGGGGCCGACGCTGAACATGTTGCCGAAGTGCCAGTCGTCCAGGCCGGCGGCTGCGGCGCCCATGGCGAGGGCGAGGGCGGTGAGGGTCGTGGGCGTGCAGTGCATTTTGGTTGTGGGGGGAGGGGAGTGGCTGCAGGGGAAGAGGTATTGGTGGTATATGGAAGCAGGCGTCTTGAATATGTAGTTTAGAATGGAATCTCACGATGCGGTCTCAGGAGAATATCCGCCGCACTCCGTGTCGTGTCGCCGTTTAGGCGCCCTCGTTGGTCGGAGAATCTCATTTAGCCATCAGTGGTAAGGTCCAGCAAGACAGTACAGCTCCACAGCTGAGTGGGAATTGCGACCAATCAATGTGCGACGAACGGCGTTCGTAATCGTAAAGTACATCACTGGCGGAGAAATAGTGCTGATCACGGTAAACGAAATGAAACCGAGAACCAGAAACGCCTTGAAACAGGCGTCCACTGCCACTGAAACGCTACAAACAGATGCGACAATGTCACTTAAGCCTCTACGGAAATATCTTAGCTGAGCTTAATCTCCTTGTTCGACCATGACTTTTTGTTGCTTCTTCTCTTATCAAGTCTTGCTAAGATATATGCTAGGCCTGCACCAGGCGATTATCCAGTTCACCACATTTCCCTCATCCATTACGTCCAACTGTTCAAGATATATTGCTTATCACCCTATCAAGAAGATGAAAGACGAAATCGCTTAAGAAATCACCGAATGATATGATTTGCCGGAGGCGTTGTTTAAACAGTGGCGCGCTGTAGGAAGCGGCGGTCTGCCTGTAGCTCATCACAATCCGCGGTAGACAGTGCATTAGAGCGATACAGGCTGCTTGGGAAATCTGAACTCTGTCCAGAGCAGTCGGGTGTGCCAATATCTCAGCTCTAGACCCATTCGCTTCAGTAAGGCACTCTGAGGCAGCTCTGTCTTTTGTGGCGTTGGTAAATACCTACGACTGGAAGTACCGGCTTGAAGAGAAGGTTGGAAAACAACGGCGATCTCTTCTTTCTCAAATACTCCTCTGATTAAGTCAACAAGGCTGAGCCTTGTCATCGTGTCGATATGGTAGTCTGCGCCAAGCAAGGACCAGCGCTTTGGTAGCCTCGTATATCCATCCATCGAGATACATGCCTCAAATCGGCGGATCACTCGTATGATCATACGGAAGTAAGTCTCTCAGCAACCTCTTTTTGGATAAATCGGAGTTGCAAAGTCATAATCGTCACGGGAGTAATGCAAGGCTGAACCAATTCGGCATAAGAGATGTATCATCCGTTCCCCCGCTCGCCCAGGGCCAATAGAAATTATGATCAGTCACCATGGCCGCATCCAATTCATGCCTATTCGTTGCCCGATTGAAGTGAGGAATCGATAATGAGGCGAAGTAAAATCATGTGAAAGGGTTGGCTGGGCTTACTTAAACGGTTCGAAGGCCAGATCGCTGACATTCAAGCTATCCAGCATTGTTCTGACAAGCTTGATCCAGATCAATTCACCAACTGCTCTCGCACCATTGTCGGCGACTCAGAATGCCAGGTAAGTGTTATGCTATAAGCAAAGCGCATACTGATTTTAACGCGTTCTGTCTTTCAAGATAAATGCCGCTCCAGCAATTGCAGATCAAACGCACGGTCTGACTACCGCTACTGCAATGACCGTAACTATTTCTCTCTTCAATATTTGTAGAGTACAGGACTCATTTTTCGTTGATCAGATTTATGTCAGTCGGGGAAATGCAAGTCGAAAAGCCGCAGTGATAGCCGCTACTGCGATGACCGTAATAATCACCCAAGCATACGGGCAAAATACACGACTGATTTATTTCTGGGTAGATGTGTGTTACGCATCTGGCTGTGTGTCGGAAAGGCTCAGTGGTTTTGTTTACTGCAAGACTCGTGAGTATAACACCTCCTACCAGCACTATGGTGAAACAAGAAAACAAGACTAAATTATACTCTCTTTGGACAAATGCGAAAAATCTGGATGCGAACGCAAAGTCCGCGACCAATATTCGAAGTCCTGCCAAGATCGTGAGTATCATTTTCTCGTCGAAAGTTGTGGAAATATGTTAAAGGTGATGATTGTAGACCAATGTGCATATGTAAATTGCGGGGCAGCTACAGCTGAGAACAGTAGCTACTGTCCACTAGGTAAGCCCACAATCAAAGAGTAGCCGTACTGAATAGATTACCAAACCCCTCTTAGGCAACGATCATACCGCTCACCTAGGCTACAAGATCGGTGAAGGAGTACGAAAACTTTTCAGGTAAGATTCCCCATCGGCGAAGGACAAGATTGTCAGGCGGTCTTCATTCCATGATACCGCTTTTTATTTGTTGTAACCTTGGCTTTCAGGCTAATATCTGAGGCAGTCGCGGCTAGTCATGACTATCGCGGATATACCAATTTATTGGCATTCACGTTGCTACTGACTGGCTAGCCTTCGGAGGACATGTTTTCCTAGCACAGAGACAGGACGCATCAGTTCATTCATTTACTTACGCGGTTTTTTGGTCGTTCCCGCAATCCATAACGAAAGACGCGGGATGTAGCAAGGATCTGTGGGTGTGGGTAGATGGTGGCGGAGCTGAAGGCGGAAGGGAGGGGCCGGTGAAACCTGTAGCCATACCAATCGGCCATGATTGTCATTTGTTGTGATTTCAACTTTGCTGGTGCATCATCGACATCAGGGACAGAGTTGTTGAAGACAGCTGTGGGGTGCGATCGGCCATGACTTTTCCGGGCATTTGTAACCCTAACCCTGCTCAGCCGGGCGTCGCGCATTCCAGCACGCGTTCTACCCTTCGACCTCACCTCCAGCCTGCCACCAAGCTCGCCGCAACGCGCTTTTCGCTCGCGCAACATCCCAAGTGACCATCTGAATATTCGCGCACGCTTCCTGTCAACGCACTCCTCGTCCTAGGCCGCGCAACTCACTCCGCACCACGCTTGACGGCCTCGAGAGGTCGGTCTCGTCCTCAGAGCACCCGTTGTCGTGCATACCATGCAGCCTCTCAAGTAATTTCTCCATCTGCCCAGGTTTCGCTATCACTGCGGCGGGCGCTCGAGTTCGAGGCACTTCTGATATCCCAGAGTCATCTGGAATTTCGTCGCTCGCCGTCAGGCCGAGGGTTCCCAGGCTCCGGCCCCACTTGCGTCACCGTCATGGACATCCTCGTGCGCGGCATTCCTGTCCAGACCACCGAGTCTGCACTGCGCGACTTTTTCAAGCCCGTGCTGGAGGAGTTTGCCATCCTCATCTTCAATTGCAAAAAGACCAAGAACAAACCAATCGCCATCCTCACCATCGCCGATTCTGCAAAGGCCGAGTTGTTCTTGAAAAAGTACAGCCAGGCCCAGTCGCTCGTTGACTTCGAGCCCTTGCTGTTCATCAACAAGCCCCTGAAATGCAGCGCCGGCGCATACAAGCCCGATGAGATTATTCTCAAGGCATTGCGCTACGAAGAGGAGGAACTACTGCGCAAGGCTAACCGCAAAGCCAGACGGCTCCCGAATCCCGACAATCCGCCTGACCAGCCTCTGATCGTGCTGAAACGGCCAAGGCTGCAGAGAGCCTTTGACTTTTCAAGTCTTTGGTGCGGTGTCTGGGACTACAATGGGTCCCAGGCAGCCTTTGCCCCTCATTTCCAGGACACCAGGCGGGGTACTATCATGTTTGGCAAAAGAACTTTAGCTATGGTCCTACGCGCAGACGGCTGGGTCACCTCAACCTGTCGAGTTGACATCCCGTACTGGAGCATCGATACTGCCGTCACCTGTTCACAACTGAACAAAGTCACTTTCACCCTGAAGTTCGCACCCCGCGTCTATCAGCTTCAAGACGGCCTAGAGGGCTTGATGAGTGGCCTGGGCATCAGCGCTCCAAACAGCCGTCGGAACCAGAGATTCTATCGCACTCGAGTTTCGGCCATTGACGAGTCGCACGAGCTGGTCATAAGTAGCTGCTTCGTCTATCAGATCACGCTTTCGAACCCTGCCGATGTGTCCAAGCTCGACTTCCTTCTCCGCAAAAGCCCGGGCATGCCTCCGGCACTTAGTCTTCCGACTTCGTATACTCAAGCCTACGTTACATTCAAGCAGGACTTCGAACGGCTCAAGGGGCTTATCTACGCCGAAGGCCAGTTCGGCAGCTTGAAATACTCTGTCAAATTCCAGCTTGAACGGCTGGCGAGGAATGCATACCTACCGCCTGCAAAGGTCGTCTCTCTACTTCCAACAATCAAGCGACTTTCAGGTCAGTACGGCCACGTACGAGCCGCCATGGCCATTCGCATGCTTTCCCGACAGATCCAGTTTCCCGGTCCTCATCTGGACCCGGAAAATTTCGACGTCAATTACCTGGCCAGAGAACTGGCCAAGAACGCGAAAGACTTCAAGATCGAAGGCTCCATCTACGACGTTAAAACGAGGCATAACCATATCGCGCTGATACATCGAGTCGTCATTACACCTGCTGGCACATATCTGGAGGGCCCTGAACCTGAAGTAAGCAACCGCGTCCTCCGCAAGTATCCAGAACATACCGATCACTTTCTACGCGTACAATTTATGGATGAAGACGGAGACGCCATCCGTTACGAACCGAAAACCAGCCTCTATGAAATCTTCCATACCCGCTTCAAGTCAGTTCTTGACGGCGAGATTAACATCGGAGGACACGGCTTCCAGTTTCTGGGCTTCTCCCACTCTTCTCTACGCTCCCAAACCTGCTGGTTCATGTCGCCCTTTGTGCAGGTAAATAGCTTCATCGCCGCTCCCGAAGTCATCAAGGGTCTGGGAGACTTCTCGAAGATCAGGTCTCCGGCCAAGTGTGCCGCGCGTATTGGCCAAGCTTTTTCGGATACATCTGGCACGGTCACGGTCAACGAGAAGATCATTACGATGGTCAAAGATGTGTTCAACGACCAGAATTACATATTCAGCGACGGAGTCGGCAAGATTTCCTACAGGTTGCTGAAGAGGGTGTGGAAAGAATACCAGCAAGCCCGTGGGCAAAGACCGACTTGTCTTCAAATACGTTTCGGAGGTAGGGCTTACAGTGACATTTTTTGCTCAGAGGCGCTAACCATCTTTAGGTGCCAAGGGTGTTGTCGCATTGGACTACAGGCTGCAGGGGGAGCAATTGGTCCTTCGGCCATCCATGGTCAAATTCCACGGCGCCGGCACGTGGAACATTGAGATCTGCGGTGCGAACTTCAAACCGCTGCCCATGTATCTGAATCGTCAATTCATCAAGATACTCGAGGATCTCGGCGTACCTGACCAAGTTTTCCTGGAGCTACAAAGCAACATGGTTGAACAGTTGCGCCGAATTACCAAATCTCCCGTCAACGCCGCTTCCTTCCTGGAGCATGTTCGAGTTGGTCAAGCCACGAAGATGCCTTATCTGGTCCGAATGCTTGACGATCTGGGCTTCTCTTTCAACGAGGATGATTTCCTGTCTCATGTCGTCGAAATCGCCGCGCTGTCACAACTGCGTGATATCAAACATCGCGCTCGAATCCTCGTCGACAGGGGTGTTACACTGTATGGCATCATGGATGAGACTGGGTACTTGGGTGAAGACGAGATCTACTGCGTGATCGAGCGGATGGGGGACAACGGTAAACCCAAGCGCACCGTAATCTGTGGAGGCGAAGTCATCGTCACACGTTCTCCGGCCATGCATCCTGGGGATGTACAAAAAGCCCGCGCAGTCGATGTACCCGAGGATTCGCCTCTGCAAGCTCTGTCAAACGTTGTCGTCTTCAGTTCTCGAGGCCGACGAGACCTCCCGTCGCAGCTCAGTGGCGGTGACCTTGATGGCGACCTCTACAACGTAATCTTTGACAAGCGTTTGATGCCCAGGATCACATACATGCCAGCGGACTACAAGAAAGTTCCCCCTCTTGATATCGGAAGACATGTCACGAAGCAGGATATCACGGATTTCTTCATCAAGTTCATGGAGACGGACCAGCTGGGGCGCATTTCGAATATCCACATGCAACTGGCTGACCGACGGCCAAACGGCACGCGAGATCCCGATTGTCTCAAGCTGGCGGAGATGGCTTCAACTGCCGTGGACTTTTCCAAAACGGGCATTCCGGTAAGCGCACTACAAACACTGACTTCCATTGCAACGCAATGACCGACTGATCCTGCAGGTCGACATGACTCAAATTCCCCGCAACGACATGATTCGCCCCGACTTTATGGCTAGCGGCCCGCGTGTCATCGTTGAGAAGAGAGGTGCCGTCTTCCAAGACGACGAGGAGGATGACCTCCTGGACGAAGACGACGCAGTTGGCGCGCTCGATCCGGATTTCAAAACGTTCCGCTACTACGAAAGCGATCGCGTACTTGGCCAGCTGTATCGCGCTATCGATGAGAAGAAGATCTTCCAAGAGATGCAAAGGCATGCTTTGGGGACGAAGAGCCATCTGGGTGGGCTGAACCTCATGGACCAAGTGTGGGCTTATGTCCTGCGCGAAACGGCGCTCATCCAATGGGAAGAATACAAGCTGCTGGCTAGGAACATCAAAGAGACGTAAGTCTTCTCCGTCCGACTGACACACCCACAAGCCATGGCGATCATTGACTCGACTCTCTCTCTCTTTCTCCAGATACGAGTCAAACCTCCTCGACATAATGTCCGACTACTCGACGCACCCGCAATACCCGCTCTCCGAACTCGAAGTTTTCGGCGGCAACATCATCGGCAAGAACAGCGGCGCGCAGAACCGCCGTACGAAGGAACGCACCATGGAGATGAACGCGCGCTTCGAGCGCGACGTGACCTTCACCGTGGAGCGCATCACGCAGGGCGACGACGGCGACCGTGACGAGGCCCTCGCCCGCGCCATCGCTTGTTTGGCTGTCGGCATGACCGAAGCGCGCAAGGTCGGCAAGCGCGTCGGTGAGCTGCGCAGCTGGAAGTACGTCGCTGCTGCTGTGTGCTTGAGGGAGATTGAGCTGTTCAAGATCAGGTTCGATCCGTTGAATAGGATCTGAGGAGAGACGACGTGAAGGGTACATGGCAGAATTTGGCGGATGTGGGGGTGAGCCTTTCGAATTCTTTGCTGCTTCGTGATGTATGGGACTGTGTTTTGTCAAAGCGTTTGTTCTTCATCATCATCTTCCTTGACCCCTTTCGTCCTGTTTGCATGCATGTACACGGGCTGGACATGACATTCAGCTTCTATTCCTCTAACCCCCCTCCATCTGGAAAGCAGGTTAGGCGCTTCGGTTGTGCCTCTGGGATATCAGATCGAAACCATTTGTGTTCATGCTCTTTTGCTCTCTTAGTAATAGTGGTACACTTCTATGACCAAACAAAATTGCCTCCTCTTGCGGACCATGGCCATGTGCCGCAAGTATGATTAGCTCGTTTTTTCTTTTCCCCTTCTACACCGTGTCGATGACATAATCCTGCAACTGCATCAACGCATGATGCACCCCAACCGTCGTCTCCTTCTCCCACAACACCACCGCCGCCTCCCCCTCCCACGCCGTTCCCCCGACCAACTCCCGCAGCTTCTCCTCCCCCAACAGTTCCACCAAATCATACACCGGCACCTCCCTCTCCTCCTCCCGTCCCTGCCCCTCCCCCGCCGTCGTCTCCGTCTCCGTCGACCCACCAACACCAAACCGCACGCTCCCATACTCCAACCCCGCATACAACACATCCACCCGCAACCTGGGCCCGCCCGTGTCCCAACCGCCGACCATCCGCGGCAGCGGCTTCTCGTTGAGCGAGCGCCGCGTCGTGTCGCGAATCTTGGCCAGCGAATCGACCAGCGCGTCGCCGTCGTGAAGCGCCTGCCGCACGCGCTGCTGCACGTCCCGCGTCGCGGGGGACGCGAGGGCCTTGAGGAAGAGGACGGCGCCGATGGTGTCACCACCGCCGCTACTGCTGGCCATGGCCCCCAGGCGCGCAGGAAGCGACGCCGCCTCCGTCTCGCCAACACCCGGGATCCGCCCCAGCACGCCGCCGCCCCGCGGCCGCGAGAAGCCGTACTGCAGCCGCCGGAACGCGACGCGCCGCAGCAGGTCGCCCACCACCGCCGCCATGTCCTCCCGCCAGACGAGCTCCTGCTCCGGCACGCGGTGCCCGCGCTGCCGCATGTGGCTCGGCTCCGCGTCGCTGGCGGGGCGGCCGTTGCCGTTGCTGTTGCTGTTGCTGCTGTTGTTGTTGTTGCTGTGCGCGATGGCTTGGACCTTGGTGTGGACGCGCGTGTTGATGGCGGATTTCCATTCAGAGTCGCGTTTGCCGGGGAGGCTGAGCCGGGCGAGGTGGGCGTGGCGGAGGGTGACGTAGGCGGTTGGGGAGGGGGAGGGGGAGGTGGTGGGGTTGTTGTTGGCGGGTGAGCCGGCGGCGGAGAGGGAGAGGGGGAGGACCCAGAATTCGGAGGTGGTGGGGTGCGGGGTTGGGTGGACGGCGAGGTAGAAGAAGGAGGGGAGGCCGCTGGTGGTGCGGTCGACGCGGACGGGCGTTTCGAGGGCGCGGGCTGGTTGGAGAGAGAGAGAGAGTCAGATTCGTTCTTGTTTTTTTTTTTTCGTCCCCTCGTTTCTGGGGGAGGCTGGAGTGTTTTCGGATGGCTTTTACCGTATGGATTGGCGTAGAGCTTGCGCTGGAAGGGCGTCAGGGTTTGCCGCTGCGGTGCTGGCTTCTTGGGCTCCGTCCAGCGCTCGCGCGCGGCGAGTGCGATGGGGTCCATGATGGGTGGGAGAGGCAAGGAACGCTTGCTGATGCCATTGTCGAGGCGCTTGCGGTAGGTTCTGTGGCCGTCGCTTGTGTATCTGTCGCGCTCGTTGCTTGGATCGTCGTGTGGAGAGCTCTGCGGAGGCTGCTGGGATGCGGAGGCGTGGGCGGAGGTCTGCGTGAATGCAACGCGCCCCAATGGGCGCAGAGATGCGGTTTTTAGGGCATGATGCTGGAAGGTGGTTGCTGGAAGGCGCCGCGAAATGGGTTGCGCCTGCATAAGCTGGGGAGGTAGCGGGGTGTGGGATTCTTTGGGAGGTGTCGCGGCGGTTGTGTGGCAGCACAATCTATTATTCCTCGCCGAGCCCGCTTGCATCATGGCGCTGTGACGCTACCACCTGGAGACTACCGCAATTCGCCGCACATTATTCAAGTAAAGTAACAATGGGATATTCCAAACAATAACGGTCATCTCATGATGTCTTGAGACCTATCCCGGTTGGTCTCCATGCCGAAATAATCTACTCGGACCAAAGAACCTGGGCTTGACGCCGGCCGCGCATATTGCGCTTTACTCCTCCTTCTTCTCTTCGTTATCCCGCTTGTCCAGGATCTTATCTACCAGTCCCAATTCCTTGGCTTCCTCTGCCGACATGAAATAGTCCCGCTCCATGAGCTTCTCGATCTGGTCCAACGTATGCGACTTGGTCAAGTGGGTTTGATAGATCTTATTGAGCTGCGTCCGTATCCGCAGGATTTCCTTGGCGTGAATCGCAATGTCCGAAGCCTGTCCAAAGTAGCCGCCACTGGGCTGGTGGATCATGATCGAGCTGTGCGGGAGACAGAAACGGTGGCCCGGAGCTCCGCCGCAGAGAAGCAGTGAGCCCATACTTGCTGCTTGGCCAACACATATCGTTGTAACGGGAGATCGGATGTAGGTCATCGTGTCATAGATGGCCAATCCTATTTTCCGTAAGTATTTCTTTATGCGATGTATGGTCCCCCTCAGCCACAATCCGTACCTGCCGTGACGGAGCCTCCGGGTGAGTTGATGTAGAGGTTGATGGGCTTTTCGGGATTGTCAGCCTCGAGAAAGAGGAGTTGCGCGACGATGGATGCAGATGCGATCTCGTTCACTTCGCCGTTGAGACAGACGATGCGCTCCTGGAGAAGGAGTCAGCATGAAGCTCCTGCGGTGTTGGAGGGACCCTGTTTCTTGCCTTAAGAAGGCGAGAGAAGATGTCGTCTTCCAAACATCAGCCCAAGCTCTTTCCATTCCTGATTTCCTTGACTCACAAGTGTGCCAGCCGCCACCCTACTCAGTCAGCTTCCATCCACGCACTCTGATGCCGAACACATACGACCGTCTCTGTCACAAAGGGTGTCGGCGTCCATCCTCGAGGCGCGCCGGATTGCACATCGCGCCGTAGTCCTGAGAAAGCGCGGAGGCCCAGGCTGGTTGAATGTTGGAACGCCGGCGATCGTAGGGCCCGGGGCAGTAGCAACGACATCGTCAGGAAAGCGGAGGTGAGTGATGGCGAGGTCGGAGGAGCTCCGAGCTTGAAGGCGGGATGGTGTGGAGCTAAGGCGAGTTCTTAGCGCGCAGATCGTAGATAGCGTCGCGTCGCCCACACCCGACGCGTCTTCCCTCTCCAAACGCGCCCGCTTCCGTCTACACATACTCATTCCTCCCCCTTCTGCGGCCAGCATGGCGCCTTTACCTGCAAAGCGCCATAGAGCCCCAACAGACCTTGATAGCGATGACTACGAATCACCCGACGAAGGCTCTGGCAATCGCCGGGACTCTGTAAGTTGGCAACGACCTGACGCGAGCCCGAGCCTTACCGTTTCCTAACACCCTCGCAGAGGAAGCGGCAAAGGCTGTCGGGAGCATCGAACACACCGGAGGACGACAATGTCGATGGCGCCCTTCAGGACACCCAGCGTGGTGTGGAGATGCTCCTCGACGGCAATGGCGACACTTCCTTCCTCGACGAGTCAATGATTGACGCAGAGACGGGAGAGGTCGACGTTGATTTCCTTCTAGGGAACGAAGAAGATCGTCTTGCCGGACTGAAACGCATCATCGAGAAGCGATTCAAGCATCGGACGGACAATATGCCCGCGGAAAACGCCATCATTGAAGAGGTCAAATGCATCAACTTCATGTGCCACGCCCACCTCACCGTTCCTCTTGGACCTCTCATCAACTTCGTCATCGGGCACAACGGAAGTGGAAAAAGCGCCGTCATGACTGCCTTGACACTATGTCTTGGCGGCAAGGCCACATCCACGAATCGTGGCCAAAGCCTCAAAAGTTTCATCAAGGAAGGAGAGGATTCCGCCATGCTAGCTGTAAAGATCAAGAACCATGGCTCATCTGCCTTCAAGCCTGAGATATATGGGAAGTCCATCATCGTCGAACGCCATTTCAACAAGAATGGCGCGAGCGGGTTCAAGATCAAGAACGTGAAGGAGAAGGTTGTCTCGACCAAGAAATCCGACCTTGAGGACATCATCGACGCGTTCCAGCTGCAAATGGACAATCCCATGAACGTGCTTTCACAGGATATGGCCCGCCAGTTCCTCAACCACTCAACTCCCCTTGATAAGTATAAATTCTTCATCGAGGGTACACAGCTTGCTGCCTTGAACCGAGACTACCGCATCCTAGAGGAGTATCTGAATGAAATTGAAGCCAAACACGCCATCAAAAAGCAAGACGTGGAAGTCCTCGCAAAGAAAAGGGAAGAGGCCAAGGAAAGGTGGCGCGCGGCTGGCAAGCAAAGTCAAATGCGTCAGAAGGCCTCACTCGTGCAAAGGCAGTACGCTTGGAAGCAAGTTGAGGTCGAAGAGGACAAGATGGTAGGTGCGGATACACACATGGCCGAGGCTGAAGCGGAGATCAGCCAGAAGACCGTGGAGGTTGAAGAGGCTTCGAACAAATATGATCAATGCGTGCGAACTCTTCAAGAAGCCGAGCAAAAGGTGGATGAATACGACGAAGAGAAACGGCCCATTCAAGAAAGGCTTGATGATGCTAAAAAGGTCTTCAACGAGGGCAAGGAGGAGCTACAGGAGCTTCAAGCCCAGCACCGACAGATCAAGTCCTCTCTTCAAGGGAACAATGCCATCATCAGAAAGATCGAAGAGGACATTCAGGAAGAAAGACGGCGTCAGGAGGATGCAAACGGAGGAGACCACGGGAGACGTCGTCAGGAAATTGATGAGGCCAAGGCCATAGCTCAGGAGAGGAAGGCGGTCGTTGAGGAGCTCTTCAACGCGATTCCAAGCCTGGAGCATGCCCGGGATGAAGCGAGGACTCACTTGGAGGCATTCCGGCCCACGTTGCAGCAGAAGCAGAACGACGTTATCCAACAAGAACGACACATTGGCGAGATCCGACGAAACCGGGGTAGCTGGAACGCGGGATTCGACCAAGGCCTTCACGCTCTGTTGGGTGCTATAGACAACGAGAACAGGTTTCGCAATAAGCCTGTTGGGCCTATGGGCCGTCACATACGTCTCCTGAAGCCGGAATGGTCTGGCATCTTGGAGAAGTCGGCCGGCATGCAACTCAATGCGTTTGTCGTTACCAGCAAGCACGACGAAGGCGTTTTGAAGGAACTCATGCGCCGAGTAAATTAGTGAGTCGATCTTCAATCTTCCCGGTGTGGGTTTTAACAGATATAGTCCCCGTGACCCTTCCAACACCACACCAATCGTCATCGGTAACCCTACGCCTCTCGACACGTCAGGAAAGGAACCCGACCCTCATTTGTTGACGTGGATGCGGGCGCTCAAGGTCAGTACGTTTGCCCCTCGTACAGATTAGTCCTAACAGTGTTGCAGTTCGACAATGATCTTGTTCGCAATCAAATGATTATCAACAACTTGATCGAAAACACTGTTCTCATCGAAGATTTCGATGAGGCATACAACTTCGCTTTGGGCTCAGGCACTGGCGAACATCATCCACGACCCAGGAATGTCAAGCAAGTTTACACGATGGCCAAAAACAAGCGAGGCGGAGTCCGGTTCGGCTGGAGTCTTTCGGGCGGTGGCACACAGGCGCCCATACAGACGTCGAATAACAGATTACCTCGGATGCAGACGGAAGTTGAGTCTCGAGTCAAGTAAGCGCTTCGTCGCCTCGAACGATAAAAATTTCTCTGACAATAGCAGTGTGGCCACGGAGGAGCTTCGTCGCTACAAGCTTGACTTGCAGCAAGCCGAGAACGAGTTCCGCGAGAGGCAATTAGCCCTGAAGCGTGCGGAACAAGCCCTCATAAGACACGACCGAGACTTTCAGAATGCAAGGTATGCGGCACAGGCAGCGGAGGAGGACTGGGAACGTATGAGCGATGCTCTTGAGCAAGAAAGACCACAAGTCGGCAGACTTCAAGAACTCGAGCGTCAGCTGGAAGAGGCTACGGACGACAAGGAAACGAACCTCAACATGATCAAGGATGCTACTGAGGCGCGCGAGAAAATCAACGAGCAACAGCGAGAGCGGAGAAGTCAACAAATGCGTATTGAGGAAGAGCTCTCTGAGCTCAACGCAAAACTCAGCAAAGCTCAGATTCGGGTGAACAGGGTCCAAACGCATCGAGAAGCTGCCCTGCACGACAAGAACCAGGCATACGAGGCCATGGAGCTCGCTCATGAGAGGCTGAAATCTTACCAGCAACAACGCGAAGAGCTGCAGCATGATATCGCTGCCATGGTAGAACAAGCTGCTCAAGTTGGCGAACGGCCACACATCGCGCACGGAGAGACGGTTGATAGCCTGGGTCTGAAATACCAGAAGCTACAAGAAGAGATTGACAGACAAAACCAGAGGCAAGTGTCCCGAGAAGCTCACAAGACGAGTACTAACATATTACAGACTGGGAGGATCAGAAGAAGAACTGCAAACACAGTACTTGGAAGCCGTCGCGGCGCACAAGACGGCTGAGAAAGACATTCATGATATGGAACATGCGCAAATTGTAAACAATCTTCCTCAACAGCACGGAGCTCTTGTACTGACTGGAACTCTAGGTTCTCAAGGGTTCTTTAGATGGTCGCAAGGCTAGACTAGTCATCTTCAAGCGAGCGATTGCCGATCGTTCGAGGATCACATTCACCTATCTCCTTGCGGCTCGGAAATTCCGAGGCGACCTCAGGATTGACCATAAAGCCAAGGAGCTCGATCTCGCGGTCGAGCCTGACATTATGAAGGCTGGAGCTGAAGGCCGGCAGACGAGAACGTTGTCGGGCGGTGAAAAGTCGTTTTCGACGGTTTGTCTTCTCCTATCCCTCTGGGATGCAATGGGGGCGCCCACTCGATGCTTGGACGAGTTCGATGTGTTCATGGACAGCGTCAACCGCGAGATCTCGATGAAGATGATTATCGACGCTTGCCGGTGTTCGGCGATGCGACAGTTCCTGTTCATCACTCCGCAGGCGATGGGCAACGTGTCCTTGGGCCAAGACGTCAAGATCATCAAGATGAGCGACCCCGAACGTGGCCAGACGACATTATCGTTCTAGGCTGGCATGTTCATACGAAAAAGTCTCGGGTGACACGGAAACATACGAGGGGCATGGCAAGGCGGTTGACTGGAGGGCGTTCAAGGGCAATAATAGCGCGGGCTTTCAAGGCGCCCATAGGGCGGCTAAGGCTTGCTATTTCGGGAGGCAAGGCAAGGGTGAGGGTCTGCAAAGGGACGTTCGTGCTCGTTGGGAGCAACGGTTAGCGTGCATGATTTTTGAGCAAGCAATACCCAGCGAAAGACGAGTTAGCTGCATGCCCTGCGCGACTGCATTCCGTGACCAATGTCGATTCGTGCGTGTAGTGGGAAACCGATCAACAGGATGTAAAGTGACTGGGACGAGATGTGGTATCGCAATACTGTCGGTGAGTATGAGCCCTTGTTGAGCTTGCACACATGAATGTATACAGAGACACGTTGTATGTCGCTATCCGTGCTGCTACTTGCCCGTCCTGCGGCCATGCCAAGCTGCAATGTGAAGTGGAGCGGTCTCGTACGGCATCAGCCACGCAGCTGCATATATATATACAGTGGCACTTATGCTTATTTGACGGGCACACGGAGGCGTCGCAAGCAAGCAGGCAGGCAGAAGGCGCGGCGTGCGAGGGCGGTAAGGCTACGGGCTGGAGGCCAGGCGTTAGTTAGCGCGTGCGCGGTCCCCAGCCAACCGCAACCGCAGGCAGCTACCTCCGCATCGCCAGCGACAACGCTCCAGCCTCACCCAGCACACAGACCCTCCACGCCCGCTGACTGCCCTTGTGCCCTCACCGCGCGACGGACGCCGTGCGACGTGATCGCGCGCCCCCAACCCGGCTCCTGCGCTTTCATCCCACGCACATGCGCCACGCCCATGCGTGAGCACTCCTCGCTCGCCGAGCACACGCCTACGAGGAGCCCCGACGCTTGAAACGAATCCCGCCATGGACTCCTCGTCCCCGCCCAGTCCAACCATGTCTGAGGGCACGCTCACGCCCGTCATTCACGACGACTCCGTCGCAAGCCGCCCCCCGCTCTCTTCTTCGAAACTCGCAAACCCATCTGCCCCCGCCGCCTCTGCGCCCGACCACGCATCCGCGCCTGGCGGTCAGCCAAGCGCCGAGCCCATGGCCGCCGACGCGCAACGCCCCAAGGAAGCCCTCACCAAGCTGCTGAACGGCAAGGAAAGGGAATGGACCGCCATCGCCGAGAAGAAAGGCCCCATCCAACTGCTGGACCTGCCCGTCGACATTCTCAAGGCTATCATCGACCATGTGAGCGCGCATCCCTGCGCTGCCTCCATGATGAGCACTGCTGACCGGCCATAGCTCCCGCACACCAACGACCTGACCTCGCTCGCGCTGTGCCATTCAGCCCTGCACGCAATCACCGTACCCCACATCTACGCGCGCTTTGATATCGTATGGCCTGACAACACCGTCAATGCCGAGCAGCGGTCTGGCGTCGACGCGCTGACCTACGGCCTCGCAACCCTGGTCATGGGCAACGAGCTCTTCGGCGAATCTGCAGCCCAGGTCAAGTATGCCGAAGAACGCAGAGCCGAGCAGTTGCACCTGTCCCCAACAAAAGGCCGACCTAGCGAGCCCTTCCCGATTCCTCGCCGTCGACATGGAAATCACTTCGCCGAATACACAAAAAAGTTCTCGCTCGGGAACGGGCCGCCGGAATGGGTTCACGAGTATCTCATCACAAAAGAAAGCGGGAAGATGCTCGGCACCCTCGTCGCTACTGCAGTTGCGCGCATGCGAAATCTCGAGACCTTTGTGTGGGACATGCCCACCGGCGTGCTGAGAGACGTCTGGCTCGCCTTATCGTCCTTGGCTACCCGCGACGATGGACTTGACTGTAGACTGGAACGCCTGTGGATCCGATGGCATGACAATACCGTCGCCGACCTTACCGCGCCCATCGTCCCTCCTCCAATGCCTGTGGGCCACATCCCGCCGCCGCCACCACACGCCCATCACGTCAGTGGAGTGGCAGCAGCTCCGGCGCCCATGGTGGTACCGGTCATGCAATCTTCTGCGGCTATGTCGGCAGTTGACCGCGTCGAGCATCCAACCTTCTCCGTGATTCCTGCTCTGAAGAGCCTCAGCGTCCTCGACATCGACGAGCTTCCCTACCTCGACGAAATGGCTATTTTGATCGGACGATCACAAAAGAAGCTGAGGGAGCTACGCGTCGGGATTGCAAGGCATGCGCATGAGTCAGAGAGGGATTGGGTGACGGCGTGGGAAGGTGATGGCGTTCAGCAGGTGGATCACCGCACGCTTTGGACTGCGTCGAGCAAGATCGGCGAGAAGAGGCTTGGGGGTGTTCTGGGAATCCTTGTGGGACGAGTGTACAACATGCGACGAAATTCCGCCCTTGCAGAAACGGCCGAGACTAGCAGCGGCGCACACGGCGCTCTCGCGAGCGATGCGCTGTCTGCAAAGAGCGAGATCAACTTGGCAGAACATCCCGCAGCGTCGGAGCGTGAGCAAGATCTTAGCCCTGTCAGTGAAGACGGACCGCCCAGCGTTTTCGGAACACCGCCTGCAACCTCACCAATATCAAATACTCATCAAACGTCGCCTGCCCATACAACCAGTTCTTCATCGGCCTCGAGTGAGCCTCGGAGACCTCTTAGAAGTCGGCCCAATGCTGACCTTGAACGTCAAGAGCGGAAGAAGAAAATTGGCCCTATGCTAAACACCAAGCTTCAACTCGAGACCCTCGAGCTGGAGCGTGTGCCTCTTTCTGTTTCAGTGATGCTGCAGGCATTTGATTGGCCCCGGCTCACGACATTGACTCTCCTCACCTGCAGCAATCACGAGCAGCTCTGGAAGGCATTGCGCCGGCAATTCACCCCAAGGAATCTTCCTCAAGCATATAATTCCGGATCTCCCTCAAAGAGCCATGCGAACCACAGCCGGTTGGAATATCAGCTGAACCTGAAGAAGATCCACACAAATACTGTCTCCCCATCCCTTATCGCTTTCCTCAAGGAAACCCTGGCACCGAACAGCCTCGAAGTTCTTTTCCTCCAGGAAGACCGCAACTACCATTCTTGTGTACTCATCGGCTCCATCTTCCGCGGTCCTCTTAGGCGGCATCGCGCAAGCCTTAGGAAACTCATGATTGACAGTAGCGAAAAAGGCTCTCTGGATCATATTCCACCTAACCACTGGAAGCGGTGGATGCTTAATCGAGAGATCATCACTTTCATGACCAGTGGCCGCATGCCCAACCTCCGTGAACTTGCATTCTCGATTGACTACCACGACTGGGTAAGTTATGTTGAGTTCAAACGTATGTCAGGCCAGATAGCTCATCGAATGGCAGCACTACTTCCTCCAACGCCTACCGAACATTCCGACAGTCCGCTCGCTGTACATCCCGCACATCGCAGAGCATGCACACGGTAATAACATCGACCCTCGCGAGCTTGCACTGCAAATAGTCGATATTATCACCCTCCGGCCAGAGATTGAGATCTGCTACATGGGTATTGCGAACAAGTGCTTCGAAGTACTTGAGAATAAGGTTTCGCATGGTCACATAGGCGGCACACACGTTTACGATCCAACGGCGGCCAATCCCTCTGCTGCAGCAACAGTTCCTGGCGTCGTAGAGCCAACGGGCTTCACTGATAGCGAAGAAGAAGACGACGAGGACGATGACCATGATGAGGACGATCCGGATGGCGATGCAGACGAGGACAGTGAGGAGGAGGAGGATGACGAGGATGACGATGATTTCGACGACGACGACGACGATGACTCGTTCATACACAGCGAAGACGGTGCTGGAGGCCCTCGCCTGAGACTTCGGGAAATCTTGTTCTACGATGACAAGGTGGCGATCTTCAAAGCTAGGCATGGAAAACTTTGACCCGCAAATACCTCCCTTGTCTTTCATCTATGAGCTTACATACTATCAGTCAGTTTCTCAAGGTTCCTTTCTGATCGTCTCAAGGATGCCCTTTGATCGGGCCATATTTTCTGCATTTGGTGTTTTAATCGGGGTTCAGCAAAAAGACGAGGAAAATGGGAAACGGTTACATATGTGGGGTTCTTCAGGTACGGATGGGTGGATTTCGTGTCCCGTTTGACCGTTTGTGTCCATAATCCCTGCTTTCGCTTCCGGGGAACAAAATGCTCCTGGCGACGGAGATGGACTGCCCACTGCCTATTGGTTTCTTCTTCTCATCACTTCGATCGCTTCTGGATCATTCGCTGCCTGGGTCTTTTTCTTTCCTTGCGAGACTAGTACTTCGTGGATGGTGGGCTAACGGGCGTTTCTTCTCTCTTACTCTTTCGACCAGATGGGTAAGGCAAGGGTATACACTCTACTCCTCAGCCATTACCTCAGTTTGATGGCTCTTTTACTACTGTTGGTCTTCTACTGCGCTAAAGGCGTCAAAGTCAGGCGTTTGACTGGGGATAAATAAACGAACGAACGCATTTGGGTTTACGAGATGAAATGGAACGAATGGCAATTGAGTACTTCAAACACAGATACTGAGCGCGAATTATAACTGGACCACGTCAGCGATGGGGAATAGATTACGCGTCTTTCGTTCCTAAGGGCGAATGAAGTTTGAGTGTTTTTTTTTTTTTAAAAAAAATGGGCGAGAAACTCAACTGTGCATGGGAGGGATAGATGCACATCGTCTTTGTGCCATGGATAAGTAGTTTGGAGTGATAACTTGAAACCACTATCTTCTAAAACACACTCTTTGGAGAATGTTGAGATTTTAATCACATGCTCTAGTTCTTGACTAGTTCTCGTCTTATCTATCATGAATAGGAAATATGCATTCGTGGTGTCGTGACTAGTAATATCTTCCTCAAAACCCGTCACCAACATCCCAAAAGTGGAAATACCTAGAGGAAGAGCGGGAAGTGGAGAAATGGACCGTGGTGAACTGTGAAGTGCCCGAAAGCTGCAGCGATCGTCCACGTATTTGTCATAATCATCTTTCATGCGAGAAGTGAGAATGCGTCCACCAGGGTCACCCGCCTTTTGGACGCGAGAGACTGAAGAACTTTCAGTCAACAATGCCCGGAAAAACTTTGAGATGCTTGCCGAAGCGAGAATGCCGTAGGTACGCTCTCTTGCGAGGGAAGTTACTGTCCGTAGACAAGACAACTGCTTCATACTTGCTTCTTTTTCCTTTCCAACACATGCTGAGCGTAAGCCGAAAGCGAACGCTTTGTAGGTATGGCGATCAGCGCCCACATCTTTGACATGCAAATTAAAGGAAAAAAAAAATCCGGAAGGGGGCCAGCCTTCATGCATCTCCAGCCCTGGCACAGTGAGCTGCAAAAACGTCCGTTTCTTCGTTTCCTCCCACCCGGTCCGCCCAAAAAAAAGCTTTGAAACTCGTCTAGATGTCGTCGATATCCGCCTCCTTGAGGTTGTTCTCGTCGTCATCGCTCCTGTCCTCGTCGAACTCGAAGCCGATGCCGCCCTCGTCGCCCTCGCCGCCGTAGGTGTCGGTCTCGTTGATCTTGGCCGTCTCGGGCAGCTCGCCGTAGGCCTTGAGCGAGCGCGCCTCGTCCGAGTTGTACTTGAGGATGACGTCGCCCTTCTCGTCTTGGTATTCGCGGAGCGAGAGGAGGATGATGTCGCCCTGGTTGATCCACACCTTCTTGCGCATCTTGCCGCGGATGTGGGCGAGGCGCTTCTCGCCGTCGAAGCACTGCGCTTCTAGGCGGCCGTTGCCGAGCATTTTGATGACTTGGGCGTATTCTGATCCGGGGCGGATGGTTAGCGGGCTTGTATTGTGGGGAGGTCTTGTTGGCGAGTGTGTGACGACTGGGGAAACGGGATGCATGTTGCTGGTGGTGGTGGCGGCGAGGGTCGCAAACGTACCTTGACCTTCCTCCTTGAAGACCAACTCGCGCTTGAGGTTGTCGTTCTCGTTCTTTCCCCTTCTGCGGTTCTTACCGCCCTTTCCCTTATTCTTAGGCATAGCTGCGTGTGTGGAGCAGCCCTGAGTCGACGAGTGTGTGGCGGATGGGTGTGGTGGTCGACGGTGATGTTCTTGCGCGGCGGGGCTGAAAGCGGCGGCGCAAGGTCGTCGGAGGGCGGGGGAGGAGTCGGTGCGCTACGACGACGTCGATGTGAGGGGCATGCAAGAGCGGTGTGGGCTGGCTTGATATAATAGCCGCTGGCTAGGCGCCTGCTCTGGCAGCCCGAGAGTGATTCACTCTGACTTCTGACTGGACCGTAGCCCCGGTCTAAAGTCCGCAATCGTGGCGACATAATCGCCGGGTGGCGGGTCAGTTTTTGCGCTCTCGGGCATCCCGTGACTGCGCGCCGCCGTCGGCCCGCGACGCGCAAGGCCAGAGCTCCTCCGGCAACAACAATCATTGATTTGTATACAAACAACTTGCTCCACTCGCCGAAGCGCCTCCATGCGACCAGCTCCACCGCAATCGCCATGGCTGCCGCCCTGCAGAACCAGCGCAACCTGATCTTCGCCTCCGTCTTCCCTTTCGCCGCCCAGTCCCACGGTTCCTATCACTCGTCCTCCGCCCATCCCACCCCGCTCTCCGCCGCCGCCGCCTCTCCCGACACCACCTTCGCCGCCCCGAGCCACCACCACAACCACCACCACTCCTCGCGCAGCACCCACCACCACCATGATCGAACCGCCGCCCACAACCCCAAGCTAGTCCAGCGCAACGTCGCCTGGAACACAGCGACCCGCTTCCTCAAGCTCCCCGAATGGCACCCTCCTCCCTCCACCGCCAGCGACGACAACAACAACAACAGCCACACCACCAGCAGCACCACCAGCACCAGCACCCCCAGCACCGCCGCCCCCCCGCGCCCCCGCAAACACCACCACCGCCTCAACGCCGACGTCGAAGAAGCCCTCCGCTACCTCCTCATCGGCGACGGCCGCCTCGACGCGGCCGAATACGACATAACACCCACCAGCGGCAGTGGCAGCAATCTCTTCCCGGACCTGCTGGAATGGTACACCAACGAAGCGCGCGAGCACTTCGTCGCCTGCGTGCGGCCCGCGCTGCTGGCCGCGTGGCGCCAGCCCGTCGCGCTCGCGGGCGGCGGCGCGCCCTGGCGCGTCCTCGAGCGCTCCGCCGCCACGCTGCAGGCCGCGCAGGCGTTTTACTCGTCGCATCTGGACGAGTGCGTGTTGCCGGTCGTGCGGGAGCTGGATTATCATCAGCAGCATCAGCATCAGCATTATCATCATCGTGGTGGTGGTAGTGGGGGGGATGAGGTGGTGGTGGCGGCGCCGTTGTCGCGCGCGGAGAAGGTGGCGAGGAAGTTTAGGAGGGATTTGCATGCTATCGTCATGCATGCATTGCCGCAGCAGCGGTTTGCGAAGACGTTGGCTTGGGTGCTGTTCGATGCTGGCTGCGGGCTGTTTGGGCTGGAGGGGGAGGGGGGAGGGTGGGGTGGCGGTGGCGGGGAGGAGGAGGAGGAGAGCCGGGTGGTGAGGGAGAGGGTGGCGGGGTTGTTGAGGGAGTTGAGGGACGTGGGGCTGGGTGGGGATCAGGCGCAGAGGGCGGCGGCGCAGGCGATGGATAGTTTGATGGATGCGTTCATCGGCAGTCATCACATGAAGGTGGATTGGTATGGGAAGAAGCCTATGACCCGAGTTCTGCGGGAGTGGGTCAAGGATGGTTACAGTCCTTTCATCAGAGAGATCTTGTCGTGCTTGACGGGCGATGAAGAGATGTTCGAGGTGAATGAGGTTCAGCAATGGACGAATATGGCAATTGGGCGGTTGGGGAGAGCAAGAGTGGAGAACCTCTTTGACTACATTGTCAATTGGGACCGGTCCTTGGGGGCTATCTTGGACTTGAAGGTAAGATCGTGTTTCTTGCAACTGCTTCAGTTCACTCCAGACTAACAGACGCAGGAGTACATCACGTCGCCAGCGGCAAGAAATCACCTCACGAATAGCTTCTTGCAGCAGGTCTCCCGCAGACTCCTACATGCCGGTGCTACAACGACGCACATCCTCGACATTTACATCTACGTCATCCGCGCCTTTATTGAACTGGATCCGAAAGGCATCTTACTCGAAAAGGTGGCCAGGCCCATCCGTCGTTACTTGAGAGACCGTGAAGATACGGCTCGCATCATCGTCTCCAGTCTGTTGGCAGACGTGGAAGACGAGTACGGCAATCGCGTCGAACTGAGTTCAGATATCAGTGCTGAGATTGCCGAAGAGATGCTCAACCCTGTTGCTGCGAATGTCCAGGATGAGGATCTAGAGCTGAACTGGACAGACATGAATTGGATGCCTGATCCGGTTGACGCCTCTCCAGAGTACAGGAAAGCGAAGTCGGAGAACGTTCTGGCCTATCTGCTGAGCTTGTACGATCGAGAGGATTTCATCAATGAGTTGAAGAACATTCTTGGAGAGCATCTCCTCAAAAACGAGGGCTCCGACTTTGAGAAGGAGGTCAGTAGCGACTTCACCGTGTTTGCATGATATGCTTGCTGATCGGTATTCCAGATACGTCTTCTCGAACTGTTCAAGCTACGACTTGGAGACAGTAACCTCCAGGCCTGCGAGGTCATGCTCAAGGACGTGCTTGAATCCAAACGGATGAACAAGCAGATCCATCATATTCTGAAACAGCAGTCGGACGTGTACCGAGATACCCCCACCGAACTCAACTCGCAGATACTCTCCTCCTTCTTCTGGCCCTCGTTACGCGAGGACGATTTCCATCTCCCCGAACCCATACAACAGCTCATGAAAGAATACGAAGCCGGCTTCGAAGGCATCAAGGACATGCGCAAACTCCACTGGCTGCCAGCCCTCGGCCGCGTCGCCGTCTCCCTCGACTTCGACGACCGGTCCCTCGAGCTCGAAGTCCTCCCCTGGCAAGCCGCAGTCATCTACGCCTTCCAAGAGGAGGACGACACAGCCGACGGCGCCTCGGACGACGAGCCGCCGATGACCGAGGAAGAAGAACGACAACACCAACGCCGCGCGCGCCTCCGCGCCGTCGGCGCCTCGGACGTCGCCCCGACGCCCGAGAAGCCCAAGAAGAAGAAACCGCCCGTCACCAAGACGGTCGAGCAGCTCGAAGCCGCGCTCGAAATGGACGAGTCCCTCGTCCGCTCCGCCCTCACCTTCTGGGTCGGCCACCGCGCGCTCCTCGAGCAAGGCGGCGGCCAGCCCGACGCCTTCGCCGTCATCGACTCCCTCGCCGAGCTCGACTCGGCCGCCGACAAGGCCGCCCGGCTCGCGGCCGCGGAGGCGCGCGAGCGCGCCGAGGAGCAGGACGCCGTCGGCGCCGGCGCCGCGGTCAAGAGCGCCGACGACGTGCTCGTCGAGAACATGCAGATGTATCGCCAGTTCGTCGTCGGCATGCTGACGGCCAACGGCCGCATGGGCGCGGACCGCGTCTGCGGGATGCTGAAGATGGCGCTGATGGGCGGGTTCCCGTTTGGGGTCGAGGAGGTGGGCGTGTTGTTGGGGCGGATGGTGGAGGAGGGGGTGTTGGTGCAGGCGGGGGATGGGTTTGCGGTCAAGAAGTAGTAGGGTGGTGGTGGTAAGGGTGGTTGGGTTGGGTCGGGTCGGTGGTAGGGAGGGGGTTTTCTATGTTGGCCCGTGGGGGCAGGGAGGGGGGCGTTTGGGTTCTTGCTGCTTTTGTTGCTTTGCGATGGCGTGGTCAAAAAAAAAAAGCGACTGGCATTGGCATTGGTGGGTAGTCGGGACGGAAGGCTTCGAACATGCTTCCAGGTGCGTGGAGATGGGTTGCGGGGAATAAAGGTTTGCGTCAGCCGCGAGGCAAGAGAGATGCTCGATAGGCCAAGGACAATGATAAAAGCATGTATAAATACCGACGTATTAGAGGTGTACGCAATAATCGCACGCTGCCAGCGGGGCTGAGAGATGTAAGGTCAATGTCAGCTCGATTCGATCCGAAACTGGACCAAGTTGATAGTCAGCCAAGGAGGCTATCGATAATGAAGGAACAGTCTTAGACTTTGATAACAAGGCCATTCGCGACTGGCGAAGGGACTCGAACGACGCCGAGCACAAGGGCTACCTAGGACCATCAGGTCCATTGTTCTCCCGGTCATGGTTCATACCGGCAGGGCTCGTTATCAGAAATCACTCAATGTTGCACCAAAAGGCTTAGCCCGAGGGTGGGGTCTGCTCACCAAGTCACTTACACAATTCGTTTCCACATACTTCCCCATCTCACTACACAGCAGGATCGGGACATTCGCTCGGAACCCCTTGAAGATCCACCACGATACAGCTACAAGAGAATAGCGCAGCGCGCAGCTGCACAGACTGCTTATAATTGTGTGTAAATAGCTACAAAAAAGAGGTCCCCAAAATAAGAAAGAAAGATAAAAATCGATTAGTGAACCAGACAGTGTCCTTCCTTCTCCTTTCTCTTCTCTTTTTTCTTGTGTTTTGTATAACCTCATCTTACAAGAATAAAAACTCGTCGTGACGGTCGTGGGTCTCTTGTTCTCGTTCAGTCGTAAAGGGTCGTTTGCCTCGTATGTCGTGAACTTTCCCCCCGCGCTGAAATCCCCTCCCCTCCCCTCCAAGAGAGAAGGGGGAGGAGAAAGAAAAAAAATAAGAAGAAAAAGCGAAACACCATGCCCCTCCCTTTCCTAGCGGCGCGCTCTGCTCACCCGAAAAAAGACATTGAAAAAATAGAAGCAGAAATAACGAACGGACGGACGACGCGCAGGAATTCCAGAATCCCCGCAACATCACCGGGTATGAAAAGGGGTAAAAAAAAAAACCCATAGAAAAGAAAAGAATCACAACCGTCTCTCCACAGAAAAAAGAGACCGTCCTCCCATCACCATCACCAACATCCCCACCCCACCCCACCAACGCCCAGTCCCAGTCCCAGTCCCAGCCCCAGTCCCAGTCACTCACTCCGCACCCCTCCTCAAAAACCTCAACAACCCCCCTCCTCTTCTCCTACTCCCACTCCCCCCCTCAACGACCGGCATCCCATCCACGCCCGGCAGCCCGCCGCCCCTGCCGCCCATGGCCGCCGCCTCGGCGTTGGCGCGCTCCATGGCCGCGAAGTCGAACGGGACCGTCCACTTGCGCATGGGAATCTCGCCGAGCTTGGTGCTGTCGGACGAGAAGCTGTAGGTCGACGGCGAGGCGGCGAACGATGGGTTGTTGTTGTTGTTGTTGTTGTTGTTGTTGTTGCTGGCGGCAGCGGCAGAGAGCATGCCGTGGCGGGAGAGCTGGGCGGAGGGGTGGAGGTGGAGGTTGACGGCGGCGGAGGAGGATGAGGGGGAGGGGTTGCGGCTGTTGTTGTTGGCGGTGGTGCGGGGGTGGGGGTGGGGTTGAGGCTGTTGCTGCTGCTGCTGCTGCTGCGAGTGTGTGGGGTTGAGTGGGCGCGGCGGGAGCGCCTGCAGGTGCTGTTTCTTTGGCGGCGGCGCCGGAGGTTGGCGGCGGTGGAGGACGTTTGGGTGCGGCGGGGGAGGCGGGGGCGGCGGTGTGATGCTGCTGCCGGGGAGCTCGGCGAGAGCGGCGGTCGAGACGGGGAATTTGGGCGGGCGGGCTGGTTGGTGCAAGGGTGGGAGAACGGCGGCGGCAGCAGCAGCGGCGGCGGCTTGGTGGGTCTGGCGTTGCGGCGGGATGATGAAGGGAGGTGGTTGGTGAGGCTGACGTTGAGGGATGGCGAGGGGAGCGGGTTGGTGATGCTGCTGCTGAGGTGGGATGATTGGGAGATTGGTGGTTTCACGTAGGGGCCGAGGTCCATGCGGCCAAGTCTCCGGGCGTTGGAGGGGGTGAGCGGCCGCCGTGATAGCAGGCGTCTGGGGTTTTGCAGTCGTTTGGACGGCTACAGTCGGCTTGACGGAGGGCTTGACGGGAGGCTTGACGGGAGGCTGGACGGAAGGCTGGACGGAAGGCTGGACGGAAGGCTTGACGGAAGGCTTGACGGGTTTCCTGGTAAGAGATATCTCGCGCGAAGGGGGCTGGGACGTAGCAGTGGCTTTGCTGTAGCTCGGCGGAGGGTCCGACCTGCAGGTAGAGGTTGATTGCGAACGAGGAAGCTGAGGTCGGGGAGGAAGGTCGGCGGGGAAGGACGAGTTGACAGGTGTCGAGGCCGAAGAGCCAGACGAGGTATTGTTGCTTTGCCGCTGTGACTTGGAAGACAAGGCGGTGGAGGAGCTGTTCTTCAAGGGCGGATACTTGGCGCTGTTGCGAGGCCTCCGGACGATGACAAGCTCGGTCTGGGATCGCCTTGTTTTGGGCTTGGCGCCGGGTAGGCGTTTGGCGTTGGCGCAACCACCACGCTGTCTCAGATTTGTCGATGCTGCACAATCATGGTGGTGGTGACTGCCACAGCTCGGGCATTTGTGTCGGATGCGGTCCAGGACGAGCTGCGACTGAGAGAGACGCTGGTAGAGCTGGCCCAAGGCGTCGACGGCCTCGGCCCTCGACGTGTCGGACAGGCTAGTGAGCGACTTGTAGTCGGGATGATGGTCGGTTTTCCCTGGCGTCAGAAAGGCGCCGATGATGGCGACGAGGCCGCTGTTCAGCTTGAGCAGGACTTCGGTGAGCGATGCGTGGGCAATTGCTGCGGCATGGTCAGTACAGGGCCGGGGCTGGGTCGGGCAAGCATCGCACCATCGCCTTGAGCGAATTTCTCGCCCGCGGCAGCATAGTTGGACTCGTAGTGGCGCTGGATGTCGAGGGGATTCTGGCGGAGCGAGTTGCTGAGCTGCAGCTCGTCGCCGGACGGCTCGAGCTGGGCAGGCGTCGGGCGGTGCGGCTTCTTGGTGGACTTGCGGCGGCGGCGTCTCTCGCGCAGGCGCTTGAAGACGTCGAGCCCATTGGTGAAGGCGCCGACAATGGCCAGCACAGAGTCCCCGACGGGGGTGTCGCGCTGCTCGCGATGCGCCATCCTCACGGCGGTCGCTCAGGCGGTCGCAGCGGCAGTGGGAGCTGGCTCGAGGCCGAATGGGGAGCACGCGCTCGGCGGAGGGGGACTGGGCGGGTTTATTTGGCACATGTTTGTTGACTGGTGCCCTGGACGCGTCTGGGTAGCGGGGGCAAGTCGCAAGTTGCAAGTCTAGGGTGCATGGAGCCGCCGTATCGCGTGCCGCCAGCCTATCGCTCGTCCGGGGAGCACGGCTCCGCATGCATTAGCTCCCAGCCCCGTCTCAACCCTGACAAGCCGCCGTGCACGCTGCCGCGACTGCCTGACTGGCAGACGCGATGCTTTGCGACCGCCCGTGGCACCGCCTGAAACGCGCCTTGGCCGTCTCGCGAGCTAAAAGCAGCCGTGTCGAATCACCCAAGCCGTCGTGCTGCGCGCGCCTGCCAGATCATCGCCCGTTGCGGCTAGCCCTTGCCCGTTTCTGTGCCTGAGGCCGGAAAAGGTTCGACATCGCTTCCCGCAGCGGTCCTTCCGCAGCAACTGCATGCACGCACGCTCCGTCAGCATCGTCACCAGACCGGCCACTCATCGACTGTCCCATTAGCCAGGCCATCAGTCTGGCCTGCTGCCGGAGCCCTTCTCTCAGTGGACGCCCTGAACACGCTCTCCCACATTCGCCCGCAGGAGCGAACCCGTCCCCAGCCCCCCCAATTTATCGACGCGCGCTTCCATCCACCGCCGCCTACTCAAGCTTCGGGACACTGTTGTCTGTCTCGGTGGCCGGCTTAGTATGCTGGCTGGATCGGTTTACTGCATCAAACTGCTGCAACCGCTTCACCGGCCTCGTCGCTTGTCATCTGTGACGTATTCAACCTCGCTAGGTGATGAGGTCTGGACTGATGGAGCCTGACGGTGGCTGGAATCACATGCAATCCAAGCTGTCGCCATGAGGCTCCAAGGTTCCACTCAACTCTGAAGTGTTTTTTCACCCAGATACGGAAACCACCTCTTCGCTTGGCGGGTCTACAGATATTACATGTACACTGGAGCTTTGAACCTTTGAATCCCTGAGTGCCCATACAAGTCTCCCACGCATTGGCTGGTTTACTCGAGCCTCACTATGCGATGAGCGCTGTGTGACGGATCCTGGCCAGTCGCGGTAGACCTTGGTCAACCGCGTGAACTTACTATGTACATTCTCTCCTTTCCCGCGCTAAGGCATCATGAAGTCAACGAAACGCGGGGAATTTAATTCAGCTACGATCCACTGAGCTACACATCGTCCGGCCACAACATTATGCGCCCCGAATCAATGTCAACACCCAGCCGCCCAAACGCCTAACCGGCAGACAGCAGTAGTTCACGATAGTCTATAGAAGCTAAGCTAACACTGCCCAGTCTTCTCTCTACATTTTCTTCAAAGTAGCTGTTGTCGCCTTTCTCATTCGTCGTAACCTACCGCACATGCCCGACCTTTGGTCAAATACATTTCCTGACCGGATATGCATGGGCGCCCATCTCCTAAGGACGCGTTTGGGTGTCAAACAAGCCTAGTGGGATGAATAAGATCCGAGGAGGACATCCAGCTCTACATTATAGTGTAGTTGAGCCAACAGCCATTGCTTTGTGCTGTTGTAACTGAATGAGTTCATCTCAGAGGGGGGCGGAGGAGGGTTGTGTCACGTGTGCGGTGAGTTTGTAGACAGTCGGCGCTAGGTCACGAAAGACAGCGAGGCACTCGCGCTAAGCCTAGTGTCCTGCACCCAAGTACATATCGGATGCATGGGGTTATGAGGTTGCTAATCGGTTCACCTACATTTATACAGCAGAAACAGCAGCGGAGTTATTATATGCCTGTCGGCTATTGTTCCCTCAACCGTCCTGCTGTAATCTTCAAGTAACGAGGCCACGAGTCAGACGGCGTCTTATTTGGCAGGTAATCTTTGGTATTCTTTCAGTACAGCTGGTTAAACAGCTTCTGCCCATCTCTCAGAATCCTGGAGGATCCTTTCCGCGTAAATGTTAAAGAAAAACGCCGAACCCAAGCCTTTTGTCCGTCGTAAATACTCCATGAAACGGTCGTTGAAGCCTCCAAATACCATTTTGTCCGTCTGTTGAACCAGTCCTATTTTGCTTTTTTACCCAAACGCTCTCTATGCGTGCAAGAGGAAAAAAGCTTGAATCAAAACAATGCAAGAAAATAACACCACCCTGTCATGATCTATACTCATTTCTGAGTACATTTACACGGGCAGAGGGAAGGTGCCGGCCCAGGCGGCAATCTCCTTCTTGAGGTTGTTGATCTCCTCGACGGTGCCCGAGGCGACCTTGGCCTTGAAGTCCTTGAGCTTGTTGGCCTCCTTGGGCAGCTCGCCCTGGACCTTCTTGCAGAGCTTGATGCAGATGTCGATGTAGTTGGCAATCTTGGCGAAGTCCTGCTCGCCGAGACCGCGCGAGGTCATGGCAGGGGCACCGATGCGGATACCCATGGGAGTGAGGGCCGACTTGTCACCGGGGGTGGTGTTCTTGTTGCAGGCAATGTTGACCTGCTCGAGGACAGCCTCAACGCGGGCACCGTCGAGAGCAAGGGGCTTCAGGTCAAGCAGAACCATGTGGTTGTCGGTGCCGCCGGTGACGAGGGTGTAGCCGAGCTCCGTGAAGGTAACCTCGAGCGCCTTGGCGTTCTTGATGACCTGCTGCTGGTACTGCTTGAAGTCGTCGGTCTGAGCCTGCTTAAGAGCGACGGCCAGGGCGGTGATGGTGTGGTTGTGGGGACCACCCTGGTGACCAGGGAAGACGGAGAAGTTGATGGGACCCTCGAGATCGTAGAGGACCTCCTTGCCGGTCTTGGCATCGGTCTTGCGGACACCCTTGCGGAAGAAGATCATCGCACCACGAGGACCACGGAGGGACTTGTGCGTGGTAGTGGTGACAATATCGGCGTAGGCGAAGGGAGAGGCGTTGACGCCAGCGGCGATGAGACCGGAAATGTGAGCCATATCCATCATCAGGTAGCAGCCGACCTTGTCGGCGATCTCGCGCATGCGCTTGTAGTCGATCTCACGGCAGTAGGCAGAGGTACCAGCGACGAGGACCTTGGGGCGGTACATGAGAGCGTTCTGCTCAAGCTGGTCGTAGTCGATCAGGCCAGTGTCGATGTTGACACGGTAAGGGAAGGTCTCGAAGTAGGTAGAGACGGCGGAGATCCTAGCCATGAGGTTAGTATGGTTGGAAATTTGCTCACAAGTGGCGAGCTGACTTACTTCTTCTGGGGAGTCTGGTAGCCGTGGGACAAGTGACCACCATGGGGAAGGTCAAGACCCATCAGCCTGTCGTGAGGCCTCATGATGGCCTGGTAGACCTGAAGGTTGGCAGGGCTGCCGGACAAGCACTGGACGTTGACGCCCCATTTGTCGGCGTCAAGACCAAAGGTCTGGAGAGCGCGCCTCTGGCAGGTGAGCTCAATCTCGTCGATGTGCTCGTTGCCGCCGTAGTAGCGGGCGCCAGGGTAACCCTCAGAGTATTTGTTGGACATGGGCGAGCCAAGAGCGTCGAAGACGGCGCGCGAGGTAACATTCTCGGAGGCGATGAGCAGGATGGACTCGCGCTGGCGCTTGATCTCCTTTTTCTGCGGGCTGTTAGAAGTTTGCACGAAGGCATTGGAGCATGAAAGCGCACCATGATCTCAGCGATCTCAGGGTCAGTCTCGACCAGAGACTTCTCCATAAGCTGTCCATTGTGAGTCAGCGAATGCGTGGCGGCGATGTCGGCGAGTTTTCACTCACGTCCTGGTGGGACTTGGGGAGGGCGTAGGAAGACATGGTGAGGTATTCCGATATGAAGGGCGGGAGAATGGAGCGTGGGAAAATCGAGTGATGTGGACGGAAGAGTGAGAGAGAAGAATTGGGAGAAGGGCGTTGGAGAATTTGAAGTTTTGGCGCACCGTTCAACCTTTCGCGGTTGCCCCGCGCAAAAAATCGAGCAGGGACCCGCGCCGCCCGCCGATCACGGGCCAGAGCGGAGCTTTCGCCGAGCGCCTCGGGGGCAATTGCTGCTTGCAGACATGGGCGGTGCTGTCTCTTTCAACCTCTTCAAGCAACAACTCTTGCTATTGTTCGTCTGATTGCTCCATCTTGCCCGCGGATGTCGGGTTCCTGAGTGCATCTGCTTGGAGCTGCACTTCCTCCCTGCAGGGAGATCGCTAGTTACCGCGAAGAAGGAGGCTGCTCCCTCTCTTTGGCGGACTGCAATCCGGCCCGTTCCAACATCGCACACTGCAGCCAAGTTGCCTGTCGCAACGTTGCCGAATTCGCCGCTGCCGGGCTTCCAGCAGATCCCGTGGCGGCGGCAGCTTGGGGGTTTTACGTTCCGGCGCTTGCAAGGCCGAGCAGTCAGGCTCGGGCAACAACAGGCACCGAAAGACGCCGACGGGTTGTACTTGCGGCACAAGGCCAAGCCAGCGCGGATGCAAATACTTACCTAATTTTGCGAACTAGAAAGAAGGGTCCGGGTTGAAACAGCCATGCAGCGTCTAGCACGGGCCCTTTCAGATTGCTGCGGCAGCGTCACCGTGGTGCTGCTAGCGGGCGTCAGCCACACTCTTCCAGCTGGCATCGTCCTAACGAGGCGATGCAAAGCCTCGCATCAGGGCAGCTGGCGACTAAAGCGGCAGCCATCACAGCTGGATTGACGACGCTTCTGCACGCCTGCCGTGCTGCACACAGTCTGCTGTCGGCCGTAGATTGGATGCGAGCGCCACAGGGCGTTCGCGTGGGTTCAGCTCGCTTTGCACGACGCACCCTGCCGCACCCATCTCCGCACCACGCATGAGTGAAGGGCTCGGAGTTGCCGCTCGCTTGCGATGGATTGCGCGGGCGGAGCGGTGAATCTGAGGCACAGCGGTGCATACGTGCGCCGGCATGCTGGAAGCAGGCTCTTCAACGCACGCACGTCAGCGGACGACAGCTGCGGGTGCTGGACCGGTCACGGCCGCTGGAGCGGGACTGGACGGGGGCGCGGGACAGGGTGTTCGCGCTGACCATGTGGGCGTTGGAGCCAACGGCGGCCGCCTCCGCCTGTCACAAAGCCTGGGCTGCTGGGCTCACGGGCTGCTGGGCTCTGCGCAGCACCAGCGCAGCTGGACGCGCCAGGAAAAATGCGGGACTCGTCGCGTCATCCCCTTACCCTGCAGAGCTGCGCACGGTAGCACAGGGCCTAGAAAATGAGAGTTAATAATAAACAGCGCGCCGTGGCGAGTCCGCGCGGTGCTTGCATCACTGTACCTGCTGTGTTTTGCAACCTCGCGGAAATCGGCTCACCCGGCAGATCTGTCCCGGATCCTCGTCGTCACTCGTCAGCGCCCTCAGCCCTACCATCTCCCGACGCAGCGGGGTGTTCACAAGCCTCTGCCTCGTCGCTCCAGTCGCTGCCCGATCCACCTTCTCCTCTTCTCCAGCCTTCTGCGTCGCTTTGTGTTGTTGCGCACCTCCCCGCGACGCGACACGCCCAGCCCCGCAGGCCCTGAACCCTGCGTTTCGTCGCGACAGCTCTACCACATCCGCCGACACTCGGCGCGACCACAACCTCCAGATGTCGTACTATCCTGGTCAAGGATACCAGGGCGGAGGCTACGGTGGCCCTCCTCCGCCTCAGAACTACGGACAGGGCTATCCTCCGCCTCAGCAGTATGGCCCGTATGTACCGCCCCCACCCGCTGTTCGTGCCCAAGCTCACAGCAGGCAGTCCTCAAGGTCAATACGGCTACCCGCCGCCAGCCCACTCTCCACAGCCTCCCTACGGCTATGGGACACCGCCGCCCGGCCAGTATGGCGGCTATCAGCAGGTACATCAAGTCTTTGGCAGTTGTGTGGAGCTGTGCTTACGCCTAACGTAGACGCCCCCGCCGCAGCAAGGCTATGGCTATGGTGCGCCCAACGCAGCGCCGCCGCAGCACCAGCAATACGGCAACCGTGCGTTCAACGGCTATTCAGTATGTATCCAGAGACACGCTGACCCTGTATAGCCCCCGTTAACAACAAAACCCATGCTCAGGGCAATCACGGAGCACCACATGCTCCCCCACAGCAAGCCCAGGCCTTCGGTCACGGCGCTCCGTCGGGCTATTCGTTCCAGTACTCGAACTGCACCGGCCAACGCAAAGCCCTGCTCATCGGAATCAACTACTTCGGCCAGAGGGGCCAGCTGCGCGGATGTATCAACGATGTCAAGAACATGAGCGCCTACCTCAACCAGCACTTTGGTTACAAGCGCGAAGACATGGTTCTTCTTACCGATGACCAGCAAAACCCCATGAGTCAGCCAACCAAAGCAAACATCCTGAGGGCAATGCACTGGCTGGTCAAGGATGCGCGCCCGAACGATTCGCTCTTCTTCCACTACTCGGGTTCGCTATTCCCCGCACTCACGTGGCGGAACACATGCTCACATTCGTGTAGGTCACGGCGGTCAGACAAAGGATCTCGATGGCGACGAAGATGATGGATACGACGAGGTCATCTACCCCCTTGATTTCCGCCAGGCCGGTCACATTGTCGACGATGAAATGCACCGCATCATGGTGCAGGGACTGCAGCCCGGTGTCCGTCTAACAGCCATCTTCGACTCTTGTCACTCGGGGTCTGCCCTGGATCTTCCGTACCTCTACTCCACCTCTGGTGTCCTCAAGGAGCCCAACTTGGCCAAGGAGGCTGGCCAAGGTCTTCTTGGGATCGTGTCGTCGTACGCGCGGGGAGACTTGGGCGGGATGGCAAGCACTGCAATGGGCTTCTTCAAGAAGGCTACAACGGGCGATGAGACGTACAAGAGGAACCTCCGGACAAAGACGAGCCCGGCAGACGTCATCATGTGGAGTGGAAGCAAGGATACTCAGACATCGTACGTGATGGCGAAGACACAATACCTTGTGCATTTTGAGGATGGACCTAGCAAGCTAACAAACATGTCAGATCCGACGCGACCATCGGCGGCCAGGCTACTGGTGCGATGAGCTGGGCGTTCATCAACGCTCTCAAGAAAAACCCGCAGCAGAGCTATGTCCAGCTGCTCAACAGCATTCGTGATGAGCTTGAGGGCAAATACTCACAGAAACCTCAGCTTAGCTGCAGCCATCCGTTGGGTACGTTGCGACGCGTCTTTGGGCTTTGTATCGGGCGCTGCTAACACGGACACAGACACGAATTTGCTGTACGTGATGTAAAAGGGTTCGTTGTTGCGGCAACGGACTAACTGCATGGTTTCCTTAGGTTCGTCATGTGATTACGAGGCAATACTGAACGAGTGATTTGTACATAACGAAAGGCTGTCGGTATACCAGAAGGTGCGGTTGGTTGGCGTTAAAATTCTCGTTCGATTTCTTCCCTGTTCCTCTGGTTTGTGTATGCCGCATGCCTAATTGGAGTTCTGGTACGTATGATTTGATGGTGGTAGTGTCCTGGATTTGTTGCTGACGCTCGGGTAGAAACTCTAATGTACCTTGTGGATGAATTGATGATATTCTCTCGATCCTATGCAACTTTGGTGATGTACCTGATACACTCTTGTCTACTAGTCTATAAACTGATGAAACAGTGAGCTGAGTCGATAGGTGCTCCTGCTCGAATCTAGTCGGCATATGCACCGGGATGCTATGTGAAGCTGGGCGGTGCTTGGTCCTGGGCAAATAACGTGAGAACCACGTGCCTTCAGGCAAGCCCCAGCCCTAAGTGAAGGACGATTATGGGTCGCTAGCCGCTCCCCGCAATCCCAAAAGACAAACTCCCCTCCCACTCTTGATGTCGACATGTCGGACTTTTGTGAATGAACAGCGAGCTCAGGATCCGTCCCATTGCGTCATTCCGCCCAGGCTTTTGCGTGCTCATGGCGCGATAGGGTCCGCTCCACCAATGCCGCCTCCCGGCATCGGCACAAAACAAAAAACGGCATGGGAAGCGGGTTGATAACCAGAGCTTCCGCTCGCTCTCCTGACGCAAGACATCCGTTTGTCCAAGCAAAAAGCCGAAGCTTAGTCGAGCTTTTATCTTCCCGCCACCCCACCAGCACCAACACCGCCACTACTACGTACCCACCTTCCTTGGCTCTTCGACGACACCACCACCACCAACAACCATGGCCACCGCCCCCCCAACCAACACAAAACCCAACCCACCAACCCCCCTCCGCATCGCCATCGCCGGCGCCGGCATCGCAGGCCTCACCACCGCCATCGCGCTCGCCAAGAAGCTCGACGGCGCCGGCGTTGATGTCGGTGTCGACGTCGACGTCGACGTGCAGCTCTACGACAAGGCCTCGGCGCTGCGCGAGATCGGCGCCTCCATCGCCCTCGGCCCCAACGGCCTGCGCTCGCTGGAGCGGCTGGGCGTGCGCGACGCGCTGGGCGACGACGTCGCGTTCAGGGGCCCGGCGGGGAGGCCGATGATATATCGGTGAGTAATGGAGTCGTCGTTCGCTTTTTTTTTTCTTTCTGCGGCGCGCTGTGGGGGGATGTTTTTTCTTTCCTTTTTTTTCGTTTTTTTTTCGTTTTTTTGGTTTGGTTTGGTTTGGTTTGGTTTGTGTCTGGGGTTTTCTTCGGCGTCGTCTTTGTACGCGGGAGGTGGGGAGAAGGGGGGATGTTTTGTCGTAGACCCGCTTGTGTTGATGGTGATTTTTGCGTGCTATCTAGGCATTGGAAGACGAACGAGATCGTGTCGTTCGATGAGTTTGTGGATGTGCCCGAGCGGCGCCACCAGACGGCCCGGTTTGCGCGCGCGCATTTGCATCAGTCTTTGTTGCGGCATGTCGATCCGGGGAGGATCCATTTGGGGAAGAAGATCGTCGGTGTTGTTGAAGAAGGGAAGGAGGGGCAGGGACCGTTGGTGCTGAAGTTTGCGGACGGGTCGGAGGCGAAGGCGGATTTGGTGGTCGGGGCGGATGGGATTAATTCTGTGAGTGGGAGAAAGATTGTCATGGGAGTGGAAGACAGACTCGCTGATACGGGATCGCAGGGCGTGAGGAAGTTTTTCGTTCCAGAGCAGAAGCTGGGTTGGACCACTCAGATCGCATACAGGGCAGTATTCGACGCCTCGCTGGTAGAGGGAACGCCGGATTTGCCTGAAGACTCGACGCATTGGGTACGTCTGCCCTTGCACGTTGGAAGTCGGCTGACATCTGTGGCAGTGGGGTCCGACCGGTTCCTTCTTCGCATCAAGGCTCGGTACGAAACTCTCCCACATGATTACAGATCCGTTCAACATCACTAACAGAATCCGCCAGGCAAGAACCAATTCACAACCGTCGGCATCGTCTCCCTCGACCCCGCCGACCCCGCAAACGCCCCCATCGTCAACAACGCGCACTGGGACTCCCCGGCAGACATCAACCTCGTCCGCAAACTGTACAAGGTACCTAGCAAAGCAGCCACATATATATCAAGGGCGACGCCAATAACACCAACCCACCCAGGACTGGCACCCGCTCATCACGACCCTCCTCGCCCGCACCCCCGCGAGCGCCATCCGCGCCTACCCCAACCTCGCCATCACCGCGCCGCTCCCCAGCCACACCTTCCTGGCCGGCCGCGTCGCCCTCGTCGGCGACGCCGCGCACCCGCACGGCGGCGCCTTCGCCACCGGCGGCTCCCTGGCCATCGACGACGCGTACGCGCTGGCGTCGGCGCTGGCCTTTTCTCTCTCGTCGGCGGCGGAGGAGGAGGACATCCTGGCGCGCGCGACCAGGGTTTACGAACGCGCGCGGAAGCCGCATACGACGCGGTTGGTGGAGGTGGTGCTGGGGATGAATGAGAGGAGCAAGGAGAGGTTGAGGGAGGGAGGGGAGGAGACGGATGAGGAGCTGAGGGCGAGGATGCGGGCGAGGGCCGAGACGAGTTGGTTGCACGAGCATGACGTGGAAGCGGCGGTGAGGAGGGCTGTGGAGGCGGAGGGTGCTGGCGTGAGAGGAGCGGGTTTGGAGGCGAGGTTGTAGGGCTTGGCTGCTGTTCGTTGTTCTTCTTGTGGACAACACCGGAGAGCTGGGCCGCCACGACATCGCGCGAGTAAGTGTCTTTGGGGTACGATTCGGGAGGGTTCGCTCGTGTACGTTATAGGTACAGCGGGGAAGCACCGAAACACGGGCACGGTCAGACGTTGATGCTAATCGGGAATACGAGACACGTCAATCTCGGCAGTTGCTCAGCCTACCTAAACATGTTTTTTAGCCTCGTTGATCAAGCATGTCGAGAATAGGCAAGGATATGCCAGAAAGACTGTACCTATCCTACTTGCTTTCCGCTCAATGCCTGTCTCCGGATGCGTTTCCTGCAACGCTTGCAAATCCAAGCTTCGGCCCGGCCGGGCACCCAAGCCTCTGGAACGACCGTAGTGCCAAGACTATAGGCTTGGGCGGAGTCATGCGGCGACGAACTGAGGAGTGCCGTTCACCACCGTGCTACATGGGGAATGTGGGCCATCCTACCACGTCCTGTCAGGCGACCTGGGTCTCGAATCGGGCGGTTGTGGCAGGTTTGACTCGCACTCATGAAAGCGCTGTATATAAAGACGTTAGGCCACTACTGCATTCTTCCCCACACTCAAACATCCATCTCCCACAAACACCACCGAGACACACACACAAACAAACGAATCATCAAGCAAACATGCAGACCACCGCCCTCGCCCTCCTCCTCGCCGCCGCCGCCGGCTCCGCCCAGGCCGCCATCACGTTCAAGCAATTCCCGGCCACGGGCATCGCGTGCCCCAACAGCGACGCCAGCGCCGACCTGATCAGCGACACGGCGGCCCTCAAGGCCGCCGCCGAGGCCGCCAGGAACGACGTGCCGGTCGAGGAGTCGGCGGCCAACATCGCGTCCGGCCAGTGCACCTCGCTGAAGCTGCCGTATTACGTCGTGAGTGCTCTCTCTCCTTTTTGTTTTTTTTTACCTTTTCTCTGCCTCGATGGGGGTGGGGGGAGGGGGGAGGGGTTGTGGTCTTTGCGTTTATCGTGTGCGGGGAAGAGAGGATGCTGATGGACACGACACGCAGACTAGGACCAAGCAGGCGAATGGCGAGGCGGCGGGTCTCTTGAGCTTCGCGTGGGATGCGGCGAGCGAGACGATTTACTACTGCACTGCGCAGGGTCTGTTCAGCACGAGCGGTAATGGGTATCCCGACAGTTGCAAGCGGATCTGAGGGAGTGGTGGTGTTGCTGAGGAGGAGCTTGTATATACAGATTGCATATGTGACTGGGTAGATAGGAATTATGCGGTCTGTTTTTCATGACTTGCCGTGAGTTCGAGTGAATGGAGCTGCAAATAGCTATTCGTAAACATGCAGGTGCCCTTCCACTGGCTACAAATGACTCAGAATTATCGAATCGATATAGACAGGCAGGCTCTCCGAAACTCCTTGTAGCATGTTCCTATCAATACAAGCAAGACAAACATACCACCTCTGCAGCTTCTGATGCCACGTCCTCCGCTGCTCCGAGACCCTTTTCGGTAATAATCGAGCCATTGCTTCTACAGCGTCGACGACAGCGTCACCGTCTTGCCCGTCTCTCCGTCTGCAACCTGCATCGTCGAGACACCCTAGGCTTCAACAGCATTACACGTCGTAAGGGTAAGGATCGCTCGGATACTCTCCGTTTCTGTCCTTCTCATCCAGTAGCTTGTCCCAGCATATCTTGAAAGTTGCCCGGCAGATGAAAGCTAAAACAACGTCCTTTCCAATAACCTCTTCAGGTCCATAGTTTCCGGCGGAGTGCATCTGAAGCGGTCCTATCTCATAGCGACAGTACCTGCACAGTGCCTCTACATGCAGTGGTGACAGCGGCTTCTTGTCCTGACGCACAACAATGGCACTTCCCACAGAGTTCTGCCACTGAGTGGGAGCAAAACCCCAACCCAATGTCCCCGTGTGAAGATCCATTTCAGCTTTCGGATCGCAGCATAGGTGCAGATATGTAGCGTCTTGGTTGTTGAACGGGCTCTCATGTCCGAAGATCTTGTTGTCCTCGTCGCCCGCCCACTTTGGGTTTGGAGAGCAACGTCGTGTGAAGATGGGAAGTCCAATGCGTGCCGCAATGTCAGAGGTGTCGTGCTTCGAGAAGATAGGATCTGTCGGGGTAATCTCGACTGCCTCGAAAGGCGGCTTGTTGCACATCTTCTGGTCGCCGAGGCAGTTGATTGTGACACCCTTGACCTTGGCGTCGGTAGACTTCTGGGTAGCCGGTGCAGGCTCGTGTCCGTATGAGAGAAAGAAGTCAGTGATGTGTCGGAAGTCGTTCATGTCGACGTCTTTGCAAGTGGTCTGATCGATGCCTAGCCCCACCTTGCTGGTAGCAAGGATCGGACCTCGCCAGTCATGGTATTGCCCGGGCTTGGTAGCAGTGATGGCTGCGATGCTTTTGTTGGGTTTCGATCCATCGACAAGGAATGTGTCACGATAGTAGACGTGGATTGTGTCTGACAGTTTTCTCTGCAAAATCGGATTGATCTGAATTGGCGTACTCCTCGGAAAGGCATTGGGACCTAGAAATGTCCTGACCTCGGGATACTGATACCAGCCGTCTTCTTCGTCGTCGCGCCACTCGCAGTGAAGCCAAATGACTTTCGGCTTGCTCTTGTCGGCTGGGAAGAGGATCGCTCGGAGATGTTCGTCGGTTGGTCGGCTCGAGACGTCGAAGCTGGAGAAGGTTGCACAGAGCAGCTTGTGAGTAGGCCAATCGGCCCTCTGGCATGTTGTTGAGCAGTAGCAGGCGCTCTTGCATCGGCTGCAAAGCCGAGCATTGATTTTGCTGCACATAGTGCATAAGTCCGATACGTTGGGGTCGGTCATAATTTACCGTGTGGGAGAAGGAAGATTTGAAGCAAGGTCTCTATGGGATGAATGATCCAGTTAAAACTGGACAGTTCAAGACAGCTTTATGTGACCTGACAATCCGTTTGCAAGGTGGCTTTGTGTAACCTGCCAACACACCATCCGCCTGCAAGGCGGTGTGCATATGCTTACGTAATAGTGCAGCAATTCGACGCTTGATCACAATATGTGCAAGTATCCTCGTCCGGTAGAACGCAGCAAACCACTTTGTTGCGTGTGTCATGTGCACGCGCTCAAATGCGAAAGCTGGCTTCGCCCTGAGAAACTTGGACTGCATATCTTCGATGGCGGAGTTTCCTTTGTGCCCCATGTCGCATGCGACACTGTAAAGTCAGAGCTAAATCTTCTTGCCGCCAAACGGTATACATTTGATATTCGGAGCCATTCTCATCTCACTCAAAACGAAACAAGATAGGGCATCAATTCTCACATAGATAGGCAAAAAACCCCAAGTTTGATTGATCTATTGAAGTAGCACGTAGACTCTTGTTGTAATCAATATCCGCTTATAGCATGGACCAACTAATCTGTTTTTGGAGCAGTGTTATACCGCAAATGTCACATTCCCAAATACTCAAACCAGGCCGTAAAGAACGCACATCCCACCAAGGTGCAAATGAAGCCAGGGGGCTATCCGAGATGAGCGACGAGCACCAAAAGCAATGATGATAAAAAAGACCATGGCCTCACTGAAAAGGAAATCCACGGTCGCGCAGACCGCTGGTGAGCTGGAAAAGAGAAACCGCGCCAGAAATACTCGTTTGAAAGTCATAGTTGGTTCTGAAGTCAGGGCGTCGTCGTGTCGGTCTTGGGTTGAGGGGGCGCAGTGCCGCTGGTGGCGGCACCACCGACGGTGTTGGCGGCCACGGATTTGCTGCGTGATTGAGGGAGGGGAGGGGATGGTGGCGGCGCTGGGGTTTCCTGGTGGGAGTCGTCGGCCTCGATGTAGTAGCACATGCAGATGCTGCGTTTGGCATCTTTCTCATCTTTGAGGGATTGGACCCGCGCCGCTGTGGTGGGCTCGAAGAGAACGTCGGGACAGATCTGGCCGATTGTGTCCATGTTGATCTTTATGGTGTTATGGTGTCGTTGCCTTCGAGCAGCGCCTGGAAAACGCGAAGTGTCGGTGGCCGCCTGTGTAGTGTTGTCGGAAGCTGAGCCGCATAGCAAGAGCGGAGGTGTCTACACGAGCGACTATGAGGCTCACACATGTATTTCATTTAGTGCTCACTATGGGAGTCATAGATAGGAGAATTTATCTATTCGCAGCCCATTAGGACTACTACGGCGGGTATTCCATGATGCTATGAGCCCTACGCCGCTCTTCTATTGCCCGGTCGAAAGTCACCTTCATGGACCCGACCATCACGCTTACCAGGACATGAAAATCTTGCCACTCTTCCAACTGTAGACAAGACGCTACGAAATTCCGGTACTCCTGCATAACCCACAGCTCGTTCTGACCCCTTGGAGCATCACTCATCCCAGGCATTTCGCGAAAGAAGGGAGCCGCCATATAATCGAGTATGTCGGCCTTCAATCTGTCCATGTCGAGGCACAAGACCCGCCCCTCATCTTGTTGCTCAATCAACGGCACGCGCAGCGCATTCCACATATCCAGTGCGTTTCCGAAGAAGCGAAACACCAGCCTTTGGAAAGCAGTGCTCGTAAATCTTATTCCAGGGGGATAGTCGGATCCTGCCGAGAGCGCCAGACCAACGAAGGAGTCATCAAAAACTCGGGAGAGGAAGCAAGGTGAGCGGACATTCCGATGGTCGAAGCGGATGCGGAGGTGACGATGGAGTCGATCGTGGTCGTCGGCGATGGCATCGGTTGCTGCTGTTACTGGTTGAAACTGATCCCAAATCGTAAGGCCATGGTGTCTGGACGAGTGCGGTCCTGCCTGGGACAAAGCCAGTCCCCGGCGTGCTGCTAACCCTCGGTCATGTGCAGCCAAACTATCACGAACCAGGCCGACGAGGATGGCGGAGCGTGGGTTGTCAACAATCCTGATGCGGCACGTGGGGCAAGTCGTGATCAGTCCATCCTTGCGGCATTTCGCAAACCAAGTGGTGATGCAACGCCTCCCGTATGTATGGCCACATCTCGGTGTTTGTGGGCCATGGCACCAAAAGTCCTCCTCGTCTTCGTATTCGACTTCGGAGGCAGACAGTAGTACGTAGCTACCGTGGAGTGGGCGCGCATTGTTCTCGATATCCGTAACTTCAGAAAATTGCATGGGCAACGCTCGCATGCGGGCTTGGAATCGGCGGATTTCCGCAATGGGCTGGCAGCAGATGGGACAATTTGTGTCGTCTTCCACGGCTAGTCTCTCCATAATTTCTTCGGGGGTATTTTCGAGGTAGGCACCACGAATCGGAGTAGCGAAAGCGGAGAGCATTGATATCATTTTGTCGTATCGGCCTTTTGGAAACGAAAGCCAGCCTTCCGGAAAATTATAAGGGGGGGTGAGAGTTCTCTTATAATTTCAAGGGATAGAGCTCTTGTTAAGCGCACTACATACTGTAACCATGGGTAGAAGTAGAAGCCGAGGCGATGAAACCATAGCAGCTCCGAACATCCGGAGTGGATGGCTTCCTTACTTCGAATCGATAGTATCTAATATTCGACTAAGTTTTATGTGCAAAAAGAAGTCGCTAGAATTAAATGGAACGAGAGGGATATCTATAAATTTTAGAAGACTATACTGTCTAATAAGATCTAAGGTGGCTAATAATTAAAGATAAGTAAAGATAAGACTCGATTTTTACTTACTTAGTAGGTAGAGGGTTAGCTTCTTTATTTATTTATAAAGATTTTTATCTATTTATAAAGATCTTTAGCTATTTAGTTAAATTATATATACGGGCTACTATTATAAGATTTTTTTTAGTATTAAGTTATATATTTCTCTAATATCGTTTTTATACCTCTCTTACGCCTCTCTTATATCTTTTTTCTTATTCTTAATCGCTACCGCCGAGCCTTTAAAGCTTAATAACCCCCGCTCTAAGCTATAAGGCGAGAATTAGCTATTTCTCGCCGATCTTATCGCGTAGGCGACTTCTCGTACCGTTAAAGTAATCGCTAGTAGTACTAAAGACCCTCTTAATATTATATAAAATTAATAGATATACTAGTAAGTTAAACGCTATACGCGCGATAATAGAATACTTCTCTATATACTTCTACTACTATACTAGTAGATTATAAAGGTATTTCTCGATATTCCTCTCTAGTATTAAGGCGAAGAATCGTTCGAACTCGCTCTACGAGAGGTCCGGAATATCGTCTTTAGCTAGATTATAGTATAGAGCGTTAATCGCGTTTATATCGCGCTATAAAGGGTAAGGCGGTAGCGGTAAACGTACTTCTACTTTATTATTAATAATACGCTATTAATATTATATATAGAGGCCTCTTATAACGTCCTCTACGGCGTTTCGCTATATAGAAAACTCTACCTAGTTTATTCTAAACTATAAGAAGCGAAGATAAGAGTATACTATAATCGCTACGCGATAAAGAGATAGATTATTACTTCTATTATAGTAGAAGTCTATCTTCTTCTACTCTAGATTAACGCACGTCTTTAAATAGATATTAGATATAGGCGTAAGCTTCTACTTCTTCCGCTTAAGTAATAAAAGTATTACTTTAAGATATAGAAGCTACTTCTAAAGAAACTTAAAGAATTTATTAGTACTATTATTCTCTAGGCGTATAGTAGCTTCTTTAAAAGGTTATAAAACCTTCTATAGCGCTTAAATCTTATTCTAATTCTTTAGCGATAATACGTTATTCGCTAAATTATAGTCGTTCTTTAACCTACTAGCCCTTAAGTAATAGGTATTAATAGTATAGTATATAAATCTATATATTAAAGTAATACTATTAATAATATTACGAGTACGAACGAGGTATAGAGATATATAGCGGCGCGTAGACGAGGATTCCTACTAAGAGTTTAGTTACGATACTTATCTATAAGATATAATTAGCTACCGTATAAGTACGCGAAGAATAGTTATACGGGGATATTCTACTAAAAACGGGTCGATTTTAGTAGAATATCTCTAATATTAACTCTAAAGATAGATATACTAGTTATTACTATATTATATATTAAATTCTAGCGAATACTACTATCGCTTACCGGCTTATACGTCTTTTTATTCTTCGCGGCTAGCTCGCGCTAGATACTCTTAAATATATCGTTATAAAGCGATAATACTTTAATACTTATAATAATATTATATAGCTTATCTATAGAATCTATCTTACGCTATACTACTAGCTTTTTAAGCTCTATATATATCTTTAAAGCTATTATCTACTCTAAGCGTTTAATATAAGTAGCTATATTATTATCGCTAGACGAGTAGGGTTCGCTTAAAGATAATTTACGGCGGCGGCGGCGGCGGCGTAAGCTCTATTAGCGGATATACGTACGATTCTTAACGCTTTTAATAACGTTCTTAATAGCGTCGCGATTAATACTATAAATCGTCGCTATTACTTTTAGATTATAGATATAATTAGTATAGCGTAAGCGCTATAGTCTAAAGCCGGATAGCTTCTTACTAAGAGTCTTTAGCGCGGCGTCGTTTACCTATATATTATCTATAATAAACTATTCTAAGCGGGCGTAATTCTCTAACTCTAACCCGTATCTTATAATAGCTTTATAAAGCCTAGCGGCGATACTTAAAGCGTTATAACTACCGCGTATACGCGGTATAATAAGAAGAATATTTTACCGCTTATAGTTAGCGTCGAGAAAGTATACGACGATATTTAGATACGCCCGCTTTAAGTCGCTAGTCTAAACGTCGAACGAAAGATAGATAAAAGAGACGGCGGTTTTAAGAATAATAATTATCGTAGTATAGACTTAATTATATTCTAAATAAAGCTAAGTAGGAATTATACTATAACTACTAGAAACTAAGCTACTTATAATTAGAGCCGCGGTCTTAAATATATTATAGAAATTAGAAGAGATAGCGCCGCGAAAGCTTATATCGTTAAGAATAATTTATCTTATATAAGAGCGCCGCTAGTCGGTTAGATTAAAGCGATTAATAAGATTTCTAGTAGTAGGCCTCTTTAAAAGATTAATAATAGATTACTACTTATTCGTATATTCCGATTTAGTAATATTATACGACTTTTTAAGATAGTAGTAGGCGGTAGAGATACTATAATTAGCTATTACCGTATATATCTTACCTCTCTACTAATAGATATAATATAACTACTTTAGATACCCCGATTTAGTATTTTAAACGCGCGGGCCGTGTTTAAAGACCTAGCTAGATATCCCGCGCTTAGAATCTAGTATAAATATATAGTTTAGAAGCTTCTAAGAGTCGATTATAAACGTAGACTAAAAGTTTTTACGCGGCCGCTTATAGAATAGCTCGAGGCCTTAGTTACGGCCTAACTCGGTTAAATTCTCGAATACTAATAATAGCTATAATATATTACCCGCCTAAAAACTTATAAAGTCGAGATTAACGAAGAACGGCATCGCGGGGGAAACGTATACGATAAAAGATAGTAGTATTATAAATTTTTAAATATACTAGTAGCGGTAGATAAATAATAGTAAATAACGCGAGGCGCGTCGCCTAGTATTCTATAAGATTAATCTAAAGCCGGATTATTAAATAATCTAGACACGCTAAACCGCTTTAAGGTAAAATAATAACCGAAATCTTATAATAGCGGGCCGTACGCGATATTAACCCGCCGCCGCCCGCTATCCCCTCCTTCTTCCGGCCGCCGCCGTCTACCACTCCTAATACTCTAATAGGTAAAAAAAATCGCTATTAGCACGTACTAGGATTAAACCTAGAACCTCTAGCTCTAAATATCTAGAATATATCTATTTAGCCGGGTAAGGAAATTATTAGTATTACTACGTAAGCTATATAACTAAGATAAAAGTCGTTTAAACCGGGAAATTATTATTATAGATACTACGAAACGCTTCTAGATATTTAATTTAATTACTATACTAATATATATACCCTCTACCTATGGCCGGCCTTGCCTATAGCCGGCTATGGCCGGCTACCCCCTCCTCCCCCCCCTAACACTAATCAAACAGTCAAAGATCTTTACAAAGATAATAGCCCTCTATCTTTACTTACTTGTTTTATAGAATCTTCGATCTTTGCTTGCTTATTGGGTTGAAATAAGTAAAGACAAATAAAGATGTTTGATTGTTGGCCACCTTGATGAGATCCGTCCGTACTAGCAACGGGATCCTATTCCAGGTCTCTATTCCGGATATATTTCATCACGTAATTTCAGCATACCCATGACTTATCAACTCCCCTGCAAGTTACAGCATAGAGACAATCACGGCAAGAGACAACAGAGCTTTTTCTATTTGCCCAAGTCACGGCCCGCCAGACGCTTATGCCTTTCAGCAACAGCAGGTCACGCTTGCTAGACACCAAGGCGAATATCTACGTAGACTTCTCCGCTCCCGAAACGATCCATCCCAGCTGCCACATCTTCGGCGCGTCGTCGCCGTGTCCGCTGTGCCGTCGAGTGCCCATATCGTCAAGCCGCATGAGGATGTCGTTGGCAGTGGGGAAGGCGTGGACGGGGAGACACGTTGAATGTGGAGGTATATTCGGAGCGAGATATCGAGGGAGTGGATGGGGTGGGGCTTGCAGACATGGCCTTGGGGGAATGGTGGGATGTGGAGGAATGGGACGAGGAGCGGGAAAATAGGGTGGATTTTGAGACGACGTGGACATACTCCTTCAATTACTCTCCTATTACCGCAAGCGCAGCGCTATGAAGAAGTCAGGAAGACGTAGAAATAAAGGATAAAGATATTGATTAAATGATAGCTAAAGATTATCAAGCTAATGTAGAAAGCGGAGATGGAAGTTCTAAGAGGTTTACTTTTATTGGAGCCGGGAACAGGAGCCCGGCCGTAAATCGTGCAGACAAATGCTGCACGGATGATCTTGTTACCGGTCTGATCTTTCAGATGGACGGAATAGAGGGTGAGATGCAGGCGGCGAGGTGGTAGTGGTGGCTGAAGAGGGATGTTGGCTTTTTTTTTTTGCGTTCCACATGAGGGCCCAGTCTCACGTACCAGACAGTTGACTGCGTTACCACTCTGAAAGTGAGACGACCGGGACTACTGGATGGTTAAACCCTTGTTCCAGAGTTGCTCATCGATGACGCGACCAATGACTACCTTTATGAAGGTCATGTACAGTCTTTGGTCTGCCTCGGAGGAGTTTGGAAAGGTTTTGATAAATTCCTGGGACAATCTTTGAAAGGCAATCTCTGGGTCGATCAGATCGCGAGTGAGATAGGGGCGGTAGCCGCGGATGCGTCTGCGGGCTTTGAATGTCAGGACTGCGGAACGACTGTGGGCTCCCACAACCTTTTTCCATTCTTTGTTATCGGCGAGTCTGGAAGCCATGTCTCTAGCCTCGACGAGTACTTTAGTGAAAGCGACGGCCAGGTAGCGTGTCCTGGTTTTTGTAGATTGCGCCATGGCGGTGTCGTAGATTGCGCCGTAGGCCTGGACATTCATGATGTTCCATTTCAACGGCTGGCGGCAGTATGCACACAAAGTACACCCGCCATTGGCCTTTTGTGTCTTGATATCGTCAAACAGGCATTGTGCACCGAAGACGTGGCCGCATTGCAGCATCACGGGCGGTCCAGGACACGTCGGCTCCGCCTCAGCAAACAGCTTTTTCAATTGCGCGAAGGAGTGGGCCTCCTCTTTCACGGGCGCCGGTTTTTTCTCCAAACCCAACCATCTCTTCAAAAGGTTGAAGAGCATGTTTCTCCGTGTAGGATGGTTCCCGAGTCTGTTGTTGATGTTCAGAATGGATTTGACCAACATGCAGTGGCGACCCAGTGCATCCGTTGCAGAAGCCTCGGCAATTTGCTTGGGGTCGAAGCGCATACGACAGATGGGGCAATTGTGTTCATTTCGTTGTTCAAGTTCTCGACCGGGGATTAAGATGACCAGTGGTAGACGGCTGTAGGGGTGGACGGGGGCCTCCAGCTGCGAAGCGGAGTTGAGTTGAGCCCCTGCGCATGTACATGAGCTTAGCCGGTAATGGTTTTCTATAAGCTGTACATACGTACATCCAGGCACGGCGTTTTCGTTTGCGAGGCTTCCACTGTGCTGCTCCATGTGGGCGAAATGGCAGGTGTGGTGGATCTGGGATTCTGGGCAGCGGACGGCAAAATGCTCGGTTCTGGAAGCCCTGGGCGGCGGCAGTACCTTTATGGACGGAAATGTCGCACAAAGTGTTGTGCTCTTGCGGATGGCATGGTTACGGCTACCATGGATCAACTACCGCGACTAGGGGGGCCAACGGTGCATGACCCGAACAGCAGGTCCGCACCATATTTGCCGCATGTTTGTCGAAAATCGACAGCAGCGAGCAGGGCGGCTGTGCATGTCGTGGATCCGGATGCTGACGTGGGGGCTGACTTGGAAGCAACCCGGATGGGGAAGGAGGGTGTCAGCACCGGTACGATGGACGATTCGGTCGGTCGATACAGCGCTACGATCAAGGCTGGATGGTTGAGGAGCGCTAGCTGCTGTTACCCCCTCCCTGAACAGGAAAGAAGGAGCCTGCAATACGGTAGCCGCGTTACGTCATCCGTCTCCATCCGTCTCCACGCTTGCCACGCCCGCGCCGTGGGGGCCGTCGTTTACCACCAACACCCGTCAGCTGAACCTCCGCGACATATATAGCACACACTACGCGACGACGCGAAAGACGATATATGTGCACCCACATCGTCGCTCACCTGGCTGCCTCACAACATGCCTGAGACCGACTCTCTTACCGCCAGAATCCCCACCTCCGTGAGCACCACCCCCTCCACTCATTTAAAGCGCCTCTGAAGAAGCAGCATCGCTGACCGGTACGCAGTAAAAGGTCGTGGAATAGTTCTCGAGGCGAAGCCGCAAGCCGCAAAGCCCGCGGCCGGTACCAGGAAGAAAGCGACCCTGGTCTCGCCCTTGCCACAACCACCACCACCAAAGGCACGCTTGCACGCCCCCACCAATAGCGCATCGCAGCCGCCTACCCAGCCATTGCTATCGCCCAATCCCGACCAACCCGACCCACATCACCGCGTAGCGCCGCCGCCTCCTCACCAACCCCACCACTTCTTTGCCTGCACCGCGCGCTCCGTACCCGCCGCCTCTTCCGCTTGTAAGGCGCCAGTGGTCGTTGACTACCGCCGCCCGCGAAGACTATACGCCGCCGCAGACCGAATCGGACCAGAGTGTACCGCCCGCGTCATCACCCTGCGACGCACACCTGCTCCTCACAGACGTCCCTCAACACCGGGGGAAGAACTCCGGTTCGATTGATTGCCTAAAAAAAAAGAAAAAAGAACGGCGGCAGTATCAATGGCTGGGCTATTACTAAGAGTCCGAAGAAGGGCCAGTCGGCTATTTCGAAAGGGCTTGGGACGTGATTGGGGGAAGGTTTGCGCAGCCGGGTTTGGAGTGTATTGAGGGGCTGGAATGCTTGTTGTTCTGTTCGTCTTTATTTTTTCTTTTGGCTTGGGATTTGGAGTTATGGGGTTCATGGGCATGATGAATGTTTCATGCTTGGTGGGGTTACTTGAGGATTTTCAGGGACTGGGTTGGATGGTACTGGGGAAGGAGGCATTGAGCCATGAGAGAAGACTTTGACGGTTCTACGAGCCATCGATCCGTATGTCGGCTTCTTAGACATACGCTTTTCTTTTGTTTGGGGAGAGGGGTCTGCGCTACCGTCATCCGCTACGCATCCGCTACGTTACATGATCCGCAGACCGCCCACAGCGCGGTCACATTCTACAGCTTCAGACTACATTGAAGATAAAGGAACTTTTTTTTTTTTTTTGCACGAGCCTTTCTACTAACACGCACCAGGCGACACAAACTCTGCAAAACTGAGCCTGCAAACAATTGCGAAGTCCGCTTGGCGCGTACCTAGCACCGCATACCCAGACCGCCCTCGTTTCGCACATGAGCCCGCTCATAATCTCGTTCCCACCTAAATAGCAGGCGAGTGACTCGCCTATCTCCCCACGGTCGGGTAAAACGGTCTGGCTCGATTCGGCCTTAAGGCATGACCGTGCTTGCGCCGCAGTCCCTCCCCTCCGGGTCAGCTTACGCGGGGGCGGGAAATCATCAAACCATCAGACGCGCGATACCCCGGACTCTCATCTACGCTTTCTCACAGGCGAAAGGTGCAAATAAGGTATTCATGACCCGCATACCCGTCAGACAGAGCGTCTTCCGAGTCAGCCTGCTTACCCTTGATTGACCCTTCCGGATCGGGTTGCTGTCCGGCTTGCAGCAGCGGTGCTTTATACTTGAATGCTTTTTTCTTTACTTGCTATAGATGAAGGAACCTTCTACTATACTTTAGACTCCAGATCGTCTGTCTGAGAATCTGGAAGATCCGCATTCCGCTTTCTCTTACCGTCGGAGCCATCTGTTGAACTAGAGTAAAAGTCTAGAAAAAGTACGACGCCGCACCGTTTTCAGTGCTAGCTAGTGGCTATCATATTGTGCAACACCATTTTACAGCGGACCGCAACGAAGTAGTTGAAGACGCGCTTCTCCTTATGCTGCTTCGGCTGCTGCGTCTGTGCTGGTGTTGCGGGCGATAAAAATAAGACAATACTAATCAGAAGAGTGCCAGAGAGCAGAATCAGGGAACCGAATATCGGTCAAGACGGTAGACTAGAAATAAACCATCCATCTAAGTATCGTCGGTTGCGGTCTCACTGCCAGGCTGCGCAAGCTCGGTGAAACTGCTCTTCCAGCGCTTCCGCGCAGAGGGTACCGAAGCCATCTCCGCCAGGCGTTTCCTCTCCGCTCTCCGGCAAACGAGATCATGCTGCGAGGGTGGGGGGTGAAGGTGTATCATCTCGGGGACGGGTTTCTCTTCGACAAAGTATTTCTTGTCGGCCAAGTGCTCCTCGTCGGCCAAGTCCTCATCAGTCGATTGTCCCTCATCGGCAAGTTCAAAGAAGTCGGAAGCAGTCTTTCTACCGCGTGGCCAAGGGAGCGTCTTGCTTCTCTCCCGATCATTCGGCAGCCTGGACAGCAGGTGCTCGATGAGCAACGCCGACTCTGTATCAGGCGCCGCGTGCGTTGTAGACTTAGCAAGGCCGAGTTCGCTGAAGCTCGTCTTGTGTCGCTTTGCTGCTCGCTCAATCTCTTCGCGAAAGTGATATTCCGGCCAGCAATGGGTGTGGAGAGCGAGGAACCTGAAGTGGGTAGGGCTGAAAGGGAGGCTGAAACCTATGTTTGCTCTCAGCATCCTGCCGCAATTGCCAATCGCTCCTTCAAGTGGTTCCTCATCAAAGAACCAAAGCTTGAACCTCTTCATCACTGTGAGTGTCTTGAATGCCGTCAAGTCGTCCATGTCCGTTGCAGCTGTCAGCATGTTTGGCTCCTTCGGCGCCATGATCATGGGAGATTTGCCCAGTGCCAGCCGTATGAAGCAAACGTTGGTAGGAAGTTGGCCCAAACCATGGAGCTGGTCCTGAATATAGCGTGGGATCCTGTCGTGCATAGGTATGCTGATGGCGAGAGGGCTGGAAAGATTGTCGGCAGTGACTATGATAGCGAGCTGATTTGCGGGATCCGCCTCGACCGCGAAGCCGTTCTCGTTGATGGTAGTTGGGGAGAATACGATGCGCAAAGAAGTGGGGACAGATCCATGTGTCCAGCCAGTGTGAAACTCAGCGGCGAGTGGGCTAAGGAAGGCTTGTTCCTCCGTTAGGTAGTCCCATGACCAGCTTGCGATGTAGGGAAGGACGGTAGGGTTATCGGAATATGAATGCATGATGGCTCGCTACTGCGGCACGTTGACGTAAAACACGCCGGGGAGTGAAGTAGGATGTAGAGAGTGACGAGGGTGCGAGCGAAGGAAAATGTTTGGTGGGGCCTGCGTAGTAGAGGGCGGAAGCCGGCGTGCGCAAACACGCCGAGGAAGGAGAGGGTCGAGCGCTCTTGCCGCTGGATTTGGAAGGCGGACAGTCAAGAAAATAACAAGCCGGCATCTTTCCTGCACTCCCCATCTACTTTACACCCTTCTGGAACTCTTGCCATCGAAACTTCCACAGCCTCCCACCGAAGATAGAAAGCCAAAGTCTTCTTCCATGACAACACTGTTAACTGACTCCGATCCCAACTGTGTTATCTGACTACATTTTTTCTTTTTGGGTCTACAGCCACGGCTTAGTGGAACAATTCGTATTCTCACAGTACCTGGTCTTTCATTATTGGCTATTCTCGAAAAATAATCAACGCAATGTCGTTGATTCGCAACCCCCATCCCGGCATTGCTACAAAGGCCGCCACACCTGCCACCCTCCAGTCACTGAGGGAAAACGACAAAACAGAATGCCCGGTCTGCTATCGTACCTTTTTCGAACTGGAACAGCTCCACCCGTGCACAAGCCAGCAACGCACCACCACCACCGTCGGCCTGACACCCATCGCGCCCATCACCCGTACATGCGCCGCTTCTTCGTCCCAGACCTCTACGACCCTCCGACCGCCCCATCACCCATGCCTAGCCGCCGCTTCACGCCATCCTCCGGGCACTTCTGCACTCACCCCATAACCCTCACCGCCTGTAAGCACACCATCTGCGCCTCCTGCCTGACCAAGTGGCTCCGCGCCAACTCATCCTTCGGCAATCGCACCTGCCCCTATGCTGGCGGATGAAACTGTTTGGGCGTGATTTCATCACAATGGCCTCTCCGGCAAGCTAAGAGAGGTCGAAATAAAGTGTAAGAATCTACAACAGTAGCGCTTATGTACCCCGCACGGCCAAGCCCGTCCTCACGCAGATCACACGTCCGTCATCGATGATTAGTGTCAAAAGAGCGTTCACATTTTAATGTGTCATAGTAAAAACAATCACGTATGTACATTTTGAAGTCTCCCCCTGTCTCTCATATCCACCACCACTTACGCTGCAGCCACAACCTGCGGCGCCCGCCTCCTCGTCGGCTGGTCATCCGCACGCACGACGCGGTTCCCGTACGAATCCTTGACGTATTCGCCGCCCGCCCCGTCCTTCTTCTGTTGGCGCTTCCACAGCTCGACTTCCATACCTGCAGAGACCATCAGTCAGCTTGTTCGAGAGGATTCCGGAAAAAAAAAAACAAAAACACATACCTCCCCGAATAACCCCCACCCTCATCGTACTCAGCAAATTATGCGCCGCATTGCTATGATCGTACACCCCACCGTTAAACATGGCCGTCGCATCCTTGCCCACGGCGCCGCGGATCAGCGCCCTCCCGCCGGGATGCTCGGCAACGAAGTCGGACACGTCGTGCACGACGCCGGCGACGGCGATCCACGCGCGACCTTCCTCATTCTTGGCCTGCGCGACGTATTCGTCCCAGGCGATGACGGGCAGCCGGTCGAGGGGCACGCCCCAGTCGAGCGCGGCGCGCTTGCGGTCCAGCCGCTTCTGGTCCATCTGCAGCCGCCCCTTTTCGATCTCGTTGGCGCGGAACTGCTTGAGGTCGTGCGCGAGCCCGGCCTGCTTCCACAGCCAGATGGACCACTTGGTCGGGTCGTATTGCCACCATTCTGCGCGCCGGGGGGAATTTTGGGTGTTCTCGTCAGCAAACTGTTCCACATATTGCTGAGGACGGCACAAATCGACTAGGTACTCACCGATCGCGTTCCGATAATCACTCGGGAACTCATGATGAAAGTTGTGATAGCCCTCGCCCAGGGTCGCCAGCGCGGTGATCCAGTGATCGCGCGGGCTGTTGCGGTCGTCGAAGGGCTGCTCGCCGATCCAGTGCGCGAGGCTGTTGATGCAAAACGTCGCCTGCTGCACGAAGAAGACGCGCAAGATGCCCGCATACACGATGCCCCCCCGGAGGTCGTCCCACAGCAGCCACGCGGCCAGCCCGGGGAAGACGACGCCCATGGCCAGCGCGCACTTGACGTAGTGCCGGTGCTGGAAGATGACGATGGGGTCGGCGTTGAGGTCCGAGATGTCGGTGCGGCCGATCCGGCGGGGGTTTTGCTTCATGAGGATCCAGCCCATCTGCGTGCGAGAGGAGGGGGGTTGTTAGCGGTGGAAGGTGGGGAGGCGGCGAGGGCGAAGAGGTCGAGGGGGTGGTGGTGCGATTTTGTTTTCTCTTTCTTGAAGGAAGGGCTGGGGGTCTTTGGGTCAAGGCGTGGTGGCTGGCTATGGTGAGGAGTTCACTGATGTGACGGGCATCCACTTTCGACGGACACGGAAAGCTGCATGCCGCAGCCGCTGCTCTGCGGCTGGAACAGTACACAGCCGGCCCGATCCCCCCATCTCCCGCAGCAGCATCAACGCTCTTTTCCCCACACCACCATTCAATGGATCCCATCCCATCCCGTACCCAAACAACCCCCTTTACGGAGTAAGCGGAAAGAAGGCAACTCACATGACTATACCACAGCCCCTTCCTCACCGAATACGGATCCTTATCGGTGTCGGTATACCGATGATGGGCGCGGTGATCGCGGCTCCACCAGCGGATAGACCCCTCGATGGCGCCGGCGCCGAACGCCGCCAGGAAGATGCGCAGCGGCACCGCGGCCGAGTAGGACGTGTGCGACCATAGGCGGTGATAGCCGGCTGTGATGGCTATGGAGTAGCGTTAGCACCGTGGGCGTCGTTCGCTACGGCAGCGCGGGGAACAGGGAAGGGGATTCGTTTTGTGGGGGAGCGGATGTCGATCTCGTGGGAAGCGGAGCCGCTCTGCGTTGGAGAAAAGGTGGTCCTCCCTCCCCCCCGCCTTGGAAGGGGAAGGAAGGGTAGGCGGAACCTGCGGCACCGCGTGGGGCGGATGCTTGCGACGTTTGACGGTGCGGCAGCGGAGCCGCTTTTGGGTCGAGCGGACCGTTGGACGGTTCCGCCGCGGGGGCTTGTTCCTTCTCGGTGGGTATTGCAGATGGATGAGAGGGACTTACAGAGGCCAGTGAAGAAGTCTGCGAGTGTGGGGGGTGAACGGTCAGCAATGCTGCTCGAAGAGGACGACGAAGCGGACGAAGTCCTGGCATGGAAGCGGGTAGCAAGTGAGAGTGACGTACAGTACACATAGGCGAAGATGGCTGTCTTCAGTTGCAGCGGGACGTAGAAAGCAGCGACGCAGCCAGCCAGCGGAATCAGGACGGTCATGAAGACATTGAGCCAGTTGACGTGCTTCGGCCAGTTCCACGCCGTCATGCGCGTCTCGGTGACATGCGGATGCGCAGCCATTGGGAGGGCAAGAGAGTGGAGGCGACGGATGAGTAATCTCCCGAGAGAGGAGAGATAACGGTTCGCACCAGAGCAAAAGGGAAAGACCAAAAACGGGAAGAGCGGCTAAAAGGGAAGGTTGCGTCTTGGCAGGGCCTCTTCTTCACAGCATTCGCAGCGCCCAGGCGGAGCGCAAGCGCTTTAAGATGCAGTCTTGATGCATTTTCTGCTGCCTGAAAGCAATGCCCACGAACGATTGTCTCGCGACTCGCCCAACAAAAGTCGGATTTTGGTTGCGGGCGGGCGGATGTGTTGGAGAATCCTGTGGAGTCGGACTGGTGGAAGCTCCAAACACTGGGGCTGCCATGGCGCGCGGTCAGGCCACTCACTCCCAACGACTTTTGCGGGGTCACACCATATGAACGCCACTGATCCAACCTTTTCGCAAGCAACACCAACACGCTCTGGCGGAGAGGACGCCTTCAAGTTTGGGGGTCGCGAGCAGAGATGCTTCGTATTGTCGTGATTAGATGGTTGTGTAAGACGCTGAATTCAGCGCACGCCACGTCCATGCGGCTTCATCGGAGATTGTCGAACCTTTCTGCGGATCCTGTCGTCACTGAAGCCCGGTGGACTTGTCAGCACGAAGGAGAGGACGGACCGATGATGTTTGCTGTCAACAACTGCGGTTTGCAGATGCCAACGACAGCCTGGAGATAGCGGACGCGTTGCTCACACGTGATTGGCGGCACTGCTGACATCTCGAAGCGGGCTACCAACAACACCCGAAGGACGGACGGAATAGGGCGGGAAGAAGCCGCAAAGGGGTGTGAGCTGCGGAAAGGACATGGTATGAGAAACCACACATCTATTGCACGTGTATGCCAGCAGTCATGGTCGTGGCAATGTTGTACAGGTGCTGCCCGAGTGCTCTAGTCGGGAGCAAACTTTGTGATACGCAAGAGAGGATGCTGCTAGTCGAGCTACCGAAAAGACGACCGACTGTGGTGGAAGTGAAGATGGATGCGCAGCGTCGCGACACGTGATCTGCATACACATCCTTCCAATAGACGCCATTGTCCACCGCACATCGCCTGGTCGACCGAATTCCCGGTCACGTCAGCTACATCGATGCACCGGAGGTGGCCTACCGTGGAATTCGGGGTCTAGGACAGGGTCTGGCGGGGCATCGCGTTGCACCTTGTCGCCAGCCAGACGGGCGGCTGCAGGGCGCGCAACTGCAAAGCGGGGTTTTTTGCACATTGCTGAAAGGCGGTCCAGGCTGGCGGGTCAACAGATCTGAGACATTGCCAAAAACGAGCAAACAGACAGCGGCGGGGTGACAGATGGTGGCATTGTCATTGGGAGGTTTCCCAGCGAACGCGGGGCATTGTTTGGTGTTGCCAGCTGGGGAGGCACGGAGGGAAGAAGACCCTCTGGCCTCGGCCTCCCGGCTCCACAAATCTCAGACGCTGCTCGCAATTCAGCCATCGCCATGCGTCGCGGCAGCCGAATGTTTCTCACGTTGGCCATCCCTTAACGCTGCAGTTTCCCCGCCTGCGGACCGTGACATCAGGCTCAGGCGTCCTACGCTTGGTCGCCATCCTACCCCGATGACACCGACTCGAAGATATAAAGGCCGGTGCTGCAACGACGGGAGAGCACGTCCACGGGGAGATATCTGGCAGCGGCAGGGACGAGGGCGGCGGCTCGTGGCTCTGGGCAGCATCGGCTTCGAAAAGCTTCGCCGGTCGCAATCGGCAGCGGAGAGACGGCGGCGATTGGGCGGCGTGTCATCCAGGAGAAGCTTGGCGGGGCGTGCCAAGATTTGCGCTTCGTCGCGTCCGCGCGGCAAAGGTCCACCTCGTGCGGCAGATGCAGAGCGCATCGTCCGGGCTGCGGCAAGACGTGTGGCGCCGTGCGTAAGCTTTGGGGCTGCACGCTGCCGCCGACGAGACGCGCCCGGCGTCGACAAGGGCGGCGGCGGGGCCCCTTCACACGCGAGCTGGAACGCAGCATGCCGTGCCTGAGAGCAGACGGAGCAGACTTGTGCAGCCCTTCAGCCCATCAGCCCGCGCCAGCGCCCGCGCCCGCGCCAGCGCCCGCGCCCGCGCCAGCGCCAGCGGAAGTCGGCAGCCAAGCCGCTGCTGAGTGCCACTGGACCAGCTTGGCCTGGGGATGCCGGCCGGGGTCTGGCCTAGGGCGGCTGACGACGCCGCAGCCGGGCAGTAGCCTTATTTCGATAGGCGCCCCTCCGCGATGCGTGTGCGTCAAACGTCCCCCTCCACATGCCTGCACGCCCACCAGCGCCGACGCACCTAGAGAGACCATCCGCCGTCCTCGCAGCGCAGCTTGATAGATTTCTGCTCCGCCTCCACCGCCCCGCTCAGTCGTAATCCCTCTCTCTAGCCTCTTGTAATCGCCCGCCCCGGCTTCCTCGCCCCCCCTTTCTCCTCCGATGCTGCATGCTTAAGACGTGGCCGCACACCACCCTCTTGTCTTGCACACGCACCTGTCTACGTAATCCACATTTCTGACGAGTACATGATCAGCCATCTGTGGCCCGACATTCTTTCGCATTTGTCGCATTTCTCACAGCTCCCTCTCTCCTGACTTTTTTTTTCTTTTCTTTGCCAAATACTGTTCAAATGTTCCGTCTACCATCTGTCCGCCGGGCGGTATCGTCATTATTATTCCTCGCCGCAACCTCCTACGCCGACCTCATACCCTACATCGCCGATGAGGCCTACGACCGCGGCGATTTCGGCGCCTATCCCTACCAGGAATACCAGACATCGCCGTTGAAAGGGCCCCGCGTAAACATTGTCGCCACCAATGACAGCTGCACCAGCGGCGACGACCTCATCTTCCTCAACCCGCGCGGCAAAAAGGTCGTGCCCGGCCCCAATCCGATGATTCTGGACCAAGCTGGGAATCTGATCTGGACGCTGGACGGCAAGCCGTACGGCGAGACGTACAACCTCAACGTCCAGGAATGGAATGGCGAGAAGTACCTCACCTTCTGGGGCGGCGATGACACAGTCGGAGGGCACGGCCAAGGCTACTACTACATGGTGAGCTCGACCTTCAATGCGGGGGTCGTATAGGCGTTGTGGCCTCCAAGTACGACGGGTGTACCCGCGGTGCTGCAGATCCGAGAGCACGCCATCGGTGCCTAACCATCGCACCATCCCCCCCCCCCGCGTAGCCAATCCTCAGTCGCTAACCGGACATGTCCTTCACCCAGCTCGACTCGTCCTACAAGCAAGTGCGGCAGATCTCCGCCGTCGGCCCCATCAAGGGCGATCTGCACGAATTCCGCTTCACCCCCAACGGCACCGCCCTGCTCAGCGTCTACGAAATCACCCCCATGGACCTCAGCCCCGTCGGCGGGCCCGAGTCGGGCTGGGTGTGGGACGGCTCGTTCCAAGAAATCGACCTGGCCTCGGGCAACCTGCTCTTCTCCTGGCGCGCCAGCGACCACTACGCCGCCAACGACACGTACCGGCGCTACACCAGCGGCGGCACCTCCGCCTCGTCGCCGTGGGACTACTACCACATCAACAGCGTCGACAAGGACCGCCACGGCAACTACCTCGTCTCAGCCCGCTACACGCACTCCATCACCTACATCGACGGCCGCTCGGGCTCCGTCCTGTGGCAGCTCGGCGGCAAGCGCAACGACTTCACCGACCTCTCCGACGGCCGCGCCACCAACTTCGCCTGGCAGCACGACGCGCGCTGGCGCGACGACGGCCGCGCCATCACCCTCTTCGACAACCGCGCCGCCAGCAACGTCTACGACGCCGACTCGTCGCGCGGCATGCGCGTCGCCATCGACCAAGCCGCCATGACGGCGACGCTGACGCACGAGTTCACCAACCCCAACGCGGCCATCGTCTCCTCCAGCCAGGGCTCGATGCAGGTGCTCGCCAACGGCAACGTGCTCCTCGGCTACGGCTACAACGGCGTCTTCGCCGAGTTCGACCGCCACGGCGCCCTCCTGTGCGACACGCGCCTCGAGCCCGCCTCGCGCTTCGAGAGCGGCGACGTGCAGTCCTACCGCGTCCAGAAAGCCGCCGGCTGGGTCGGCAAGCCCGCCACCAAGCCCGACGTCCTCGTCGAGGGCAGCAGCGTCTACGTCAGCTGGAACGGCGCGACCGAGGTCCACCGCTGGGTGCTGCAGGACGCCGACTACGCCGAGATGGACGGCGCCGAGAGCGGCGAGAGCGGCTGGGAGCGCGAGGTCGGCGAGGCGTGGCACAACGTGCAGACGGTCGAGCGCGCCGGCTTCGAGACGGAGCTGCGCTTCGGCATCAGCACGAGGAGGTACGTCCGCGTCTTGGCGCTCGACAGGGAGGGCTGGGTGCTGGGCGCGAGCGAGCCCGGCGGGACGGCGATTGACGACGAGATTAGGAATTCGGTGAGTGCTGTGCTGTGCTGTGCTTGTGCGGCAATGGCATTGGCGGCTTTTGGGAGAATTTCGAGCTGACGTGCTGCTTTTTCTTGCAGACTATCATTCTTGGCCACCGCTTCAAGGATGGCGATGCCACTATTCTCGCTCTCCTGGTCTGCGCCGCCCTCGTTGCCACCGGTGTCACCGTCGTCATGGCCTGGCGCTCGCGCATGGATAAGATCGCGTATCAGAAGTTGTTGGATGAGGAGAAGGAGGATGAGGTCGAGGTCGGCGACGAGGAGGAGAGGTTGCTGGGCAGAGATCAGTGGCACGTTGGATCATGATCTTCGGCCCCGGCATTTCCGCTCCTGTTAATTTTGATTAGACATTTCGCTGCTTTAGCTTGGCTGGTGTTCTTGGCGATCGTGTCTTCTCCTTTGGGTTTTCGATGTTGCCATTTTCAGCGCTTCATCTTGGGGGAAGAGTGTGCATGTTTGAGATACCCGCAATATTGTGTAGAATGGAGAGTAAAGAAATACCTAAATGCATGATCCATTCCATGGCTTGATTTGAGCGGCTGTTTGGGCGAGGGTGCAGCGGTTTCAGGCTTCGCGGCTATTGTCAGGACAACGCAAAGAGCAGCAGCGTGACGGAGGCGTCAAATGTTCAGTTTGTACACGATACCTATGGGTCGTCGCTTGATGATCGCCGCTAGGTTGGTCTATTTTCGGAAACTGCATCTTGACGTTCTGGCGCTCCCTGAATATTATTCCCGGCTTCCCCGCATTATTCGAGACCTCACCTCATCAACGTCCGGGTGCGGAATTGCGTTTACAACAACACCATCTGCCGAGACCGTCTACGTTTACTTTATCGCGCACGCTAGGACGTCCTGGGCTCTTGTGGTGGCCTTTCAAAGAAAACGGACCGGAAAGTATGCCCAGCTGGCTGGCGAGAGACATCCGACGGTCGCTTTGTGGAATCCTTCGTGGGACCATCAGTATAAGTGCAATGCGCTTGGAGATGCGCAGGTTGAGTAGCGCTTTGAACTGTCCGTCCTTGTCCGCGGCGCGTCGGTACCGCGATGCGAAACAATGTTGTTGTGTTGCGCTGCCTTGCCGCGTGGTGGCTGCAGACTCGCGTGCGAAATTTGCTACTTACCCGCGTCTCATGGTGGTTTTATTTTATTTTTCGGTAACGTAGTTGCGCTGGTGAGGTGGCTGCGCGTCGCCGTGGTCGGATGTCGTCATGACGTACGCGGTGTGGAGCGAAGTGCGTGGTAGGTGTGAGCACGTGAAGATGTGGTGTGGATGCGGGTGGGTGGTGGGCGCCCGGTCGGTGCAGGATCTTATTGTGGTTGGTCAAGCATGGCTAGAAAGAGCGTGGGAGATTGCAGTGGCTGGCGTGTCCATGGCGTTGGTGGACGAGAAGTGATGGGGCGGTCTGGTGGCGTGGCTGTGCGTGGTCGTGCGGAACAACACCATGATTTTGGTATCGTGAGGAGGCGAGGAGGAGGGCAGATGGGCGAACGATAGTTATGGGGGTGGTTGTGTGGAGCAACACCAAGAGCAAGGGCGGTGATCGCGAAGTGGAGGGTGCCGAAGAGGGCGGGCGCCCGCAGTGGACCAGGGCTGCTTGAAGAGAACCACCAAGGCTGCGACACTGAAACCGCGAGAGGCACGACGAACTAAACACCAGGCTCAACTCCGGCCGCAAGCATGGTGCGTTGCTGCGCGGCTATGGATAGGTAAGCCGCTCCACTGGACTCCGCACAGTGTGACCAGAACTGCATGTTTACTATATATATTAAGAACCCCACGCCTACAGTATGTGCGCCGCTAAGCCGGGAATCGTGGAGACGGACCCGTTCCCCGAAGGGCCGTTCAAGTCGGCTGGTCTAGTGGTTTAGGCTGGTAGCAAAAATCCGATACGTTGAGGGTTTTTCTCACCCGCACGAGCGTAGGTTCAACCCCCCGCTCGCGCGGGGGAGTTTTTGCCCATTTAAATTCTTTTTTGATGCTTTTGAGTCCCCCGTAGCGAGTCGACTACTTGTCCTGTGGTGGTTTGGTGGGCCGGGACACGATCCGTGGTAGACAGACACCGCACGGGGCGGACGGTTCACCACGGCCACCCGCCGTAACAATCTCAGGCATCCGTCCGTCTTCTCAGTCACTCAGAGAGTACTCAGCTCGCTCTGGTATAGCTAAGGAATATAAGCCTACTCGCAAATCATAGAATGGAGCGTCGGTGTTTTCTGTACTTCAGGCAAGCCCCGGGCTACGACAGCCACTCGGAAACTTGACTCCCGCTTTGCCCTCACGGCCAATGGCTTGAATCTCCTCTTGGTTACTGTGCTCGTTGCTGGAAGATCCTGCTCTCACCAACCATGGTCATGGTTCAGGCAAAGACGCCCCTTGGCTTGGCGAAGGCTTCCGCCGGGCTTCACATGCGCGTCACCTCGAAGCCACACCTCACTCGCAACATACAAGAACGCCATTATATAGATTCATCATTATTTTATCTTCATTCCCTGATCCTCTTTGTTGATGGACCCGTCTTTCACCAGAGCATGAGGTCGAGGAAGATGCCGTCGACTCTTGGCGACGCCCATAGGGTCTGACGGTCGCACGCGAGCTTTTCTTTGGTCGTGGTACCTGCGTTCGGCCATATGAAACATGCTACCCAGAGCTAGCTCGCCTGCCCTCGTTATGTCCGACTCCGTCTCCAGACCCTGAGTGTCTGACGGGCATTCCCCCTTATCAGTGCCTACCCATCGCAGGCGAACGTAGCTGTAGAGGCAAATTTCACTCTCATCGTGACCTGGTGGCCCTACGGTGTGAAACAAAACCACTGTGGCATCACCTTACGCTTTAGTGGCCGACCAGCCGGCGCAAGCACGATCAGGGTTTACGACCGCGCGCAACCATGCCTACCGCCGATGACGTATGCGAGCACCTTGCCTCTCTAGTATTGGTCGAGCCTCCGTCGTAAAAAGTATGAGAGGGCTTGTCTGTTTCACATGCTGTGGGCAGGTAGGTGAGCTGGGTTCAAGCGTGGATGTCCTAAAGGTCTTGATGAAGTCCATTGGTCCAGCGGTTAACACGGCCGCCAGCTTCCATCCCAGTCTGCGCGACGCGAGTGCGGAAAGAAATGATCTGCGTTGATCCTTTGCATGGGCAGTCGAAGCAGATATCTAGACGTAGGTAAAGATTAAGAGAGTGAGGGAATGTGCGAGTGTCAACGCAAGGGAGAGAGAGAGATAAGGTTTGATCGTGGCGGTCGGGTTGAACTGTGTTTACTTGAGGTTGCGGTTGCGGTTGCGGTTGCGGGTGTGCGTCGTGGGTTGTGGGTGTGGAGAGAGAGGACGAAAGAGGAAGGACAGTGAGACGCGTCAAGCATGAGAGCGCGCAGACGCGCATTACCTAGCTTACCTAGGCGATCTGGGGTCCGCTGGCCGACGGAAGGTACACGCGCCTACCGCGTTGCCTGAGCTACGGCCCACACCTTCCCTCTGCAACCAAAGCCCCCGCCGGGGGGAATAACCTTCGCAGTTCCTTCACTTGTACTGCTTTCCACCTTTTCCCCTCTTCACAGGTCATTCAAGTCGCATCATGGCGTCTGGCAACGTCACTTCTTGCACATTTCCCGCGATCGCGGCGTGGAAGCCGCTCGGAAAGAGTGGCAAACAGATGCCCATCGAGTATCTTGGAGTCTTCATTCCGAGTGGCGGGCAGGACGGTCGCGCTCTCATGGCGGAGGTAGTGCCGGCCGACAATTCCACGAACACTGCCCCCGCCGTCCGCCTTACCCTCACACCGTCAACCGTGCTCGGTAATTCCATCGGGCAAAACATCAGCGTAATCATCACTGCTGACAGTATCATTACGTTCAACCACCATGAGTCGTCCGTCACGGATGTAGTCCCTGCTACCATCCGAAAACAAGCTAGCAAGCGCCTGAAGGAAGACCTGAAAATGCCGCAAATTAGCACGGAGAAAACCTTGGACAATGTCAGCAGCCTAAGCTTGATTCTCAAAAAGACACCAATCGTTTCCCTCCCCCGGAACAAATTGCTCCTCACTGAAGCTTCGGAGCTATTTCGAGTACAGGCCATGGAGTCGCTCTCGAGTGGTACTTCGATTACGCTATATTTCTTTAGGGACGATGGCGCGACCTCTGCGCTGCTCAACTTCTACATCTCAATGAAGAAAAGTGGCGGTAGCTGCATTGGAGCTGTGCACACTCCTACAACACACCTTACCTTCGAAAAGGCTTCGGATGCCTCATGGAGTCAATACAGCGTCGTTTCAAAGCAAAGCGCCAAGAAGTCAAAGAAAAAGCGAAAGAATCAGAGTGGGGACGGAAATGACGACAGAATCAAGCGGGCCAAGGGAAATGACTCACCAAACAAGCTGGACGTGGTCCCCCAGTTGGAGGCCAGGTCAGAGCCTCGCACTGGTATGCCTGACAGGACTGGCCGTCAGATGCCTGCCGCAGCTGGCAGTACCGCTTCCCTCCTCTCGCCTATGACCTCAATGCACCTCTCTCGCGCTGAGCATGACAAGGAGCGTGAATCTCGCCGTGGAGGACGCTCACACAGTGTTAGCGCTACTTCACGCCGCACGCGCTGCCGTTCGCGCTCCCCAGGCGGTGCCCGCTGGCCTTACGACGATAACTCTGTCCGCAAAGGTTCGGATTCCAAGAATTCCACCTCGCTTTACCACGACGGTAATGCTGGTCGCCTCAGCTACTACTCTCATTCTCGCGATGACTTGGATCGTTCTCTTAGCCCGTACAGTAAACGCGCTGTCCAGCACGGCATCCCTGCTGTTCCCAGCATCATGAAGTTTGGCGCACCGGATCTGCCACAGAGGGTTGTCAGCACTTCGTATATACCTGACAAAACTTTCAACCTTCGCATCGACACCCGTAAAGCCAACGGCGTTATTGATGGTGTCTCCAAAGTTCGTTCCGACCCGCAGTCATCCATTGTACTGGCCCAGAAGCCATTGATAAGCAACTCCCGCGAAGACCAAGACCCGCCACCGACCCCAATTAGCCGTCAACGTCACGAAGAGGCCGACAAATTCCTGGACAGCGTAGCCCAAGCCATGAATACAACTGCGGTGGAAGCTTCTTCCGCTCCTACTGTCGCCGAAGATTCCATAAATCTTGACTACGGTCAGCGTGGTAGCAGTGCTATGCCCACTTCTACCCGCGACCAAACTGCGCGTGCTCTCCCTGCAGCTCCGAGCGTCGCTTGCGAAAGTGCCACTGGCGGAGATCTCGCCAGCGAAAGACAGCACCAAGTCCCGAGCATGGGCTCTACATCCATGGCTCCCGTCCACAGCTCAGATACCCCTACCATGCCCGCTCCTGATCTCGCCATCACCGCTGATCAGGGAACGAACAACCTCGCTCCAGTCGACCTTGTCAAGCGCTGGCGCGTGTACCACGATATGGTACTCACCCACCCCAGCCTGGACATGGACTCAATGGTGGCGGCCCAGCAAGATCTCGCCGCTGGACTGCGCGCCGCCCGCTTGGGCCATGAAGGGTCGTTCAAGGAGAGGATGGCTGATGTGTTCATGCGGGTCCACGGGCCAAGCGATGTGGTTATAAAGGAGGAGGACACTGATAGTGCTGCCGGACCGATCGGTTAACTCTGGAAAGTTCACTTTCTGAAGGTTGAGGTGAGACTCTGCGCGGATCCTTGGGTTTCTGGGATGATGGGGCGTGGGAGACTCTGGGGTCTGCGTTTTATGCAGGTTGTCGGTCATTTGCTAGTGAGGAGGGACAGTCGGAGTATCACTCTTAAAGTCCAAGGCATGCCTGTAGGCACAACTTTGGCGGCTTTAACATTGTTGGAATACCAGCAGAATTGATATCGTACGTGTGTGCGTCATGGGTCGGGCTGTATGACCGATCTGGCGCATGTCATATGCATAGGGAACAGCAATGAGCAGTAGATACACTCAGGTAATCTTAGACTCAATGCAAGCAAAAGGAATTCTTACAAAGAGAAGATCATGTCCAGATTTGCATTTTTAGGAAAGTTGATTGCTTCTCGCGGTGATTGCTTGACGTTATAGTGTCGAAACCGACCATTCCTTTCTTGTCCAAGTTCGGTCCTCACATTCGGTTAGCGCGCGCTCTTGCCCATCCGCTGCCGATGGTGCACGCATTTTCTCATCCACCAATATCCGCATCAAGAGGCTTCTCGCCATTCCATAGAGCTACAAGTGCAATATTAGCTATTTGTTCATCTGCTAAGATGAATAATTGCTACGGCTTTCCAATACATGGAGTATTCCGCCCTACTGCAAATTTTATTGTTTGTAAACATTGCACTGGACGCGAGCAATAGCGGATTCCAGCTTAGTATATTACTCAAGGCTATGTCCATGGACTCCAATACGGGCGCTAATAGTCCTCTATATAAATACCTGCTGGTGAAATATATTCTTAGCGTTTTCCCATGCACCCACTCAGCGGTAATATATTTGATGAAACCAGGGTATGCTCTTTTTCCACCTCGAGAAGTTAGCTACGTTCAGTGCTATATTTCCAGCATAGTTCTAATCATTTCATCACTAATGTGTTCGCTTCTCGGCCTTGTATCCAGCGGCTCCCAGTAGCTAGTCATTTACCATCGGCGTCTACGCTTTCCCTACTGTGCTGGACTCACCCGCCATCAGTAAGCTAGGCAGCAGTTCAGCAACACCGTGTCACGTGGGAGTCCATTTCAGCGCCTAAAAAACGTACCGACGATTGCCTAAGGCATATGTAAGCACCCAACGGCAGCGGGTGCGTTAAAATTTTCTACACGCTTCCATTCAACTCTTTCTCTTCATCCTCTAACCTCTTTTCTCAGCGCTGCCGCTCCCGGTTCAGCTTCAACCAGAGCTCAACACTTCTTCTGTGGCTCTGGTCGCGCGCCAGTATCCAGATCAGTTCTTCTACTTCGAGTAAGTCATCCTTGCGCTCCCTCACAAGCCCGATCGCCATCGGACCATGCGATCGCATTCTCAGCCAACTAACTCTCCAGATCTTTCAGCCGCGGCGGGCCTTCTAACATCAACAACCACGATATCGCCACGCGCCGGCACCCTCCCCAAGCCATATTCTCGAACAGCTTCGAGGAGCTTTCCGCCCACCATGCAGTCCCACAACGACCCCACGAGCCCCGACTCGCCGTGGCGTCCCCTCAACTCGCAACAGTCGATTCGTTCAAACCTGGCCTTTGTGCGCGCCAAACGCTTCGAAATGGACATCACCAAACGCCACGCGCGGGACCGCCGCGCCGCCCTCGCCGCCGACCTCGAATGCACCGCCCCCTGCATCGTCGAGTACCACCCACCGGACTCCGAGTCTGACGACACCAACGACAAACAGCCTTCCTTCCTCGGCTGGTTCCCGCTTCCCCGCACCAGCGAGAACAAAGACGACGAAGACGACGACTGCCTCCAATTCCGCATCGGCCTCGACCTGCCGGCGCGCCGCCGCCGCCACCACCGCCCAGGCGACGACTGGTCCGACTCGGACGACCTGGACCCATCCTCGGACTCGGACTCGGACGGCTGGGACGACGCGGACGTCGACGACGACCTCGACAACGCCAAATGCCCGGCGCCGCTGCTCTGGCTGCGCTTCCCGCTGCGCACCCTCGCGCCGCCCGCCGGCCTGCCCGCCGCCGCCGCCGCCGCCGCCCGCGCCGAGCTCGTCCACCTCGCCATGCCCGCCCACCTCTTCCTGCCGAGGAGCGGCAGTAACCTGTCCTCCAGTCACCACCACCCGCACGCGGTCGCCCCCACCCCCATCCTAAAACTGACCCGCTACATCACCAACCCCAAGCAGCCCCAGTTCCAACTCCCATCCTACGTCATCGCCGCCGCCCAACGCGCCAACATCCCTCTCCGATTCCTCTGCGCCATCGACATCGCCCTCCACCCCTCCCGCACAACAGGCGCGCTGCCCTTCCTCCCCGCGCGGTGGATGCGCTTGGCCTCGGCGGTGGAAAACGTGTTGCGTGCGGAGCTGGAGGATGTGGCGAGGGGGATGAGTGGAAGTACTGGGACTGGCTCGGTACGGGTATATACGGTGTGGAGTGAGCAGCTGGAGGGGGCGGTGGGGAGGGTGGCGGGGATGTTGGGCGTGGGGAACGGTGTAAATGGGATTGGGAGGGAGATGGGCCGGCCGATGGAGGGGGCGGTGGTGAGGAAGAGGGTGGGGAGGGCGAAGGGGATGGTTGTGCGGGCTTGGGGGGAGGGGATGCAGGAGGGGGAGCGGTGGAAGGAGGGGAAGCGGCGGCAGATGCTGCGCCGTGTGCCGGTGCCGGTCGCGGTGGGGCAGGCGGGGTGGGGGAACTTTGTGGAGTGGACGCCTAGGACGAGCGGTGGGGTGGTGGGGAAGGAGGTGTGTGGGCATATGCTGAGTTCGACTGTGGAGAGGCTGGGGCTGGTTCTGGTTGAGGGGTCTGAGAGTGATGATGATGAGAGTGATGATGGTGAGGCGATGGCGGTGGTGGTGGAAGAGAATCCGAAGAAGAGGAAGGTCGGTCATGGGAAGGGAGTCGAGAGGGCTTCGGTCAAGGCGATTAAGGGCGGCAAGGCTGCCGAGAAGGCTAAGAACGGCAAGGCTTAGGCAAAGACGAGGGAGGACTCAGCTGGTTTGTTCGAAATGGTCGAGCGCAGCAAAGCGTGAGAGCAAAGCGTGAGAAAAGGACCGTGGAAGCAGGGCTCTGAGAAATTATTGCAGAGCTTTGCATACTAATTGCAAGGCCACGAACAAAAGAAAGGGCAACACAGAGGATTCGGTGTTGATTATCAAACAGCAGCCCTGGGTAGGATTGGCTGCGGTCCAAAGCTCGGGCTGATAGGCATAACCTCTGAGCAGACTTTGCTATTGCTTAACCTTCCAAGATGGAAGATGTATCACTGAATGTAGTTCTTTCCTTTCCAATAGCCGAAGAATACAAGACCATTCCAGCATCCTGTTGCCCGCGAAGAGCAAGTACCATGCTCAGCTCATGTCTTATCCAACAAAACCCACTGAGCCATCCAAACCCATTCGCTTCTGTCCACAGCCTCCACCATACCCCCCTTCCTACTAGTCAGTAGTAAGCACTCAGTTCATCCACCCCTGCACCACCGCCAACACCTCCCCCGCCGTCAACGCGTCCACGATCCTCGTCAGGCACTCCTCGATCTCGGCAAGCATCTCCCCCCTGCACTCGACCGCCACCGCCCGGGCGCCGGCGCCGCCGCCGCCGTTGTTCCGCTGCGCCCGCCGCCACTTGCGCATCGCGGCGTCGAAGCGCCGCTTGAACTCGGGATAGCCCTCGCACGTCTCGCGCGGCTCGAGCGGGCAGTGCCGGCTGCCGTCCGACTCGTAGCGGTCCTCGCGGATGATCAGCGCGGCTTCGCCCATGGTGCGGATGAAGAAGGCGGTGCGGGTTTCGGTCGGGGCGGTGGTGTCCGTGGTGGTGCCCGTGGTGGTGCCCGTGGCGGTGCCCGTGGTGGGGGGCTGGTTGTCTGCGACGACGGGCTGGGTGGCCGGCTGGGCGGGCTGGACAGTAGGCTGGACAGTAGGCTGGGCAGGCTGGACGGCAGGCTGGGAGGCGCTAGAGTGAGGCTGCTCGTGAGCGGACTGAGCGGACTGAGCGGGCTGAGCAGGCTGATCCGACTGAGCGGGCTGATCCGACTGAGCGGGCTGATCCGACTGAACGGGCTGATCAGACTGAACGGGTGTGGCAGGACCGGGGCCGGGGTCTTGGAGGTTGTTGGCTGGCTTGGGCTGCTGCTGCTGTTGCGGCTGCTGCTCTTGATGCTGCTCTTGAACCTCGTCCTGCTGCTGAGAACCGTCGCCAGCGTCGTCGTTGTCACCGCTATCCTCGTCCGTAACAGCAAGGTAATGGGCATTGCCGGACACGGTCGGATCTGGCACTGCGGTCGATGGTTATCTCGCTCTCACAAACACACGACACAAGCACGGCTTACCAAGATCGCCTGGGCCCAGGTCCTTGTACTCCCAGTTGGTGTTGATGAAGCCCGGGGCGTACTCGTTATTGTACGATCCCAACGGCAAGCTTGGAGTGACATTGCGCGTCGAGCGCGGCAGCGAATCAGCGGGGGCGGATGAGGAGGTCGAAGCGTTACGCATCTCGGGTTCCACTGAAGCGAATGGGTTGGTGAGCGGGACGGCGGTCTGCGGACGGGATGGACATGTGGGAGTAGTGCAGAGGAAGTTTTGGGGCCGAAGGCTTACTGCTGATGAGGAGCTGAACGATGCTCTCGTAGGTGCCGGGCGTCTTGCGAATCATGCCGCGGATCACGGCGATGAACTGCGCGGCGGGTTAGTCGCACGTAGATGGGCGGATGTGATGGAGTTGTCAAACTTACGGCGCTGCCGGGGCCAGTGGCCCTCATCTGCTCATCTGTAAGGTCCGGAGGCAAGGCTTGATGCTCCTCAAGGAGCGCGCGTTGCTGGGCGTTCATGGCGCGTGTACGGCGATACCGTTAGAAACTTTGGAGAAGTTTCGGATGAAGGTGGCGGGCGACGAGAAGCGAGCGTCGCGGGGTTGGTGGAGGTTTGTTTTGATGTACGCCGCGGCGGGCCGGAAGAAGCGCGTCGATGCTGCCGGAAGCCAGCAACGCGTGCGGTCAGACTATCCATCCTATGTGCAGAAACTACACTACTGCTTCACACAGGGGATCACGACCTCTGACTGCCAAGTAATAGAAGGAAATGCATTATAGTAGCCGTAATAGTTCAGCTCGTGCAACTGTATCCAGACTAGAAGTTATCCCGCCCCACTACTCCTGCTCATCCTTAGGCTTGACAACGTATTGGTACTCATCGTCGTCGGCGTCGTCATCCTAGTCCGTCATCAGTCGTACATGTCATTTAAACCCGGCCCTAGTTTCACTCACCAGAGCTTGCAGGTATGCTTGACCAGAACACTCTCCCACCATAGCGCTCTTGCCCTTCGAGACCGAAGTCAAAGGCGCTTTGCGCACGATGCGCTTCCAGCGCTGGTGCTCGCAGGTCGACTCAGCCGTGAGTGACCAGGCCTTGCACAAGTCGAACTTGCAGTAACCTTCTGGGTCGTTCGCGTCACCTACATCAATCGTAAGCTAGAAACCAATGATAGTAGCGGAACGAAAGATACTGACACTTGACTTCCTTCGTATATTTGTAGATCGGCGTCCTTGCCTCCGCGGGTTCCTTAGGCAGACACACTTCGATGGATGAATATGAGTTAGTCGAAAATGCTTTACTTTTGGAAGTCGAAGTTACTCACTCTTGTTCTTCTTCATCTCTACGGTGTCGAATATGAAGGACCTGAGATCACCCTGCACACCGCGCTTCTTGTGTTGATTAGGAAGTATAGGAATGCTAGTGTCGTCCTTGACTGAAGCCGGCATGCTAGAAAGAGCAAGTTGGGTGGAGGGCGATGCGCGGAAGCTCATCTGCGGGACAGTCTTCTGCTTGGGGACGGTGCTCTGCTTGGAGACGATGTTCTGCATAAGCATGGTACTCTGTTTGGAACCCGCGATCGTCTTGGATACGGCCGTCTTCTTTGTACTGGCGTTATCTGCGGGACCGCCATGATTGGCGTGCGGGTCCACTACAAGATGTGAAAGTAAGTGGACTTTCCCTCACGATGTGGAGAACACGGCCGACCTACCTTTCCTGACGAGCTCTCCGGTAGCGTCGTAGGATCCCGGCCAGTCAGCGGCAATCACCTCCAGGAGTCCTTCATACTGAGAGGAGGATGCGGAGTTAGCGACGCGTGCAAATGGGATGGTTATCGACATCGTTAGAGTAGGAGCATGCTTACAAGCTCGAAGACAGCCTGCTTTCCTTTGCTTCTAACCTTCTTGAGCAGGCGGCGATCATGGGCATCCATCGTGGCGGTCGTTGCGAATGGCGCTGGAGGAGGGGCGTGTTGTTGTGGGTTAGGAGATATAGACGCGTACGCGCCTGCGTGATACGCGTGACGGAACCAACACAGTACTCGGCGGATGAAGGCTCCACGGCCAAACAAACGTCAGACTCAGCGTCGAATCACGTTTGCGGAGAACCGAGAAAACTTGGTAGATGTCCGTATCCTGCTTTGAATCCTTCTCATGGCCATTGGCGCGTTGTTTCAGGAGTTCAACAATCAGTTCAAACCACTGTCGTGGATACACAGCCCATAAAATGACCAGCATTGAAGATCCATTCAACTGTCTCTGAAGCTGTCTAACCTATGACTGTTTCTTTGTGGCCAAACCAACGAGGCTTACACCACGGATATCTTCTCAATGTGAGGACCCAACCTGTCCCAAACTACACCCTCCGATTTTCTACTCAATCGAAACGTGTTGAAGAGTCCAGTATGAGCCTGGCGACCATCACCGGTCGGCCTCCGTCAGCCAGCCATACTCGCCAACCTTGCAACCAACCACGACTCGTGATCAAACAAAGTCGGCCTCGTCATCATCATCATCATCATCTTCCTCATCGCTGTCCACATCTGCATCGTACTCGCTGAGGTCGCTGTCATCGTCGCTCGGCTCGCTCGGCTCGGCCTTGATCTCAAAGCTGCCCTCGCTGCTGCCGCCGTCCTCGGAGTCCTCATGGTCCCGCACAACGAAGGCCCTGTCGTAGTTTTCCGGGACACCCACCCACTCGTTTTCAAATGGATCGCGGTCAACCGTAATGGCGCGCCACATGATGCGACGCCTCTGGCGCCTATTCTCCCTATTCAGCCAATCCTCGCACTCCTCACGAACAGCCTTCGCATCGACCATCAGCTCCTTGACCGAGTTGGCCTTCTCCTTGTCCTTGTTGACTGCGCGCCTCTCCAAGACCTGCTGGACGGGCGAGAGCGCTTCGTACGCAGCGCGCGCGCGGGCGTCGTCGACGTAGATCGTGTGGGGGCAGATGGCGCCGGGGTGCTCCAAGTGGCAGCGACAGATCGTTCCGGCAGGCGAGACTGTTGGTCAGTGGGGGCAAGACAGGTTAGTCGTACTTTGGAAGCGCGCGAGTGAGACACTGACTGGCGACGACACCGCCGGAGGGCTTCTGGGCAATGGCCATGCGCTTGTAGGGCTTGGCGGCTTGCGGGCTTTCGGCGTCTGCTGTTCGAGTGTCAGTGGTTGTCTCACTTGAGGTGCTCGCCGATAGTGAAGCACTTACACTCTGCGGCCCTCTTCAGGGACGGACGCTCGAGGAGCATGAGATCGGGGTGGTGCGGGACGGATCTCTTCTTGGACGGGGTCTCGAACAGAGGGAAGTCCGGGGCCTTCCTCTTCCTCGGAGCGGAGGGTTCGATCGGGACAAGTTGCTGGTGCGGCGGAGTTTTGGGCAGCTCACGTTGACCCCAGCTAGAGCTCGAGCCCTGTGACAACGATGAGCCAGCGGATGCAGTTTGCGCGATCTGAAGGGGTGAAGCTCACAGAGCGGAACGGGTCGTGATGCTGTTCACTGTCCTCATCGAAGCGATTGCCATGTTGACGCTGCATGGTGGGCAGCTTGACGCGTGACGGCTATGGTTGGCTGGTCGATGGTGAAGTGAGAAGGAAGTCTGACGTTGAGCGAGAGGGGCGCCAAATATATGAGCGTCGGCACTTGGAAGCAGACCAGACTCGGCAGCTGATCATATGGCTGGTCGCTCACGTGATGCGATATCATGCTTGAGGCGGCGCCTCTCACTCCGTGTCAAGCTCTGTCGGGTAAACATGCCTCGTATCAAAGTGACGTACAGAGAAGGTACTGTTCTTGGCAAGAACGAAGGGCTATATGGTGATTGAGGCCGGGAAAAGACAATTCGCGGATGGACTCAAGAGAGTAGCACGTCCTCGTAAGTAGTTGGAGGCCCGGCTGTGATTCAGACAGAAGCTCAAGTAGGGAAGGTTGATTTGAGCATCAGTATCTCACACCCATCCCATCACGGACATATACACACAAGAAGCTGATCAAGTAGCTTTCTCATTCAGAAACCACGGAGCCAATGCGTATTTTCCCTGAGAGAACACAGCATGGCGATAAGATTCATCCAGTAAGATATTTGAATACTCCATAGGTGATGCCCCGCGATTCAATCCGAACGCAGAATTAAGTGTATCGAACCCTTGAGCCTCACCGCCGAACACCATCCGTTAACGAATGCAAAGACTTGACAGTGAGTGAACTCACGTACCCTCCTCGACGAGCTTTTTGAGGCGGCCGTAGAAATCTTGGAGTTCGAAAGGCAGCTGTGGGAGATGAAATGTCAGATCGAAAGTGTAGATATTCGTCACCCAAAATGGCGTGTGTCAAGATCTAAATCGATTGCGATTGACCGGGTATATCTACACTCTACAACATCTGCCCCATCCCTGCCATCTACCTCTACGACATCTACCTCACCCCTGCCATCTACGCCGCCCGCCCGCCACTCAATCCCTCCACGACCCAATCCAGCCTCACGGCGCTCACACCGCGCGCATAGCTCCGATTCGTAAACACAAACTCGGAAAACACAATCGCCTCGACCTTCTTCCCGAACAGCACGCTGCTCGGATGAATCTGCACCGTCTGGTTGCCGACCATGGTGCGATAACTGCCATCGGGCATCAACCGCGCCGTGTTGGGCGCAAAGCCCCTCAACAGCGACAACAACACGTCCGTCGCCACCGCCTCTGTGACAGCCTCCCCCCCAGCCGCCTCGGCGACGGCGTGGGCCGCGGGATCGAACAGGCCGAGCCGGGCGCACAGCGCGCGCAGCTGTTTGCGGACGTCCATGACGTTCTGCATGGCGCGGTGCGAGACGAAGCGGCGGTCGCACCAGGCCCTGCGGTCGGCGCGTTCGGCGGCGAACGCGCGCACCGCCGCGAGCAGCGTGAGGTGGTCGCCCTCGCGGCGGACGAGCTCGCGGCGCGCGAGCTCCGCCTGCTCGCGCCGCTCCTCGGTCGCGACGGCGAGGAACACCGTCTCGACGCTGAGCGCGGCGACGACGTCGATGGCGTGCGCGACGACGCGGCCGCGCGCCTCGGACGCGGCCTCGACGATGCAGCGGCCCAGCGTGGGCGGGAGCGGGAGCTGGGCGATTTGCTGGCCGACGGGGCTGATGTCGCCCGTGTCGGTGAGGGCGCCGAGCTGGAAGAGGAGGAGGAGGGCCTTTTCGAGAGCTTCGCGGGGCGGGGGGTCGAGGAAGGGGAAGTTGAGGACGTCGTCGACGCCGCGGGCTTTCATTGTGAGCAGGGCTGCGCTCAGGTCGCAGCGGAGGATTTCGGGCGTGGTGTCCTTTTGGAGAGTGAGGTAGTCTTTTTCGGTGTAGAGGCGGTAGCAGTTGCCTGCAGCCTCACGGCCGGCACGGCCCTTGCGTTGGATGGATGCGGACTGCGAGATTGGTTTGACGAGGAGAGAGTCGAGGTTGAGTTGCGGTCTGAATTGCTTGATCTTGGACTTTCCACAATCAATGACGTGACGTACGCCAGGGACGGTGACTGAAGTCTCAGCAATGTTGGTGCTCAGAATGACTTTCCGTGTTCCCCGGGGAGCCGGCTGAAAGACGCGTTGCTGGAGATTTTGAGGGAGTGCTGCAAAAAGAGGGAGAGTAAGGATCTTGGGCAGCTCAGGCCCTAAACCGGCTGCGTATTCGTTGACCAACTTCTCAAGAGCTTCAACAGTGTCTTGGCCCGTCAAAAACACCAAAATGTCTCCTGGGAGTGGCTCCTTGTGGTGCACCTGGAATATAGTCTTGAGCGCAGCCTCGACGAAGTCCTGGGTGGGGCTTGGCAGGTAGTTGACCTTGACCGGGAACATGCGTCCTTCGATGTAGCATGCCGATATCGAGTCATGGTGCTTGGTTACTGCCTCGGAACCTTTGGTGCCATTAACAGTTGCTTCAGCAGACCTTTGCGGTAGTGCGCCCTGTTTATCCTTCTTCTTCCCATCTTTCGACGGCTTGGGAGCCGTCGTGCCATTGGCCTCGATGGTCCTGTCCGGTAATGTCACGGTGGTCTTCCCTTCTGCCTCGTTAAATCCTTCGTCAAAGAATCTAAGCAGTCTTTGGGTATCAGCCGTGGCACTCATAACGACGACCTTCAGCCTCCGTCCGTTCCTATGTTTGTTCCAGTCCCCGCAGACGATCCTCCTCAGAAAGCCCAGCACCAGATCCACGTTGACGCTCCGCTCGTGGACTTCATCCACAACAACGGATCCATAAGCCTTCAACCACGGGTCGCGAAGCAGCTCCTGCAACAGCATACCCTCGGTCAAGAACTTGACCCGCGTACTCGGCGACGTCGACACGTCAAAACGCACGCTGTACCCGACCCTGCTCGCGGGCGACGACGCGCCCAGCGGCGTGCCCATCTCGTCGGCGACGCGGCGCGCCAGCGAGATGGCGGCGACCCGGCGCGGCTGGGTGATGGCGATCATGGCCTTGTCGCCGAGCCAGGGCTCGGCGAGCAGGAACTGCGGCACCTGCGTCGACTTGCCCGAGCCCGTCTCGCCGACCAGGATCAACACGTCCCTGGCGTCGCGCAGCGACGCCCGGATTTCGTCTTGGTGCGCCCAGATGGGGAGGGACTTGCGCACGGGGAGCAGCTGGTCGCGCTTCTTCGCCAGCGGCCCGGATGAGCGCTTGTCGCCGCTGCTGCTGCCGTGCGGGCCTTCGCGAACATGTTTCTTGTGGTTGTGGGGAGAGGCGGTGTGCTCGTGCTTTGCGGGTTTCTTCGAGTCTTGGGAGGGTCTTGGGCCGTTTGTGGATGGTTTTTCGTCGCGGTCGCGCTTGCGCTTTTTGCTGGGGTTGAGGCACTCCTTGTCGTGCTTGATCGATGTATTGGAGGGTTTCAAGGTGTTTCCGGCGCCCCCGAGGGTGGTGCGCACGCGTTCGGACATCTTGTGGTGGAATTTGTCGGAGGTGAAGCTGCGGAGGTGAGGCGTGAAGGCCGCACCAAAAATTTCGACAGGGATCACGATTAGATTAGATCGGACCATCTCCGTCCAGCTCCCGACACTCCATCCCGCCGGTTCTACCTTGGGTGCACAGCCAATACAATACAGCAAATTCAATTTTCGTATTCCTGGCTGCTAGTTGCAGACTAAACTGCTTTTGCATGGAAATTTTGAGTTGTCATAGTAGACTTCTGTGATTTCATCAAGTGTTCAGAGGCATACCAGCGATACGGAAAGATATGGCGTATGGGGAATCCAGTTAATTGCTGGTATGTAATTCTGTCGAGAGTCGAGCAGGCGACAGATATATGAGAGAGCATGAAAACCTTCCCAAGATACATCAACATTGAAATGCTAGGAGAGCGCATAAAGCTTGGCATGGTGCTATTTTGTCTTTCATTCCTATCGAATCACGTTTTTCCCATATTGAACCAGTCGTTAATCAAGTCGGATGAATTGATCTTGTAATTTTAAAACGGTATGAGACCAGCAGTGAGCTCCAGCATTTAACACGCGGTCCCCCCACTGGCAAACGCCTTCAGATACCGCGCCCACAGCGTCGCATCCGGCCAAACCTGATAGTCGGCATCGTCGGTGAACCACAGCGTCCTCACGCCGGTGTTCCCCTTCAGCTCATCGACAAGGGCGCCGACATCGGCGCACGCCGTCGCCTTGGGCACGCCGTGCAGCATCACGGCCAGCTTCGCGTCGTCGACGTTCAGCGCCCAGATGGCCGCGTCCACCGTGTCCTCGTTCGCCACCCACGTCGCGTACGCCTCCTCGTACACGAGCGAGAGATCGGGCACGATGGTGGTGTCGGTCGCGTTGTAGAGGTACGACCGGGCGGGCGGGTAGCCCGGGTTGGTGACGACGTAGGGGGTCGCGGAGAGGCCGGTGGAGGCGAAGGAGCGGGTGTATTTGGTGGCGGATTGCATGTAGGTTATCTTTGCGGTGGCGGCGTCGCTGGGGGCCTCGTCGAAGAAGATGCCATCTACCGAGAGGGCGGTGTTTTTGGAGGTTGCAGGCCAGCTGCGTGTGGAGGGGCCCCCGTGTTAGTCGGTTGTGCAGTTGGCGGTTTGTTCAGACTTACCTTGCGTATTTGGCGACTTCGGCCTTGACGGTGGGTAGCGCTTTGTTGGTGTAGTTCACAGCGACGTAGCCGACCAGGCGGACATTTTTGTAGGTCCGCAGCTTGAGGATCTCGCGTTGATAGTTCGCATCGGGGAGCGTTGCGGCGCCGGGGCCGCTCTCGGGGTTGACGATGACGTTGAACTTGACGTTGGGGTAGTTTTTGATTCTGTTGGTGGGGGTATGAGGGTTAGCTTTCGTGACCGAGGTAGCATGTTGCGGATGCTCACTGGGTGTAAAGAGGCTGCCAGGTAGTTGCAGTCTCCGGGTAGATGTAGGCCGGGACGAGCGCGGCGGCGGCAACATTCACCTGGGCGTTGACCAGCTGTGCGCCCAAAGCGAGCAGGCAGAGTGCGCGTTTCAACATGGCTACGGATGGGCCAAACGAATAATTGGCGAGCGAGGGGCTGTGGTTGACAATGACTACCAGTGTCGCTATGCGACTATATATACCTCCAGGCCTTCATATGCCGGAGGAGCCGTACCTTGTATTTGAGATCCATTGTTATGGCGTTCTAGCCAGCTTCTAGTCCCCTAGCCGAGCCGTGCAACCCAGGTATACGAGCTGAGAGTCCCTGGAACAAATGGAAACGGTTAGGCCATCCACCGCTGTTTGTTGGTGTGGGGGCTGAATCGACCAGCCTCGTCCCAGCACCTTACCAAATGCGGCAGTTCGGCTTTGAAATGCGGGGCTCTCGCCCGCTGCTAAAAACTCGTCTCCGTGGAGAAGTCATCTCAAGACACAACCATCACCAAAGGTTCATCATGCCACCAACACATGCTTTTTGATCCCTCTACCAGCCATGTTTCGTCCTTCATACAACGTCAAACATCCATTGATGGCGTACCGGGCGCACCACATGACTAATGGCAGCAGTGGCGAGAGATCGTCATGCAATAAGGATGATATTAATGGCTTGAGCCCAGATGTCCCGATCCCGGGTTTCGCCGTTGTTCGTTGCGATCATGATGTCAGAAGCCACTAGTTAAAGCTCATCAAGCTGCGGGCCGACCCAGACGCATCCAAGATCGATTGCGGGGCTGAATTTGCATCTCCGCCTGTGGCTTGGGCCGTTCAAGATGTGATATGCTCTGCACTGCGACGTGGTACATTCAAATTCCCTGGGGCGATTTCGCAATGCTATTGCAGAATTGGCGTTGCACCGGTATCGCTATGCCTAGAATGAATTGCTCCAGAAGTCGAGGTGGAACACAAGAGGCTGGACGTCGTACTAAGAGGGCTTGCTTTTGAGAAGGTGTCTCATTTTCACCGACGAACAGATCTCGTTCGACTTACAGCTTCCAACGAGGGCCCCGAGTCGCGGCCATTGTTGGATACTCCCCGATCAGAACACTGGCACTATCTCTACCATCTACGCGGCCTCCAGCAGTTCCTTCAAAGCTGCTTTCGTAGCCTCAGCATCCCTCAAAAACTGCCGCATCATGTCCGTCATCTTATCATGCGCCGCATGATCATTGAAAAGATCCATCCTGAACGCCGCCTCATCGTTGGCGTACGACTTGTCCTCCACCGACCCATCCACCTTCGCAACTGTCAAACGATGTCAGCTCAGCCCAACAACAAACCAAACGCACCCGAGCACTACTCACCCTTCTCCCTCACCAACACCGGCTTCATCTCCACCTCCGCCTCCTTCAACTCCTGCAACAACCCCACATTCATCGTCATCAGATCCAACCCGCACAGCTCCCTACACTCCTCCACACTCCGCATGCTCGCCCCCATCACCTCCGTCTCCACCCCGCGCGCCCTATACCACTCCCACAACCGCCTACACATCACGACCCCAGGATCCTTCGCACCCGAGTAATCCACCCCCGGCCTCTTCGCATGCCACCAATCGAGCGTGCGCCCCACAAACGGCGACACCAGCGTCGCGCGCACCTCGGCCGCGCGCACGCCCTGCGGATGCAATCCAAACACGAGCGTCACGTTGCAGGCGATGCCCTCGCGCTCGAGCGCCTCGCACGCCGCGAACCCCTCCCACGTCCCCGGCACCTTGACCAGCACCCGCGCGCGCCCCACGCCGCGCGCCTCGTACGCGGCGATCAGGCGCCGCGCGTAGGCGATGGTCGCGGCGGCGGAGAAGGCGTGGGCGGGGTCGACTTCGGTCGAGACGCGGCCGGGGACGTGCGCGAGGATCTCGCAGCCGAAGGAGACGAGGAGGTGGAGGAGGGCGGCGTCGATTTGCGCGGGGGTGGCGGAGGAGGGTGAAGAGGACGGCGAGGGGTGGGCGGCGCGGGCGTGGGCGACGGCGGCGCGGAGGAGGTGCGCGGATTGCGGGAGGCGGAGGGCGGTGAGGATGTGCGAGGGGTTGGTTGTGGCGTCGGTGGAGGCGTAGGCGGAGAGGGCGGCGAAGTCGCCCGTGTCGGCGACGATGGTGGTGTGGGCGCGGAGTTGGTCGAGGGAGGACGTGGGGGGCATGGTGGGTGTTGGTGGGGGTGGTGTAGGCTTTGTCTATTTTTTTTTTTGGTGACGACTTATGAGGGAAATATCCTGTGTTTTGTTAGTGTGCCTTGACAGGCTGGCATCGTTCTTTATGTAGGGGCAAGCTCCCAGTAGGTATTGCTGTTGCGTGATCCCTTTCCGGGGCCGGAGGGCCGGTGGATGTCGTGGCCGGGCGTCTCCGGCGCCGGAAAAGCCGGTCGATGTCGTGACGGAGACTGAACCTTTACAAAAAAAAATCAGAACCTGACCCCGCATATGCCTCAGACTCTCTTTTCCAACTCCCATTGCCGCAACCACAGTTGGTGATAAAAAGAAATTGACCTACGGCGATCCTTGGTGTGGGCAATTGAAGCAAGTACACCGACATAGATGTAAGTATGAACGGCCTTGCTTCATCAGTAGCCGAGGCCGATATCCGGAGGGAGGTGCGAGTATTAAAGCAATACGAATGCATCCAGATATAGGATTCCGCGGCCCGTGTAGGTGGGTCAATGTCTTTCATCACCCACCGTGCAACCGAGTCTGAGCCGGACGCCTCTCCGGCCAGAACTTTCAAGGCGTGTCGACATTGCCGCCGGCTAAAGATGCGCTGCGAGGGGAATCGAGTTCCGCCCTGCCAGAGATGTGCATCTTCCGGTATTGAATGCCATTACGATGTGGTTGAATCCTCCAAGAAACGTAAGCGTGTCGAGGGAGACGATCTGCGAGAGGAGATCCGGACGCTGCAGCGTCACGTTTCTTCGCTGAGTGAAGCATGTAGCAGGCCTACTGCATCGATAGCGGTAGACACGTATGCTGCAGATATACCCGAACAACTGGTCTTTGAGTCAAATTCGAGGGAAGAGAGCGACTTGTCCCCAGAGCAGCTTAGTGCTCCAGTCAGTGCTGTGCATGACTTGGCCCCAGCATGCACTCCAACGGCCCCGTCAAGGAATGCCCATTCGCTTCTTTCAAGTACAAAACCATCCGAGTCTTCAGGTTTCGGCCAGTCTACAGACGTGGTCACGAGATTCTCGATAAACGAAGATCAAGCTCGTCGGCTTTTCAACATGTCCGTAACCGATTCCCGCCTCAGGCCCGTATGAACTTCCTGGTTTTAACAAACGATAGATACATGATCGGAAGCAATCCCTACCTCCCTCTCTTTGAACCGACTTTGGATACATTCGATAAGATTCGCCAGTCTTCGTCTCTCCTCCTTGCGTCCATCCTCTCGGTTGCGAGCAGGACTGAGGATGGGATGGAGCATCTATCTGGACTTTTCCGTGAAGAAGCAAACAGGCTGGCAGGAGAAAGTCTTTTTGACAATGTGGCCAGGCCCGAAACTGCCCAGGCTTTGCTAATCCTTGCTGCGTGGTCGGAAAAATCTTGGTTCGCTTTAAGCCATGCCGTCAATGTGGCTTTGGACCTCGGCATCGACAGTTCCTTGAGCACATTGACTGCAGAAGCAAGCTTGCCGATCAAAAGTCTGATCAAACTGGGTCGAGAGACGCGCACCTGGCTGATAATCTACCATTTGGAACGCGAGATCGCATTCGGCACCGCTCGGAAATCTCGTGTGGCTCGAGTCGAGGAAGATGGGCTTCGAGCATTCCGTCATCACGCTTGTTCGCGCCATTTGGATGTTCGTTTCCTGTCCATTATTGACCTCGTGCAGCTACGAGGTAAGTGTGTGAACCCAACACGTATGCTGTTTGCTCACGTATCCGCAGAGAAGTGGCAGACAATCATTGAAGGTTATACGAATATTGCAGCTGACGCCATGGATCTCGTGCGGGATGCAAAAGAATCCTTCCATGCCTGGGAGATGAACTGGGACCAGCAACATGACGGTGAGGATCCGAACTTCCATGAAGCACCGGATGGTTACCCAACGTATCTGACATGTGGCGCAGATCGCGAGTACGACATGGCTTCATTCCAACGAGTCAGCTTGACTGTTCAAAGAAACTATGCAACAATCCTTGTCTACTGTGAAATCCTCAGCGAACTGCAAAGACAGAAGTCTGGAGGCAGTCGTGTCGTCTTGGATGCGTTCCACCAACTGAGCCGAGAGACACTGATATCGGCGACTGATCATCTTCAATTCATCACGAGCACAAGTTCATTTAAATGGCAGTTGAAGTTCTCGCCAACATACTCTGCACTGACCATCGCTTTTTCAGGTGAGTCCTATGAACCGCCAGCCGTAAAAAGTAGTTACTAAGAGATTCTGCAGCGGCTCTGGCGCTCACCCTCGCGAAGACACACCCCACTATCTCACACGAACGGTCTCTCGTCGCCATTATCCAGGAAATATCAAGTATACTCGCCGAGTACCCGAATCAGAAGTTTCATCGGCTGGTCGAATCCTTTCTGAAAAGAACGTCAGTGAGAAGCACATCCTCTCGACCCCAGCCTGAGCAGAAAACCGCCACCACAACGACGCAGGGCCCAAATCCAACGCAGTCGACATCGACGCATAGGAGGCACGTCGATGATTTCTCCCAAACTACTGATACCACCTCCCTCAACCTCCACAGCGGTCAGAATCCAGGGTGTGCGCCTACCATCAGCGCGTTCGCCAACACCGCCAGTCTGTTCAGCCCGCCGGACATGACTTTTCCGCACGATAAAGAGTTGGAAGCGATCCTTGGCCTACCTGCTGAGAGCTGGTTTCTCGACCCGTTCTCGCTAGAAGGATTCAGTTTTGATGGTGGGGCCTGAGGTCGGGAATGGTGCAACCCGATGAGAAACAGCGGGCAAGCTGCGCCCCATAGGCCATGAGCGTATAGACGTATTTCAGCTTTTTGCAGCGTTTTTTTTTTTTTTCGTACGGAGGCCGGGGATGTTGCTCGGAGTAGTCGGAAATCTACCCTTGGTGATATGGCACTGGGCACTACGACCAAGTAAAGCGAGATCAATACAGTATATAAAGCAACCGCAGTATTTGAAAATGACCTCTACTCGTTCATCGCAAATACACCCCTTGAATCGTTGAGAAAAGGAACAAGTCGCTGGCTCCTGTTTGGCCTCGGTGGCTCACGAGTGGTGAGGTCTGTGAACCTGCAAAATCGCCACAGTGGATGTCGCTGGGTAGCTGTGTGGCAGTTGTAAGCTTGGACATTTGCTCTGGTATTGCAAGGTGTCAGCATGGGTTGTGTGATGGTCGCTTTCGCTGTCCACCAATCCCTTCCTCGGCAACAGCCTGCTCATGTTGGCGCGTTCTGGGGTTCATTCTAATGCTGAGCAGTTGAATATAATGGCTACAATCTGCCCTTTTCCCATAACACCTCCATCTACTGTTTCAAACAGTTCATCTTCTTCGATGGTCTAGTGGTGATGATTTCCGCTTGTCAGCAATCCCTGTTACTGCAAGCGCGGGAGACCGGGGTTCGGTGAGATTCCATGTTCGATCCTTCTTCTTGCCACCTTGCTAACAAACAACAGATTCCCCGTCGGAGAGAAATACCTTTTTTTTTTTTTTGCTCCACGTGATGATCTGCCAATATTCCATCCGCCCCTTCGCGTTTTGAGGCAACTATGTATGGCCATCCCAGCAACCATGGATTTTCCTACCTAGCTGGTAGGATGAGACGTTGATTTTTGCTACCCAGCTAGTCGGATTGCCGGGACCCCGCGAGTTGGGACTTGGGATGTCTCGCGGCACGGACCGTTGAACGATCTGGCGCCGATCCAGCCACGTTCCCGGCGCGCGGGGCACGCGTCCACTTACCTATTTATGATTGCATAAGAGTAATGCACGGTGTACAATTAAGCCGGTAACCTCCAAGATGGTTTATGTTGGAAATGTAAGTTGACCACGAAAGGCCAAATGCCTAGTTACAATCTAATGTTTTGTCATGTCGCCGAGGCTACTGAGGGCGACAGCTGTTGGGTGTTGCTCGAGCTTATGAGGACGATAGAGCTTCCTTCTGCCTTGTCAACCGATCGCATTACCTTACCTTACTACCTCTCGTCTTCCCACGCCTGTAGTCGGCTTCCCGGTTCCTGCTCATGCTAAGAAAATTTGGTCCGACTGGACCTCACTTGGGGCCGGGCGTGAATATGTAGGCTGATGGCGTTGGTGGAGATGCTGATCAAGTCTGACTGCTAAACTCGACGGAGAAGGTGCTACTTCACATTTCCACCACTTTGTGCCCATCCATCTGAAGGTCTGCTTTGCCCGACGACTTCAGCTTCATGCCCATCCGTACTGCCCAATCATCCCGGCCGGTCTCGTTGACCAGCTCCTCCACAAGATGCAGCCGTCTCTCATACGGCTTCCTCTCCCCATCCACTTTCACAATGCATCCTCGCATCTGCAGGTCATGAGTCGACACATTCGCAACCGCAAGCAACCCAACCGACCCAATCATAAGTGCCAGCAAAAGAACCTTCCCCGCCTGCTGAACATTCGCCGCCAGCGCCGCGCCCAGGTACACAATCAGCGTCGCGAACGCAGTCACCCAACTCTCCACCGAGTTCTCATCCCGCAGCCACTGCCCGGACGTCACCGCCTTCAAGTCGTCCGTGTACCCCCTCATCCTCACCCACCGGTCCTGGCTCAGCAGGATCAGCAGGTCCCCCTCCGCCCCGGGCTCCCGCGCCCCCGTCCACGACCCGGCCGCATTGTTCCGCAGCCGGATCACGACGACGTTGCACGCGCGCGACAGCACCAGGATGCCGACGACGCCCAGCCCCCACCAGTCGCGCATGAGGGCCAGCAGCGCGACGACGGCCAGCGCCCACAGCACCGCCGCCAGGTACGCGGCGCACGACACGGCCGTCGCGTTGCGGTGCGAGAAGAGGTGCGCGGCGATCCACGAGCGGAAGCGCATCCCGTCGGCGGGCAGCCGCGTCACCGCCAGCGTGGTGAGCTGCCCCGTGCGGCCGACGTTCTGCAGGTAGTACACCGTCGCCGGGTTCTCGACGCGGAAGACGTAGCCCGTCGTCATGGCGCCGCAGGCGGGGTACTCGCCGCCGTTGAGCTCCGTCGCGCGCTGCTGGAGGTGGATGCCCGGGCAGATGACCAGGGCGTCGAGGAGGGTGGCGGTGCCGGTGAGGGCGGTGCGGGCTTGCACCGTTGTGAGGTCCGCGAGCGCGACGAGCCCGGCTGCGTCGAGGGAGAAGCTGGGGGCTTGGAGCTGCAGGTGGCGGGTGCCTAGGATCATCTGCGGGAGGTTTTGTTTAGCTGTGCGATGGCGTGCGGTGGATGGGGTCGTTGGGTATTGCACTGACTTTGCTTGGGATGTACATGGTCAGTCGGTGGAGCAAAGCCATGGCTGCGAGGGCATGCTCTTGCAAAGACCTCGCGATGGTCAGGCAAAGAGGCTGAATGTTCATATTTGCGAGCTGGCGGGAACGATGATCGGTGTGGAGGACGAGGCTGATGTTGCGGACCCGACATGCACTGTTGCCTTCAGCTGCGGGGTCTTTCAGAGCTTCAGCTGAGTAAGGCGCCGTGAACACGGGATAGTTGCGTTGTGATGTAGGCCTGGGAACGATTGGCTGCAGTGTTCGATCTTGATAGGCTCCCTCGCTATCCATGTACAGGGATGCAGCACATACCATCCAATGCCCTACATGAGTTGCTTGTTTTTCGCGAGACTTGATAAAGCCACACGAACGCCAACATGGCTGAATCCAGCCGATATGACTATCACATTTCACAAGCAGGCTCAGTAAGCCAGTGACACGCATGATCATATGATCCTCACTCGGATTCGCTATTCCCGTGGCCTATGAGCTCCTGATTCACAAGCCAAAGATCCGCTGGAACATGAAAGACACAGCCTTGACGGTGCTGACATGCATCGTCGGCCTCAAAAGCGGCTTCGTGGCGGATAGTATTGCGCCGTCTTCAGCTGAGGACGACCATGGTCTAGGGTCAAGCAGAGCTCGCAGCTGATCGAGAAATGATGAAGTGAAGTTCTGCGCTTTCGACCGGTAAAGGTTTATCGGGTGCTTCTACCGGACAAAATGACTCATCTGCTCGCAAAGCCAAGAACCCACTGAACACTGCACAGCTGCCACCTTTTGCGCAGAATTTGCTCATCCTCCTATATCGGGTTGTGTGCCTTGAATAGTAATTTAATAACAAAATTAGGGGCAGCTGAATGCCCGACTGTTTGACAAGGGTACTAAGTCGGAAGTCTTCTTCGAACCACCAAGCACTATTGCAGTCTTAGGGCTATGGAAAGAGCATTTATCATCGCCGTTCATGATTGTGTAATATGCAAGTAGCCGGCTGCCATAAGAGCGTCTGCACATGCATCCAAATTCTGTATGGCTTGCTCCAGCTGAACGCCACCGCATGATGGCTTCGCTTCCTTCCGTGTACCGACGTACGCATGTAAGCTGACCGTGCATTGGCTGCATTTCTTCTTCAGTCTGGGATTATTGTTTCGTGCGGGGAATATGCGAAGAGGGCGGGGAAAGGGATCTGGGATGATATAGTGGATTGTGTATATATCTGGCATCTAACACTGCATAGAACTCTGCTTTAGGCTCTATCACCGTCTTGAAATTCGTTGTTCAGCTTGTCTAACCTTAGAGCTCCAGGCGAGGTACAATCGACCGATTCAGAATTTCAACATGAACAAGTACGACTACAAACGCACCAAGCTCCACTCAGGGGAGATCAGGCTGTTCAAGCTACACTCAGGATCCGGTTCAGACCAGCTAGAGGGGAACTTGGTTCGTCGCAAGGTGAAGAGAAGCAATCTGTCAGCGAAACACGAAGCAGGTCTCCCAAATGTTCGAACAAATGGTGCGGACTCGACTTCGAACACTCCTTTCGCTGAAGAATACCTGGCTCTGTCGTATACGTGGGGAATGCCCGCACGCGGAGGCGAAGAGAAGTTCCTACGGGTGATTGACACCAACGAAACTTACAAAATCGAGATCAAGCCGAATCTCCATGGTGCCTTGATGCGGCTCCGCGACCCTGTGGACACACTTCTACTTTGGATCGATGCCATCTGCATCAACCAGAGCGACAATCGAGAGAAGAGTTCTCAGATCCCAAGAATGTCGGACATTTTCAACGAGGCCAAGAAAGTGTGCATTTGGCTGGGGCCCACCGAGGACGAGAGCAACCTTGCAATGGACTTCATTCAAAAGTGCCTGGACCTGGACGATTTCAGCCAACGATTCAGCCAGGACTTCTCCGAAAAGTGGCATGCAGTATCGAAACTGATGAGGCGACCTTGGTTCAGCCGTCGATGGATCGTCCAGGAACTCGCAAGAGCTCGAAATGCCGAGGTTTACTGTGGCGACCATAAGCCCATGCAATGGCAGGACTTCGCAGATGGCATGTCTCTGATGTCAGCCCACCAAAAGGAGATTCAGCGGCTTTTTCGCGAATCAAAGCGGTTTGGCCATCATCCCGATCTCGTGGGCGACCTGAGCGAGTTGGCCGCGGTCAAGCTCATTCACATTGTGGACCACATCTTCCGCAAATCCGACAATGGCGAGATCATCGAAGAGCTGCTCCCACTGGATGCGCTCATGTCTTCTCTTGCCGGTTTTGACACGTCGAATCCTCGAGACGTCATGTACGCCATTCTATGGCTAGCAAACGACGCACGTCCAGGAGTCAAAGACTCCGAAATATGGAAAATATCGCAAAAGCAAAAGTCAGGCTCTTACAGCAGTGATCTGCTATCTCCCGGTCTCTTACTGATGACTGATGGGACGACTTGGGGGCCCGCACCGCAGCCTTCGATAGGGTCTCCACCCCGAAGCAGACGAACCTCAATAGCAAGAGCACCAGATGGAAAAAGTCTCCAAGTCACCCTCCACAGACAACCTTCTAATTCCATAACCTCGATAATGGAAAACAAACCAGTTTCATCCCCCACTCAGGCGTCTCCCAAGGATACCGTATTTGCCATCGACAAAGCCGTCAACTCTGATCAGGCGATGAGTGAGGCCCTGGATGGGCCGGATGGCAATTCTCTGGCCAGGGGCGCTGCCGACTTGTCAGGGACGGAGCCCCCCAGTGTCAATGACAAGCCACGGGCAGAGCCAAATACGTCAGTACGAAAGGATTACTTCACAGAAAGGCATACGGCCAAGCCCAGCGAAGATTTCCATGACCAAGACTTTCAGCATCACGATCAAATCGTCGTGAACATCCCCGTCGACGGGCCCGAAGACCGAAAGAACCGCGTTCTCAGCAAATGGGTCGGCGTCACCACCAACAAATGGGTGATTGTCGACTACGACAAATCCGTCTTCGAAGTCTGCAAAGACTTCATCAAGTTCAGCCTCGCGCAGTCCAAGAGCCTCGACATGATGCTCTGCCCGTGGGCGCCGCCCGTCGAGGCCGACGACCCGCCCCTCCCGTCCTGGATCCCCAGCCTCACCGGCAAGCCCTTCGGGCCCGACGCCAACGGCGTGCACCGGCGCGTCAAGGCCGACGCGCTCGTCGGCACCCCCGGCCTCACGACCCGCATCTACAACGCGTCGCGCAACAAGCCCGCGAGCGCCGCCTGGCCGCCCCACGAGGACCGGTGCGTCTCGGTGCAGGGCTTCATCCTGGACCGGGTCAGTGCAAAGGCAGACCGCGCGATGGAGGGCGTCATCCCCGTCGACTGGCTCGAGCTGGTCGGATGGGACCCCTGCGCGGGCTTGCCGCCGGACAGGTTCTGGCGCTCGTTGGTCGGCAACGTCGACGCGCATGGGCGCCGCCCGCCGCCGTACTGGAAGCGCATCTGTAGAGACGCGTTCGGCAAGCGGCAGGGCGGCGGCAATCTGGATACCAAGCAGGTCATCAACAGCGATTGCGCGCCGCCAATCCGCGAGTTCTTGGAGCGGGTGCAGCGCGTCGTTTGGGAGCGGAAGATGTTCAAGCTCAAGCAGCTCGGAGACAGGTCGCTAGGGATTGGACCGAAGTCGATTAAAAAGGGTGATTTGATCTGCATCCTGCATGGATGTAGTGTCCCTGTTGTGCTACGAAGAATGGTCGGGGGGAAACCGACTCACAAGGACGCAGTGATTCCGGAGAAAGAAGAGAACAGGAACGTTCACTACCAGCTCATTGGCGAATGTTTCATCCATGGAATGATGAATGGAGAAGCTTATCGTCTCGACTTCGATCCAAAGAACCGGCAGAGGGAATTCAAGTTGAAGTGACGTCAAGTGACAAGTCAATAGGTCACAGGTCAGTTTGATATCTCGACTGTCTTCTATACTGTCTTTTCTGTCCATTATCCTCCTCCCCTCAGTTTTCATTGGCAAGTTTTGCTTGTGCCGAATGCCGATCTGGATTTGGATTCTCTTATTGCCTTTTGCTACCACCGGATGGAACGTATGCGACTTGTCGTGTGGTCGGATGTATGGATCAGACGATACAGGCCCGTCATGGACCTCAATGTATAAATGGAAGCAACTCATGGTGCGAGTAAAAGAGTGTGTTTATCGAACTCAAGATTGGTTAATGAGTCTTGAATTTGCTGCATGTCGTGGTGACCCGGGTCACGAGCTATCATCGTTACTTCTATCATGACCTGGCTCTACCTTCAATGAGACACGCATGTTCCACAAAGTCTCCTTTGACTCCACATGGCCTTGGTTTCTTCCAGTGCCTACCTCAAGGAACGCGTTGCTGACTCTTTCGATTGATCGTAGCAACAGCGCAACATTTGTGGTTGGTCGGGTCAACCGAACCGAGTTGAGATGTCTCGCCGCACGGACCGTTTAACGATCTGACGCCGATCCAGCCACGTTCCCGGCGGGCGGGGGCACGCGTCCCGCCCGTCCCGTCCCTTCTCGCGTCACACAAACTCAAACTCTCAACCTCTGCAAATCGTTCTAACGATTCCAGGTGTTGCAATTTTGCATTTTTCTTCGCTGGTCCAGAGCACGTTAGCGTAGAAGCTCAGATTAATGTCTCGTGTTTTGTCTTGTGTTCGCAAAGTCGCCGTCGGATCGTGACAGCAGCGTCAAGAGTCGCCCTCAGACATTCAATTCACCCTGCTAACTCGATGAGACAGTGCCAAACCCACTCGGCGGTGGCAGAGTGGTCAAAAACCAATCACGTCAACAAAATTTATCTGATCAAGACAGACAATTAGACACGCCGGCCTCCCGCCCATCAAACAAACAAACAAACACCGGACCCCATGTTTGTTTCAACTTGTTTGTTGACCCTGGGCGGTGGGGTCGGGTCGGGTGACCAAAGCTCCGGTGGGGCTTCGTGTACCCATAAATAACCTCGTGCAAATGCACGAACTCAGCTCAGTCATCTGCCAGATCGAAATACCACCTTCATCATCTTAGTTACCGCCATCGTCCGATTTTACAGCCGTTTGCCACGTTTTCCAGATGGCGCGCCAATGCCAGTACTGCGCCAATCTGTCAGTCAGCTTGCTAGTGAGCTTGGCTGAGGAGGAATTTTCAAGCAATTTGTTCCCGAGCCATGCATTCTACCCGCACCACTGCTCTTTCGACGAGCTCGAAGAGTCGGGAGAGACTGGATGCAACTTCTGTCAACTGGTGCTGGACTGTTTCAAAGGGGCGCCGACCGAGTACGAGCGTCCTGGCATGTGGCCCTCGGAGTGGACCGGTCCCGAGTGCGACATTGGAGAGTCCATGTACGCCGTCGCCAAACGCCTGCCAGTTCGGACGTCAAGATTTGCATAAACTCGGATCACGTGCATACCGGAGATCCTTTGGAGAAAGTCAGCGTGTTGGACACGGTTCTGGTTCAGGTCGGACCCAGGGAAGACTATGAAGACGAATCGAGTTGGGGGCTGCCGCCGCTCGTGCTGAGACTTAGTATATCCCGTGGTATGTCGCTCGAGGACATGGTATCGCCTGCAGAATCTCAACCATGCTGATGTGGTTTCATGCAGAAAAGGCGACGTATATCGGTAAACATCGGATAGGGCGCTTCCGAGTCGACCCCAACCTCGCATCTCAGACAAACTATGCCATCGCAAAACAGTGGTTGGAAAATTGTCGGACTTCCCATCCATCTTGTCTTTCTGGAACCATCGCTGAACTCCCTACACGCGTCATTGACGTTGGAAGACTCGATGACTCTCAAGAGCCTCGACTTGTTCTTACGCGAGGCTTAAAGTCTGAATACATCGCGCTGAGCCACTGCTGGGGTGGGAGCGTATCGCCGTTGCTAACGACAGAGATGTTGGCAACATTCGAACATGAAATCCCGTACAAGTCTCTGCCTATCAACTTCCAAGATGCCATATCCATAACACGACGCCTCGGGTTCCAATACTTGTGGATCGACTGCTTGTGCATACTTCAAGACTCAAAACGAGACTGGGAGCAAGAGTCTACGAAGATGGGCCTTGTGTACCGCAATTCGACCGTCACAATATCCGCCATATCATCGCCGGGAAGCACTCATGGGATTCTGAAAGACGCCCCAAACGCAGCTCCTAACCCAAAGCCGACAGTCATGAGAGTTTTTGAAGGCGATGGGCAACATGTTGAAATCATGGTCGAAAGGCAAGATGTTGAAGAAGAAGACATGCGTGGCCTACAACTGCAAGGCCCTCTAGAGAAGCGCGGATGGACGCTGCAAGAGTCGAGACTTTCACCGCGACACCTGTACTACGGAACCCGCCAAATATATTGGAGGTGCCCTCAGGGATACGAGTCTGCCGACGACACTCCTCTTGGGAACAAATTCCCTGAAGATACATACGACCAACTATCGCCTGTTCTCTACTCAGACATCTTGCGTCAACCACGCTCCGAAGCCTGCGATGTTGGCGCTCTTCTGCTGGATTACTATAGCTTGGTGAACGAGTATTCGCACCGGAAGCTGACTTTCGATTCCGACAAGCTCCCGGCGTTTTCGGGTTTGGCCCAACGCCTGCATCCCGCGCTGGGTGGCGACTATCTCGCTGGTCTTTGGAGTTCTGATCTCAACAACGGTCTACTGTGGTATAACGAGATGAGGACATGCAGGCATGTCCGGTCATATCGTGCGCCCTCCTGGTCCTGGGCGGTAACCAACGAGCCCGTCATCACACCAACGAGCTTGACGCAACCCGGTCCTTTGGATTTACAACTTGTTGAACATGACATTATCCCTCAGGATAGAGGCAACCCATACGGACAGATTGTGTCCGGTCATCTCATCGTGAGTGCCCTTGTCATGCCGCTGGCTCGTAGTAAGCAGGTCGTCGATTCATACCTGGCCGATGACACAATGGGACTTGTCCATTTTGACGAGCCAAAGGAGGAGGGAGAAGCCGCGTCAGGAGGATACAGTTTGTCGCTGGTCAATTCTGACGAGGGCATGTACTTTTTATCCATCCTATTCAGGTTTGGACGCTGCAGCGTGTGGGAAATCGATTTTGAATCCTACTACCCAGAAAAATATACCGCACTGATTGTTCATGTATCGGAGTCTAGCCTACAGGGGTTGGTGTTGCGTCGGGTGTCTGATCGCTCCGACGGCGCATATGAGAGGGTTGGATATTTCGAGACCTTCGCAGGAGAAGCCGAAGGCCTCTTGAAATATGTCCAAGGGCTAAAACGTCAAACGTTGAAACTAGTCTAAACATCTTCAAGGCTATCAGTCAGCTCCGCGATCAATACGGCGTCGTTTCTTACTCTTCTCAGAGATTTAGCCTTCTTCGAATGTATGCCAGCTTCGCCGTACTGCTGAGACTCGGCCCAAGGCATGTTCAACCGAGTTGGACGTTTGCATATGAGGACGTTGGTTATGATATACGACCACACCTTCATCAACTTTTGCACGACGACAACGACATGTGCACGATGATGGGTCATTGCTTTGAGTGTCTATGCCTATCCGCTTTGTCAAGTATACATGAAGCACGTAAGAAACAGACAAGCTGATCTGCGACATATAAACTGCCGGTTCTCTCTCTACAGCACGCGTCCGCTCTCTCTCTCTCTCTCTGTGTGTGTCTGTCTGTCTGTCTGTCTGTCTGTCTTTCTTTCTTTCCCTCCTTCCCTCCTCCTCAATCAATAACATCATCCCTCAACGCCCACACATTCCTCCACACCTCATCCATCCGACTCCTCACCGCATCATGATACATGACATTCGTCACGAACGTCTTACACCCCTTAATCCTCCCCGCCGTCTCGACGCTAAACCCAAAATCGACGTACATGTCCTCGACGTACACGGCGGCGTAGCACGGCACCTCGTTGCGCGCCAACTGCGCCTCGTCGTACAGGGCGGGCCAGTCGCCTTCGGCGGCCAGCTTCTCGGCGACGGCGGCGAGGGCGCGCAGCTCGGTGTAGTCGGTGAGCATCCACGGGAAGACCATCTCGCCGGTGAAGAGGAGCGGGGAGGTGGGGTCCGGGTGGTCGAGGGAGAAGGCGGGGAGGGATTGGTGGATGCGGTGGGCGGACCAGGCGGATGGTTTGCTGGTGGGGGGAGGGGGGTGGTTAGAGGGGGGTGGTTTGTTTGGCTGGGGGTGGGCGGTGTGTGCTTACCCTTGGCAGTAGATGGATTCGTGGAGGATGGCGTAGATGATGTGATCGTCGAAGGGCATGGTCTGCTCGATGAGGGAGGTGGTGGGGCGGGTGAGGTGGCCGAAGACGGCGAGGTCGTTGGAACAGCGGAGGACGAGGTCTGTTCTGGTCAGTGTCGATCTCGCATTGGCAGAGCAAAAAAGCGGCTTACCGTGTATCATGTCGATGCCACCGTGGAACCCGAAGTTGATGCCGAGCTGCATGAACCTCCGGGCTGACAGACTCCCCTCCCCGGAGAGCCTCACGGTACTGTCGCCAAACCGCTTCAGCAGCTTCACGACATCCCTCACCCTCTTCACGTCTTCCGGATACTTCCGATAATACGCCTCGTTCCTTTCCTTCAGCTTCGCAAACGTGCGCTGATACACGGCATCCGGGTCCCGTACGAGCGGCGGCAGTCCCCCAAAATAAAACGCCTCGCGCAGCCCGTCGGGATAGAAACTCAAATACGTCGTTATGCAGAAGCCGCCGAAACTCTGGCCCGCGACGCTCCACTTGCGCTTCTCCTCGGGCCAGCCGTCGGTCAGGGCCAAGCGCACGGCCTCGGCGTCCCTGACGATGGAGTCGGCGCGGAACGACTTCAGGTAGGTGGCTTGGGTGTCGTCGTCGCCGCGCAGGCCGAGGGTGCTGGCGCTCACGGGCGAGCTGAGCCCGGTGCCGCGCTGGTCCAGCATCAGCACCTGGTAGCCGCGGTCGAGGGCTTGCTGGGTCCAGCCGGCGTCTTGCGGCGGGCGGCAGCCGAAGCCCGGGCCGCCCTGGAGGAAGAGCAGCCAGGGGAGTTGCTGCTGCTTCTTTGCTTCGGCGTCGGCGTCGGCGTCGTCCGAGGTGGTGGTGGTTGGGTCCGCGGGCTTCTCGTGCTTGCGGGCGGAGCGCGCGAAGAGGCGGAGTGGGCGGGAGTCGGGTTTGTGCCAGTGCGTGGGGACTTCGAAGAAGTATTCGGTTATCTTGAGTTTGCCTGGGGGGAGCAATTGGTTAGTGGGGCGACGGACGCCGGGATGGAAGAGTGCGAACCGGGCACGATGTGCGAGCGCTGCTCGATGATTTTGGCGGGGGATGTCTTGATCATTGTGGGCACGTGCTGCAGAGGTACCGCGATGTGGGTGATGAGAAGAGGTCAGGGAGGGGAGGCGGTGGTGAGGTGTGGCAGTGGTGTATATCCCAGCTTGCGTGTCGGCACAATTGGCCCGAGGAGCTCACAAAGAGCGTTGCACAGGGGACGGTGGTTGGTGGGACTCCAGCGAAGGCTGTCAGCTGGGACCGGTGGTTGTTGGTGGTTGGTGGAGGAAGTGGGGTCGCTGGCGCCGGAGGGTCGGATCACCACGACAGGGGGCGGGATGCCAAGAGCGGAGGCCGCGGGGCTGCGGGGCTGCGGGGCGGACGCTAAAAATTTGGGACTCGCACACCCGCCACCACATTCCGCCCGCACCTGCCCCGCGCAGGACACTGTTTAATTTCCTGGTCTTGGATTCTCATCGCCACATCTCCTCGCACCTCGACTTCTCGCCATGGCCAAAAAGGCGGACAAGGCCAAGAAGGCCGAGAAAAAGGCCCGCACCGCGGCGAAGCAGGAGAAAAAGGCCGGCAAGAAAGAGTCCAAGAACCAAAAGCGCGCCAAGGACGGCGATGACAGCGACGCCGACGACGTCGACATCGACGCCGTGCTCGCCGAATACGCCCGCCAGCAGGAGCAGTTCCTCAAGGTCACCGAGGCCGTCGTGGATCCGCCGTCCGCCCGCGCCTCGGCCACGCTGATCGGCTCGCCCACCAACGACAACGAGCTGTTCCTCTTCGGCGGCGAGTACTTCAACGGCGCCCTCGCCCACTTCTACAACGACCTCTTCGTCTACAACATCCACCGCGACGAATGGCGCCGCGTCACCTCGCCCAACACGCCCCTCCCGCGCTCCGGCCACGCCTGGACCCGCGGCGGCAACGACAAGGCCATCTACCTCTTCGGCGGCGAGTTCTCCTCCCCCAAGCAAGGCACCTTCTACCACTACAACGACCTCTGGCGCCTGGAGCCCTCCTCGCGCGAGTGGATGCGCCTGGAATCCAAGGGCAAGGGCCCCCCCGCCCGCAGTGGCCACCGCATGACCTACTTCAAGAACTACATCATCCTCTTCGGCGGCTTCCAGGACACGTCGCAGCAGACGCGCTACCTCAACGACGTCTGGATCTACGACACGGCCACCTACGCCTGGCACGAGCCCAAGCTGCCGTCCGTCGGCCAGCGCCCCGACCCGCGCTCGTCCTTCTCCTTCCTCCCCAGCGACGCCGGCGCCGTGCTGTACGGCGGCTACTCGCGCGTCAAGCAGGCCGCGAAAGGCGGCGGCAGCGGCAAAGGCGGGCCCGCGTCGCGCAACGTCCTCAAGCCCGTCGTGCACCAGGACACGTGGTTCCTGCGCATCGTGCCGCCGGCGGCCGACGCCAGCGCCTCGCTGCCCAAGGTGCACTGGGAGCGCCGCAAGAAGGCAGCGAACCCGCCCAATCCGCCGCGCGCGGGCGCGACCATGGCGTTCCACAAGGGGCGCGGCATCCTGTTTGGCGGCGTGCACGACGTCGAGGAGAGCGAGGAGGGGATCGACAGCGAGTTTTTCAACCAGCTGTTCGCGTGGAACATCGACCGCAACCGCTACTTCCCGCTCGCGCTGCGCAAGCCGCGCGCGCAGGGGAAGAAGCAGGGGAATGCGGGCGGCGATCGCGGCGGGGGGAGGAGGGGCCGCGGCAAGGCGGATGAGGAGGAGCTGTTGCGGAACTTGAAGGCGCTGGAGATGAGGGGGACGCTGGCGGGGGCGGACGATGATGGCGACGACGGTGCCGAGCTCCCTGCGCGGCTGGATGGCGCGGCGAGGGAAGACGACGAGGATGAGAAGCCGGACCGCGCGCCGAAGCCGGTGCAGTTCGAGATGCCGCACCCGCGGTTCAACGCCGCGCTCGCGGTGCAGGACGACGTGCTGTATGTGTTTGGCGGCACGTTCGAGAAGGCGGACCGCGAGTTCACCTTCGACGAGATGTGGGCGATTGACCTGGGCAAGCTGGAGGGCGTCAAGGAAATATTCCGCCGCGAGCTGGAAGACTGGCAGGGCGAGGAGAGCGAAGACGAGGATGAGGACGAGGAGGACGAGGAGGATGAGGACGAGGAGGATGAGGGGAGCGATGACGACGACGTCGCCAGCACCGCTGCTACGTCCGTCTCAGCGGCCCCGTCGGCCAAGGATGCGGAGGAGAACGCTACCGCGGAGGAGAAGCACAAGTCGGCGTCTGCACTGACGGAAGATGGCCTACCGCACCCGCGGCCTTTCGAGACGCTGCGCGATTTCTACGCGCGCTCGACGAACGACTGGCAGAACGTCATTATTGACGAGCTTTCGCGGAAATACGGTGGTGAGGCGAAGCTGCCCAAGGAGATCAAGACTATGGCGTTTGAGCGTGCCGAGGAGAAGTGGTGGGACTGCCGCGAGGAGATTCGCGCGTTGGAGGACGAACAGGAGCAGGCGGGTATCAGTGAGGTGGTCAGCTTGGCCGAGAGGGGCGATGCAGCTACTGGTGGAGCGGGAAGGAGGAGGTAAACTTATATCAGACGGCATCGGAAAATTTCAGGAATCTCACTCTCACTCTGCTTGACAACAGCCCTTGAGTACATGCAAATGATGAAGATGAAGTGTGAAATTGTCTTGACGCTTCATGATAATTGCTATTTCGAACCATGCGATCGTGGACTCCCTTCTCTCAAATCGGCAGGTACGCAAAGTGCGTGAAAGCCGAGAATCTTTGGAAGCATCAATCAAGGCGGCCAAGAACCGTGATGGATCAGGCACACCGCAGAATGCAATGGTAACGGCTATAGAGACCGGCAAGGTGTTTGCATTGACAACATCTGCGCCGTTCGCCCAGTGGAGGCCGGTATCCCGAAATGGTAGAGCGTCGCAGGCAGCATGACACGGCCAGGTTGCAGCAGCACCGCCACATGTCGCTAGTGCAAAAGTAGTGAAGCGTCCCAATCCTGCAGCTGCTGCCTACGAGATGCACCACCCCGCGCTGAATACGCCAACACCAAAGTAGTCTTATACACATGCACCGCTTCTACTTCGGCCGTCCTTCATTGATTTCCAGAGCCCTACAACTAAGCAAACAACCACTGCATCACCGCGTCATCACTATGGCAAGCCCACAGACCGTCGTAAAACTGGACATGACAGCTCATCTGGAGCCGCAACTGGAACACGCCCCGCAAGACGCTGAGAATCTCCACCTCGACGAAGAGATACCGACCAACGATGCCTGGGTCTCGCTCTCGAAACATTTCACATCCGTCAAAGACCTGCACATGGACAGCGGGTGGAACGAGGAACTCAACGACCGCGACATCCCACTCCATTGGCCCCTCGAGAAGCTCACCATTAGCAGCGCCTGCGGCGAAGTATGTCGATCTCCTTGGATCGTCCAAGGAAAGGTCCCGCACCTGGTGCTTGATTACACCGCCGGGCTGAGATTCGAAGGCCCCACGACCGCGGAGCTAACCGCTGCCAACAACGACGCGATAAAGAAACGCGAGAAGGACGAAAGTCCGCACAAGGTCGGCGACATACAGATCACCTTCGTTCCCGACCTCGTCGCCGAATGGATGAGGAAGAAATACGCCGACGACGACGGCGACAACAACAAAGGCGAGAACGAGCCAACGACAGAAGCACCACCACCACCTACCCCTTCCAACCTCCGCACTCTCGAAATCATCTACAACGACGCCCGCGACACGCTCTACCGCTACGTCCTCGCCCACCCGACCCTCATCGACCCCGTCCAAACCCTCAGCCTCATCGCAAAGAGCAAACACGACCTCAGCATCGGCGACGAGCGCATCCTCGAAGACCTGCTGCCCCAACTCACCCACCTGACCGCTCTCGTCCTCGTCCTCGGCGACCATTATCGCGACCGCGAGCAGCTGCCGGCTTTTTTCAAGCACTTCCCGCCCAATGTCGAGACGCTGCGTTTCCAGAGCTCCGTGTCGTTGGCGAGGGAGGAGGTTGTTGTTGAGAGGTGGGTGGATGCGTTTGGGGATCCCGAGTTTTTGCCGCGGTTGAAGAGGTTGAGCTTCGTGTTGGATTTGGAGGATGGGGAGGGGGAGAGGCGGGAGAATGAGGAGTGGGAGAGGTTGCATCCGCAGCGGGATGGGGAGGAGGAAGAGGAGGAGAAGGAGGTGGATGATGATGTGGCCGGCAAAGACGCCAAGACGGGAGAGGACGACGCTTCCTCGTCTCCGTCGGAGGAGAGCGATAACGGTGCCGAGGGGTCGAAGGATCCGGACGAGGTAAAGCAAGATACTGCCGAATCTGCCGAGACTGCGGAAAAGACTGCTCCTGCTCCTGTACAAAAGCCACCTCCCAATGTCTCGGATGAGGTCCTAGCACGGGCGAAGCGTGCGTGTGAGCGCGTGGAGCGGGCAGCAGAGAGTCGTGGCGTAATCATCGACTCGTTTATGGGCGTGTGGAGGCAAGGCTTCACCGGTCTTACGCATGTGGATTACCGATGGGATAACTTGTAGGTGACGCGCGATATACACGGTGTACCAGTATATTTCTATCTTCCAACTCCACTCCATAATGTGTTTAGAAAAGTCTATTCATAAGTGAGCAGCGAATATCCCTGTCAAATAATCAATACCTATTCTGGCCTCTCCAGTCAACGGGCTATTCAATTTCAACCACGACTAATTTTACCATGCACTTTGATCCCGGGTACCAGTACCCAATCACCCATGTGAATCACCAGTCTGCTGACTCTATCATGATCGCCATCTTGGCCCCGCCTCAGCATAAAACTCTCATCCACCACGCCCTCCTCTGTTTTCTTCTCACCAAAAGAGCCCTCGGAGAGGTAGCTGGCTGCACCATGTCCATAACTGTTTCGGCTCCCCTTACAAGTCACCAAGGTTGGCGTCGCTTTCCAACCAATCCACATGCCCTCAACCTGGCGGATTCTGTACAGCATCATGAGCGAGCGGTTGATGATGAACAGCGTCAAGCCCAAAAGATGGTGAGCGCCACCATGTATCTATTCTTGTTGCATTACGACGAGAACACGACGGGGAAAAATAGAAGAAGGGAATGTCAGTGTGAGTGACGCAGAACAATCCAGCTGTTGATTCCGGAACGACGAAGAGCGAAGAAAAAGGGAGGTAGTTAAGACGCCGCAAATTGCTCCCTGAGTAACGGCTTCTGTGTTACCTCTTTCTCTCGACATACAGCGAAACTCACTGTGTCGTAGAACAAAAGGTCCAGCTGGGTCAACAATTCCAACCCTCTTACACGCATCAAACCGCAAACACAAGACCTGACCCGTGTCCCTATCCAACCTCATGCCCAGCACACCAGTCCCAGCAAAGTCAGCTGCTCTTAATCGCGGGACCAAGCGCCCTCCCTCCCCACCAGCGGGCCACCCGCCCCATCAGTACGTTTCGGCCTCGCTTCGATATAAAGCTTTTCCACAATCAAGCAGGGGCTCTGTGTTTCGTTCCTCGACAATAGAGCAAACAATTGAAGTAAGGACTCCTTACCATCATTTCACTCGTCTTTTTCGCTTCCTGCGAACACGTTCAAGATCACCTTACTCTGCTTTCTCTTCGCCGCTTACCATATGAATCCCCATCCACGCCGCCCTTCTCCCACGGGACAACCGCTCCCCCCCTCTTTCACAACCCACCCTCACGCCATAATGAAGACGCCCAGCACTTGCCGCCTCTCGCTGCACACCAGCACTTCCGGCTGATGATGCACAACGACACCGACTCCCCATACGCGCGCGCTGAGCATCAATACATCCGCATCATCGCCAATGCCCCTAAACGAAAGCAAGCTGCTTCGGCGACGACGAGCGCAAGAGTGGTGAATCGAGGGGTGGTCTCCTCCATCTGCGGGCAGGAACGGACGCGAAGCAGTCATAGTCGGCTATGGGCAACTTTGGTGTTGCAGGACAAGGTGACGTGACTGATTGCTTCCACTGGGTGTATTTATGTACAAGCAAATGGAAGCCAGTCATCGTCGCTTTTGATATAGAAGAAGAAGAACGGGAGCAGAACGGAGGAGTTGGAGTGTTTTTATTATCGAAGCCAGATGATGGACGGACGGGCTGGTTTGGCTCACCAGGTGATGAAGCATACGTGCTTTCTTTCTCTTTCTTTTCAGCTGTTGACCGATTGTCATCTCCCCTCTCCCTACCCCCCCATCAATGAAAGAGCTCAAGCCGCCCGCCCAACGACACATGACCACCACAGTGCGCAAACGGCCTGCCACCCTCCTGCAGCACCACCAAACGAAGTAACCAACAGAGCAAAAAGACATCAATCACAAGGGCCAAAAAAAAAAAAGGCAAAATGCAGGCCTGCAAAACATCTCCCATCAATTCTCTTTCTAGCACGTATAAAAAAAAGAAGTCCAAGTCAACAAATCCATACAAACAACTATCCGTACCCCCGTCCCCTTCCCACCCTCACTCCCATAACCTCATTCTTTCCCCCTTCCCCCTTCCCCCCCTGCGTCACCACCACACCCCCCGTACCCCACCCCCCACCGACCTACTCGCCTCCCACCCCCTCACCCCCCTCCAAAGACAACCAAACCAAACCCACCAAACCAAACCAAACCCACAAACCCAACCAAACCCAACCAAACCCAACCAACCCCCTAAGCAATCCCCCCCTCATCAAACACATCCCCCGCCACCCACGCCTCCACCTCGGCCAGGTCCACCGCCCCCATCCGGTACGTCTCCTCGAACGCGAGGATGCTCAGCTGGCCGAGGAAGGGGCGCACGACGCCGAGGACGAACGCCATCTTGCCCATGGCCTTGGCGTCGGCGCTGTCGCCGAAGACGCCCTGTTCCTGCGCGGCGCGCAGGACGGGCGCGAGGAGGGAGCGGCGCTTGGTGTTGTTGTTGGTGCTGTCGTTGCTGTTGCTGCTGTTTTCGTTTTCCTGGTCGTGTGAGGAGGCGGCGGGCTTGCCGGGCGCAGGGGCTGCGGTGGTGGTGGTGGTGGTGGTTGTTGGGCTGGTGAGCGACGATGGACCGCCGCTGGTGGCGGCGGCGGTGGCGGCGGCAGTGTCGTCCGCCACGGCTCCAGTTCCAGCCGGTTCATCCGCTGCCGAAGCGGCGGCGGCGGCGGCGGTGGCATTGGCCTGTCTCTCCTGCAGCGCCTCCGCCACTTCGTCCACGAGCGCCACGGGCCGCCAGTCGAGGTCGGGGCGGTAGACGGCGTCGATCGTGTCCGTCAGGAACAGCCACTCGTGCAGCTGGAAGTCGTCGTGCGCGAGTGTGACGAGCGTGTCGAGCAGCTTGCACGCCTGCAGGACGCTCAGGTTGTTATACCGCTCGTGCTGTTCCTTGTCGTCCGGCAGCACCGACGCGATGGCGTGCGTCAGCTCCGCCGTGATGACGGGCCACACGGGCGCGAGGTGCACGGGCGAGATGCGCAGGACGAGCGCGCGCAGCAGTAGGAAGATGTCGGCGCGCGTGGCTGACGACGGCGACGATGCCGGCGTCGCCGTGAGAAGCTCCGTCAGCTTCTCCAGGATGCCGCCGAGGTTGATGGTATACGTGTCTTCGGGGTTGGCGAGGACGAGGATGGTCATCCGGCGCAGGTTCAGCTGCGTCTTGCGGTCTGCTTCGAGCCTTGCGCTTGTTGCACCGACGCCGAACATGATGCCCGCCGTAGTTGGAGCACTGAGCCGGGAGAGCAGTTCCGGCATGCGGTCCTTGTCGTTTTGACTCCACATGCGGAGCACAGGTAGCCACTTCTCCAGTGCAAGCTTCGTCTCCGTGGCGAAGAACTTGGTGTCATTGAATGCGGCCTCGATATCACGTTTCCAAGCTTTAGTAGCAGCAGGGAGCGATGAAGTCCGTGTCAACTCGTAAATGAGATCAAGCAGAAGAGGCGAGACCGTTTCCGGGAAGGCCTTCGCGCGGAAAGCGGGACCAATGACGTTGGTACTGATAGATGTAGCTGCATTCGCAATCCGGTCGTTGTCGACAAGGATGAGGGGAAGCTTGGGAAGTATCGACACCAAGACGGTTACGATGTCTGAAGATCGAGTAGCGGAGCTGCCGTTTTCTTCAGGGATCTTGTCGACCGACATTGTGGACGAGTCTTGAAAGTATCCCATCGGACGGGTCGTGAAAGTAGCTGTCAGTAGACGCATGAAAAGATCCTGATATCTTGTCAGTACACCAATCATAGAGATTGCACATCACACTCACCCCAAGGTCACGCCGCATGCGACGCTGCTCGCCGAAATTTGTATTGTCGACCTTCTCTGCAAGTGTGGCGGTGAACTCCAGCAGCGCAGGTAGAATCTGACGATGCGGCATAGGATTGGCCAGAACATCCCTCAGGAATGTCAAGCAGTCTGGCCAGATCTCGTCCATGGCATCGTCTTCCAATGACTTTGTGTAATCGACTAAGAACGCGACCAAGTCGGTATCAGCCAGGTCGGATGTCAAGGTCGACATGCGGTGAGGATCTAGTGCGTGTGGATTTGTTCTGCTGTAGACGGCATTGAATATAGCAGGAGTTGTGTGCTTTGGACTTGACCCGTTGAGTACGTTGAGAAGGCTCATCACGGCGTTCGCTTCCTGACTTGCTCGCGGAGATCGACACCAGACAACAGCCAGGGTTTCCAAGCATTCCAAAGTCTCCGCGGTGAACAAATGCTCAAGGATGCGCCTGGCCCTGTTTCTCATTCGCAGGGACGTGTACCCGAAAGACGCGAGAGAGGTATGATCGTGCTTGGAATGGCCGTAACCTCCCCAGGACCAGATGCCGAAACAGATGCGAACAGTGTCCTGGAAGCAAAGAAGGACAGTAAGTCTGCTGTTGGCGGTGACAGCTCGAGTCTGGTTAGCTTCGTTGGCGAAGACACCAGAAACCATGTTACCAAAGAAGCCCTGAGGCTGCTCCGGCGTTTTCACTGTGGTGACCTTCATTTCCTGCAAGACAAGTCTCTGGTGAGCATTTGCAAGTATCTGCTCCAGGCCGTTCATTAGCGCAATCAGGGTTGATTCTGGTGAAATCGAGCCTGGATGGACGGATTGGCTAAATGTGGACTTGAGCTGGCCGAACGTTAATTGAATCTGCTTGCATAAACACTCGACCAAGGGAAGCAAGTTCTGGAAAATCGTATCCGCAAACAGGGGCAAGACTTCAATGAGAAACTTGACCCAGTCGTCCAAAACTAGTCGGCTCGAGGGAGAGGAGAACCCATTTCTCAGGCACTCGACCAACTGAGGCGGTGGGGCGATGACAGGGATTTCTTCCTCCACAGCCTTATCCACTGATTCGCGAATACTCCCTGTACGTTCCCGGGATATCCTGTGTTCCACTGGAGAGACTGGTACCACAGCGCGCAAACGGAGTTGAAGGGCAGCCAGCGTGGCTTCGAGCAACAGAGATTGCAGGGACGGGCTGGCGGACTGCAGGCGAGCCATGAGGAACGACTCCAACTCCAGATCCTTGAGCGGCAAAGAATATGGGTTTAGTAAGATTGCGCGGATGGTTGAGATGGTTGTTCGATACAGGGCGTCGATGTGCGGTTCTGATCCGGTCGATTGTGTCGAACTCGAAACTGACAGTGCACGCATGCAGATGCGGACCAACAGATTCTGCAGCATCAGTTCCTGCTCCTCATTCGCCGATGGATCTACGACCGGAACGTAGTCTTTCGAAAGAACGACCCAAGTATGATCGGAAGACCAACGAAAGATATTGAGCAACTGTTGCATGTGGTATAGACATTCTCTCGAGTCGTCTATCAAGACAGGCGGTCGAGTGACTGGTGCGTCCAGTCGGTCTGACGATTGATACTTGATGCAATGAAGACTTTGAAGATGAGACATTATTATGTCAAAGACGCGGTTCAAACTGGGAAGATCCTGGAGCCAGGTCCGGACATAAAAGAAGAGTTCAGTGCCTTCCTCTGCCAGGGAGTCCAGAAGCAAGAATAGTGGCCGAGTCAGGACCGATTGGTAGCCGCCCACCAAACCGTTAAGGCCGCTCAAAACAGGCAATCCGCTCGTCCTTCTGGACAGTCTGCCAGGCTTCTGAGCCTGTTGGTTCTGTTCGTGAATGGTATGGGTCCAGAGCACAGCCAACCGGCGGCCAGCATCCGCCGCATCCGCTGAACCGGACTTGGCGGTAGTCGTCGTGGCCTGGGTCATCAGTGAAGTCACGGCAGCTTCGACGAGGTGATCTGATGCAGTCATGGCCTGCAGTTGCCACAGGCACCTTACAGCCTCGACATGGTACTTTGGTCGGAAAGGAGATAGATAATACCAGGTCGACACCACCAGGGAATTCACAAGATCTGGCATACGCGCAGGCGGAAAGAAAGCGGGTGAATCGTTGCTGGGCTGGAATGCCGTCATTATTGTCGTGACGGCGATGATTGAGGAGAAAGGTATACGGTGTTCAGCACCCTGGGACTTCTCCACTTTGATCGCCTCTTCAAATGCCGCCAGTAGATCCTTACTGCTCACAACCGTCGTGTCCGAGACTCTTGACAAGATATTGGAGAGCAGTTTTGTGCTGATCTCTTTCATCATGTCGGAGGTGCTGGCACGGAGAGAGTTGATGAAAAAGGTTACTGTCTCCTGCAACAACGAGTCTCTTAACTGGACAAAAGAGCACGGGGCGCCACTCGTTTCGAGATTGCCTTGTTGCTCGTTATAGAATGCTCGTACGAGTTCCGTGGTGGGCACACCCTTTACATCCACCCCATCCTCGGAGCCCTTGTTAGCGAGCGCACGGTCGGAAATGCTCTGAACCAGAATGTCCACAATGTCCAGCTTCGTTGTTAATATGGAATTCTCCGTATCATTTTGACTGTTGACTGAGGGTGGGGTGTGGTTGAGCATCTTGAGCGTAGCACACGCTACTAAAGGAACGTGATGAAGTAACATCTCTTCCTCCCGGATGTTGAAACGAGTAATGATGAATTTGGCCAGCTTCAACTTCTGCAGCACCTTCTCACGGTCCTTGGCACCTTCGGGCATGGCCTCATCCAGGAGCTCGAACAGTTTGCCCCAGATGAGACCACTTTCCACACCATCGAAGAAGATGCTGGCACTACGTAGGACCTCCTCGAAGTTTTCCCTGCTTGTGGATTCGCCGTAGCGCCGAGCGCTTTCGAGAAGCGGCAGGAACACAGACGGGACAAGAAGCCCGCCCACCTCCCAGCGATCCATCAGAGACAGGCAAACTCGGAAAGGCTTTGCATGTGCGGCGGGCGATTGGTCGCGAGTGTTGATCATGGACATGATTCCATTTGTAAGAGGCTGCAAGCCGTACCTGGCAAAGTAGGCGGCATGATGCGAGTTGACGTCAACCACAGGGCTCTTGGGCTCCGCCTGTCCATCTCCCCCATCAGCGTCGGTACCGGGGTCGGGTCCCAGAAACCATGACCACAGTCTCCGGTTCAGACTCATATCCCTTCTCGTGACAACGCCGGCGGCGGCGGATACCAGTCGTTCCAGGTCCTTTCCGTCGATGCGCACCTGGAGGACTTCAGAGTGCAATGGTAACGAGTTGACCAGGAGATCCAAGTACCCTCTTTGGACCAGGAGTTGGCTGTCACCGAGACCGGCAGCAAAGCACCTAATCAGCAAGCCCGGCTCGGGTGCAATGGCAGCCTCTGCAGCCATTGACAGGGCCTCGGCAGGCACATCATCTTCCTCAGTGGCAACTACCGAGTTGCGCCTCTGTTTTGTTCCGAATTGTGGCAATCTCCGAACCAGATACGCGAGGGCTCCTTGACGGCGGGGAACGTTGGTGATGGTGGCGAGGAAGAAGCACTGCCAAAAGTAGGAGTCCTGCGCGTCACCAGCACCGTCATTCTTGCGCGCTTCGTCACCACTTATTGTAAACCTCAGCTTGTCCACGATCTGCAGGATGCGTTCAAAGTCCTCGGCAGTCTCATCTTCCAAGCCGGGCAAGAGGCACAGTATTATCGATTTGAGGGCGGGTCTCAGCGCCTGCGCATCGACGGCGAGGACGTAAGTCTCGATGAGGGAGAGAAAAGCGGGCCGGACGGAGAGCGAGGCGAAGGACAGCACGGAAGCAAGGCCGGGGAAGTAGACGTGGAGATTTTGGGAGAGAGCGGGTTTCTAGAATTGTGAGCCAATGCTTCGCCAGGCAGAGCAGGAGCGGCTAACCGTGAGAATGGAGAAAATGTAGGCGTAAACCTCGAGGGCTTTCTGGTGTACACCCGAGGGCAATGACGGGTTCAGGCATTGGGCCAGGCGGATGGCGATGGTGGCGCTATGCGGGACATGGGGCACGTCTTGGGGGTGCGTCTGGATGGCCTGCAGGGCGTGAGCTTGGTGGGCGGGGCAGAGGGCGCGGTGATGGGCGGACCTTCAGCAGGCGGCCCAGGAAGGAAATGTAGTCGGCCCATTCTTGCTGGGGTGTGTCGAACAGGGCGAGGGCGCGCTCGACGTTGGACTCGTAGCGGCGGAAGGCCTTGTCTTTCTTGAGGGGAGCTGCAGGCATGCGTGAGCGGGGTCTGGGAGCTTTCTCGAAGCTTGGTGGAGCTCCGGCGCACGACGTACATACCGTCCTCGAGCGGGCGTCGAGGCGAGCGCACTGCGGGCGATTGGCGGCCAGAGCTGGAGGGCGAGGCAGCGCGGGCCTGCGACTGCGGATCAAGCGACATGGTTCGTGGGCGGGTGCATCAGGGAGAGAGGAGTCATCGCCTCACAGCTCAGCTCGGCGCATTGCGCAGTCGTCGCGGCCGCGGGCAAGAGGCGGCCATGAGCTCCAAAAGCCCACGCGTCAACTCCGGTCTTGGCGCGTCGTCGCCCGCCTGCCGTGCCAGGGTCCGAGGGTCCCGCTAACTCACCGGCGACCGCCGGCATCGCACCCGCCGTTCCATTCCTCTGCATCATCGGCTTCGCAGAGCCGGCGCCTGACTTCAGTTATCCAAACACCCTCCAATGAGTGCCCATACCGTGGCAGATGCTCTCAGCCATCACTCGGGTCACGATTCCACCACTGTCTCCGACCGTTACCTAATACCGCTAGGTTGAACGCGTGGCCTTTACTCCAACCGCTTATTTTCTGTATCTCCAAAAAGCCACAAATTAGCATCCACAGCAAACACGTGCGACATTAATGATTATTCATTACTGGTATCAATCGCTACTGATGCGAATCCAATCCTCTGGTTATGCCAAATTTCGTCGCAACCCATGGGACGCTACTACGCATCCGACTTATGAAGGGTAGACATCCTTGAGCTGAATCCGTGGTTTCTCGTAGGTCATCGACCAGAAAGGCAAGCGGAGAGGTACTCGAGGGTACGCCGACGGCATCACTGGAAATGGAGTCGAAGGAGAGACCAATTTGTTAAACAAGACACACCGGCTCCTCGAACTGACTTGTGGCAATCGTCTCAACCCCCATTATTTGATTCTGCTTCCCAATGTACCAACCAAGAGCCTTGTCCGCGCATTCCAAGCCGAAAGGAGAGTCGTAAGTCGTAGTCTACCACTCTGTGCCATCATCTACATCGCTCCTCTAATTCTCCGCGCTCCTGTCTTTTCTTCACGCACCAACCCAGACTCTGGCTTCAAATGGCCTCAACACACCCTCGACCTCATCCGCATAATTGCCAGCCACCAACTTCTTTCCATCTTTCCCAGGCACCTCCACGGGGACCTCCTCCTCGGTAAAGTTCAGCGCCACCACAGCATTCTGTCCCTTCCCCCTCTTCTCAAACACAAACGTCTTTTCGTCATCCAAATCCCGAATCTCCGTCGTCCCATACACCAAACTCGGCGCATACTCCTTCCTCGTCCTCAACATCTGCCGCCAAAACGCCAACACCGAGTCCTTCCGCGCACTCTCACTCTTCACATTAACCTCCCCATGATTATCATGCACCCGCATCCACGGCGCGTCACTCGTCGTAAACCCCGCCTGGTACCCGTCGTCCCACTGCATCGGCAACCTCGCATGATCGCGCGCAAGATGCTGCAGCGCGGCCATAGCCCGCGGCCGCCCCACCTCCACCCCATACCTCTCCTCCATCCACTTGGCAAAATTCCTGCTATCGACATCCTTGTACTCGCCGACGCCCCACTCCGCCGGCGCATTCACCATCCCAATCTCCTGCCCCTGATACAGAAACAACGTCCCACTCAAACTCGCCAGCATCGCCGCCAGCATCTTCGCGCTCCTCTCGCGCAGCTCCCGCGTCCTCTCGCACCCGAACCGCGACACGCTCCGCGCCTGATCGTGGTTCTCCATAAACGACGTCGTCCACGCCTCGCCCGACCCGTCGATCAGGTCCTGGGTGCGGGCCACGGCGTCCTTGAGGTCGCGCAGCCGCCAGGCGCGCGGCGTCGTGTCGAAGCGCTGGTCGGCGCCGAAGCCGACGTCGACGACGTCGAACATGAAGGTCATGTCGAGCTGCCGCGCCGAGGCGGACACGTAGCGCAGCACGTGGGCGCGGTCGTGCGTGTGCGGCAGCTCGCCGACCGTCATGGCCCCGTGCTTGGCGAGGATGGCGTGCATCTCGGCGAGGAACTCGTGCATCCGCGGGCCGTTGCAGTAGAGCGACGCCGCGCCCTGCCAGGGCGAGTGCGGGTCGACGATGGGGGCGTTGGGGAAGGGCTGCGGTTTGGAGTACATCTGCGGGGTTGGGCGGGGTCAGTTTTGGTGCAGAGGGACGGTGATCAAGGACGTTGTGTTACGTTGACGGTGTCGACGCGGAAGCCGTCGATGCCCTTGCGCAGCCAGAACTCCATGGCGGACTCGTAGATGGCGGCGCGCGTCTCGTCGTTCTCCCAGTTGAGGTCGGGCTGCTCGACGCAGAACAGGTGCAGGTAGTACTCCTGGGTCGGCTCGTCCCACTCCCAGGCGCTGCCGCCGAAGTTGCTGCGCCAGTTGTTGGGCGGCAGGCGCGCGCCCGTGACCGGGTCGTGCTTGGCCGGCCGCCACACGTACCAGTCGCGCTTCGGACTGGCCTTGGACGAGCGCGACTCCTTGAACCAGGCGTGCTGGTCCGACGTGTGGTTGATGACTAGGTCGAGCAGCACGCGCAGGCCGCGCTCGTGGCTGGCGGCGATGATGCGCTCCATGTCCTCGACGGTGCCATAGGGCGGGTAGACCTTCTCGTAGTCGGAGATGTCGTAGCCCTGGCGGAACACGTGAGGATGGTGGTTGGCAGACGGGGGGTCGGGCTTACCATGTCATGTTGAGGGCTGTCGTACATGGGGCAGATCCAGATTGCGTCCACGCCGAGAGACTTGATGTAGTCCAGCTCGGACAGGATGCCGGGCAGGTCGCCCAGTCCGTCGCCATTGGAGTCTTTGAAGCTCGCGGGGTAGATCTGGTAGATGGAGGCATTCTTCCACCAGGGGTCGTCGGTGACGGTCATGGTTGGGAGGGATGGGAGGGCGTCAGAGGGCGTCGGTGGCGTCTGCGGATCAAGCGAGGTTGCGGGGAAATCGTCAGTGGTTCGGGGGATGCAATGCGGTAAGAAGTCCGGCGCGGGTTGGCCCGGCAGAGGGGCTGGGCAGGGACCAGAAGCAAACAGAGGGGGGTGGCTCGATGCTCAGAGCGGTTGGATCGGGCGAGCTTTATGCCCAAGGCCGGTGGTGGTCGGAATTGAAAAACCGCGATGCTCCGCACAAGACGCATGTTTGCCAGGAGATGGAAGGCGAAGGCGGGGCGCGACGCGTCTCCCATCTGGCGCCCATTGGCCGCATGTCGGCCCGACGAGACTTCGGCACCGAACCGGCAGACGCAGCGGCTGTCATTTGCTCAATGTCGGGCCGGCCTGCTGCAACCACCCTTCTCCACGCTCCCTCCCGCAAATCTGGGGTAACTCCACGCTAATGTCACCGCCCGTTCAGGGCCATCAGGCGGCTCTTGCGACGCCTGCCGCGCCTTCCCGTCCTGTGCTCACGAGCATGGGCTTCTGCGTCGTGCAAAGGCAGCACAATTCGCGCAATCTCGGCCCGCTCTGGATGCAGCGGGAAAAGGCGGCGTTTTTAGCTTCGCTCCCGTCCTTCTAGAGCCTGGTCGTCCGGTGGCGAGCCGCTTCCACGGGCTCCGTCACACCTGTGCTACCCTAACGACGCAGCTGTCGCTAAACACCATGCCCCGCCCTATATATTTCCCCGGATTCCTCGCCGCAGCTGCAGACTCCTGCATTCCAAACCTGCCACCTCCCTACTCCGGCCGCGCTTGCTCTATCTAATTCTCCTATCTCTCGCCAAAGCCTGCGGCACTTTGTCTGTCTCTGCCAGCATGCCTCCCCGCCAGGAGAACGCCACCGGGCCCGACGTCGTGGCCATGGGCGCCGACGAAATCCGCCGCATGTCCGTGAGCAATACTCACCTCCAGGACCTGGCCCGAGACGCCGCCAATGCCACCCATGCCGAGCAGAAAATGAGCCTTTGGCAAGGTTGGTCTCATCACACCATCGAACCCATCACAAACATCGTCTGACGGTGACGCCACAGGGCTCAAGACTTACCCCTACGCTGTGGGCTGGTCCGTCTTTTTGTCCACCTGCATTGTCATGGAGGGGTTCGACAAGGTTCTGATCAACAACCTGTATGCATACGCGCCGTTCCAAAAGGCCTTTGGCGTGCAGCTGCCCGATGGGACCTATCAGCTCACTGCCGCGTGGCAGTCGGCCCTCAGCAACGCCTCCCTGATTGGTGAGATCTTGGGTCTCTTGGTCAACGGCATTGCGGCCGAGCGGTTCGGATACAGAAAGACCATGATCACCGCTCTGGCCGCCGTCATCGCTTTCATCTTCGTCGTCTTCTTCTCTGAGCACATCGTCACTCTACTCATTGGCCAGATCCTTTGCGGGATCCCGTGGGGTGAGTTTGCGAATCGACTCGTGCATCACTTGCCACTGACTGACCCACCGCAGGCGTGTTCCAGACCATCACCACCACCTACGCCGCCGAGGTGTGCCCCGTTGCCCTCCGCGGGTACTTGACCACCTACATCAACCTTTGCTGGGTCCTTGGACAGTTGATCGCGTCGTCGGTGCTCCGCGGCATGCTCGGCCGGAGCGACAAGTGGGGCTACAAGATCCCGTTTGCGCTGCAGTGGATGTGGCCGATTCCGATCATAATCGGGCTGTGCTACGCTCCCGAGTCCCCGTGGTGGCTCATCCGCAAGGAGCGCCGCGACGATGCCAAAAAGGCGCTGCTCCGCCTCACATCGTCGGCCAAGGACCCCAACTTCAACGCCGACGAGACGGTGGCCATGATGGAGCTGACCAACGAGCTCGAGAAGGCGCACTCGGCCGGCACCTCGTACAAGGACTGCTTCTCCAAGACGGACCTCCGGCGCACCGAGGCCGTCACCCTCACCTGGGCGATCCAGACGCTCTGCGGCGCCAGCAGCTTCATGGGCTTCTCGACCTACTTCTACCAGCAAGCCGGCATGAGCACCGAGCACAGCTTCACCATGTCCATGGCGCAGTACGCGCTCGGGGCGCTGGGCACCGTCTCGTCGTGGGCGCTCATGGGCTGGTTCGGGCGGCGCACGCTGTACTTTGCCGGGCAGGTGGGCATGTTCGTGATGCTGGCCGTCATCGGGTGCCTGGGCATCGTGTCGCGCAGCAACAGCGCGGCGCAGTGGGCCATCGGCAGCTGCCTGCTCGTGTACACGTTCATCTACGACGCCACCGTCGGCCCCGTCTGCTACTCGCTCGTGTCGGAGCTCAGCTCCAACCGGCTGCGCGCCAAGACGGTCGTGCTGGCCCGCATCCTGTACAACCTGACCGGCCTCGTCACCAACATCCTCACCCCCCGCATGCTCAACCCGTCCGCCTGGAACTGGGGCGCCAAGGCGGGCTTCTTTTGGGCGGCGTCGTGCGGGCTGTGCGCCGTGTGGACCTACTTCCGCCTGCCCGAGCCCAAGGGCCGCACGTATGCGGAGCTGGATGTCTTGTTCGAGAAGAAGGTTTCGGCGCGCAAGTTCAAGACCACGGTCGTCGATCAGTTTGTGGGTGCGGGGAGGTCCACGAGCAGCTCGACCATCGACAAGGACGAGGTGAAGGTGCACGTCGAAAAGGTCGGACACGCATAAGATGCGCATGTGATTTGACGAAGTCCCGAGGCACGGCATTTCTTACTTGTTTTTTTTTCTTTTATTCTTCCGTCATAATCTATAGTTATATAGGCCCGGTTATAGTGGGTCTCTCAATCTACCTCTCGCCATCCTATTTCTTTATTGAGCGGTTCTCAGACCACATCTTAACGCAACAGTACCCATGGCTATCACAGCTACATGCATGCCCTGGTGTTGATTTGTTAGTACACCACCGGAAGGCTCGGATGGCTCTCCTATACCGAGTCTGGGAGGCGTGGGATCCTTTGAGCCCGACCACTGGTAGTGTGTGTTATGCGGTCGTTGCAGAAGCCATTAAGTCCGCGCGTCTATTTTCGGTGATGGCGCCCGATGCGGCGAGCAGGGGAGTAAGCCGGATGTGAAAGCTTCGCATGGCCGGGCCCAAGACCGGTCGGATCGAGTGTCAGGAGACGAGAGATTTTCCAGCTGCAGAAAACTTCAACACCCATTCATGTGCAAGGCACAGCCGACGCCTTTCCGCGGCGGGTTAGCGCAGTGCGGGAGCAGCCCTGGGGCGAAATGCCAAGGATGACGCGCGCTATTTAATCCTCCCGCCAGATGCCTAAGTTCTCCTCACCACCAGACAATCTGCCCCACATGTGTCAACCATGGATGTCGCCGCGGCTGTCAACCAACGACGCTCCCAGCAAGCCTGCGACGCCTGCCGCCGCCGCAAGGTCCGCTGCAACGGCCAGGCCCGCTGCCAGCAGTGCTCGCATCTGAACCTCAAGTGCATCTACACTTCGCCCAACCGCGGTTCCTCCAGGAAACATGCCCAAGGCAGAGGCGCCGTCATCCAGTCCTACAGGAAGAGCACGAGCAAATCCCATTCTCCCAACACCCCGCTCGAAGTCGCCCCCGCGCCGACTCCCGCCCCCACCAGCGCCCTCAGTCCCACCTCAGCCACCACGCTTGCCATCTCCCGCCCCTCTGCCACCGGACATCCGGACCCTTCCTTCTTCCTGGACCTGCTTCCCGAGTACCTCTCGGACGTCTATCCGGTGAGCCCGGTGGTCACCGAGGCCGACGTCCACGCCTGCGTGCGGCGCATGCACACCGACCCCGAGGCCATCTCGTTCCTGTACATATTCGCCGCCGTCACCATCAACCTGGCCCGCGTCGACTTCCTGCAATGCATGCCGGGCATCCGCGAGCAGATTGCCACCCTCGTCCAGCGCTGCTTCGACCACCGGCCCCGGCTGAACATGATGCTCAAGCCCACCCCGCTGCAGGTCATGACCAGCATCTTCATCGAAATCTGCCTCATGGGCCTCCAGAAGACGGACCTCGCGCTCCTGCACCTCCGCGAAGCGCAGTCGCTCGTCAAGATGGTGCACGTCGACGACGCCGACGCCATGAGCGCCTTCTCGGCCTCGGACCGGGCCAAGTGGCAGCGCGCGTACTGGGAGTGCTTCATCCACGAGCGCTTCTCGGCGCTGACGGACTGGGAGCCGGTGCTGCTGGACCCGCTGCCGGGCCCGCCCGAGCACGACGCGCACATGTCGGCGACGATCCAGCAAGGGTGGAACTGCATCATCCAGACCTTCCTCCTCATCGACCGCCAGTTCGTCGACTTCTGGCGCGGCGACCGCTCGCGCATCCCCAGCGCCTGGCTCAACGCGAAGCACCGCCAGCTCGACGACGAGCGCTGGCCCCGCCGCGCCGACCTCGCCCTCCTGCCCGCCATGCAGCAGGCCGACATCCTCATCACCCGCCAGTGGCTGCGCACCATGCTGTGGCAGATGGCCATCTCGAGCATGCTGCTGACCATCGACGTGCCGGCGCCCACCACCGAGCCACCATCCTCCGCCGGCCCACCCCCTACCGCCGCCGCCGCCGCCGCCGCCGCCGCCATCGATGACGACGAGGAGGACGAGGGGGGATCGACGCACCTCTCGCTCACGATGCCGCTGCGGCTCTCGAGCGAGCTGCGGCTGTGCATCACGCACCTGTCGCCGCAGGCGGTCGGCATCCACGGCAGCGGCATCCTGCACAAGCTGTTCGAGATCACAAACTCGATCCTCGACGTCGTCATCAACCTGCCGCAGGCCCCGACCGAGGACACGCTGCAGCGCGTCGACGACATCCTGTTCCTCAAGAAGTTTCTGTTTTCCTTCCCGCGCATCGACCCCAAGCACAAGCGCATCCTCAACCAGAAGTTCGAGCGCATCAGGGAGCTGTATCCGGGGATGGAGGAGATTCAGATGTTGGTGGCTTCGCCGCTGAGTACGGTGACGTCGTGGGGGGAGTAGGTAGTAGGGGTGGGGGAGGGGGGCATGGGGACCTCACTTTTTCGTGTTTCTTCTTTTTTTTCTTCTCCGAGTATATTCATGAATGAACCTCTGTGTGGAGTGGAGACGGGGGAAAAGTACATATGGGCGGGCACTTGAAAGATATCCAAATTCGACGGACAAGCAATGTATTCATGACCCAAAGGCACTTTCTCCGCGGTATTGCTCCGTTGTTGAATAGCTCTTATCTACATTTCTACCGCAGGTAATGTCAAGGAGGGACATCGCGCATCGCTGCTTGGGTGAGCGTCGATGGGCTTGCTAGTCTGCTTTCCGCTTGTTTGGTGAAGACGATAATCAGAGGGCTCGACAATATGTAATCCAGATAAGCAAGCAACACATTCAGTGAGAGTGCAAATTCTCGCTGCCGGCGTGTATCAAACGAGAAAGCTGATAATCATCAACCGTAGAAAGCGCTGAAGGCTCGGTACTCAGAGTAACCACGGCCAGGAGTGAACCATACTCGTCGGGTCGTAAGGATTGACCGCATGATAATCAAACCACTGGTCGAACGATTCAGCCAATGGCTACGGTGACAGCCTCTTAAAGCAAAATCCGAAACCACAGCGATCAGTCACGGCCGGTGGCCTGCTGACCATGCGATTGCTCATGCAGGGTCTTGTCATGAGGACGGCCCAAGCGCATGGCGTGTCATGCAGCCGCGTATCCCTTTTCAGACAGACTCCACCTTTATAAAGTTCGAGCTTCCTCCATTGAAGGATACTGACTGGCACCGTGCTTTGAATGCATCAACGTTGCAACAGCAAAGCTATCAAGAAACTACTTTTTCTTTTCAAGCACAGATAGGAGTCACCGGTGCCGCCGCACTGATGAGATGCATAGTCTTGAAATCCCATTGGCCATCAACTCCATGAGGGCACTTTCAACCGTCGATGCCGGGCAGCAGCAGTCTAAAGAGACGGCGAAGCGTGCCATCGATGCAAATGGAGGAATCGCAATCACACAAGACGTAGAAGATCCAGGATCGAAGCCGGCTCTCCAAAACACAGCGCATTCTTGAGAGGGGCAGAGGAGAGGAAGCAAAGTATGTAGAGTAGCTTGTATGTTGACCAGCAAACCCGCATCGAAATCGAAGTCCTGATTCTTCTTCCGGTCGTCGCACCAAGCTCACTATTTAAACCCACCCCACGAAACTAAGGCCCCCAGCAAATCACACTGTACAGCTGACGCAAGACCTTCGTTCGCTAAGATCCAGATCACACGCACGCGAACACCTGCCCGATCCGAACAATCGACAACGAGCCCCAAAAGGAGATCCGGAGCGCCCACCGAACACGGAAAATGTTGTACATATACCCCAGCAGCCTTGTGTACTTGCATGTAGGGTCATGTCACGGGGAGCAAGTCAGACACACCGTGATCGTACCCACCGGCTGCAACCTCATTCGCCAGTCGAACGATGAGGTACCACAACGTATCACTCTGGACCACGCGCTGGTTGGTTAGCGCCGGGACCCTGGTTTGTCTTTGCGATTTGTCTCACTCTTATCTCTTCTTCACTTGCTGTTTATTTCTCTTGTTCTTCCATTTCTCTTCTTCTTCTCTTTTTCTTCTTTCTTTTTCTCTTCTTCTTCCTCACCTACCTTCTCCACCCCCCACACCCATCCTTCCCTCACATCCCGAAACCCACCAAAAGCAACCCAAACACAGCACACCAGAGCAAAGCAAAGCACCGAATCCATCATAAAACCTTCTTCGCGCATTCGCATTACAACAAAATCTAACCAAAAAAAAAAAAGTAACAAAAACTAGTACCAGGATATCTATCACTCCATCTCAACAACCTACAAACTCGCCGTCGCCGTCGCCGTCGCCATCTCCACCTTCCCCCTCCCGATCCGCTCCTCCCCCTCCCCCTCCTCCCCCCTCATTACCCTCCTCGCCCTCACCAGCTCCGCCTCCAAATCCTCCTCCCAGATCCACGCCATCCGCGCCCTCAAATTCTCCGCCACGGCGCCGACGTCGTCTCCACACCCCTCGAGCTCGAAATCATACAGCCTCCCCGCCTCATTGCTCGTCGTCACCAACCGATGCGTCCGCTCGATCCGCACCCGCTCAAACGCCTCGAACGCGCGCCGCACCCCCTCCGCGCTCCGCGCCTCGCCGACCAGCGCGCTCATCAGCCACGCGTCCTCGACGGCCATGCCCGCGCCCGAGCCCTGGTGCGGCGTCGTGGCGTGGGCGGCGTCGCCGATGACGCAGATGCGGTCGCGCGTGTAGCGGGGGGCCGGGGGGTGCTCGAAGAGGGCCCAGATGTCCGTCTTTTGCATCAGCGACATGATGGAGCGCACGTGCTCGGACCAGCCGGCGAAGTCGGCGAGGAGCGCGTCCTTTGTGGTGGGGACGACCCAGGCGGGCTGGTCCCAGGTGGGGGAGCTGGCGAAGGCGACGACTGAGGACAGAGAGGTTAGTGAGATGGTTTCTCTTGTTGGGGGAGATGCTGGTTGTGGGGAGGGGGGGTTTGGATTAGGGGGTTAGGGGAGGGGGACAAGGACGAAACGAACCGTTCATGGTGGCGCCGTGCTCGATGGGGAAGGTCAGCACGTGGCCGTGGTAGCCCAGGTACATCTGGCTGTTGCGGGCGAGCTCGTCGCCGAGCAGCTCGGCGGCCTTGTCCATGGGGATCAGGCCGCGGTAGGCGTACTTGCCGCTGAAGCGGGCGCGGGCGGCGGGGTGGTCGTCGCCGAGGACGATCTGGCGGGTGCGGCTCTTGATGCCGTCGCAGCCGATGACGGCGCTGTGCACGGCGTCGGTGCCGTCGAGGAAGTGCAGCCTCACGTTGCCGTCGGGCAGGTTCTCGATGCGGTCCAGCCGCTTGCCGAACTTGGCGACGTCGTCGGGCACCAGCTTGACCATCTCGTCGAGGAAGTGGGCGCGGTGCACGGCGGCCTGGCCCGAGGGGGTCGGCAGCGAGTGGATCAGCTCGCCCTGGTTCTGGTCGGCGTGGCTGCCGCCGTGGCCCATGCCGCGGCGGAAGTCGAACCACACCTGCTTCTTGCTGTCCCACTGGTTGAATGTGGCGACCCTCTCGAAGCCCTCGCGCACCTCGGGGGCGATCAGCGACATGGCGCGGGCGGCATTGGCGCCGAAGGCGACGCCAGCGCCTATCTCGCCGAAAGCTTGTGCCGACTCGTACAGGGTGACTTTGACGTTCTGGCGCAGCAGGCCGATGGTGAGGGTGAGGCCGGCGATGCCGCCGCCGACGACGGCGATGTCGAAGTTGTGCTCGGTCGGCATGGCGACGGTGTGGTGTCGGGAGGAAAAAGGGAGTGAGGGGTGGAGGAGGGGAGGTGGGAGGGATCTGGAGTAGGTAGGATGCGGGGTATCTCTGGTGTTGAAGAGGGCGGGTTCTCAGGCGACAACGGACAGCTATGGCGAGTTATATACGGCAGCTTCGTACGAGGCGGTTGACGAGGGAGCTCGGTCAGGGTGTTTGGCAATGCTATGGTTGGCAGGTTTCGTCGGATGAGGGCTGCGGGTATGGGGTACGGAGGCGCGCACCCTGCACTATGACGCGCTCGACCCCCGAGCCCATCTCGGCCGGCGGCGGCGGCGCGCTCGCGAAGATTCACATGGCTGTCGAGAAGGCGCCGTCCGGCAGCGCGCGGATGCGGAGGAGCGGGTCGTGCGACGATGCAGGCGAAGCGGGTGGTTGCGATGCTGGATCGTCCAGGTAGTCCAGGTGCAGCGTCAGCAGTCATGATGGCGGCGTCGGATCCCGCACCCCAAGTCAGCTCCGGCGCGCGGCAGCAACCCACTCCGCCGCCCTGCACGTGAATTAGCAGCTGCAACTGCTTTAGCTTTCCGCTGCCGTGCACCCGTGCAACCGTGCAGCCCGCGCGATCCTAAGACTTTAACTCCGCCGCCGCCAGACCTGCCATGAGCTCGCTTTTTATTGGCGGACCGCGGCCGGCCGTGACGGTGGGACGATGGCCGCGGCCAGCTAACAACGCGGGGTATCGTCCGTCCTGAACCGCTTCCTCAACACTTCATCCTCCATCCAGTCGCTACCATCGTCCTGGACTCTGTGACTCGGCCCGCTGAACTCGCAAAGCCTGAGCCACCCCGGACACGCAACAGCCCACGACTCTCTGCCGAACCCGCCCCAAAGCCCCATTTTTGACCCATCTCCCGCCCCATCCACCGCCCCACCCGCTCTTTGGCATCCGTCAAGCTTTTGCTGAAGCTTTCGGATATTGAAGATCGCCGCCTTCGTACGAGTCTCCGTGCCGCATCGACCAGCCTCCGCACCTGAGAGCACCGCAGCACCACCATGGGGGATATTCGACCTGAGGATCCCGCCCTCTCTCCACCCATTGCCTCGTCCGAACGCGAAGTCACTGTCCTCGTCACCGGCTTTGGTGTAAGTCTCCATTCTTTCCGTCTCTCATCTCCGGCCCTGAACGAGTGTCTCCCGGTCTCGGCCGCGTGGTCGGGCTGATTCCGGCCTCTGTTTCCTTCTCCGCTTGTTTCCCACACCAATTTCCCATCATCGCTGCCGAAGGACAGAACCACCGCATCGGTAGTTTGACCCTGTTGTCCCATCTGCCTGTTGTTGTTGTCCCCACATTTCACCACACCGCACCTGCTCTTTTACAACCACAACAACACTCAACTAAACAAACAAACCCCCAGCCCTTCCTAACCGCCTTCCCCATCAACCCCTCCTGGGAAATCGTCCGCCGCCTCCCCCCGACCCTCACCCTCCCCCCGACCCTCACCCTCCCCTCCCACCCCTCCCCCAAACCCCCATCTTCCACCACCACCACCCCTTCCTCCCCCGCAACCAAAATCACCCTCCTCGCCCCCGCGCCCCCCTGCCCCCTCCGCGTCTCCTACCACCCCACCGCCGCGCTCCTCCCCTCCCTCCTCGCCGCCCACCGGCCCGACCTCGTCCTCCACGTCGGCCTCGCCGCCGGCCGCGACTTCTTCGCCATCGAGCGCGGCGCGGCGCGCCTCGGCTACGCGCGCAACGACGACGTCGACGGCCGCCGCTGGTCCGCCAAGGAGAGCGACGCCGCGTGGCCGCCGCGACGGGAGGAGCGCGGCTTGGGGTTCCCCGATCGTTTGGAGACGGGGTTGGGGTTTGAGGGGGTGTGGGATAAGTGGGTGGGGGGGTGTTGTGGGGGTGGTGGTGGGGGCGTTGAGGGGGTGAGGGGGCCGGGAGAGGAGGGGAGGGGGAGCGGGAGCGGGAGGGGGGGTGAGGGTGGTGGTGGTGGTGAGAGCGGTGGCGATGGGAAGGGGCCGCGGCGGAGGCGGAGGGAGGTGGAGATCCGGCCGTCGGATAATGTGGGGAATTATCTGTGTGGGTTTAGCTATTATACCACTTTGGCGTGGTTTTGGGCGAGGGGGAAGGAGCGGGAGGAGCAGCAGTGTGGGGAGGAGGGGGAGGGGGATGGGGAGGGGGATGGGGAAGGGGCGCGTGTGGACGTCGAGCGGCCGGTCTTGTTTCTGCATGTCCCGCCGTGCCCTGAGGAGGAGGATGTGATTCAGGGGAGGGAGATTACGGAGGAGCTGATTAAGGCGATGGTTGGATGTTACTTGGCGCAGAAGGATAAGAATCAGCGGGAGGGGGAGGTGTTGGCTGTGTAGGGGGTCACGTGGCGTGTCGCAGAGGATTTGGCTGAGCGTTTGGAGCTCTGGAGAGGACGCTGTACGCTTCGTATCATTGGGGTTGGACCTTATTCCTGGGTGGATTCGTCTGCGTTGAAGGCCATTCATGGACTCGACCACCTGCATTAGGAGGGCACAACGTCTCCTGCTGACTAACACGAGTGGGCCTGAATCTTTCGCCACCCCTTGTGGTGGCTCAGTTTTGTTTAAAGGGCACCGGGCGGGTGTAGTCTCCTTCTATATAAATACTGTCTTCGTTTCTGTTTTAAATTTTTCTTGCCCAGTTTATGTATCCGCAAGACCCATGGTCAACATAAGACTTGAAGATTGGTCCTGGATTACTGTTTTTCCAGCTTGTCACTTCCCAGTGTACGCAAGTCACAGATATGGAATCCTCGGCGACATACAACGTAACTAGCAATCATACCAATCATTTTCCATAATTGTTAGCACCAGAGCTTATTAAGAGCGAAGACCATCTTCAAATTGCACTGCCGAAGAGCATCATCATTATGTTTTGGCGGCTTCTCAGCACGCTGCTCGCTCGTGCAATTTTGCTAGCAGTGGAACTAGCCGCTAAAATGGAATTCCCGCATAACAGGTTTCTTAAGACAACAACCTATGGTGTAAGGAGTGGACAACGAGGACATACTGCGAGAAGTAAGCAAGCCAAGCTGTTACACGTTAATTCTAATACTTCTAGTGTCCCTCGCCTCTGTGTAAAAACTGTGCTCGGGTGAACTTCATGCAGCGAAACACGAGGCCCCTTCCTTTGTCCCTCACATAGTAATCCCCCATCATGCGCTCACCAACTCATCCTAAGTAGACCCCGAATTGTCCGCACACGAAAATGCCGAGCCTGTCAAACAAAGCATTAGCACCGCTCTTCCAACTCCGCCTTCGCGGGCTTGCCGGGATGAGCACTCACCAATGGTCCCATCAGCATACGCATCAGTAATCTGCCTCACGACGGCATACGTACCGCCGACCAAGAAAAACAGCCCCAGCGCAACCAGCCCCCAATGCAACCAATACCCCACCGCCTTCCTGCACCCCATCCCCTTCCTCCACCCCCCATGATCAAACAGCCACAACCACCCCGGCAAACTGATGGCCAACGGCGCAAAACACACCGTCCCCGTCAACGCGAGTATATAATTAAAAATCGGAATGCTCTGCGCCAGCACAAAACTCACCGCCCCCAGCCCGACCACGCTGCCCAGCCACGTCGCCCAATGCACCGCCGTCCCCTCCTGCAGGTGCCGCGTCCCGCGCAGCGCGCGCACAAACACGTACTTGGCCGCGACGTGCAGATACAGGCACGCCGACACGAGCAACCCCACGACGCCGACCCCGTACGCCGCCTTCTTGACCTGGGGGCCACCCGACCCCAGCGACGGCGACGCCACCCACTTGCCGCACCACGCGTACACGACGGACGAGAAGGCGAGGTACGCGGCCGTCACGAGCGCCATGCAGGCGAGCAGCGCGCGCGGGTAGTCGCGCCGCGGCCGGCGCATCTCGCTCACGACCGGCAAAAACGCCGACGTGCCCGCGCTCGACACGAAGATGGTGGCGGAGGCGGCGGTGCCGGCGGCGAAGCTCGGCGGCGGGGAAGGGAAGGCGTGGTACCCCAGGTCGTAGGGGCCGGTGGGGGGAGCGGCGGCGGGCCGGGAGAGGGTGGTGACGCCGATGACGACGGTGAGGACGGCGGCGAAGATGGAGACGAAGCCGGCCCAGGTGAGGGGGGCGAGGCGCTCGAATTTGCGGATGGAGGCGAGGAGGATGATGGCGCCGGTGGCGAGGAGCGCCCACCAGTTTGTGCAGGCGGCGTGGGTGGAGAGGGCGTTGAGGGCGGTGGAGACGCCGATGATGCCGGAGCCGGTGCAGAGGACGTAGCTGGGTGGGTGGGTGGATGGTGGTTAGATGGGGGGTGTGTGGGTGGGTGCTTGGGGGGGTTGGAGGATGGGGGCTTACGCGATGATGAAGAGAGCGCCGGCGATTTCTTTGCAGACGGGGCCGCCGACGTGCTCGGCCATGTCGGCGATGGAATGGCAGTGGGCGTGTTTGTTGCGGAAGTCGCCCTGGATGGCGGCGGTGTAGGTGTTTAGGGCTCCCCATCCGACGACTGAGAGGGCTCCGCCGACGGCGCCCAGAGTGTACATGGCCGTTGGGATGGACAGGACACCGGTGGCGAAGATGATTTTCAGGAAGATGACTGTTGCTTTGACCTGCGTCGTGCTTGTTAGCCTCGGCTTCCGTGGATTGAGTTGAAGGATCGATGTTACCCAGCTGACTGTTCTGAAGTCAACGCCTTCGCCCTTTTTGAAGACTTCGAATTCATTCTCAACCTCCTTGTCATACGCGATTGCTTCTGCATCCCCAACCCCACGATCAGGCGGCGTTTGCGCAATGTCAAGACTGGACTTCTTCTCCTCTGACATTGTGCAATTCAGGATGTCGAGCGAGATGAGCACTCAAAGAGACGACGAAAAGGAGACGGGAAGTGGCTTGCACGATGACGACCTTGATATGGCCCGGGGATAGCACATGCTTATGGCCAAGGCTGCAGATAACAGCCGCCGACCCCTCAGCGGCCCATCCCACTTTTGGTACCTTGTCCTGGGAGATCGGGCATGAAGTCAACCCGTTCTTATCGTTGCCAAGTTGATTTGTGATTTGCAGTTGGCGAATCCGACTGACTATCTTTGCTGTCGATCGAGCAAGCGCCATCTGGAACTGGTCACGGTCTCTGGGAATGGACGTGAATTGTGCCCGATCTGCATCGGCGGCCACAAATCAAGGCACTCGAATGGTTTGTTTTTGGAACCATACTTTCGACGAAGCTGCGTCGATTGCGAGATATGTTGCAAGGATGATTGATATGTGCCGTCGTGCTGGAAGAGGGACGTGGGATGGTCGAGGTTGAAATTGAGTTGCGAAGGAAGCGGGCGGGAGTCTCGCCGCCGCCCACCCTTCGCGCCACACTTTCCGGCTTTTGGCTAAGCTACGAGATTGGTTCCAATAGGATTGCAACGCCAGCCAAGTAGAAGCATCCAGACTGCTCCTGCCACTGAGGATTTTTGGCAATTCGACCTGATAATCCATCTGCACCGCGATAAGCTACTTCTTCTATGCTCTTGCCGTCAAGATAGCCTGAGCTCCTTGGCGAACCCAGCTCTGCCCTCTCATATCTTCCTGCGGACATGCAATCCCTATCTCGGCCCCGTGCGCTTGGATCGCTGGGTGTCATCAACGCGGGAATAGAGGGGCGGAAACAACGGCATCCTCCATCGCTACAAGTGGTAGTGAATGCCCCACCAAAAGCAGGCTTTGATCAAATGGCCGGTGGCAAATGTGTCAGGAATACCGTATGTCTGGCTGCGGGGATCGATCGAGCCCCCGCGGATCGGAAGTGCTACCCGAAAGCAACGGATGATCATCACATCACCACATCATTGGTCCTGCCTGCACTACTGGAAGGGGGAAACAACAATGAAGCAGTTCTATGAGTTGTTGGAGGAGTCAAGCTAAACCCGAGCAATGGTCGTCCAAACCCCGAGCTAGCGCGAATATCTCGGGGGGTGACCTTGACACCATGCCAAGCATTACGAGATCTGACCCCCTATGGATTGACCTCGGCTTGCAAGCCTTTCAATCAAGCCAAGGGCAAGCACGAGGATTGGCTTGATTAATTCGGCTACCCCCCCATGCTTGCAAGCGCAATCCTAATCAATCGAGGGCCCTGGACCGTCCCTGAAACGAGATCTGGACGTTATTGAGCTGGGCGTTGGACAATAACCCGAGCGGTACTTCCAGTGGGACGATTCTGCTTGCGCTGTGATCCACCCATTCTTCGGCCTTGACTACCTTCAATGCCGGGTAATTCACGGTTTTGGCGTTAATGATATCTTCAAGCCAGCCGTAGTAGCACTCGGGCCAATGCGGATGGTTATCAATGGATATGCGGTGAGCGTCGGTACGGAAGATGATCTGAGCATGGTCAGATTCGAAAGTTTGCGTTGGATACCGTTCCAAAGCCAGCCAATCTCACCTCGAGCTCCTCAAGGGGTCTTGGCAGCATTGCTGAAATGCTCCTCTTCATTTGGTGCGGGCTAAAAAAGCACTCTGCTGGGATCCTGATCTTTCGGAGCTTGGAGAAGAGTGAAAAGTCCATGCCGGTCCCGTTGTGGTGATGCAGCCCGGTGAAGTGATCGAATGGCGCAACGCCAAGCACTGCAGATTTCCAGACCTCGTAGCCAATGACGACCATGTCGAGCTCCTCAATGCTCCCATGCCCGCTTGCCAGGGAAATTCCTGCACCTCGCGGGTCCAGCGACACATGGCAGTTATGGACCGTTGCTAACGGGCAAAAAGGAACGCAGCGATAATCTGTCCGAGCCGCCAGGCCCTGCCTGGGAATGCTAATTCTGAGCTTTTTCACCCCGTTCGCAATGGTCAAGAGCCCAGCTATCTGATGATAAGTGAGAGAGCATTGGGCCAAGTCCAGGTGCGGCAAAGGTTCCTGGCGCCGAGAGTGCTGGCAATTCGCATGGCGACTGGTGTGTGCAGTTATCAATGGGTCGTCATGATATGACGTTACAAGCTTGGCGACGATTGATTCCATTTCCGGCCGAATGATGAGTTCGATCAGGTTTCCCAAGGGCAGGGCAATGTTTTCCATCTTCAAGTGAGTAAGCTTTGGGAAACGTTCGAGTGCGCGACCCAGTTCATTTTGTTGCTGAAGGCCAAATGCTTGCAGCGAGCCCGGGCTTGTTTCCAGATGCAGTGATGTCAACTCGATCAAGGCTGCGTCTTGGATGATGCGCAAAACAAAAGGGTAGCCGGGTCGACCGCGATACTTCTTGAGAATGCCGGTGATGGTCAGTGTTCTGACCTTGGAAGCAAGGTGGCGGCATCTAGTCTCAGACCATCTGCGGCCTCCTCCACCCAGGTCTGTATAAAGACGTTTGAGACGATTAAACCCAGGTCTCCTATCGGTCACTAATCTAAGTTCGATATCGCGGTATTCGGCCGTGGTGGCAGCTTCGTTCAACATTCTGCTGATTTCGACGGGCGAACAACACGCGCTCGGCTGGTCCGACGTCTTGTTGGCGGAATGCAATCTTACATACCAAGTGAGGATGTTTCGGAGAACCGTCGGCGGAAAAAGGCCCGGAAAAGGGCGCAGCGTTGGTGATGGGGAAAATGTCTTGGTTTCATCTCCCGAGTTTTCGCTAGGCTCGGTGCGAGTCGACGTGGGTTCCTGTGGCATGAAGTCATCCGGCAGGCTCTTCGTTTCAGCCGATGTTTCCGGCTGAGCCCCCGGGAGCAAGTCCGATTCCGATAGAGCCTTCGGCCGCATGGCTGTTGTTTGCGAGCTAAAAGAAAGGATAGAGCTGAATACGGATAGCGAACAGAGAATGAGTACCGTAGTAGCGATACTAGGCGATGGTTGAAATTGGTGACGGAGTGTTGCAGTCGAGGTTCGTACAGCTTCATGAGCCGGCGTGCTTTCAGACCTGGGAAGGAGCATCCCCGTCAAAGGGCCACGGCCAATTCTGGCGAGAGCGACCACTTCTGCTTGGCCATCTCACATGCAACCCCTTTCCCCCTCCGCAGCTCTTCGGGCTGGCACTGTTTTACACGAGGAAAACCCGTGTCTGTTGTAATAATGCATATTGAAACAGCTGTAGCATCTTGGGCGGTTCTTTACGTAACGGTGTGCAGGTGCCCAGAAAAGGCAATCTCGGGTTGGCGTGGAGTGGTGAGAGTGAAGGATCAAGTCAAGCGAGCATCGCGGCGGCTAATGGCGGCAGTGCATGGACGAGCTGTGGAGCAACAGACGGAATGCCCAAGGAAATCGAAGTCAGCCTTACGTCGTCGGTGGCTGGAAGCTTAGACCACATTCTGCTTGGCCTATGAAACTTGATCGCAATCAACACATCAGCTCACCCTCTTCGCCCGTCCGCCTGCGCCCACGCCTCCACGCTCGTTCCTGGCCGGCCACGAAGGAGCCACACCAGCACGCGACACCCACCCCCCACCGATTGACCAATCCTTGCCCACGCCCGCCCGCCGCCCGTCTTCCTTCCGTCTTCCTTCCGTCTTCCTTCCCCGCAGCAGCACATGTCGGCCTACGCCCCCATCTCGTCCTCGGACGCGGGTGGGCCAGCAGCGGACCGCCCCTCGCACCAGAACGCCCGCTCGCGCTCCTCCAACAACACCAACCGCTACTCGGCCAGCTCCTTCTTCAGCTACCCCGTCTCGCGCACCGTCTCCGGCCTGTTGCGCCGCATCTCGACCGAGCCGTCGTCATCGAACGACCTCGCATCCTCCATGGGCGGCCTGAAACCCAACACCAGCAGCGTGCCCGGCGTGTACACGCCGCCGCGCCGCCACGCCTCGCCCTTCCAGCCGCCGCCCTTGTCGCCCCTGAACCTGGACGGCTGGAAGCCCGGCACCGCCGACCGCTCGAAGCTGCTGTCGCGCCAGCTGGCCGAGGAGATCCGGCTGCTGATCCCGCCGCGCCTGCAGCTGGTCGAGGACTGGAAGCTCGCCTACAGCCTGGAGCAGGACGGCGTCAGCCTGGCGACCCTGTACAAGAATTGCGAGGACCTGCGCGGGAAGCGCGGCGGTTACGTCTTGGTCGTGCGAGACGGCGGTGGCGGGGTAAGTGGGACACCTCTTTTCCCGTCTCTCAACCCACCCCCGCCTCGTCCGACACCACCACCGGCAGTGCTCCGACTGTGCAGCTGACGACTTGACCGCGATTAGATCTTCGGCGCATACCTGACCGACGCTCCGCACCCGAATCCGCATTTCTTCGGCACCGGCGAGTGCTTCCTGTGGCGCGCCCACGTCCTGCCGGGGCTGCCCAGTCTCGCCAACCTCCCGCCGCCGCCCTCGGCCGACACCACAAACGCGCAGCGCATGACGACAATAGCGCAGCCGAAGCATCACCTCAGCCCGCCGAACTCGAACGCGCCGAGCAACGGCGGCAGCGGCGCCAGCACCCCCGAGCGCATCCGCTTCAAGGCTTTCCCATACAGCGGCGTCAACGACTACATGTTATTCTGCGAGCAGGGCTTCTTGAGCGTAGGCGGAGGGTGAGTTGCTGCCTTGGCCGACCCCTCTGTGTGGTATTGCCCACTGCTGACGCGTGCCGCAATAAAAGTGACGGCCACTACGGCCTCTGGCTCGACGACAACCTCGAGAACGGCATCTCCAGCTCCTGTCCCACATTCGGCAACGAGCCTCTCAGCGACGAGGGCGAGAAGTTCGACGTTTTGGGAGTAGAGCTGTGGTTTATTGGCTGAGAGCGACGCCCAGCAAAAGCCAGCTCTTTCGAATTCAATGACGATGAAGCATGCATGGCACAGCTCCGTCATAATCAGCGATATGGGGAGGATGATGCACTTTCTTTCGCAACTGCATTGCTTTTCTTTCCTGGGGAAATTTGCATATTCGGCGCCAGGGATGATTGGAAAGTAGGGGAAGCCCACCCCCCTCCCACTCCTTCAATCACGGATTCAAGGCGTTTGTCGGACGGCGGGGATACATTCGAAGTTTCTAGGACGACGTAGGATACCATTGGCACAGCATTGCCTTACTGTTTTCGGCTTTTTGTTTAGATTCGCCCCTACCACCTTGCCGAGTCAATCTGAGTGAACTCCACTGTTCATTGATCAATTAGAGGTGTGAGCAAAGAACGCACTAGGGTCTGTCGAGAGGCCTTTTTTCTTTTTCTGGAGCATTGAGATGTTTCGTGGGGCTGATTCTGCGGGAATCGTCAGAAGGGGTGGGTATAAGTACGGAGGCATCTGATTCGCTACCTGGCTGGCGCACTATTAGATTCATCACCCATCGATTGGCAAAAATGGCGTGGTATGGTGAAATTTCAAGCCATCACTCGAAGTATCTTGTTTCTAGACATGGTACTTCGGAAGCATTGTCTGTGGCTCAAGACGGATCAATGACTAGAAATACTCAGCTGGCTCGATTTTACGCGGACAAAGATGGCCATGTCAACACACCCAAGGCAGGAGCAATTACGAGCCAGCGGGAGCGCCGAAGTTATGGAGGTGCAGCAGCTTACTTAACCAGGCAAATCACGTGGCGAGCACGACACCGTTTCTGATGTCAGGAACGGCTGAGATTGCGACATCCAAACGCGCACAACGTCTCGCCCGCAAGCTCCCGATTGACCGACCGCTCCCCGCGGTGGGGCTTATCACAAAGCAGGAGTCAGGGCGGGGAGCTGCTGCAACGCGCACTTGACGCCGCGCAGATCGCTTTGCACACCCCCGCTTCGCGATGCTTGGGCGGAATCGCGACATTCTGTCTGGCTACGCCCATGCAAGCTCCGCTGCTGTCATGCATCTTGTTTCCCTCCGGACCCGCAGCCCCGGGTAGTTATAGCTGGCCTACCTGCCTGCCTGCAGCTTTCCCTGTCCTCTTTTTTTCTTCCCCTCCCCCGCTCCGCTCAATCGTCTCGCTCGTCAACTTGTTGTATTTTCCCCTCCACCAGCCATTGACTCTCAATCGGTCGCCAATTGAGTTTCCCACGCCTCCCCGCCTTATACCTTGCCGTTTTTCCTGCTTGATACCCTCGCAACAATGGCCACCATCATCAACGGCCACAGCACCCACGGCGGGGGCATCCCCCCTCCCGCCACCGACCCGGCCATCTACGAAGAATACCGGTTCAAATGGTCCGTCCTGCCCTCGTCGGCCGACGAGTGGCTCGACCGCGCCGCCGACGTCAAAGAGGTGCTCGCGCGGGACGCCGCGAAGCGCGACCGCGAGAACAAGACGCCGCGGGCCGAGATTGCGCTGCTGAAGCATTCGGGGCTGCTGAAGGTGTTGGGGCCGCGGCAGTACGGGGGTGGAGGCCAGCCGTGGGCGGTGGGATATAAGGCTGTCAGGGAGGTTGCGAAGGGAGATGGGTGAGTGGGCGTGGTCTTTCTTTTTTTTTTTTTTCTGTGCTGACGTTGGTGGACAGATCGATTGGCATGCTGCTGGGCTATCATCTCCTCTGGAGCACGACGGCGAATGTGGTGGGCACGGCGGAGCAGGCCGAGGCGCTGCAGGAGTACATCGTTGGGAACAACCTGTTCCTCGGCGGCGCCGTCAACCCGCGCGACAACGACCTGAAGGTGACGTCCGAGGGCGACACGCTCGTGTGGAACGGGTTCAAGAACTTCAACACCGGCGGCGTCATCTCCGACCTCACCGTCCTCGAGGGCGTGCTCGAGGGCGCCCCGGCCGGCGAGGACCACATCTTCACCGTCGTCCGCACAGAGCAGCCCGGCATCCAGTTCGCGTACAACTGGGACAACATCGGCCTGCGCCTGACCGAGTCGGGCAGCGTCCGCATCGACAACGTCGTCGTGCCGTGGTCGGACGCCCTGGGCTGGGACGCCAGCACGAGGAAGCCAAACCCGAACGTCCTGGGCATCCCATACGCCACATTACTCCTACCAACGTACGTCCCCCCCCAACTCCCACACACAGGAGAACCCGCAAACCCTAACCACGATTTACAAACACAGCATCCAACTCATCTTCTCCAACTTCTACCTCGGCATCGCGCAGGGCGCCCTCGACGCCGCCGCCGCCTACACGCGCAAATCCACGCGCGCCTGGCCGTACGTCACGGGCGGCACGCGCAGCGACGCCAAGGACACGCCGCTCGACGAGTTCTACGTGCTCGAGCGCTACGGCCACTTCCACGCGCGCCTCGCCGCCGCCGACGCCCTCGCCGACCGCGCCGGCCACGCCGCCTCCAAGCTCTACGCCGCCTACAACCACCACGGCCACCGCGACACGGACACGCACATCGACGTCGCCTTGCCCCACGACAGCAGCGCCGAAACCCTCACCCGCATCGACGTCGCCCACCAGCACCGCACCGACAACCGTCCCCGCCTCACCGCCCGCCAGCGCGGCGAGTTCGCGGAACTCGTCGCCGCCGTCAAGGTCGTCACCACCGACGTCGGGCTCGAGGTGACGAGCGGCGTGTTTGAAGTCACGGGCAGCCGCGCGACGGCGGCGGGCGTGGGGCTCGATCGCTTCTGGCGCGACGTCCGCACCCACTCGCTGCACGACCCCGTCGCGTACAAGCGCCGCGAGCTGGGCCGCTGGGTGCTGCTGGATGAGGTGCCGGAGGTTACGTGGTATACGTGATTTTTTTTCTTTTGGGGAAGGGTGGGTGGGGACGGATGGCGGATGACGGGTGGGGGACGGTGGACGGCGGACGGCGGAAGGCGGTTGGGTGGGTAGTTAAATAGGCTTTGGGTAACTGGGAATTGCGTTCGGGATGCCGTGAACTGAGATGATTTTTCCCCGGTCGTTGAACGCGGTGCGGCTAGCTGTTGCTGTTTATACCCGATTTGTTAGTAGCTCACTGGTGAGACTCGAGACGGTGGTTTTCCACACAGCAGATATAGCTAGCACGTTGAGGGCAGACGAAGGCAATTACCCGATTGTACATATACGTATAGCTCCGTCCAGCAAGGACAATCGTCCACAGTGTAACGTCCTGCGCCGCGACGTACCCGTGGTACCGTGGCTTCTTGCTGCTGTCATAGCGTCGTGTGGCCTCGGACGTAGAATACAAAAACGGGGGGATCGTTGAACATTTGGTCCACAGGGACGCCGCTTTTGAGAGGGCTGGGCGTGACTGATGAACGATGCTGTCCGGTGCACGGATCAAGCGGGTAACCTTCTTCGTCGTTTCAGCTCAGTGCTAGAGCCATCAAGATATCAGTCTCTAACAAAGGCCACGCTGACGTCCAAAGTCTTGGGGGAGACCACACTTGCCAGTCAGGTGGCGATTCGTGTCGGGAGACTGGCGCTGCTCCTCCCTACATTGCGGGAAAGGCAGGTTTGAAACTCTCCAAGATACTTGTTTGCCGGTGCCCACTGCAACGCAAGGCGGTTTGATATGGGATTTTTAATATCGTTGAAATCCTGTTGGAAAAGTTCTGAGACATGGGGGGGATTTCGGCCACAAGGCATTCCAGAGTATCGCGCCGACGGCGTTCCATTTGTAATTGAAGAGCAAGTTCGTTGCTGCCGCCTTTTCTTCATATTCGTTTACTAGCGATCCGGTCTCTAATGGCTTGACACTAAAAGGTTCAATGGTAGGCTTACGTCAAGGTCAGTTCTGTGACGAAATAGCTTGAATCGACGTCCCTCAGGCAGAGCATAAGTGTTACATTTCCCCGTTCCAATCGGCGGCCACACAGTGCTGCGGAACAAACTGCCTTCCGAGCACGAGGTAAATGTTTGGGTATAGACGCCTTCTTCAACTATCGATGTGAATGACGCGCAGCATCTCCACCAAATACTCGGACCTATCACTGCAAACGCAACGCAAAGCACCAGAGGTCAACTTGTGTGAGAACGAATGAGCACAGCGGCGTTATTCCCTATGTAGCTACCAACACTACACCTATCCACACCCCCTTATAGGCAGTTAGTGGGAGTTCAATATCCCATTCTAGATCGGCTCAATAGGACACAAGACTTCAAGCGTCGTAATACAGCAGCGCCCAGTGGCCCTTACGCACTCGATCGTGAAAACAGCAGCGTCACGCGGGAAGTCCCGCACATGTCCCCAAATACTACGCAGACGGTTCTTCGCCCTCGTTCGCCAGGGTAGCAGAGGAGGGGGTGCCTAGACCTCGGCATCTTGGTTAGCCTTGAAATATTGACGCTTAGGGACTTCGACGTCTTGAGGCTTGGGGTCTTGGGCAAGCCTTGGATTTGGGGAATTTAGTGGAACTAGGAGTGGACACTGATACCTGTTGGGCGCCAGCCTTGACTTCATCCTCGGTGGCCGTCTGGACTTCATCCTCGGTGGCCGTCTGGATTTCATCCTCGGTGGCCGTCTGGATTTCATCCTCGGTGGCCGTCTGGGGTTCACCCTCGGCGCCAGTCTGGGCTACGCCCTCGGTGGCCGTCTGGGCTTCACCTTCGGCGCCAGCCTGGGATTCAACCTCAGTGGCCGTCTGGAATTCACCTTCGGTGGCTGTCCGGGATTCATCCTCGGTGGCCGTCTGAGCTTCACCCTCGGTGGCCGTCTGGTACTCACTTCCGGTGGACGTCTGGGATTCACTGTCGGCGGCCGTCTCGGGATTGATGCCGTTGACCATCTGGGATCCACCGTCGGCGGCCGTCTCGGGTCCCGACTCAGATGGTGGATACCAAATGAGTTCAGGCATCTCAAAGCCACCGTCGCTGCCCCCGCGTATTATACCCTCATTCCAATTCTCCTCATTCATGCGAGACCGGCGAGACTTGCGGCGGTACCAGCGGCACCACGCGGCATAGGAAGGGGTGTCGGGTGGGGTTTCGATACGGTCCTCGAGGCAGCCGAGGGAGTAGGCACGATGTTGGCTCACAGCCCCAGGGGGTGGATACGCAGTAGTAGGTGAGGGGGTCCCGAGACCACTATCCCTTTTCCATTTGGGTCCACTGTCCCTAGCCTGTTTCGATATATTCCCCGGGGGTTGATACACGGTAGGTCGGAGGATGTCGTCGAGTCCTCTCGTGTCAAAACAAACCGTGATGGTTTCGCTGTCGGGGCCGTGAGTCAAATGGTCTTCGCCGATGTCGACGTTGAATGCATAGAATTGCGGGAACCTGGTATTGTCTGTGTTGTTATTGTCCCGAGGCGGTTCGCTGTTGAGCTCCGAAAAATCGAGAGACGGACTCAGCCGTGTATTCGGACTATCGGTCCAAGGAAGACTGGCATTATCAGTGAGTGGTCGTGAGTTCGCCTGTTCTGGGCTTTCGGGTAATGGTATATTCGCCGGGTCAGGGCTCCCCCACTCGGAGCTTTCTTGTTCTGGGCTTTCGGGTAATGGTATATTCGCCGGGCCAGGGCTCTCTGGCAATGATGAATTCACCAGTTTTGGGCTCCCCCACTCGGAGCCTTCTTGTTCTGGGTTTTCTGGCGATGATTCTTCTGCTGATGAGGGTTCGGGTAGCGGCGAGCTGTCTGATTCTGGAATTTCTGGCAATGGTATACTCGCTAGTTCTGGGGTTTTTGGTGGTGATGAGTTCAGCAGTCTTGGGCTTTCTGATTCTGAGCTTTCTTGTTCTGGGCTTTCTGACGATGATTCTTCTGCTGATGAAGGTTGAGGTAGCGGCGAGCCTTCTGATTCTGAGATTTCTGGTGAGTGAAGGTCTGGTAGCACTCCGATGTCTAGCAACTGCAATGGAAAATCTGGTGGCGGGAGTTCTGGGATCTCTAGTAGTGGCGGGCCCATGTCCAGCGGTGGCAGCGGCGGGATTTCTAGTAGCGGCGAACCTAAGTCCAGCGGTGGCAGCGGCGTGGTTTCCGGGAGTTGCATTGCTGGCGATGGAAACCTTGGCAGCGTCGAGATTTCTGGTAGCAGCGGTCCTGTTAGGCGTGGGATTTCTCCTAGCACTGGGTGTACTGCTGGCACCGCGCTCGGTGGCTCAAGATTTGCTGGCTCGGCATTTGCTGGTTTACGAGTTTCTGGCTTAGGCTTTGCTGGCGCTGGGTCCGCTGCTCTTGAACTGCCCATGGCTGGGATGGGTTTCCTCGTCTCGTCAGGTTTGGCGCCATCCTTCCCGATACTACTTCCCAGGGGTTCCATGGTTACTGAAGTTAAGATTGCAGCGAGTTCTGCGTGTGGGATGAACGAAGACGTTGGGGGAAAAAAGAAAGTCGACAGCAGCTGGTCGTGGGATGGTATGAAGACTAAAGTGCAAAAGAATGGAGACGGTAGCAGCTATGGCTACTTGCTCAATGAAGATTTGGGGTAGCAATTGGAACCGGTAACGATGATGTAGAAGAGGTGGGAGCACGACGAAGAGTTGAGAGAAGCTTGTCGAGAAGCTTTCCAACTCAGGTAGGCACAAAGCACCCAGAGCGTCCTTCCTAGTGGGAAAGCTGCTGCGCCTTCAAGCTTGTCGAAGGTTGGAAGCGGCCACCGCCGCCCAAAGCGAGGGCGAACGCCGCAAATCGAGTCGACCATGCATCAAGAGAACGCAGGAAGGAGGGCTGTCAAGGCGATATCAGGGTGATGGTTGCCATTATGGATCACCTGGTTGGAAAGACTGTGGAAAGGGTGATTTTCAATTAATGTGGTATCAGTGTCGATCCGTAAAGGCCCCCAAGGCTGATGGTTCCGACACTTCTGAAGGAGCATTTGAAACTGCCGACTTCGTCCTTCAAGAACCTCTTATTCGGCTTTCAGCAGACACGGTGTGGTGCTTAGCCTTTACTCGGCGTCGTGCGTACGGCTGCGTGCCCCATTTCTGCTACCAACATGTGCCCTCATACCCGGTCTGCTTTCACTGAAATCAGTACCTGATTGGTGCCATTGGTGGGTGTGGCCTTCATTCGTTAAGAGCCATCTCATGCGGCGGCAGGCTGCTGCAGCTGCTGCATCTCAGTCTGCAGAGTGATAATCTATGCATACATTGTCAGCACTCGGCCCCAGCGCGCGATATGCTAGGCAGACCAACCTCGATCTTCTTCTTTTCACTGCGCTCCTGAATTTCGCTGATTTGTCCCTCGATGCGCTTTCTGCAGTCATTGTGAGTTCGGCCAGTTGTGAAGTGTGCGGCACTGTGATGGGAAGCTCACATCTCCTTCTCAATAAATTCCAGGCGCCCAACCACAGCAAGGACAGCCTCGGACTTGTCCTGCTTCAGTAGCACGGGCCCCACAAGCTTGTAGATGTTGGCATCGTCGGCGATCTTCTCAAACTCCTGGTAACGCGGGTGAGATCGGGGTCGGTGAGGGAATTATGAAGAAGGGCGAACCTGTTGAACGCCCTTGTTCTCCTGCTGCTGCGACTCGAGCTTCTGGCGACCATCGACCGTGCTCTGCAGTTCTGCGACAGGCGTTAGCATGTGCAGTAGAAAATGAAGGGTGGGTTCGGCGCACCGCCCTGGAGCTTCTGGTACTCGTCGGTCAGATCCTGTAGCTTCTTCTGCTGCTCCGCCATCTCCGCAGGTGGTGTCAGGTGCGATTGAAGGGATGCGTGCGGTGGGAGGGGGATTGGCGGGCGGTGGTGAGGGAGAGAGCCTGGGGTCTTGGCATTCGCGGGGCGGCAGTGGGTGACATCGGCGGCCTTGGTGGGTGCGTGCCTCTGCGTCCGCTCGCCGCCCCAGCTCAAAGCGCAACAACTCTACCCGCCCCTCGCCCCATCTGTGCCCTTGCGCGTCGCCGCCGGTAATTTTTTGCTTGCGTCTTCTCTGGGGCCATAGCTGACGTTCCCAGGCGTATCCTTCCCAGCACCTGCGCTCCAGCTCTGCCTCGATCGCTGCCATAGCAACCACCCGCTGATCGCTCTGTAAACGCCGACATCTGCTGCACCAACCTGCAGACACGAGAGCCTCAACGACCGCGGACACAGCACAGTTATCCTATCAACCCCGGTCGCATTTGGTGCCACGCAGTCAGCGACATCGGAAGCGCAACCCACTCGTAAACGCCGAACCGACTTCACGAGCTCACAATGAGCGGCACCGATTTCCTCGGCCGCGCTATCGACGTGGTCAAAAAGGCAATCGACAAGGACACCAACGGCGACTATGAAAGTGCCTACCAGATGTACTACCAGGCTCTCGAGCTGTTCATGCTGGCGCTGAAGTGGGAAAAGAATGCAAAGTCGAAGGAGATGATCCGCGCCAAGGTGGGCGAGTACATGGAACGCGCCGAAAAGCTCAAGAACCACCTTGCCGAGAATGACACCAACAACCAAAAGAAACCCGGCGCGATAGGCGCCAACGGCAAGGTCGCTGGTGGCAGTGGGAAGGGCCAGGGTGGGGACGACGAGGAAGACGCCGACTCCAAGAAGCTGCGCGGTGCGCTCGCTGGCGCCATCCTGTCGGAAAAACCGAACGTCAGATGGGAAGATGTTGCTGGCCTGGACCAGGCCAAGGAGGCGCTGAAGGAGGCGGTGATATTACCCATCAAGTTCCCCCACCTGTTCACGGGCAAGAGGCAGCCGTGGAAAGGTATCTTGATGTATGGCCCACCCGGTACTGGTAAGAGTTACTTGGCCAAGGCAGTCGCCACCGAGGCGAATAGCACTTTCTTCAGCGTCAGCAGCAGTGATCTGGTCTCGAAATGGATGGGCGAGAGTGAACGGTAAGGCCAGATTGCCAAAATTCCCCTCCCTTTACAGTTCAATTCTAATCCATGCATAGTCTGGTCAAGCAATTGTTCAACATGGCAAGAGAGAACAAGCCGTCAATCATCTTCATTGATGAGATTGACGCGCTGTGCGGTCCTCGCGGGGAGGGTGAGTCGGAGGCATCGAGACGCATCAAGACCGAACTCCTGGTGCAAATGGATGGTGTTGGCAAGGACTCGAAGGGCGTCCTGATCCTTGGCGCAACAAATATTCCGTGGCAGCTCGACGCGGCCATCCGGAGACGTTTCCAGAGACGTGTCCATATCAGCTTGCCCGATCTTCCTGCACGAATGAAGATGTTCGAGCTTGCAGTCGGCACCACGCCGTGCCAGCTGAAGCCTGAAGACTTCAGGGAGCTTGGCAGACTGAGCGAGGGATACTCCGGTAGCGACATCAGCATCGCCGTGCAAGATGCGCTGATGCAGCCAGTGCGGAAGATCCAGACGGCAACGCACTACAAGAAGGTACGCAGGTGCACCCGACCCCGCGAGGTTCTCTTACTGACTTCTTCATCAGGTTGTGGTGGACGGTCAGGACAAGCTCACCCCTTGCTCGCCGGGCGACGCTGGGGCAATGGAGATGCAGTGGACTGATGTTGAGTCTGACCAGCTGCTGGAGCCTCCGCTCATGCTGAAGGACTTCATCAAGGCGATCAAGAGCTCAAGACCCACTGTCAGCGGGGAAGACCTCACGAGAAATGCGGACTGGACCAAGGAGTTCGGTAGTGAGGGCAACTAAGAGAAGGCAGCGGCGAGAGTCTGCATAGTTTTTATTTCGCGTACATAGCGGTTTGGTGGACACAGGCGTTTATACTGTATCCGCAGAGAGCATGATATACCTGTCTTCGACGTATGCAGCAGAAATGCACGGGCCAAACACGAGTCAGGATGCGGACCCTTGCTTGCTTGCTGGTCGCCTCCGCCGCATGTTCCGCATCCTGTCCCCTCTTGTTCTCACCTGATCATCCGCTATTTAAGCTGGCGGTCGCACTGTAGGCTGCAGTGCAATGTCCATCTGCGAAGTCCGGGGATTCCCAGATTGATCCCTCGATAGTTTGTCTCGAACACAAAGCGCACGTCAGCTTCCTTCGAGCTCCGCGTCAACCCCGGAAGCTAGCTCCAACAGCAACGACACCATGTTGCGCAACTTGGCATTACTGGCAGCCTCCTGCCTATTCGCTCATCACGCAAGCTGCCACGATGCAAGCAGCCCTCAGGATCATCTCTCCGCCGCCAGCGTCCCTGCCAAAAGGGTCGCCATCATAGGTACGCAGGCAGCAGCTCAGCTCCCCGCTTGCCCGCATCAAGCTCCCATCCACGTCGAGCCATGCATCGCATGACGGCTGACGGTTGACATCCTGACACAGGCGCTGGCGCCGGCGGATCATCCGCTGCCTACCATCTGTCCGGGTACGCATCAGCGGCCGGCATCGCGACCAACATCACCGTCTTCGAGCGGGCGCCCTACATCGGCGGGCGCTCGACCACCGTGCACGCGTACGATGTGCCCTCCATGCCCGTCGAGCTCGGCGCGAGCATCTTCGTCCAAGTAAACCAGATTCTCGTGGACGCGGCGGCGCGCTTCAACCTGTCGTCCGACGGCCTCGGCGATGCAATCGCCGTCGAAGGGGAGGATGACGACGACAAAGGGCGCGACTTGCTGGGCGTGTGGGACGGACACCAGTTCGTGCTTACCACCCCGGATGACATGGGCTGGTGGGACAAGGCCAAGATGCTGTGGAAGTACGGGCTCGCACCGATTCGCACCATGCAGTTGATGAAGAAGACGGTCGGTGCCTTCCTGAACATGTACGATGCCCCGCATTTCCCGTGGACGTCCATCTCAGAAATAGCACACGAGCTGGGCCTGGTGGACGCATCCGCAGCGACGGGAGCCGAGTTCTTGAGGAAGAACGGGATCGGGGAAGCCTTTGCGCACGATGTGGTGCAGGCAAGGTAAGCCTCAACTCTCGACATGCCAGAAGCCAAAACAGCCAACCAAACGCCCCCACAGCACCCGCGTAAACTACGCCCAAAACCTCGCCCTCGTCAACGGCCTCATCTCCATGGTCTGCATGGCCACCGACGGCGCCATGAGCATCGACGGCGGCAACTGGCAAATCTTCGCCGCCATGGCCACCGCCGCAACCCACGACATCCGGCTCAACACGACCGTCTCCGCCCTCGCCAAGCAAGCCGACGGCACCTACCTGCTCACCCCCTCGACCGCAACCACCGGCGCCGCCGCCGCCCCGGAAGCCTTCGACGAAGTCATCCTCGCCGCCCCCTACCAATTCGCCAACATCACCTTCACGCCGCACCCCCCCAAGCACGTCCCGGACGCCATCCCCTACGTCCGCCTGCACGTCACCCTCTTCGCGTCGCCGCACCGCCTCTCCCCCGCCGCCTTCAACCTCGCCCCCGGCACGCCCGTCCCGCGCGTCGTCCTCACGACGCTGGGCGCCGACGACGCGCCCGGCACCAGCCCCGACGACAACCGCTCGCGCGCCGGCGCCGCGGGCTTCTTCTCCATCTCGACGCTGCGCACCGTGCGCCACCCGCGCACCGCGCGCCGCGAGCACCTCTACAAGATCTTCTCGCCCGCCCCCGTCTCCGGCGCTTTCCTCGCCAAGATCCTCGGCGTGCGGACGGAGTTTGACGACGGCGAGAGCGACGTGGGGGAGGATGCGGCGGGCCGCAGGGGCTCCGTGACGTGGGTGTATCGGAAGGTGTGGGATAGCTATCCGTATGAGTGGCCGCGGGTGACGTTTGAAGAGGTGCGGTTGGATGAGGGGTTGTGGTATACGAGTGGGATTGAGGGGCTGATTAGCACGATGGAGACGAGCGCGCTGGCGGGGAAGAACGTCGCGAGGTTGGTTGTTGATGGGTGGGTTGGCCGTGGTGAGGAAACGGGTGGTCGAGGAGGTGTCGGGAAGGAGGGCGACGAGGAGGGGGTGAAGGAGCTTTGAGATGGATGTAGCTACTGGGTGGAAGCATGGCATCGATTGGTTGGGGAGTGGTTTGGTTCGCGATACTGATGAGGGCGGGAAACATGGTTTTCTGTGCAGCGATTGTTTTGGGAGGTAGATCACGTAGCGTACGCACTATATACTTTGTCGTTCTTTCTACGCTTCTTTCACGAGACCAACACCATTGCATGTCAACCCTCGCCAAGCCGTCAGAAATGGGAATACTACTACCCCCATTCGACTCCTCCCTTCCTCCAACGTCAGCCCTACCCATATTGAACCCTTCCCCACTGACTCGCCTACCGAGCAATAGAAACATCGAACCAGTTTTCCTTCGTATTCGCCAATCGTCCCATCGCCTGTTTCTTCCAACATCACCTCGTGACAACATTCCTTCTGTCAACTTTTTTGTCTTCCCTCCGCTTCGGCGTCGCCGCGCCTCGCCACGCCACCACATCGATTAATAACGCATCTGATCGAGCATTGCCTCGTGTCGCTTCGAGGCTGTGTCTCGCTATGCCGCGGCACGCCGCGTCCGTCCGCTTGTTTTTGTCTTCATCTATTTGCCACAAGAAATACTGGATCGGATCAGACTGAATCAGACAGGATCAGCTCAGGCTGAATCAGACAGGACCCAGTGATGCGTATTGTGCAGCAGCGTTGACCCTGACGGCTGAGATCTTTCTTACTCTTTGTCGGAGCGTAGGTATATTATTGTACTCCACATGGTCGCCTTGTATAATTTGTTGTCTGGGATGAAGTGTACAATAGGTGGGGAGGTGGATCGTGCATACCGCTTATGAACGGTGAACCTAGGTATGTAGCTGAAACGAACGCGGTCGATGTGATGAACGGATGGGGGAATGTGGGGTGGTAGTGCAGAAAGAAGGAGAGGTGAGAGGACAGTGCACTTAGCACAATCGATCGAGTGAACGCCCGGTCTCTCTACCTCTCCTCTTCGCCCTCGATTCTTCCGTGCGGGTAGTCTCGGCGCTTGTCGTCGTCCACGTTCTTGAGAACTATTGAGTCAGGTAGTGCATTGCAACCCTGCAACATCTTCGGCCGAAACCAAGAGTGAGGAACAAGGGAGAAGCAACAAGCCAAGCACAAGCCAAGTCAGAGAAGTGCGCACCCTGCGGACTTTTCCTTGAAGCCAGCGAGTCGTGGGGTATTTAGCATGTTATATAGATCAAACGCGTGGCTGTACATGCCAGCCACAGGACCCTTTCTCGCCGCCTGTAGCCGAGATCAATGAGCACGTTATGTACGAAGAACGGTCAGCAGCAAAGGGGAGCTGGAAAGAAGGCGGGTGGGCGGGGAATCTGCTGCGGAGAAATGGTGAAACAACGGGATTTCTCATAACCAGTCTATGACGATTCTCCGCCGAAAAAGGAGGTTGCTGGTGGGAAATGGTGCTTCTTGATTCTTCTGTCTCTGCATTACTCCGGGAAAACCGCTGCGCATCACTGATAGTTTTCTCTTCTCCACAGTGCAGATGAAGGTGGGAGGGGGAAAAGCTGTAGTGAAATAATGCGTGAACGTAAGAAGGCAAGGTGTTTTTTTTAGTGAGGATGATCCCGCTGCACGCTAGGTTAATGCGGTAGGGCGTCATCCGTCGGTTGTCGGCAACTGATCCTCTTCGGCAACCTAGGGAGAAAACCACGGACGCGCAAGCTAAAATAACTGGGAACCGGCTTCGTCGGCTTGTGCGCACGTTTCCTGTACTATGCATGTATTGTGTACGTGGGTAGCTCGTTGGGGGTAGAGCGAACAAGAAACTCGCCTAGGTAGAACCTTAAAAGTTTTCCGGGGGAGACAATGGTGTGATGTCTGCCGGTGTCGGACCGTAAAAGTTGATGGTGCAGTGGGACTGGAGGAAAAGAGGAGGGGGATGATTTTTGATGTGTTCGTGCGTACAGTAATACTTACGCGTCGTCCCTCCCGCGCGCCAGTGGTCGCGGAAGTGATTAGTAGATGTGCAAGACCTGCCGGACGCGGGATGGCTCGCGCAAGCCACCCGCCGACTTGGCCCGGCGCGTTCCAGCTGAAGCGTCTTGGCAAGATCGAGGGAGCGCTGTGGCTGTGAAGCCTGCTATTCTGTGTTGCTCTTCTGTTGTTCAAGTGAGGGGTCTACATATACAAATCACTCGGCCATTGATCCTTAGGCATACAAAGGAGCGTCGCATTGTCAGCATCTTGAGAATTGCTTCTTCTAGCAACTGCTACGCCGCAGAACAGACACAACTGTCTCACATTATTCGCGGCGAAGCATCCAGGTTCTAGAAGCACGCCTTGGCGCGGATTGTTTCGGCAACTGGCCATGATCTTTTTAGCCATCGAATTGCCGCACGGGATTTTTCCGGAACCCGGTGATGCATCGAGCCCTGTCGAGAAGGCGTTCCAGATTATTGAGAATGGAAGGTGCCGGTCCGATAGAGGGTCTGTGAAGTGTGAAGTATTTTGGAATATGGACGAGATGGGCAGGAGATGGTTCGACATATGGGAGGATCCGATAAGGATCTCGGCCACTTCCAGAGCGTCATTGGCGGCCGTTAAGTGCCAGGCGGCAAAAGACGCCATGTGATGAGAAGGCAGACGGAAATGCAAATTGTGGCTGCGGCAGATTGAGGGATTTGGGGAGGATTTCGTTACCGAGACAGGTGCTGTGCCTTGCAGGATGCAGGGCCGTTGGTCGCTGTGCCGCCAAAGGGGCTTCGGCAGTGGTGGGATCTGGCTCGAATCCTCTCGGTGTGGCTTTCTGCAGAAGACTCCAGGTGCGGAAGCTGCGTTGCATATCTCACAGCTTCGAAAGGGACGGATCAGATGTCGCAAGCCGGGGCCCGAAGCACATGGCCGTCGTCACACTGTGGCCCCATACTTTCTCGTCATCACACCCCATTGATCCGCAGCTCACGGTGATATTCCGCTGTGGGGGAGGGGGGCCAAAGAAACGCGCGACTTCGAGAGAGACGGCGTGACCGCTCGGGACAGCAACTGCACACGGCGGCCATCGGCGACCAACCGTGGCACAACGAGCAGCAAGTACGGCCGAGGACGAGCGAAGATGGTCCGCTCGGATGGGCCCCTTTTGGTCGTGTGAAGGCGGACTCGTCACAAGCCGGAAAGGCGTTGAGAGAAGAAGCCCACGTGGTGGCAGACGCGGCGGGCGCATTGAAAGGGCCGGCAACGGAAGATGGCGGAGCGGAACCACAGCAGATTTGTTGTCCAAGCGCGAAGGAAGCGGGCCGGGGTAGGCAGTTAATTGGGGCAGGAGCCGCGGTGGAAGGAATTGGCTGCAGCGACGCGGCTTCAGTTGCGGCGCGGCTGAGGGTGGCGCGTAGGCGTCTCCGGGGCCGGAGCTCGAATTTTTTCTAAGTGGCCATGTGCGAGATCAAGTGCGGCTGGGGCGATCGGCAGCGCTGCCGTCACGGTCGGCCGGGCGGATTGCGGGCAGCTGTTGACCGGCGGCGGCGATCGACGAGGCGGGTTGTGCAGTGTGCTGGACTCGCCGGCCGCGCAGACAGTTGTGGGCAGGGTTGCAATGGTGTTGGAACGGTGCCGGAGACAAGCACGGCAAGTCGTCGGCGGGCTCGGGGAATGACTCGCTTAGGGCAGGCGCAAATCAGTGATGCGCATCGCCTGCCACGTTTTGCAGCTCGACCCGGCAACGCGTCGGCCTCAACCTCTCCACGGCTTAGCCTGTCGCTGCGCGCCATCGCCCAGGCCCACCTCTCGACCCATGTCTGCGCCTCATCACCGCAAAGACCGCTTGATAGGGCAGCCTCCAAGATGGTGACACGCCCTCCGCGGCCAATGACGCCCCCGCGCCGCCTGGTCCTCAGGGACCATCCGCGCCAGCCCACCGGTACGCCAGGGACGGCCTTTACATATTGTCAGCTGCGGCGCCGCATTGCTTGCGTTGTTTCTCTGCCCCGACGTCGTCCGGCTCCCGTCCTGCTGCAAGCGTCCGTCTCACCAAAGGAGCCATGCTGTGTTGCCAGGCATCAGCCGCCCCTCGTGTACCACACCATCTCACTACCATTGTTGCACCAGCATAAGCTTCCAACCCCGAGTCAGCATTCTCTTGTCCGGCTTCACCGCGTCTTGTCTCCGGCCGCTCTCGTCATCCAGTGAGTATGTGCGCCGTGGATCCCTATAGCCAACACATCTTTTCCGCTTCCGGCACAGCGCCTCAACTCACTGTCCAATCCCGTCTTTTCTCTGTGCTCGAATATTGATTTTCGTTCCGTGACACCTTTCTGGCGATTGCGGAAAAGACCCACACCACTCATCATCATCATTGCCCGACGGGGAGCACGAACTTACGCCGCACAGCTTTGCAGTCATCCAGCGCCCTGTGCCTTCCTGTGCCCGACGCTCGCTCCGCTCTCTCCGCTCTCTCCGCTCTTTGCACCAGACCTCAGCTCTGCGAGCCCTACCTTTGGCCTGCGCCAGTCGATTCGCGTTCCGCCGCTCATTTATCTTTCCCGCCTCCCGTTCCCGTCGCCGCTCTTCGCGCCGCCCAGTCCAAGCTTCTCGACTTGAATGCGGAGGTAGACCCCAGACTCCGCTTAGTCCCGCCCTTGGACCTGTTCGTTCAAGCCGCTCTCGCCTGGCGAGCTTGGCCTCACAATGGCGAACGGAGACCCCAGCCACGAGGAAGTGCTCGTTGAGAGCATCATCTTTTACGTTTTCGCCCTTCTGCTCTTCATTGGCAGGCTGTAAGTACATTTGCTTCCGATACTCGACTAGTATCTGACTAGGCCCAGCTGGTCGAGAACAATCACTGCAGGCTCCATCAAGAGCATTTCTTGTAAGTTCTTCCAGTCCAACAAAGGCAATCGCCTGCTGACTCCATCATAGCCGATGACTTTGTTATGATCGTGACGTTCCTTTTCTACACTGCACTGATAGTGCTCCTTAATTTCAACGTCCGATTCGCCAGCAATCTCATGCACCCTTCGGAGCTAGCTGGTGTTCTCGCCGATCCCGCGCAGGTCAAGAGTCGAATCTTTGGCAGCAAGATCACACTCGCCGTAGAACAGTGCATGATCCACGCGCAGTGGGGCACCAAGGCCAGCCTTCTCATCCTCTACCACAAAATGACCCAAGGGCTGCGCGAGAACCTCTTCAACAAGATATGCGCCGCATACGTGCTTCTCGGCTACATCATCATCCAAATCACCTTTTTCGGCGTCTGGTGTCGCCCCTTCAACCAGTACTGGGCCATCAACCCAGACAACGAACAGTGCGCCAACTACGGCAACTACTGCATCATGATCCTAGTCTTCAACACCACCTCGGACCTGCTGCTCATGTGGGTGCCCATCCCGCTGATCTGGAAGGCCCAGATGAAGCGCAAGAAGAAGATCATGCTCTGCGCCGTCTTCTCGCTCGGCATCTTCAACGTCATCGCCGCCGTGCTCAACAAGACGTACAACTGGATCCTCCCCGGCTCCCACGTCTACATGATCTGGTACGTGCGCGAGAGCAGCACCGGCATCTACGTCGCCAACGCCACCTGCTGCTGGCCGCTCTTCCGCAAGATCGTCTCCGCCACCGGCCTCGGCGGCTCGTGGACCAACTCCATCTCCCACGGCAAGGGCCCGGACAAGTACATGTACGACGAATACGGCCACAAGACGGCCTTGGACGGCGGCGCGGGCACGGGAGGAGGGAGGTCGTCGAACAGAAAGAGCACGCTCCGCTCCTCGCAGCACTTCAGCAAGCTGCGGTCCGTTCGCGACCGCACCATGCACAGCCTGCACTCCAACAGCACGCACATCGGCGGCGGGCTGACGGCTCACGACGGCACCATCCGCCGTGGAAGCGCGGATGGTGGTGGCGGTGGCGGTCGCGACGTCAACGGCAGCCAGGAGGCGATCAACAGCAGCTATGGCGAGCACACCTCCAGCATGCCGCTCGAGATCTGGCGCCAGGTCGACTACGACATCGAGTCCGGCCTGCCCCGCACCCCGAGCATGTACGCCGAGGACAACAAGTACAACGCCGAGGCGAAGGGGGGCGACATCGTCATGGGGCTGAGGAACGATGTCGTGACGACGACGGTGACGGAGGTGAGGGGCGGTAGGGCGGCGAGGGGGCATGTTGGGAGGAAGGAGAGTGAGGGCAGTTCGAGTGGGGGGAGTGCGGAGGATGGGAGGAGTGGGAGCGCGAGCCGTGCGTCGAGTAGATGAGGGACTAGGCATAGGTCCAAGGGATTCTCTTTGGTTTCTTTTTTTTTTTTACTTTTTTCTTATCTTTGGTTGGAGCGATATGACATGGACGTCTTTCAAAGGTGGGGAAAAGTGGTATGGAAGGCAGGAGGAGGTGGACAGGCAAGGATATTACTTACGATACCCAGGAACTATACTTAGAAACTTATTTTTCTTTATTCTATCGCTGCTGCTCTACCTTTGGAACTTCGTGTGAAATGAGAACCGTATTCCCTCCCCCTGTCCGAGTGCTTCAGTGTCTATGCCCGCCCGACCTTCCAAGGTTCAAAAGCGCACGGCGAAAAGGATTGCCACCCTAATACACATGTCGTTGAGATCCTTGCACATACTTACGTATTCATTATTGTACCCTGGCTATGTCTCTCCAGATCCAAATGATCCGGATCGTATTATTCCCCGACCCAGACACTCGGGATCTCGCGCTTAATTCGTGTCTTGGGACCACACCCCTGTCGCAGATCATGCAATGCTGGGTTTCCTCCGCACCGCGCCCGTTGGCGGGTTCTGGCTACATACAGGGGGAGTGTCTTTTTCTTTCTTACTTCTCTTTGATTTTATGACATGCCTGCCTGATCAGTTTTTCTTTCCCCTTTGGTTGTTCAGGGATCACCTTGGGCAGTGCGTTTATCAAGAGTGGCTTGAGGTGATCAAGCTATTTTGAGCTTTTGACTCGGCTTTAGTTGACATTCGCTGTCTGTTCTGCACACGAGAGTGTGCATACTGGGGAGGTAAGGGTGCAAATGGCAGCAAAGTGAGTATTGATTTGTGACAAAGGCTGGGCTGTTTAAGCAGCAAGAATATGTATGCAAGTTCACATCATGCACGATTTTGATTTTCACATATCGACATTGCTCATACTTTCTTGTTCCGCTTGATGTCGCAGCATCCTCTTCGCTTGTGAGATTGAGTTCATGGTGTTGGACTGATTGCCTATCTTTTGTTTCTGGTCCTTTCGCATTTGAGCGTTGCCATACAATTGCCTTCTCATGGCCTGTTCGTCCTTTTGGTTTCATCCAGCATGATGGTTGAACCTTGTGGTGTCTTTCGAAGTCACACTTCATATTCATTAGCAGGGTCCTCCAGCCGCTTGCGTGCGTATGCTGGATGACGTCCATTCGTCACATGCGCATTGGCATATCAAGCAGGCACCCGCGTATCCGCCTTCCCTCCAGCTGGCATATGCGCTCATGTGGATGGTGTTGCACAGTGCTCCTGCCTCTCCAAAATCGCACATGACACTTCTGAGCATTCGCAGGTGAGCACGAGGGGTCTCTCGCAGCCATGTGGCTTCCATTCGGGCCACCGCGACTCCTGTTCTCGCTCAATTCGGCCAGCACGAGGCAATGAAGGACACCCACGCGGACCACCCTGCATCTAAGGGTCTTCACATGGCTGCAAAATCTTCATTCAACCGCCCAAACCAGTCAGTACCTTGCAGTCGCTCCTCCCACGAGGTGTGGCCACCCCAGCAGAGGACCCGTGCCGCTGCCCGGGGTCGATTCCTCTGCCCAGACATATAAACCTCCCCACTCCTCGACCCAACACCTCTTTTTCTTCTTCAGCTCTCTTTGCCTTTTGGCTTAGATCAAGTGTAGTATCTGTTCTTTTTAGTTTAATCTCTAGAACGTCCCTACGGGGACATTTCTTTTGATTAAACTAGTTTTTGGAAACTGGTTTGGTGGCCGCTGGGCTCCGCCTAATGTCACTGACCACAGTGTCGCCTGTATTGCACTGTCTCGGGCTGATGCGAACTTTCTCTTTTTTTTTTTTCGTTGTGTTCACTTCACCTTGCGTGGAGACACGAGGAAGAAACGGCTTCTCGCTTGAGGGAAGATGAAGCCGAGTTCACTGCGAGGGCAAGAGTGGGGAGAACAGCTGTGAGCTTTGACAGACAATCCGATGTCCGCTGTTCATCTGCTTCAATCATGTGTGTGCAAACCTGAGGAATGAGCTCGGTGTCGTAGCACCGCGGGTAAAGCATTAGAGCTCGATGCGCAGGGACCTTGTGATAGGAAAATGGCACAGGACAATGCTCCTGGTCGCTGACATGCAAGAGCCCTCAATGGTTCAGAATCCCTTTCTTTGAAGGGGGCAATCCTTGTCCGGCGGGCTATCACCCACTCGGATATGTACACCCCACCGCGTAATCCATTTCCTTCAATTCCACCATCCCAATTCCACCACTTCCTCCATCAATCAATCGCAACTGAAAGCCGCCTTTCCTCCACCGCCGCAAATCTAGTTGACCTCCCTAGGCGTAGGGGCGAAGTGCGGCCGCACGAACCTACAACAACCATCAAAGTCAGCATTCCACCACCAAAATCTCGACGTCGTCCTCCTCCTACAACCCCAATCCCTCCTCCTCCTCCTCCTCCTCCTCCCTCGCTTCCGCCCCTGCCCCCCAACATCAAAAAGGTAAACCACGCACCTATCGCTATTGTACACCTTGGTCTCGGCGCCCAGCAGCTCCTTCTCGCGGGCCTGGTTCGCGAGGTGGCGGCGGACCTGGTCGCGGTCCTCCTCGGCCTGCAGCAGCGGGATCAGGTGGATGCGGGCCCACATCTTCTCGCGCGCCAGCTCGTTGTGCTCGCGGATGCCCTGGCCCACGCGCCAGAAGCCGTACGCCATGACGCCGCCCATGACGGCGAGGTACGCCGCGGGCCGGAAGCCGCGCGCCGGCAGGTTGCGCTTGTACTGCACGGGCTGGTACCCGCCCGTCGGCGGCATGTCCTGCGGCATTGTGGGGGTTGGTGGGGGGAGGACGGCTTGCGGGGGGGGATTGGTGTTCGTGCGGCTTCGTTGCCTGGGGTGTGCGGTCGGTTGGGTGGTTGGTTGGTTGTGTGGTCGCGGTTGGTGTGATGGCGGTTGCCCGTGGGTAATGCGGATTGCCGGCGTCGTGAGAGGTTGGCCGAAGCTTGGTCGGGTGAAGTTCGGGAGGGCTGGAGCACGGTCAGTCTGTAACTTTTTGGGGCCGGACGTCACATCCCCGCCGCGAAAAAACAGTCAACCACGACGAAAAATTCGTGCTTGCGACGACGACAATGGCCGACGACGAGAGACCCGCGAAGATGCAGAAGAGGCAGCACAGCCCGCAGACTGAGGACGCCGCTTTCGCCGAAACTACCCAGCCCGCCGCCGCCAATGGCTCAGCAGACAACACCACCACAACTGCCGCGCAGCCTGACGCCGCGCAGAACGTCGCCTCGAACGACAACACCGACGCCATGAGTGTCGACGACAACAACGACAACGCCGGCGACAACGGCGAAGCTTCGACCGCCACCGCCGTCACCACCACCACCGACCAACCCGCCAAACCCGGCCCACCACCCGGCATGACCAAGTCCGCATGGAAAAAGCAGAAGCGACAGGCCGAATGGGAAGCCGGGCGCGACGCGCGCAAGGCGCAGCGCAAGGAGAAAAACAAAGCACGCAAAGAGCGCAAGCGGCAAGCCTACCACGCCGGCAACGAAGGCGGCGGCGGCGGCATCGACGTCGCCGCCCTCGACCACCCGCACCGCCACCAGCGCGAGCTGCAGGACCAGCTCCGCAGCCAGAAGGCCGTCCAGCTCCCCATCACGTTCGTCTTCGACTGCAGCTTCGACGAGCTCATGATGGACAAGGAGATGAAGAGCTTGGGCCAGCAGATCACGAGGTGCTACTCGGACAATCGCAACGCGGCGTACCGGGCGCATTTGTGCATCTCGAGCTTCGGCGGGAACTTGAAGGAGAGGTTTGATGGGCTGCTGAATGGGCATTATAAGTCTTGGAAGGGGTTCAGGGCGTTTGAGGAGGATTTCGTCGAGGTCGCGGAGAAGGCGAAGGGGTGGATGGGGGATCTGAGGGAGGGTGGTCGTTTGGCTGGGACGTTGGCCGAGATTGCGGATCGCGAAAAGAAGGGGGAGAAGGCTGCGGAAGAACGTGATGATAGACGGGGCGAGGTCGTGTACCTCTCGTCTGAAGGAACGGAGACCCTCCACGAGCTGAAACCGTACAGCACCTACATCATTGGTGGGCTGGTGGACAAGAACAGGTACAAGGGCATCTGCCACAAACGTGCCACCGAGCGAGGCATCAAGACCGCCAAGCTGCCCATCGGAGAATTCCTGCAGATGAACAGCCGCAGTGTGTTGGCGACGAATCACGTCAATGAGATTATGCTGCAGTGGCTTGCTTGCGGCGATTGGGGAGAAGCTTTCATGAAGGTCATTCCGAAGCGGAAGGGAGGCCAGCTGAAGAGTACGGGCGAAGAGGATGACGAGGACAACGACCATGACAATGCAGATGTCGAGACAGCAGAAAAGGCTGAGGCATCGAACGATACCCATGCGGAGTCAGGCTCCAGTGCAGATGCAGCTGAGGCCACAGAAGCCAAGGCCGAATAATATTCGAGCTAGCAAGCTACACTGTAAAAATTATCACATCGACAGGCATGATTCGTATTCCGGTCAGCCTACTACTTTCTTCAGTGCATGCCGGAACACGTGGGAATGTTCGATTGGACTGATGATCAGAATCCAGCTAGGCTGAAATGCGCCTTGAGGCTGCCTCAAGTGGCTATGCAACTTGAGCAAGGATGTATTTTACCCCGCGCTGACGCTTCCCAGCCTTGTTCTTCCCTCACCCCTTTCTTTCTCGATGTGAACACCCACACCATCGCTTTTCCACCCGGGAAGCATGGCGGAGGTTGTTGGCATCGTCGCGGGAGCAGTGCAGTTCCTTGATGTCGGCTCTCGCGTCCTCATTAGCTTGTCGCGTTTCTGTTCAGACCTTCAGAATGTCCCCCACAAAATCAAGACAGTTCGACAGCGACTTGAACGGACTCTCCAACTCGTGGACTCGATCAAATCCGACGTTGAAGCGCCGAATACCGGTCCTGGTACAACTCTTTCCGGAATCATATCGCAGCCACAAGTAGATTTTGCGAAGGGTCTCTTGGAAGATGCAGCAGCACAGGTCACAGAGTTGCAAGTCTTGTTGACCAGACTCGCTTTCACAGGCGACAGTTTGGCCAAGAAGGCGTGGAGGGCGGTCGTTGCGATCAAGAAGGAGGAAGAGATTTTGTCCAAATGGAACGACATCGAAACGACAACTGGCCTGCTTCAGATTTGGATGCAACACCAAAGCTTGAAGCTTATCAGAGATGACATGTAAGGATCAAGTATATCGGATTCCTATTGCAAATAAGCTGACAAAATCAGTCTCGTCGACAAAGACCATGCCGGAAAGATATCCGGCGTTGAAAAGACGCTAGTCACGTCACAACAGAGCCTCGACAAGATGCCTCAAGCGATCGAGAATATCGTTCAAGCTTCTCAAAGCGAAATCGTTCGAGAAATCGGCACAAATTCATATCGTCTCGGCGAGCGTACACGACAGATGGAACAGAACTTCGACGTTGCCAAACATGACGTTCTTCGGGGGATCACAACAGTGGAGACGAGCATGCACGGGTCGTTGCAGTCTGTGAAAGGGGACATCATTGATCAAATCATGCGAGACCGCACGAGCCAGTCTGCCGATAACCAAGCCTTGCGTTCACAATTCGCTTCATTGCAGCAAACGATGAACCAGATCCTGGTATGTCAAGCCAAAATATAGTACTTTTGGCCTCTTTTGTTAACGGGATGAAGATCCAACACACCAGTCAGCGACTGATTTCCAAGCCCTCTTATTTCGAGGACATTGAAGTCAGCGCAAGCTACGCTTCACGTCGACTGACGAAATCCCGCGTTCCAACTCGCCCGGGACGTGGTACTCTCTGCACTTGCACAACTTGGATGACCAGGTCTTACAAAAGCTGGAAAAGCTTTCAATTCTGCTACGATCCGACTCTGGTGCACGAAACCAATTGCCCCCTTCATCATCGATCGAACAGATCTTGGACTCTCGGTGTCCGTGCTATCTTGCCCGCTCTATGCGCCTACTGTATCGACATGGCGCTTCAAATCGATTTCGGTGCTGGCGGTTTTGCCATCTCTCCAAGCATGAGAATGGCAGCAAGGGTGGTTGACTGTTACAAATCCCCACTATTTCGAGCAATTTTCCACTTGTATATGACGATTGCTCTACCCGAGATTGACCATACTAGGGCCTTAGAAACATTCAAGACTCGTCTCCGCTTTCAATTATCTAAGGGTCATGCCTCCGCATATGACCAGGATACAGCAGGCAGAACGGCTCTGGACGTAGGCAATTTATCGAATCATTTCAATTTCGCATTCTCACAATTTCTTCTCAGACATGTCTCCACACTATCTGGAAACCAATCAGAGTCCTTGGTAACGTGCATCAGAACGAACTTGTCATTTCGATCATCGACGCTTTTCTTGAAGGTTTTGCACGTCCAGATTCAATTAAGTAGTCGGAACCCATTGATGGTGCTCTTAAAAATAGCATCACTGTGTCCGCTTGATAACTAACTTGCCAAAAACCCAGATTTCAAACCCCCAAAGTTGCAGCTTTCTCTCGTATCTTGAGCCGTCACGGCTGCAGTCTCGAGCTCAGTGATGCCTACCGCTTTGAGAAGTCCGAGCTCAAGCACATATGGCGTAATGCCGACCTATGCGATGGTCAGTAAACCTACTCAACCTTTCTTTTTGTTTCATGTCAGCTTTGAAGTTGTCATGATTCGTTATAACCAGAAAATACAGAATTCAACTTGCCGTGGAGATATGCTGCGGCGGTTCAGAAATCTTTACCGTTATTGGGAAAGAGCATCGAAAATCAGACTTTCGAACAACGGCACGGACACCTACCTTCCGTGCTAACCTTTGCATTACATTGGCCGGAAGGAAGGAGACTACTCATTGCAGCCGGCGCAAACCCTCTTGACAGCATCCCATTTGCTTTGGAACTTGGCGATATGGAAGCCTTGAAGGATCTCATTCATCAAGACTTGCATTTCTTCTCCGGGCAAGAATCATCAGCGAATGAGAACCTACTACGCGAATGGTACTATCAACCTTACTATGCGCTCGAATCTGCACGCCAGACCTCGCTCGACATTATCGTCAACCACCTCGTTCAACTCCGCGGTAGGCTTTTGAATCTGGCTCGAAAACATCTCCAACCTCAAGAACAGAAGAGGCTTGGCATTCACGCTAGCAACCGACAGGAAGACATCCTTGATGGTGTTTTGCTGCAAGCCTACCGAATGCTGAATCTCACGGGTGTTAGAACCCCGTCATTCTTGTACCCGGGCTGTCAGTCATCTGTCTACCACTGGTATTGGGTTGTCAATCTCAACATCGCGAAACGTCTATTTCTGGCTGGATTTCACCGACTTGATATCAAAGACGATAATGGTGTTCGTCCCATTGAATTGGCATGCGCAAACGGCGATCTGGATCTGGTTGCCTGGTTTCTTCAACACGGAGCAGCGGCCCCAGAACAACTTATTTGGTCCATTGCTGCGAGTCAATTCTACCATGGACTGAACGCAGCCGCTTCGGTAGAAATAATCTCAGCATGCGGCTACCCGGAGAGCGATACTTGCCGGTGCTATTGCAGTTCCAAAGGTTGTCTGCCCTCAACAGTTCTACTCAAACGCAAAGAAAGAAGTTGGGACGACAAGAAAGGAACCCTTGAGGAATGGATCAGAAACATTCCACCGGGATTTCGGTTTCAATCATACAGAGAGGCTTGCAGACTTGAAATCTTCGAAAGATTGGGGATGTCGCACACGTGCTGCTCTCTCATTCATGTCCATGGCGCACTCGTAAGGCACGAAATGGAGATGGACGACCAACTCGAGATAAGCGAAGAAGAACGAGACTTTTCCATCATCCTCAATCAGTACATGCATCTTTTTGATCGGCTGTCGGATAGTTCTACGAGCCCGTTTACAGTCTTCTGGGACTTATGGTGGACGGCAGTCGACATGACGTTGCCTGATCTATATGGCCGGAACACCTTCTTAGGCCGTTACCGGTGCCGCCTATCCGAAACCGCATCGGACCTGGAATACATCCAGAGCTATGGCCCGCATGAAAGGCAGATTCGATTAGTAGTCGATCAGTATTCGAACATAGTGGGCTCTATAGCGCGCTTTGTCCCACTTTTTGAGCCCTGGGGCCTGATAAGATCTTGGGATCTGTGCCACCGTCTTGTTCCATGGGGTTTTTACTTTGGAACGGTGGAGGTGGATAGGATACTCTGTCTTCCAAAAGACATCGACATGCAATCCCCATGGGAAGAAGTCCTCCCTTATGCGAGCGACTTTGACATTCCCAGAATATTCTACCTTGATCCACCAGAGAGAATCAAAAAAGTCAGAACATACATCATGGATAAGGTCATTCCGGCAATGGCGCAGTTCATCATTCTCGATCTCTATTTCGGACAGAGCATTCCGGAAGACATCCGGCAGCATCTCGAGGCGGAGGGACTACTCCAAGACGGCGAACTAGTGCATCCTGCAACCAAAGAAGCCGATCCCGAGACCATCTTCCAAGACTGCATCAACACGCTTTTCGAACCATAACCATTCTGAGACACCTCCCCCTTTGCCTGTTCAGCCGAAGCGCGTATCAGCCGGCATACCCGCCTGGGCATGCTGAACCGGGCGTCGATGCGCGTTCCCGATGGCTTCCCCATCAGCGATGGATGCAATGGGTTTGGTCTGTACCTGTGGGCCTTGGCTTGTGGAGAGGATTTCCTTGCTCTCAGATCGGTATTTCTGTGCTCTTTGTCGTTGGCAATTGGCTTCCTTTGACCACTCAGTGTTCGTTATGTCTTTTCGGGCTTCCGGTATGCTTAGGTCTCTTTTGCTCTCCCCAGATTGACAAGATTGAGATCATGTGTCGTGTTTTCTTTTGCAGTTTTCTGCCTTTACGTTCTTTTTGAAACTGTGTGGCTGCGGGTTTCCTTGGCGCCATGGTTTTTGCAAGTTTTTCCCCATATGTTCCTTTTGTTATTCTAACTCGGGCAAACGACTTTTGTTTTCACCAACGATAGCTCTCAATTACGAAACTTAACGAAGTACCTTTATAGACTGAAAGCCACTGCAAAACCTGACATTCGCTATACCGTGACTCTAGATATCACAGAACAGCAAAACGCATACCACACAAGTTCAAACATTCCAAACAAAACACCATCCAATCTGCAACGAACACCAAATACCAACACCACAATCATCAGTAGAATTTTCCGTTGAAATAATGAAAATAGCTCCGCACGCGCCGATCTTCCAGTGTGCAAAGCCTTCCTTTCAAGCGCGCCGCCCAGTTTTTGGTGTGACCCCGATATCCCGTAACATTACCATACCGATATTCATCTCCTCATCACAACAGTCCCATTACCCCAACCAAACATCACATTATACACCGCCTTCCTCTCTCTCTCTCTCTTTCTAGACGGCAGGTCAGATCATTCACCCACTCGGCACAACCCCCAACTCCGCGACCGACTCGCCCCAGCTCGAATACGCTATCGGACGCAACACCGCATCAGCACAACGTACAAACACATACACACATTCACACACACATCACCCCCACAAGCCACAAACAGGAAACGGGGAGTGAGTGGGGCCGGGTCAAAAAAAAAAAAGACAAGAAAACTTACACATGGGCAACGAGTCCAACTGCGGCCAGAAGTCCAGATCCAAGTCTAGCTGCGCCTGCAAATCGCCTCCGGGGACGCCGCTCCCAGCGTCGCCGTCGCCTTGCTGGTGGGACCGCTCCGAGTCTCCGCCGCCGCCGCCGCCGCCGTCCAGCAATATCGCGCCGTCGCTCGGCAGCGCTGCGGGGTAGTGGCGTGGGCTGAGTGCGCCGTTTGCCGGGTGCGGGTGCAAGAACGAGGCGTCGGCCGCGCCACCATTCGTGGACGCTACCGCCGCCGCCGACGACGACGACGAGCCGTTGATACTGTTGTTGTTGTTGTTGTTGTTGTTACAGTTGGAGGTGGAGGTGGAAGAAGAAGACGACAAAGACACTTGTCGACTCAGCTCCTCGCGCAGCTCTTCGAGGATGATGCTGTAGCGCATGCTGGGGGCGTTGGCCTCGGTGACGTCGACGAGGTATTGCTGGCAGGCGTCGGCGAGGGAGAGGAGGTCGCGGTGGTGGAAGAGGATGTCGACGCCTTCGCGGGAGCGCGAATGGAGGAGGTAGAGGTAGGTGATGGCCAGGGCATTGAAAGCGACGTACTGGTTCGTGGGGGCGTCAGTCAGCGTGAACCGGAGGGGGGGTGGAGGGTCTTGGTAGGGGCGAGAGGGAGAGTCGATTACGAACCTGGGTGAACCAGAAGGATGAGAAGGGCTGGCCTTCGGTGATGTAATTGAGGACCATCTCGATGGCGGTGCGGGCGGCTGCGAGACATTCTTCGACGCGGTCGCGCGTGGCGGGGTTAGGAGACGTGGAATGGTAGCCATGTTTTGAGAGGTTGAGTAGGAACGGGCGGTTGACGAGCATGACGGCGTGAGCGTATGCCAGTTTGAGTACTGTCGACTGCCGACGGAAAATAGGGATCAAGCTCGATGGCCTGATTGCCCCTGAAAGGTAGGCGGGAAGTTCGGCTTTCCAGGCTCGGAGATCTCTGTTGTGTTTCGATGCTGCTGATAGACGCTCTGTCTCTGTCCTCGAAGGCATGGTGTACTGCTCTTTGGCAGCACGTCCAACGATTCTGGTCAGCTTGGAGTGGAAGATGGCAGCGTCTTCAAGGCAGTCATTCTGCCCGGGCGAAATGATCTCGGTAGCCTTGAGATCTTCGTCGTTCACCGACAGCGGGTATTCTTGGCTGATGTCGTCATCCTGGATCCATCTCGGTCTGCCGAACATGACGGACATGTAGCGGTCTGTAGTGTACATGGACCAGAATAGGCGTCTTTGGCATTCGCGGATGATAAGAGACTCAGCCCTATCGCCCAAGCTGCGTCTACGGTGGAGACCAAGCGCCATTGCCAGTTGCACGGTAGTGCCAAATGTGAACCAAGCTTGATTTGATCTTGCGGTGCTAAGCAGGTAGTGAACCAAAGCGAATCTGGCCTGGACTGATTCCAAGGTTGCGGGACCGGTCTCCTTGGACAGCAGAGACTGCGCCTCACGATAGTACATCTCGCTCTCGCGACGGATCTCCAGTTCCGGGTCTTTGATTTGGCTGAGACAGTACAAGGTAGCTATCGAGAGGACGACCAAAACTACAGCCTTCTTCGCGGGTTGCAGGGAAGTGTTTGGGTCATGCATTGCAGCGAGCCAAGACTCGACGGTAGGACGGTGGAGGAACCTATAGGTCGGGGCGGCAAACTCAAAGTACCGGATGAGTAGGTACTCGGTGCGCTCGGCAGACGGCAGGGACAGGTGCGGGCCCAAGGTTGGCGGGGCATCCTTGTCGCCATAGTTGAAGACGGTGGCGTCTTTCGGACTCGCATGATTTGACTCGTCGTGCAGCTTCTCTTTCAGGGCGCGGGCCTGGCCCAGCTTCCTCAGGGCTCTCCGCAACCAGGCGACGCTGGAACTGGGGCCAAGGTAGTGGCCATCAAAGTTTCCGTCGGGCTCCGGGGAAGGGCGGCGCGAGGGGTCCTTGCTGGTCGAGGGACGCAATTGGTCGGCAGCTGTCAGCAACGGCTGCAACGCAGCACTCGGCTGGTCTACCGTCGCACCGTTCGGTTGGGGTTGCTGGAAGGTCGGAAGCGGGGGCAGGAAGGACGGAGGCTGCGGCTGTGCGAAGGCTTGGCCGGGCGAGTGCACCGGTATGGCGTAGGCAGCATTCAGGGAGTGGTGCCTCTGGGCGGCAATCTCGGGCGACGGCAGTGCTCGGTTGGCGGGCGGAGACGGGGCAGCAATGGCAGGGTCGGCGGTGCGGGTGGACGAGGGGCGGCGGTCACGGCCGGTAGCGAAGTGGACATCGTGGGACTCGGCGGCGAGGACAAGGGCGTCGAGGCCGCGCGACGGCGGCGGAGTGGAGAAGCGGCCGCGGGTGTAGCTGGCCAGGTAAGTGCACGGCTTTGCGGCCTTGTCGCACGACGGACAAGGCTGGGTGCCGGTGCAGCGCTTCTTCTTGCTGCGAGCTGGAGTCAGGCTGGGGGCGGCTTCGGGGTGGGGCGGGAGCGGCTGCTGGGGGCGTACGCTTTGCAGGCGTCACATGCGCGGGTGATCTTCCTGCGCTTTTCGGGGTGCTGGGCGGCGGGCGAGGTGGACTCGGCGGACAGCGGCGACACAGCAGCAGCCATTTGGGCGCGGAAAAGATTGCGGATGCGGCGGAACAGCTGGGAGAGAGCAGCTTTAGTAGCTCCGACAAAAAGCGAGCCTCTGTGTGCGGGGCGCGGGTGCCCCAGATCTGCCAATCCTTGAAGGCCCCGGCCGCCCGTCGCTCCTCGGCTCATCCGCCCGTCCTATCTGCGCCCCAAACTCTGCTCACTCACCACCGCCGCCCAACAATGCGACGGCCCTCCTCCCGGCAGCGCTGTCGCGACCGACACGCGCGCGCGCACGACTGCCACGGCTGCGAACGGTGACGCTGCGTGGCCCCGCTGCGAGCGTGCCTGGCTTGCTCGACTCTGGCGCTCCACCCGTTTTCCGCCGGGCCTCCGCCGCACCACCGACCGAGCGCAGTTATCCGCCAGCGCTTCCGACATGTGCTCCACTAGCAGTCCACCAGCTCCAGCCATTAATCACCCATCTCCCCGCCGCAACGCCAAGTTCGCGACCAGCTCTGTCTCTCGTCCCGTCCTGCCGCCTCCAATTGACCCACCATGCCTCTCCCAACGCACTTCACGCTGAACACCGGCGCCAAGATCCCCGCCGTGGGCTTCGGCACCTGGCAGGCCGCACCGCACGAGGTGGAAAGGGCGGTCGACATTGCCCTGCGCGAAGGTGAGCCTGCAACGCGCGTATCGCTGCTTCCGGTGGGTCGCTGACGTCGGGTTGTGGTGTGAGCAGGGTACAGGCACATTGACTGCGCTGCCATCTACCGCAACGAAACCGAGGTTGGAGCGGGCATCCGCCAGTCCGGCGTGCCTCGCGACCAAATTTTCATCACCGGCAAGCTGTGGAACACCAAGCACAGGCCAGAGGACGTCGAGGCCGCTCTCGACAAGACCCTCGCCGATCTCGGCACCGACTATGTCGACCTGTACCTGATGCACTGGCCCGTCGCCTTTGCGCCCAGCGACAAGTGGTTCCCGCTCGATGGCCGCGGCGTCTTTAGCCTCGATGACGTCGACCCCGCCGACACCTACAAGGCCATGGAGAAGCTGCTCCAGACCGGCAAGACCAAGGCCATCGGCGTCTCCAACTTCAACATCCGCCGTCTCGAAGACCTGCTACAAAAGACGACCGTCGTGCCCGCCGCGAACCAGATCGAGGCCCACCCGTACCTGCAGCAGCACGAGCTGACCGCCTACTGCCAGAAGAAGGGCATCCTCATCGAAGCTTACTCGCCGCTCGGCAACAACCAGACCGGCGAGCCCCGCACCGTCGATGACCCCAAAGTGCACGACATCGCCAAGACCCTGGCTGTCGACCCGGGCGTGCTGCTTGGCAGCTGGGGCGTCCAGCGCGGAACCGTTGTCCTGCCCAAGAGCGTGACCCCGCACAGGATCGCATCCAACCTCAAGGTGAAGGAGCTGCCCGACGAAGCCTTCCAGGGCCTCAACGAACTGGAGAGGCACAAGCGCTTCAACTTTCCCGGTCTGCGGTGGGGTCACGACATCTTCGAGGAGGTCGGAGATGCGGAGAAGATTAGAAATAGTGCTGAGAGTTTTGCTGAAGAGAACAAGATCAAGTTCACTGTGTAGAAGCAAAGAAGCTTTGCCAAGAATGCACAGCCATCTGGGCCAGTGGCGCCAACCCTGGACGAGATGGTGAGTGCATCCAGGGTTTCCAACTCTAATCACACCTCACTAGATACCGTACTGCTCCAAATAGAACCCAACGATAAAATAAAACACTCGACCTCTACTTTAGACACTCTTGCGAGACCTCTCCCTTCTCCATCTTCGCCTTCCTCTACCTGCCCCCTCCCCTTCTCCGCACCGATCTCCCTCCCCGCCACCAAGATTCTCACCTTCAATGCCCCACCTTGTGTACTTGCCACATGCCACCCACAACCGACCCAGATATCCTCCCATGGAGTGGAAAAGCTTGGAGATGATGCCGGGTTCATGAAGAATGTCCGCCGGCTTAAGGGACGGTTCGATCCCTTGAAGAAAGACCAAGGCATTACGTCTTTGCAAGAGCCAAAATCGCATAAGGGCCTTTTCGGCAAAATCAATCCCAAAGGATGACGGAAGATGATAAATAGCCAACTACCACGAAGGATGCCTTTACAAGTTACAGGAACGGGGAATATTTGTACGGATTTGACGACCCGTCTTCAAATCACCCCGACGAGCAGCCATATCGGTATCATCATGGTGTGGGGTGCTGCAGTGTGCTATTTGTTGTTGTTGTTGCTACTCATGGCTGCTGATGCTTCCGCTACCATCGTCGTCGTCCCGTGACTTTTTTTTTCCCCTTTCTTTTCCGCGGTTCTCCGTTCCCGCCTGCAGCCGTCCTTCTTTGCTCCCTTTCTCTACTGCTGCTGCCCCTGTTGCCGACACGGTGAGTGAGAATAACATAAATCTACGGCGATTCTTTGCGTGGGCAGTCGAAGTAGATGTCCCGACGTGAATGTAGATTCAAACGACCTTGCTCGATGAGGTGAAGTAGATATCCGGATGTAAGTGTATACCCCTTACACAGATGGAGCATTCTGCAGACTTTCATACTTTGGCCAGCTTCGTTCAGCTCACCAAGGCGAGCAGGATCGCAATCTAGTACACCGCCAACGCGACGCACGCTGCGGAGCTTGTTACCTTCCATACATTTTGGAAGCTCAAAGCCAAGAGGCTCAGAACCAAAAATGCGTCACTCAGATTTCGAACCTCATTGATGGGCTCAAACTCAAACACCAACCAGATAAAGCTGTTCGAGCGAGGATGTAGGTTCAAACACCCTTTTTCTCCATAAGGAGATGAAGCAACGAACCGTACATGATAGATAAGTAAGTAGTAAACCCACGCAAAAGCCTCCAAACACAGGACCCAACCGCCTTCGCGAAATAGACGTAGGTAGACAAAGTCAACTTTCCTTCCCACACCCCAACCACAGTTGAGTCGCCAGGCCCACGCACCGCCCACGCCACCGCCACCGCCTAGGTACGCCTAAACACACACACACCCGCCCGCCCACCCACTCAGATCCACAACGCGATCTGCATCCGCCATCGAGGCCCGAGGCCCGAGGGGGGGCACCACACACACAACCAGGCGACCCGCCGCGGGCAAACAAACCGGCATCGATCGACACGGGGACACGAACGACGGTCGGTCGGTCGGTCCGGGAATAGTTGATGCGTGCGTTTCGGGTTCGGCGCCGATCCTTCCTTCCTTCCTTCCTTCCTTCCGGCGCGGCACGGCGGCCAACGTCACGTCACGTTGCGCCGCGCCGCGCCGCGCCGCGTCGCCCCATCATCGTTCAGCTCCGCCCCCCTCCGTCAGGCGGGCAGCGCGGGCAGCGCAGGCAGCGCGGGCGGGATTCTTGGCGTCGGCTGGAGAGCGGGGGTCTGGGCGCTCAGGCATCACGCGAGGAGACGTGTGCGGGCTGGCTGGGGGGTGGGGGCGTGTTCGACGATTTTCTGGGGGATGGGGAGGGAGGGGGGTGGAGGGGGACGTTGCGGCTGGATGACGAAGGGGTGTGGCAAAGGTGCTACTACTGTCAAGACTACTGAGTTATTCGACAGCGATGCAAAGGCGGTCGGTAGAGCGGCGGCGGAGCGATGTACATACATACCTATCAGCCCTGCAGGGCGCGTGTTTAGCGGAGTTGGACGCCTTGGCACGATGTTTAAAAAGTGATCAGCGTTTCTGGGGGGGTCGGGTCGCGATCATCCCCCCCTCGCAGCCGACTGGCCTAAATTGCGCCATTTTCAGCCTGAATTTGCGGTCTATTGCGCCGAGAGAGGAAAGTGCGATGGAGATTATCCGCTCATCGTCAACCTCATGTCTTCCGGGTTTTCGACGATGCACTCTTGCTTTGGGAGCAGGAGGGGAACGCTGGTGGCGTTGAGGCGGGAAGTAAGTGTGCAGGGGCCACTGTCCGTCTTCTCTTGTCTGCGTTTCCTTTGTATAATGCACAAGCGGTTGCCGATGCGTGGAAGTCGTGGGCGCGCGGGCGGTTGTGGGATGGTCAATGTTGGTGGAGAGAAACGAAGTGGAGCAAGAGACGGAAATGGTGGGAACGGATGGTAGGCAAGAGTATGAAATCCTTCAGTGGAATTATTGCGGTGCGGATTCCGAGATCGACAATACACAGATCGTTCAGTGATTGCGCTGGGCACACGTAGATGTCGGCTCAGCATTCGGTGACGATCCTACAGATTCGGAATGAATCATCTGTAAACGCCGTCCACGCGAGCAATTGTGGCCTCGAGCGCAGGACTCATCCGTGGATCGGACAGCCGTATGTCTCTCCGAGCAAGAAGGCAAGCGTGGGGCGTCAGAGCTGGGTGAACAGTGTCGGAGGTGGAGCAAAATTGCCTGATCAGGCAACTCGGTGTTCCTTGTTTCCCTACGCCCACGACCATGATGAGGCGGCGCGCGATGCAAGTGCTTCGAGGGTCAAACAAGAAGCCACACCAAGGAAGCGGTCGAGACATGACGAGGGCAAGAGCACAAGTTGATGCGGCGCGGGAGGGCGGGGGGATCCAGACCGGGCCATTTCTCGCTTCTTGAGTCCTAACCAATCAGACAGGCCGCTCTCTTCTCCGATCCAATCGATTCGGATCCGCCTGTGTCCGCTCGGCTGCTCACCCGTAAGAAGGCAGCAAGTGCTCGCTGCTTGCCGCCCTTCCTTCCTTCCGACGTCAATGGCGCCACAGTCGGAAACATCACCAACGAGCTCGGGAAGGTTATGTCGACTACCAAACTTGGTTTCCGCTCGTCTGCACGCAATGAGGTAACGTTTCTCTCTCACTGTAGCTGATCGGCAATCACTTGTCCATTGAGGCTCGCCCACGTTCCGGTGGGCGCGGTCTGGACCATGCGCCGCGTGCGCCAGCCGACTCTGCTGAATCGAGGAATGCACATGATACACGCCCTACCCGAGCATCGTGACCACGAAAGCGGCAGTTCCCACATGTGACGGCCGGCGCAATAAAAAAAACGAAAGAAAAATAGGAATAGACTTCTGCACGCTTGCTGTCACGGGAGTCGGCGCCGGCTGCCAAGGGTCTCGGAACGTGTATCGCGCTTCGCGGAGCATGGTGGACATGACGGTGCGGCGTTGTTTTAACGCGGTCCAGGCCCGTTCCATGGAGCGTCCATGACTCTTCCAGTCGCCATATACGAGAGCACGCATCGTATACAAGGTCGGCGCCAGCGCCCGACTGCGCCGCCGCTTCTTTGTTTTTTGAGTCAGTGACGGTGAAAGCCAGGCTGGTGGGCGACGTGGCTCCAGCGACGGACGGCGGACGAGGGAGATCGGAACAACAGTCCCCCGGGCCATTTTTGCCTCTCCGACGACGATGATCTCTTCGGGGGTGTCACTGATATTCTTTTAGAGCTGTTGATCTTCCCGGGGAGGGGTGTGCATCTTGGATCTTCGCGCCACCCAACCCTGTCCCAAGCGGTGCGCAATCGCGGCCCCCACCACGACCCAATCGACACCCCTGGTCCGCGCGGGAGATGGCGCCATCCCTTTCGCGATGGATGGATGGTGACGGGCGGCCGGGTGGAGAGTGGGGAATGGGATCGCATGTTTGATGCGCCCGGCCGACCCGCAGGGCGCGTGTCCAGAACGCGCGTGCGTTGCGTTTTGACGGCCGAGCGAGCGAAGAGAGATCTGGCTCATCCGCTCCCTTGGAACCCGATCTCCTGCCTCCTCTCTTTGCCTCGTCCCGTTGTTCCGGCCCGTAGCGACAACATGGCCTGTGGTTGGAATACGCCTTTCGCTGGCTCCCGCCCCGCTCACTAACTCCCCACCGGCTCTCCCGTCTTTGCATTAGCTCCCGCCCCGCCGCTCCAGGTCAGTGTCCACGTCTTCATTCCACTTTTTCTTCCTCGCCCCGCCCCTAATCCGTTTTCCCACTTTCACGTCGCGCGCGCATGCGCCGCCATCGTTATCGGAGAGTGTTCCTCCTCCACGCCGGGCGCGCTCGCCACAATTATGGGGACGACACCGTGCCGTTCGTGCCGGCGGCGCGGGGGGAGGGAGCGATCGCTGCTCAGGCTTCGCTCCGGACCTCGGTGCTCGGAGATCGAAGAGGAATGGATTTAGAAGAAATAAAAAAAAAATAAAAAAGCAGAGGCTGCCAAAGCGACAATGCTAACCTTAACGCGTCTACTATTAAGTGGAGTTCCTCCGCCCTGCCGCCGTGCGGCCTGCCGCCCTGTAGTTCGTTCGCGGCGCGGTCCGATCCGGCCCTCGTCGGTCGGCGGTTTTGCGCCTTTGGGGGGGAAAAACCTCGTCAGTTCCTGGAGGGGGGAGAAAAGAACGGCCGGCCGGCCGCTGCTGCGGAGAGGAGACACAACACACATGACTTGGCTTGGAAGCGATCGCCTGTGGCGTGCGAGCTGTCTGCTGCGCCCCGGGCCTTTCTTTCCGGCGCCTTGGTTAGAGTTATCCGTCGTGCTGGGTGTGCGGCGTTGGCAACGAGCGATTGGTGGTGAGACACTGTCGAAGCGCCAGGAATGAAATGTCGCTGACCTCGCGTCAATCGCAGATCCCCTCTCGCACCAAACCAACACGCATTCCGGTCAGGTGAGCCTCCGTCACTTCTTGCAGACACGACAATGCAATCGCTGCCGTCGGGCATGACGGTGCAGAAAAACTGCACTGACTGTGTGGTATACGCGGAAGTGGATCCCTCTTACGCGTCTCCCCCCAGCGCACGTTCTTCAAAGTCAGGAATCACGTCCGGCCTCGCCATTGGCGAGAGCAATCCTCGACGATGGCGACATTTTATTTTTCAGCTGGCATCTGCTCACCTGGCGTGCTGCGGCGTGGGGGTTAGTGTGGCGCCCCTCGCGGTGGCAAGCAGCCAGTCATTGTCCCGATGTAGCATCTTCTCTTTTCGGAGCGTGGTCCGCGTGTGGGCCACCGGCAGCCAGACGACCACCATCGCTCAACGCCGACCGGGAAAAGCGATCATATAATCAGCAGGCGGCATGCAGGGGATCGTGAAGAAACGAAAGGGGAGAGTGGTCAACCCGTTGTCGTACAAGGTGATGCGGTGCGACTGCGAGGGTGGCTCGTCGACAGCTGGGGTTGGTAGGTAAATCGAGCATGGGCCGCCCCACGTTTTTTGTTCCACCAAAAAACACATCAGAGCTTGACGTTGGCAGGTGATAGGCACGGGATCGTCCTCGACCCGCATGCAATACGAAGCTGCCGACCGATCATGTCCTAGCGATCCTTGTGGGTCAGGTCAACGTCTAAACTCACCGGCATCTGCAACCACACAACCACACATGCACACACACACGACGTCCAGAACCGAGTGGGGCTGAGCTGAACTATTGAATAGGGTACCAATGATGGACTAAGTATACTATCGAGTCGGGGAAAAGGTGGCCTCGCTTAGAAATCTCGATGGATGGCTGCATTGCATCTGCATGCGATTACGTGCAGATTGTGGTCCCGGAAACGATCCGACTGGGCTGGGGAAAAAAGTAAACTACCGAGATAATGAAATACCACCCTCCTCCAGCACGCCCGGTGCGGATGTCGTTAGGTAAATGCATGAGCCGTGCGAACCAGCAACCAGACAGAACAAAACGAGTGAATGCGATCCGAGTTTTCCCTTCAACGCCAGTGGCCAAATCTATTGCCGGGAAAGGTAAGGCCGAAAAAGGAAACACGGGACGACCGCCAAAGGGCCTGCTCAACGGTTGCAGTCAAAAACGCCAATTGAGTGAGGGGAGCCCGAGCCATCACATCGGCGTGCCCGGCGCCTCGTCCGCCCAGATCAGCTCCCGCGTGAAAGCGGCCGGGTCCCTTGCTTGCTCTTCGCGGCAGCGGGCGCAGTAGCCCGCCTGCAGGATGCGGACGTCCTCGATGTAGGCACACGCCCCGCGCATCTGGACCTCTTTGATCTGCGCCTGCGTGAGTCCGGCGCAGACGCCCGGGTTCTGCCGTTCCATCTCAATGAGGTTGAGCCTGCCAACGGTGCAGAGTTGAAGTTGCGGTGCCTCCTGCGGGGAGGGCCCGTGATCGCACTGCCAGACCTTGGTCCATTCGTAGCACATGGTGATCGTAGGCTTCGTCGAGGCTTGGGGGGGAAAGGTTCAGTGTAGCAGATTTGCGGAGTAAAGAGATGGCCGACTTTTGAAAATGGCAGAAGTGGAAATTCTCGAATTTTTTGATTTTGAAGGGTTTAGATATATCGGCTGGGTGCGGAGGACTGGAGGTGGATGAAGACATGGAACTGCCTTAACTTTCCCATTATATACTCACTCCCCCAAGGGCCCTAACTCTGAGGCAATGCGTGTGACTTCGGGTTGAACGCCTATGAAAGCCTCTTTCGCTGAGTACAGGAAGCAGGTGCGGATAGCGCAGTGCATTGCCAACGCCAATGCCACGATGGAGTGCGGATTCACACCCGGCTGAGCGAATGCAAGGCGGATCCGTGGAGGGCAGGTCAACCACAGTGGATCTCGATATGCGCAGCTTGCTAGATTGGCGAGCGCCCGTCCCGCCGTGGATCGATGGGTTGCCATGAGCCGCACTCCAGAGATCTTGGTGTAACGTCGTCGACCGGGTCGGCGGGCCATCAGGGTCTCATGGCGCGGCTGGCAGCCCTCGAGCGGCAGGTACGCGAGACAAGTCAGCTGGGGTGGGAGGGCATATTCCTTTGTCTCTGGGCGGGCGACTGGCCAGAACGCACATGGCTTGCCGGTTTGGGAGAATTCCAAATTGTTGCGAGCTGGCCGTTGAGCAGACGATTGGAAATGGCTGTTCTCGTCGTCGACGCATAGGGGTCGGCGAAAGTGGCCGGAGATTTCTGGGAGAGTTCGTGATAATCACGCATTTCGCCGTGCTCCAATGATGACGTCTGTTCTCACATGGCGGTCAAATGCGCGGGTGCCCCGTGCAGGGGAAACGCGCGTATTCTGGCACAGGGAGCAATGGCTCTCTCCGGATCGTCGGGCAGAGTACGGATGTCGCAGCTTGGCGAGGGGAGGGAGAAGCTGTGGGGAGAGGGCGACGCGAGCGAATGAGGGCGTGCAGCATTACTAGCCGTCTGGCTCGGCTGCGGACCGTACGGACGTGACGGCAGCGGGCGCGCATTACTCGCCAAAAGTGAAACCGGCAAGCAGGTGGCAGCAGCTGAAAAATGACGATGCTCGCCGGCAGATCTTGGCTGGAAGCAGGGCGGGCTCGCGGACTCGGTAACGGCTGCTGGAGAGGGGATGGCGCACTGGGAGCGGAATCTGCCCCTTCTGCACGCTGAGTCGCGGGCGGGCGGCAGCGGCTGGCGAGCGCGGGCGAGCGCGGGGTCGCGCGCGGCGGGCGGCGGCGAGCGAGGCCGGCGCGGTGGCGGCACAGCTGAGCGTCGAGAGGGCAGGCGCGTGGTACGAGCAGGGCTGCGCAGGATCGCGTACCACCCACCCGCTTTGTTGGTGTTCGCGCAGGCTGCGCGGGCTGCTTCTTCAGCCGCAGCTCGCTCCGCGGCTCCGCTGACCTACGTAGGCCAAGGCCTCATTTCTTGCGAGCAGTGACACGAGCTTGCAGATGATCCCCGTGCGGCTGCCGCGCTGGGCTAGGGGCGCCGGCAGCTGCCAGCGTGCCATAGTAGTCAGATCTGCCTCGCGCACATTTTGATTTCGGCCGGGGAAATGCTCGGCGGCCGAGTTGCGCGCGGTGTTTGGCGCGCTCCAGGGAGGCAGGTGGAGGCATCGACGAGGCACGGAGGCATCGAGGCACGGGGGCATCGAGGCTCGCACCTCGGGGGCACGGAGGCTCGGAGGCACGGCGGCGGTGGGCCAGGCAGCCAGGGCGGACTGCACGGCCAGGCCAGGGCGGAGTGCAGGCACGGCGGAGCGCGGCGGCGGCTATCGCAGCATCGTATCGTTCGCCAGCCGTTATGCGGCTCTGCGCGGAGCCCAAGGGTCCAAGGCGCGCTGCATGCGATGAACCACGGCCGCCGGCGCTTAGTCAGTGCTGCCTGAGGCGCCCGCCAGCGCCCACGCGCGCCCACGCGCTCCTCTAGGATGCCCGCCGCGGCTCACCTGCCCTCGTTACATACCTAGCACGCAGGCCGGCCCTCTCTGTGTCGCCCCACTGGCCGGCCACACCGCCGCTGTTCCTGTCAGACGTTGCGCCCACCCAGACACGTGCGCTGCGGATCATACCCCGAGCGCCCGCCGCCACGAGCGCGTCGCCCCAGCAGGCATCGCCCGGCTTCTCCACGACCGCGTCGGGCTTGCCTGCGACGAGAGTCGCCGACAACGCGCCTCTCGGCCCCGGCCCCAGCGACGGCACCAGCGACGGCACCAGCGACAGCACCAGCGACAGCACCGGCACCAGCACCATCGCGTTGGGCGGCAGCACGCGCCACCCATGCCCGCGGTTTGCGCCCGCGCTCGATCGAATCGCATGCATCGCATTGATGATGGCAGCGAGTGCTGCCCGGCGCCACCTGCCCGCCCGCCTCCGCGCGCCGACTCAGCGCGCCCGTCTGGGTCGCATCTTGCGCTTGCTCATGTTTCTATGAAACGCCATTTCCCGCCCAAGCTTACGCCATTGCCGTCCGTTGGCGTGGGCCCCCTGGGCAATCCCGCCGCGCCAGACTCATGGCCGCTGCGCATCCATGATTCCTGCCATCTTACCGCAACCGGCAAGACGCACCTGGTCAGACCATCCGAGGGCGGTCACCGCTGAGCCCCAGAGATAGCCCGGGAGCTTGATTCAGACGCCTTGCAATTTGTGCTGTGCGTGACTTCTAAGCCGTTTCAGCTTCTATATTCGTAAATTCGGGGTCGGCCAATCACCTACCCTGACCAGGAACAACGAGGCTCCGCCACGTCGAGCTGCGTACCTCTCCTCAGCCTTATATCCTGCAGCTCCCTGGTGCACCGTTCTGGCCCCTCGACCTCGCAGACCGCGTCTCTCCTCCCACCAGACCACCCGCCCAAAAAGTCACTCGTTCCAACCACCTCTTAAGGATCGCCCACTCCCACCCAACCACATCCCCCCCCAGGCCCTTCCTCCTTCCACCACCAAGCAGCCACCAGTCACCAGTCACCATCTCTCCCTTCGCTACCACCAACAGCCCTCAGCCTCGCTGGCACCGGACCAACCCACCTTAGCCTCATGCCCTCGAGAATGTCCACCTCCTACTACTACAACGAGGCGGACCTCGCCATGATGGACATGTTCCCCGGGAGCACCTGCCAGCCCGCCTCCTCAGCCATGTACGCCCCTTGTCAGATGCAGCAGCTGGCTCCGCGCCAGATGCTCGACACCCGGCCTCACCCCATCGCCATGAACGGATACGTCCCCCACCAGCAGTCTCCCGGTCTCCCCGCCCACGGCTCGTTCCAGCAGCACGAATACTGGACTCCGCAGCACTCGATGGCGCCGCAGCCCTCACTGGCCGTCCCTTCGTTACCTCCGTACGCCACGCCCACCATGGCCTACGCCCAGCCGCCCCAGGCCATGACGCCGGAGAGCACCCTCCCCTCGAGCTACACGCTGGTCCCGCGCGGCTCGAGATCACCGTCGGCATCCACCGGAGCCTTCTCGCCGCAGCCCTCGGTGGACGGCAGCGTGGCCGAGTACTCGCGGTCCATCTCGCCCAGCGCGAACTCGGCGGACCTGCGAGCATACGGCTACCTGAACAAAAACGGCACCTGGACATGCGCCTACCCGGGCTGCACCTCCAAGGCCGTTTTCACGCGCGGCTGCGACCTCAGGAAGCACCACAAGCGTCACACCAAGTCCTTCTTCTGCAGGCACGAGGGCTGCCCGCAGGCAACCGGCGGCGGCTTTTCCAGCAAGAAGGATCTCGCGCGGCACGAAGCGAAGCACAACCCGGGCGTCGTGTGCGAGTGGGACGGATGCGAGAGGATCTTCAGCCGAGTGGACAACATGGTAAATTGGAGCGCCAATCCCATTTTCAAAATTGCTATTTCTCTAACGTCGGCTGCAGAGAGACCACGTCAAGCGCATACACCTCAAGGGTGCCAGGCCAGCGGCCGGCAAGCGCACCACGACTGCGTAATTGCACCGCCCCGCGCGATCGCTGGACCACCTCCACCATTTCTATTTTCTTCATGATTTCGAGCTGGCCCTCGAGACCGTCGGGTAATGGCAGATGAGATCATATGGCGATCGTCGTGGCGTCACGACTGTAATGAATAGGTATACCGACGCATCAAACTCTCAGGGATTTTGGCCGCTCCACGGCAAAAGAGCATTAGCCGCAGCACGGGCACGCGCGCCGAGGCTGGCAGGCAGGACGAAAATAGCGCGCAGACGCAAGTTCCAAGTTCTTTTCCGTGTGCATGAGTCGTCTTTCGCGGACATTACGGGCATAGAGGGGATAGACAGGTCGGGGCAGGGCACGGCATTGGCATCGTACAAGGTTGTTTTGGTGTGGAGGCGTCACAGGCGTCACAGGCGTTTTTTTGTCCTTTGGGCGCAGATGCATACCCCAGGCAGCATAGCATCGGGAGAAAAGCCGCGGACTTTTCGAGTCAACAGCACGCATGGATGCACGGGATAGGGTAGTCTAAAGTTGCAACAGCCGCAGTTACAGTGGGTCAGACGGCCGCTGCTGCGCATTGAAAATATGATCAATACGACAAGTAGACAGTCCAAAATACTACAGATTAAATGCTTGAATCAGGGCGCCATGGCCATCCCGTCGGCGTCTGATCGGATCACCCGACGCGCAGGTTCGAGCTCGCACCCCCGTGGGCAGGCGGCTTTCGGCGGCGCATGTGTGTGCGACGGTTGCACTTTCTGCCTGGCACTGCGGCCGCTCTCGTTGGCTGGCTGGGGTGATGGTGGTCAGAGGGAGGGGGACGGGGAGGAGGGGGGAAAAAGGAAGAGAGTAATCCGTACTCAGGGCCGGCTCCTGCTGCTGCTGCTGCACCGCCGTCCGCCCAGACAGGCCCAAGCGGCGGCCCCCATCACCCGGCGGTCTCCCGTCGAATCCAAGCCGCAGGATGCTGACCCTGGCAGCGGACTGTCGATCGGCGTTTCTGCGCTCGAGCTCGAGCAAGGCGATTGGTGAAACGGG